CGACGATAATACTCCGTGCCCAACTACTCAAACTTGCACGGCGGGTATCTGCCTTGCCACTGTCTTCCCCGCTTGCGTAGTTGCTACGGATTGCACTGGTGGCCAGGATTGCATCGCTCAAATATGTCTCCCCTCCACCCTCATCACTTGTGGAACTGGCAATCCTTGTGCTGGCGATGCCACTTGCACCAGCGGCGTCTGCCTCCCCAACAGTCTGACCTCCTGTGGGGATGATTCGGGATGTGCTTCCAACCTGCTCTGCCGACTGGGAGTCTGCATACCCCGTGATATCGTATCCTGCACAGGAAACAGTGCATGCAGTGCCGACGAGGTTTGTACGGCTGGCTTCTGCGTTCCGCAGCTCCTCCCGGGCTGTCAATACTCGACAGATTGCTCTTCGGGCCAGACTTGCACAGCCAATATTTGCTTGCCAGTCGGTCTGGAGTCATGCACGACGGACGACGAGTGTGCTGCCGGCCAGACTTGCGCCAGCGGAGCCTGCCTCCCAGGATCGTTGCCGTCATGTACAACTGAAGCCGATTGCAGCGGCGAGCAGGTCTGTAGGCTTGGACTCTGTATCCCCTCAGACCCGACCGTCTGCTCAGCCGATTCCGACTGCACCAGCGACCAAACATGCACAGCTGGTCTCTGCCTCCCCAGCATTTACCCCCCTTGCCAGACGGACCAGAACTGTGCAACCGACCAAGTCTGCACCGCTGGTGTCTGTCTTCCCAGCGTGCTCCCCGGCTGCCAGACCGACGGTGACTGCGGCGCGAACCAAGCCTGCGTCTCCAACGTCTGTCTCCCCAGCGTGCTCCCAGCCTGTACTACAGATGCTCAGTGCACTGGCGGAGATGTCTGCCGACTGGGCAACTGTCTGCCCGCTGAAGTCGCCGTCTGCACAACCGATAGCGACTGTACCTCGCCGCAGACGTGTGTCGCTGGCCTCTGCCTCGCAGAAGTCTTCCCAACCTGCCAAGACACGTCGGATTGCAACAACGGTGAAATCTGCACTGGCGGCGCTTGTTTCCCAAGCACCCTGCCTACGTGTAGTACTGATGTTCCTTGCACCATTGCCGGTCAGACTTGCACGGATGGGCTTTGCCTGCCCGACGTTCTGCCTTCTTGTGACGACGATACCGCGTGTGCATTCGGCCAAGTTTGCAGACTCGGTCTCTGCATCCCCCGGACTCTCGTCACTTGCTCCGATACCGAGCCCTGTACCGGCGACCTCACCTGCACTGCTGGACTCTGCATTGCACCGGTATTCTCTACATGCGCCAGCTCTGATGACTGTGGCCAGGGCCAAACCTGCACATCCAACACCTGTCTGCCAGCTACCCTACAGGGCTGCAGCGACAACAACGCGTGTGGAGACAGCCAAACTTGCACCAACGGACTCTGTCTCCCCGACATCCTCCCAACCTGTGCAAGTGACTCCGAATGCGACACCACTGCAGTTTGCAGACTCGGCGTCTGTATTCCTTCCGACCTCGCCACCTGCACACTTGACAGCGACTGTTCTACGGGCCAGTCTTGTCTTGGTGGAATCTGCCTCCCCCAGGTCTATCCCCCGTGCGCGTCCACTGCCAACTGCGCGACTGGCCAAACCTGCACAGGCGGCGTCTGTCTGCCCGACGTCTTGCCTACTTGCGACGATGCCGGCAATGCGTGTGCCGATGGTCAAACTTGCACCTCAGGCGTCTGCCTGCCCGATGTGCTCCCGACTTGCGCGAGCGACTCTGCTTGCGGAAGTGGCAAGGTCTGCAGACTCGGCGTCTGTATTCCCCAGGATGTTGTTCCCTGCACCGCCAGCTCGGATTGCGACAGCGCGCTGATCTGTACGGGCGGTTTCTGCATCGAGCCGGCGTTCCCTGCTTGCGAGGCGGACGCCGATTGCGATAGCGGCAACACTTGCACTGGCGGCTTCTGCTTGCCCACTGTTATTCCGACGTGTACGGACGACAGCTCTTGCACCGACGGCCAGACTTGCAATTCTGGAGTCTGTCTTCCAGTCGACTTGCCCATTTGTGAGGCGGATGCTGACTGCTCTGCTAACCAACTCTGCCGACTGGGAGTTTGTATCCCCGAGGTCATCACCGCCTGCGCCACCGACACGGACTGTGGCAGTAGCCAGACCTGCACAGCTGGGCTTTGCGTCCCAGAGGTATTCCCTCCATGTACCCAAGATAGCGACTGTGGCACTGGAAACGCTTGCTACAACAGCGTCTGTTTGCCTGTCACCCTGGCCACTTGCACAGACGCCCCGGATACCTGTGTCGATGGACAAATTTGCGTCGGAGGAGTCTGCCTTCCAGCCAATCTTCCAGCCTGTTCTGCTGATGCAGATTGTGGGCTCAACCAGGTCTGCCGCCTCGGCCTCTGCATCCCAGATGCCATTGATATTTGCACTGTCAATACCGACTGCAGTGACCAACAGATTTGCACTGCTGGTGTTTGTGTTCCTGAGCCCTTCCCGCAGTGCACTGTCGATGGTGACTGCGTCAGCGGCCAGTTCTGTACCGGCGGAGTTTGCATCATCGACACTTTCCCTACCTGCAAAACTGATAGCGATTGCGGTACTAGTGAAGGATGTGTGTCTGGTATTTGTGTGCCAGACGTCCTCCCCTCTTGCAGCACCGATACAGACTGTGCCTCGGGCCAGGTCTGTCGACTCAACCTCTGTCTCCCAGAGGCTCTCACACAATGCCAGGCCAACTCGGATTGCAGCGGTACTCAAACCTGCACAGGAGGCATTTGTCTGCCGGAGGTCTTCCCGACCTGCGAAGCCGACAGCGACTGTGGAAGCGCCAACTCTTGCGTTGGCGGCACCTGTCTCCCATCTACGTTGCCATCATGCGCAAACGGCGAGACATGTGCTGAAGGTCAAACTTGTACTTCTGATGTCTGCCTCCCCGACACTCTGCCACCTTGCTCTCAAGATACGGACTGCGGCGCCAGCCAAGTCTGTCGACTCAACCTCTGTATCCCAGAGGTCCTCAACCAATGCGAGACGGATCAGCAGTGTGGAACCAGCCAGACCTGTAGCGGCGGCCTCTGCGTCCCTGAGGTCTTCCCTGTTTGCACGACGAACACCGACTGTGGCAGCGGCTTTGCCTGCACTGGCGGGCTCTGTCTCCCCGATGTCCTGAACGCCTGCGGAACCGGCAGTCCTTGCGAAGCCGATCAAACTTGCACTGGAGGTGTCTGCTTGCCCGATTTCCTGCCTGCTTGTACCGCCGATTCCAACTGCGGAACTGGCCAGGTTTGTCGACTTGGAGTTTGCCTTCCCGGCACCGCCGTTACCTGCGATTCCTCCGACGACTCTTCCTGCGAGTCGGGCCAGATTTGCGCTGCCGGTATTTGCGTTGCAGGGGTCTTCCCGCCTTGCACCGACACCGTCGACTGTAGTACCGGAAATGTCTGCACTGCTGGAACTTGCATCCCCGAAACTCTACCTACATGCGACAACAACAACTGTGCAGAAGGCCAGACTTGCGTGTCTGGTGTCTGTGTTCCTGCTGAATTGCCTGCTTGTACTACTGATACCGACTGCGGCAGCAATCTGCTCTGCAGACTCGGCGTCTGTCTACCGCAAGTCGTCACGAGTTGCGAAACTGACACTCAGTGCGGTGATGGTCAGACCTGTTCAGTCGGTCTTTGTATCCCTGAGGTCTTCCCAACCTGCCAGGCCGACACTGACTGTTCTTCTGGACAAGTTTGCACGGGTGGCGTTTGCCTTCCTGTTACACTCCCCGAATGCAGCGATACCACCCCATGCGCCGACGGTACAACCTGTTCGTCTGGCGTCTGTATTCCAAGCACCCTCCCTACCTGCACCACGGATTCTCAGTGCGCCAACAGCCAGGTTTGTAGACTCGGCGCCTGTATCCCCGACGCTCTCGACCTCTGTCAAACCGACGACACATGCACTGGCGGCCAGGTATGCACGGCTGGACTCTGCCTGCCACCGGTCCTCCCAACCTGCTCTACGGACCAGGATTGTGTTGCGGCCGATTCTTGTGTATCAGGCGTGTGCGTTCCCGACGTCCTACCGACCTGCACTGCTGGCAACGGCGACTGCGCGACTGGCCAGACTTGTGTTTCTGGTGTCTGTCTGCCCTCGGGATTGACTGACTGTAGCACCGGAACTGAATGCGCCACCGGTCAAGTTTGCAGACTCGGTGTCTGTGTTCCTGACGATCTCACCGTCTGCCAAACCGACGACCAGTGTACGACGGGCCAGACTTGCACAGCCGGTCTTTGCCTCGCCACTGTCTTTCCAGATTGCTCCGCTAGTAATCCCTGTGGCGATGGCCTCACCTGTACTTCTGGTGTCTGCCTCCCCGACACCCTCGGCACTTGCGAGACCAGCGATACCTGCGACGCTGGTCAATCCTGTACTGGCGGAGTCTGCCTCCCCACCGTACTACCTGCTTGCCAAGCTGATAGCGACTGCGATACATCCGACGTCTGCAGACTTGGTGTGTGTATTCCTCGCGATACGGTCCTTTGTACAGTTGCAGAGGATTGCTCAAGCGACCAGACCTGTACAGCCGGTATTTGTCTTGCCACGGTCTTCCCAGGCTGCACACAGAGTTCCGATTGCGGTACCGATCAGACGTGTACTGCTGGTGTCTGTCTTCCGAGCACTCTCAACGGGTGTCAGGCCAACAGTGACTGCACTGACGGCCAGACTTGCGCTTCTGGCGTCTGTCTACCCGCCCTCCTCACCAGCTGCACAGTCGATTCAAACTGTGACACCACCCAGGTTTGCAGACTTGGCTTCTGTATTCCCCGGACTGTCTCGACCTGCACGGCTGATAGCGACTGTGGAACCTCCCAGTCCTGCACTGGAGGAATCTGCGTCCCGGAACTGCTGCCCAACTGCGCGTCCGACACCGACTGCAGTACCGGACAAACCTGTACATCTGGCGTCTGTTTCCCCAGCACTGTGGCGACTTGCTCTGCAGACACTGAATGTCAAGAACGTGAGACTTGCACATCTGGTGTTTGCGTTCCTTCGGTCCTGCCAGCCTGCGGCACAGACGATTCTTGTGCTGAAGGCTTGGTATGCAGGCTGGGAACTTGTCTTCCTGGCGTCCTCACCTCGTGTCAGAGCAGCATCGACTGTCGCGACGGTCTCAGTTGCCAATCAGGTCTCTGCGTGCCACTGTCGGTTCTCTGCACAGCTGATACTGACTGTGATACTGATAATGTCTGCCGCGCAGGCCTCTGCGTTCCGCAGTCCTTCCCTGGCTGCTCTACCGACGCCCCATGTGCCGAAGGCAACACATGTACAGCCGGCCTCTGTATTCCCACAGTGCTCCCTGGCTGCACGACTACGGGTGGCTGTGCAACCGACCAAGTCTGCACAGCTGGTGTCTGCCTTCCAAGCAGTCTCTCCGGCTGTCAGGCTGCCTCAGACTGTGGCTCAACCGAGGAGTGTAGAGCCGGCCTTTGTGTGCCACAGGCTCTGATCCAATGCACCACCAGCTCTGATTGCAACGGCTCCAACAGCGAGCTCTGTCTTTCTGGCCTTTGTGTGTCCCAGCTCACATCGTGTACTGTTGACGACGATTGCACTGGCGATGATGTGTGCACGCTCAACCTCTGCCGTCCCCCTGTTGTGGCGCAATGCTCGGCAGACAGCGATTGCAGTGCCGAGGAGTTCTGCTCTCTCGGCGTATGTGCTCCGCGGTCCCTCACATGCACAACTAGCGATGATTGCAGCGAGGGTAATGTCTGTACCGTCGGCCTATGCACTCCTGATATGTCGACGGTTTCTTGTACTACGGCAACGGACTGCCTCCTGGGTGTTGGTCTCTGTCCCCTTGGACTCTGCACCTGCACTGACGGAAAATGCACCTTGGACCCGAGTGTTCCTGGTTGCTCCGAAAATTCCGATTGTGTTACCGGCCAGACATGTCAAAGCGGTGCCTGCGTCGCAACAACGACATGCTCAACCACCAACGACTGTACGCTTGGCGTCAACCTTTGCCTTCTTCCTGGTGTCTGTGTCTGTCTCAACGGTCTCTGTACCCTCGGAAGCGGCACAACGCCCACGTGTACGTCGAATTCCGACTGCGATCAGGCTGGTGGTGAGATCTGCCAAAACGGCAGGTGTGTCGTTCCTTCAACGTCGTGTTCTAGCGATATGGAATGTACTGGCAAGGTCCTGAGCGGCGACATCTGCCTCTTCGGCCTCTGCGCTTGCAACGGCGGTACTTGCGTCTACAACGGCCCAGGGACCTGTTCTACAAATGCCAACTGCGACAGTAACGAGCTGTGTACTGCTGGGAAGTGTGTCCCCAACCCTGTCCAGTGCACGGCCGACGCCTCGTGCGGCACTGAGCAGATCTGCCAGTTTGGTTCCTGCATCGCTGGCTGCCGCACCAACAGCGGTTGCACCGGTACCCAGGCCTGTCAGTTCGGTGCCTGTGTTCCAGGCTGTACTGCCGATAGCGATTGCACTTCAGACCAAACCTGTGAAGACAGACTCTGCATCAACAAGGTCCTCCAAGAATGCACAACAACTGCTCAGTGTGGCACGGCCGAGATCTGCCAGCTCGGCACCTGTTTCCCCAACCTCCTCCCTATTTGTATCACCGCTTCTCAGTGCAGCGAGGGTCAAATCTGCCCCGCTGGACTCTGCACTGGCTGTTCCAGTGATGCCCAGTGTGGTACTGGCCGGTCCTGTCAAGCAGGGCTATGTGCCGCCAGTGTCACCCCGTCATGCACGTCAAACTCTGACTGTGGCACCGGACTCGTATGCCAGAGTGGTCTCTGCCGTGCTTGTACTCTCTCATCCCAGTGCAGCGGCGACGACGTCTGTACTGCTGGAGTATGCGGGGCTTGTACCCTCACTGCCCAGTGTGCCACCGGCGATGTCTGCGTCAACGGTGTCTGCGGCGACTGTACCGATACCTCTCAGTGCGGCCTCGGCCGAGCCTGCAAGAGTGGACAATGCGGAAGCTGCGACCAAAACTCGGACTGCGGACTCGGTAACGTTTGTACGCTCGGGTCCTGTACTCCTGGCTGCACTGGAAACTCAGGCTGTATCGCAGGCCAGGCCTGTATAACCGGGCTCTGCTCGGCCTGCACAACCAACTCGCAGTGCAGCACTGGTCAAGCATGCTTGGCTGGTGTTTGTACTTCCTGTCTCCTCGACGCCCAATGCGAATCCACCGAGGTTTGTATCTCGGGAGCTTGCCAACCTGCTTGTACGACAAACACGCAGTGTACCGGCGGCCAAGTGTGTACGCTGGGACGATGCTCCGCATGCTTGCTCAACTCAGACTGCGGCACCGGCCAAGTCTGCAGCTCCGGATCTTGCGGTACCTGCACGTCAACGGGCCAGTGTGGCCTTGGCCAAGTCTGCGACGCTGGCGTTTGCCATGCTGCCTGTCTTTCTAACGCTGGGTGTTCCAATGGACAGACATGCCAATCTGGTCTTTGTGTCCCCTGTACCGATGCCTCTCAGTGCGGCCTCGGCCAGGTCTGTACCTCTGGAGCATGTGGCTCTTGTAGCAGTGACGGCCAATGCACCGCGGTTGGTCAGATCTGCAGCGGCGGTGTCTGCACCGCCGGCTGTGTTTCCAGCTTAACATGCGGCGGCGGCCAAGTCTGTCAAGCCGGCCACTGTGTCGCCTGTTCTGCCTCGGTCCCATGCGCTCCTGGTCAAGCTTGCATATCAGGAGCCTGTGGTCCTTGCTCAACAAGCAGCCAATGTGGTAATGGCCAAGTGTGCAGCGGCGGTTTCTGCATCACAGCTTGCACTTCAACCTCGTGTTTGCTCGGATCAGTCTGCAAGGATGGCATTTGCTCCCCTTGCACTGGGAACTCGGATTGCACCACCGGCCAGGTTTGTTCCCTCGGAGCCTGTGGAATCTGTACCCTCGATTCGCAGTGCACCACGGCCGGCCAGGTGTGCAACAGCGGCGCCTGCTCTGCGGGCTGTACATCCAATTCCCAGTGTAGCAACGGCCAGGCGTGTAAGTCGGGCCACTGCACAATCTGCTCAGGCAACTCGGATTGCGGTACTGGCCAAGTATGCAATCTCGAAGTCTGCGGTGCCTGTACTACCGATCTCCAATGCGGTACTCTTGGTGTCGGACAATACTGTTCCAACGGCGCCTGTCGCGCAAGCTGCACATCCAACACGGATTGTAGCAGCAACGAGGTCTGCAATACTGTTACCGGGAAATGCGGTGCTTGCACGCTCAACTCTCAGTGTGCCACAGGCCTCGCCTGCATCAGCGGCACCTGCGGTGCCTGCACAGCTACAACTCAGTGCTCCACGGGACAGGTCTGTAGCAGTGGTGTATGCATTGCTGCTTGTACGACCAACGCAGCGTGTCTTGCTGGTCAAGTCTGTAACATTTCCACGGGTCTCTGCGGCCTATGCACCTCCAACGGCCAGTGCAATGCGGGTTCCGTCTGCAACCTCTCGACGGGAACCTGCGGTCTCTGCACGCTCGATTCCCAGTGCCTCGTCGGTCAAGGGTGTGATACCTCGACCGGCCTTTGTGCTACCGTGTGTGATACCGCCGTCGGTTGTGGTGGCGGCCGTGTCTGTACCGTCCCAGAATCCAGCACCGGCACCACCGGCCTCTGTACCGGCTGCACCAAGACATCGCAGTGCCGTACCGGACAAGTTTGCCTCAGCGGCCTCTGTTCGGCCTGTACGACCGACACTCAGTGCGGCACCGGTCAAGTCTGCCGTCTCGGATCCTGTGCTGCGAGTTGCTCGACCAACGCGGGCTGTAGCACTGGTCAAGTGTGTTTGGCCGGATCCTGCACAACCTGTACGGATTCCACTCAGTGCAATACCGGACAGGTCTGTTCCTCTGGTACCTGTACTGCCTGTACTCAGTCTACTCAATGCACGGAAAGCCAGGTCTGTAGCAACGGTCTTTGCATCACTGCTTGCACTTCCAACGATAGCTGTGGTACGGGCAAAGTCTGCCAATCCAAGCTCTGTGTGGATTGTAACGACTCCTCTCAGTGCAATACGGGCCAGGTCTGTACCCTCGGTTCCTGCGGGCCCTGCCTCCTCGACACCCAGTGTACTACTGCCGGACAGGTCTGCAACAGTGGAGTTTGCTCCGCTGGTTGCACAGCGAATTCGCAGTGCGGCACTGGACAGGTCTGTTCGGCTGGCCATTGTACTACTTGTTCCTTGGCTTCCCAGTGCAACACCGGTGGTACCACTGGCCAGGTCTGTCTACTCGGCGCCTGCGGTCCCTGTTCACTTGACACCCAGTGTCCCGGACAGGTCTGCGAGGGCGGCCAATGCATCGCCTCCTGCTCATCCAACGCGAACTGCGGCACAGGCAAAGTGTGCTCCGGCAGCCACTGTACGACGTGTACGTTGACCTCCCAGTGCGACACTGGTCAAGTCTGCTCAAGCGGTGTCTGCGGAGCTTGCACTTCCGACACTCAGTGCTCCCTGGGCAATGTCTGCACCAGCGGCCTCTGTCAAACGGCCTGTCTCGCCAACTCCGGCTGCAGTAGTGGTAAGGTCTGTTCGGCTGGCCACTGCATTGCTTGCTCCACGGACGCGCAGTGCAATACCGGTGGCACCCTCGGCCAGGTCTGTTTGAGTGGCGTATGCAGCGCTTGTACGCTTGATAGCCAGTGTACAACCTCCGGCCAAGTCTGCAACAGCGGTGCTTGTTCTGCCGCCTGTACATCTACCAGCTGCACTGGCGGTCAGGTCTGTCTATCAAACCATTGCGCGGCCTGTACGGATACCAGCCAGTGTGCCTCTGGAAAGGCCTGCGTGGGTGGAGTGTGTACCACTTGTACGCTCGACAGCCAATGTACCGGCGGCCAAGTTTGCAACAGCGGCGTCTGCTCTGCCGCCTGCACATCTACGAGTTGCACCGGTGGTCAGGCTTGTATATCTAACCACTGCGCTGCTTGTACGGCTTCTTTCCAGTGCCCCACCGGCAAGGCCTGTGTTGGCAGCTTGTGTACCATTTGCACGCTTGACAGCCAATGTTCAAATGGCCAGGTTTGCAGCAGCGGTGCTTGTATTGACGCCTGTACCACTGCCAGCTGCACCGGTGGCACAGCATGTGTCTCTGGTCACTGTACTCTTTGCACGGCCTCCTCTCAGTGCCCAGTCACTGGCCAAGTTTGCACTGTTGCGGGTGTATGTGCCTCTTGTTCTGTCACCAATCCGTGCCCCAATACCCAAGTCTGCGGCACCAACAATCTCTGCGGTCCCTGTACCACTGACGCTCAATGCGGTACGAATCGAGGATGTGCAAACGGCACGTGTCGGTCCAAGTCTTGCTCTACCGCGGCTTCTTGCCTTGGTCTCAACATCTGTGGCGCGACCAATATTTGCCTTTGTCTCTTCGGACTCTGCGCACTTTGATGCATGCCAGGGCTTCGAAAAGCCGTGCGCAAGCACCCGAGCCATAAGGCTCTTTTTATCACTGGACTATCTTTGTCCAACAATCCCAATCTCGCCCTCTCGCGAGCCCCTTTTCTTATTCGTCAGATTGTCACTACTCTACTCTCTTATCTATCTCACGCTCTGGGCTTCGGCTAGCACTATATGGGTGTTTGTTTTGTTTCGGCTTTTTGCCCCCTGTCAGACTGGAATCAACATCACGATTCAAAGCTCGGTTCTGTATCAGCGACGAAGGAGTTTTGAGCGTTATCATGGGGGCTGTTTTAATCCCCTTACACTCACTGGGCCAGCTGTTGGCTCGCCTCACCACGTTTGGAAGTTTAGTAGTTGTGCCACTTAATGGCCACTCTCTCGTTATGACACGCGTCAACCTGGAAAAAACAGGCCTTGACGTTTAATACAATATTGTTCTTAAACTTGAGCTCAAGATATGTGACGTGATCGAATTGAATTCCAGCCGTCCATTTATTGGTCGGCTTGGATGAACGTGCGAATCTCTAAATGACAGGCAGCTCTTAAAATATACTATTTGTACAAATACCGTATGTCGGCTTGGTAAACTTCCTAGTTTCCGGCCAAAATGGCTTGGCTCTCCTCGTAGTCGCTTGTTCCATGCTCGGGATCCGCGTCCTCTGCATTCTCAGACCCGCAAAGCGAACCGGCATTGTACGCTCCCGCGGGGCCGTCAACGCCAGCAAACTCGCGCTTATCGTTAGCGAGGAGCATGTTCTCCGCGGCTTCGGGAAGCCAGCCGTTGATGAAGTCGCCGTGGGAGCAGTACGACGATCCGCATGCGAGCTCGAAAGGCGGCGCGCCGGACCAGCCGTCGGGGAGGATCTTGCGGAGGTCGTAGCGGATGGAGAATCGCAGCTGCGGGATGCGCTTCATTCCCGACGGGCAGCGGTTCGCGGGCTTGAAGCTGCCGCTCCAGTTTTGCGTTCCCGAGTAGGCCGAGTCGAGGCTGTCCTCGTTGACGCAGTCGGGGAACAGCAGCAGGGTCTGGAGATGGGTCGAGCAGGTCGTCGTGGGGAAGGCGGACACGTCCTTGTCGCCGCTGGACTCGCCTTCGCAGAACCACTGCACGCCAGTCAAGCTGTCGACGCCCTCTTGGGAAACGGCGGAGACGTTGCCGGCGACGGCCTGGAAGTCCTGCGGGATGGCGATCTCGGCGTTCTCAATGGAGACGTAGTAGGCGCTGAATCGGCTGAGGGGGACAGGCTGGGTTCCAGTGTCATTTCGGACGTAGAGAGTGGGGACCCCTAAAGATGTTAGATACGGAAAGATCCTACAAAATCCGGTGTAACTCACAGTAAATGGAGTAGTCGTTGGGGTTCTCGGCAGTAGAACAGCCCGCCTGGAGCTCCTTCGACGTCGTCGTGTTGATCGTCACAGCGTCCGACCCGAAGAAACTGTGCATGTGGCTCTTGCCATACTGGCCGGGGAACACGATCGGATCAATGTTCTTCAACATGAACCGGTCCGCGGACGTGACGGTGTAGGCGGAGACGGCGCCGGCGCCGGCTAGGAAGAGGGCAATGGATCGCATAGCGAGTGAAGAAGAGAAAGAATGACTAATAAACGAATGACGCAAACGATTGAGGAGACACGGAAGTGAATGCGGCGCTGCTCGGATACACAAATTGACAGAAAAGACGAGTATTTAAACGACCCGATGTGTGGGCCGCTGGTAAGGGACGGATCTCCCCTGACGGTCGCAGTCAGATGGCCGCGTCCCAACAGCCGAAGCGAACTGGCACTATTAAATACCGGGGCGCAATGGATCTGCTGATTGATGGAAACAAACGCACTGTTTCGTCCGCTTGCCAAGCACAATCTAACGTGAAACCCACTCGAAGCAGACTACGGTTGCAGAAGCAGGCCCCCTGGAAACGAGACTGGCTTGATGGGGTTAAGCTTAAATCCAATTCCTAGTTATACGCGGGACTCGCCTGCGTGATGATGGAGATCGACGAGGATCATTTTGTAACGCTTGGATATGCTTTTTTACTACATGGTTTCAAGTAGATCTGTTTATATTGAGTGCCGGTTGGCGAGATTATGCATCGGTGATTTTGGTGAGATGCATGACAGTGATGCTTCACCTGCCTCAGGATTGACCTTCAGGCGTTTGGAATGAGATATTGAATGCATGTTTTTCTTTGTCTAGATAGTAACCGGAGGCTTTGTTCCTGCGGGCCAATTGGTTCTACGGATATGTTTCTTCATCCACCGCCCGTCCAGGATGTCTTTGTGCGATGAAACTCGCTCCCATGGGATCCCTGCTCTGCTCCCCTGTCCTGAGCGGCTCCGTTAAAAAGGAGATATAAACACTAGGACGGAAACTGGTGTATAAAGTTCATACGCTCAACTGCGTTTAGCCTTAAATTATGAGTTCATGTCTGAATTAACACCGATAAACCCACTCCCCTATGTTTTGTGTTCTTTGAACAAAGTATGGAAAAAATGTTAACGCGTGGGTTTCGCTCACGAAGCCTGGCGGTATTGTATGGGGTCGTCAGGTGGGGCTTGCTCCGAATCACCCATCGGGACATAGACAACCAGATGGAAAAGGCTATCGCTTCACCGTTGTGGAATTTCGAGATTGGTGTCTGCTGTTGGTGGATGGGACACTGCGTCAGTGACATTTGAAGCTCAGTTGGTGGAACACGACGACCTTCGCTTGAAAAGGGGAGATAAATATGGGTTGTTCAATGGAAGATCCAGATGCCTTCAATTTTAGCTTGACAGGCTTTTATGATATATAGAGCCCTGCTTTTGTCTTGGAGACTTAGCCCACTAACCACACTCAGATATCACCACCATCAAGCTGCCACTTGCCCCCGGCGAATTACGGCAATTGCTTCGTGAGCAACACCTTTGTCGTCATCAAAACTCAAGACAGATTCAATCTCGTTGAAACCAACCCAGATTGTATCAAAATCCTCGTCTTCATCCTGCGTGCCTTCTTCTCGAATAGCTGTGCTATCCGCGCTCGCAATATATCAAAACATGATCTTCAGAATTCCCTTGTTGACTTGCTGTGTGACAGCGAAGGGTTTAGTGACGGCTGTGGGGCTGCCCTCGGCCCTCATAGAAGATGGCAAAGTAGCCATGGTCTTGATATTGACGGGGAGCAGTTGAACGGGTATGCCAGTCTCCTCGAATGTTTCTCGCGTCGCAGTGTCCTCGAGGCCTTCACTTAAATCTTTCCGTCCCTTGGGAAGTAGGTACTCGCCCGTCTTCCGCCAGCGGATAAGCAACACTTTCGCTCTCGCGACATCTACCGAGACGGTGCCGCAACTGATGGCGAATTGATTTGCGAAGAAAATGGATTGCTCCAGTGACGGCACCATGGTTTCGAAGCTGGTTTTTCTGAGCCCTCTGAGTTTCAAATCAGGATTCTCGAGCTCGTCAAGAACTTACTGCGGTAATATGGCCAGCAAATTGATGGGAATCGGCGCAGCGTGTCAAGGAATGCTGTGTTGCAAATCAGAATCAAAACATTGGGGAAGTACCCGGTGGGTTGACTAAGCCTTCGGGTAAGCTCTGGCGGTTTGCAGTGATTCTATTAGATCAACCTGGATGATCAAGAGGTTAGCCGTACACACATACCCAGAGGGGGGATTAGAAGCTCAACCGTACAAAAAACACCAACAATAGGATTAACAATACAGACTGTATACCCAGGTCATTTAAAGGTCAACAGTTTACTCAGACAGATAAGGTTCCTAGCCCAGATAGTTACCTTTTTCAATACCTTAATGAGCTGCAATAACAGCTGCATCTTGAAAAAGCTAGGTCTCTACGTAAGAAACAATGCATTAAACTCGGAGATTTGAACCAGAGATTTACAAGTGTTTTTGATTACTCATTAACACGCTCTTAAGTGATGAGGTCGTTACAGGCCATTTAGCAGTTCTGACTATTATAGCCCATAATCATCGTGAGCATCGTGAGCCAGAACCTCACAAGAGCTCACAGGTGCTATGGAAACGCGCGCTGTCACCTAAGTTAGCGCTGTAGCGACCCAGTCCGCCTAAAAGTACAGCACTTGCAAGGGCTGCGTACCAGTGACCCCAGGCTCACCTTGCCCCACCACTAGCGAGCTGGCACCTCTATGACGAAGCAGGCAGCGAGCATGTTGAACCATCGACAAGGATAAGTCTCGTGTGAATGCGCTTGGGGGTTTTTTTCTTCTTAAATTTATGCGGCTGCTTACACCTCAGGTAAAAACGTAAAAACAAAATCATTATCATTCATACTCTTTTTCTTTTTCTACGGCGCAACCGGATGGTCTAAGGGATCCAGCCGGCGTAAATAGGTACCTGTGGCGCAACCCCTCGTTCACTGCACCTGCATCGACAGTATGAATCAGGATGTATTAACCCGCCACCAAGAAGCTGGCAGGTGGCAGGAATCTTCACAATGAAACACAATCATCGTCAAGTACAAGTCAAAATTGATATCTAAACGCACTGATAGGATATCCACCTCAAGTTATCATTCACTTGAATCATGTCGAGCACATCCTCTCTCCCGAACAACCCATATTCGCTAGACATCCGGGACGATCTTTCCCGAGGCCTTGTCAACCTTGGTCCGGAAAACATTGCGTCTTTCCTTGAGCACAACCTCAAAATCAAACACCCGAGGTTGATTCAGATCTTGCACCGAGTCAGCAATTTTGGCGAGAAAAAAGGGAGGCGAGCTGCCCCGGAAGAGAGGTCCAGGGAGCGTGAGTCTCTTTTCGAACCGGTGTGGCACGCCGGATTCATGGTTGTACATAACATACACTGCTCCGGTGGGAAAGCCATCTGGGCCAACCTGAACGACGACTTCGTAGTCGGTGCATTCCCCATGATAGGTTCGTCCATAAGTGCTTTGGTTATAGTTTGCGCCACGATTAAGACTGAGGCAAAAGGGCCCTATCATGCCATCGCCAGCGTCATACCTCAGGCTGCCGATTTGAAAGAAGTAGAATGGCTCATTGTCATTGGTATTAGCACCTTGCGTGGTAATTGATAATTCTGGGGCGGAGCTGCTCTTCTCTACACGAAGAACTTCGGAATCGTCTTGCATATTCGGCAAGAATGCGGAAAAGTCGTTGTTGAAGTCAATTCCCATGACCCTGTTATGAAGTTCAGGTTTCTCGTCTAGTTCGCTTGGGGCCGAGTCTGGGTGAAGATAACAGTCGTCAACCCATACCATGTACTCTGCAAAGGTGCCGCCGAAATCGCTGGCTCCCAGGCTAACGAATTCCAGATCGTATACTTCAAATGTCAAGAAATATCTGGAAACCTCATTTGCATCATTGCATCGTGTCGAGAGAACCAGAGAGATGAACTCCGCACCAGACATCGGTCCAGCCATCGATCGACGCATGATCCACTTGTCAAGGAATCCAAGCCATTTTTGATACGCATTCTCAACGTCGGGCCAGGCCGTCTGCATGCCGGCTGCGATACTCGGACTTCGCCCAAGCTGCACCTCATTTACCACATGAACGTACCCACTCGCTTCAAACCAGCGATAAAACCCATGTTCAGTGGGGGTGAAACTGGCGATGATCTCGTTGTCTGTTAATACTGGCTGCATGATCTGAGCGTAGTATGATTGTGATTGTGGTGGATGTTTTGCCTTCGTTGGTGCGATTGGTGCAGTTTTGAGTGCGTTCTTGGAGGAAAGCTGAAGAGACTTGTGGTGACTGAGGAGCAATGAGGAGCATCTTTATAGTAAAATATTCAATGTGTTGCTAGAACTGTAGGTATAGACCATCTTAAAGTGATGCTGTGTTGAGAAAAACAGGATCAAGTTTACATGCATTCAGAACAATACTTCTAACCAATCTACGGGTGTGTACATCTAATCATGGAGCTAAAGTGCCTATGAACGAAGGAACATGGTGCAATATCAGCATCATTCCGTGACCCTAAACAGAGATTTCTCGCGCCAGTGTTTCTTTGAACAGTGCTTGCACACAGCTAGTTCACTCTCTTCGCGTTTGTACCTAAAACATAGTGGTAGGTCACAGCGTGCAACCATCTTGGCTTAACATATCTCTATGGATACGGCTTTCTTGCTGTTCTTAATGGATCATTGGGTGATATTCTGCAACTCTTTTTAAATACGAATTCACCTCTCTCGCTCAGTTAAACCAACTCTGTGAGAGCTTTTGTGTCTGGATGGTAGTCGCAAAAGTAGGAAGTTAAGATCGCCTGCAGGAGCACCAGTTTCATGTTTTCCCGGCTTGATTACTCATTTCTCTTATACACCTTCCTTCACTTAATACTCCATCGCAAGGCGATTGGTCGCTCATCACAACCAGTTTCTTTGAGTCATTTTGTAACAGGGATCGTGCCACTAGAGCCCTGTTGCAATAACCTAGTGCGCGCAGCAGTCCGCTGCGGCAAAAGATCAAGCAACAATAGCAGTTATCGCACTAGAGCTGTGCACACACACCTATTATATAGCGTGACGCTGCCGATAGAGGCCCGAAGACCCCCCCGTACAGCTTCCACGTTACATTATTATAATTTTATTTTAAGATACGGAGGAGCATTTCAAAAGTCTTCGCTCGCGCCCGAGCCACATATTGCTTTTTCCTAGGTACTATACATTAAGTACATTGAGCATAGGCCAGTGCGCTAAGAAGCCCTATATTCTAGCGACTCAAGCCCGCTGAGCTGTACTTGCGTCACCCCTGAAGCCACTAAAGTGATAGTTGTCTTCAGCAGGCGATCACCTGTGGCTACATCTCGTCTTATATACTGTCAAGTACCTGACAGGGATTAAATTATGTGGCGTCCTTAGCGTGAGCTAAGACTTTTGAAATGCTCCTCTGTAGTATAGTTAAAATAAAATAAAAAATAAGAATCTTATTAACTTTTCTTTATATAACCTACTAATAGAAACTAATATGATATATAAATCTTACTATATAGGTTAAATATATTTACAGACTCTATTTACTTTTATTTTAAATTATTATAATTCTCTAGCTAATTAGACTCTAAATAAGCTACTTTAATAAGAACTTTTAAGGCTAAGATTTAATTCAAGCCAATAACAATTCTCATAACGCCCCCCCCCCCCCCTTCCCTTTTTTTTAGGACCTCCGCCGGCCAATTTTCTGAGCCCATTCAGCCAATTATAGAAATGTTCCTTATCCGTTTGTCCAAGTCACGAGCGGGGTTCAAGAATTGATAAATGGACCACCGGGCAATTTTATCACGAAACAACGTCACGGAATGTCGCACCAGACGACTACGGCAAAAGTGGAATGAACACTCCGCTAATGCGTAGTGTAATGATAGCCTATACTGGATGTGACACGGAATTTTCTAGGGTCATGCCTCATTCTGATATAAAGATTCTTTTCCCCTAAAGTCCACTGAGACGTATCCTCGACTTCAGAATTCGATGTCATCTTGCAAACAAAACGACATACTTTTGTATTTCTCTCTCCTTAAGTCCATTTCGTCACAATAGCAACCTGGATGTCAAACGAAAACTGGTCCGGCCCCGGCCAGATGAGTGTGGACGAGGTTCAACTGAAAAAGGCACCCAACCCTGCAGAGTTTCCAGAAATTCCGCAAAGTTCACTCAGCTATTGGATCAAAAACTTTTCCATCGATTTTGAGGACGACTAGGTCAATGTGCAGCCCCCAGAGACCGTTGATGTAGCAATTATTAGGTCCGGCATCACAGGAGCTTCCACTACGTTCAACCTCTCGGAACGTGCTCCAGACCTGAAGGTTGCAACCTTTGACGCACGCGGACTGTGCACTGGAGCGACTGGTCGCAATGGTGGATTGATTGGCCGCCCGGAGTCATACGACATTCGTGCTCTCGCAACTGAGCTTGGCGCTGAGGAGGCTGTGCGTCTACATCAACTCACCCGGATCAATAGAGAGATGATGGTAGCTGCTATTGAAGACATGGGATGTAGCAAATCCGTTGACTTGAATCTAACGGGCACCATGGTCGTCTTCCATAGCCAGGAAGAGCGCGAGGCTTTTATCAGTGATCTTGATTTTAGTCGTGAGCATGGCTTGAAGACGGAGGGGTACCTGGTTGATTGCGAAGAGGTGGCCAAGGTTAGTACTGTTCCACATCTCATGGCATCTCATTGCGCTAATGGTTTGACTCACAGAGGATCGATATGTCTCCTTCCACGGCCCAGTTTGGAGCTGCTTGCTTGGACAACTGCGGCTCCATTTACCCCAGGAAGTTCGTTGCAGCCTTGCTAAAGCGGGCGCTTGACCGAATGAAGCATCTTTCTCTACACCCTTTTACTCCAGTCTGGAAGGTGGACTATGACGAGGCCCAGGAGTTCAAATATAGCCTGACGACCAGCAAGGGGGTTGTTCTGGCCCGAACAGTTCTTCACGCCACGAACGGTTATGCCTCCCATCTTGTTCCCGCCCTTCAAAGACCCGATGGCGTTTTCGGTTGCTCTGCACACATGATGGCAGTCCAGCCAAATGTTGAAGACCCTACTCCGCAGATGGAATATGGCCTGGGCTATCGCGAATGTTTCCACTGGATGTTGCAGCGCCCCAATGCTGGCCCCTTTCTCTACGGACTTTGGAAGGCAGAGCGTATCGGTCAATATAACGACACAGTGACACTAGACGGCAACAACGGTATCCGCAAAGAGATGTTTTCCTTCCTCGAGTCTGCATACCCCAATAAATTCAAAAATCTGGCATTGGAGAAAGATGTGCCCTATGGCTGGCAGGGGGTTCAAGGGTTCACTCAAACCGGGCTGAGTATCGTGGGTCGTCCAGAGCCTGAACGCAGCGGAGAATTTGTCGCCGTTGGGTTTAATGGGGAGGAAATGGGTCGTTGTTTTGCTTGTGCCTCGGTTATCTCAGGTGCTATTTTGGCCGAACTCAAGGGTGATAAGGACTGGCAGCCCCCAGAATGGTTCCCACGGTCATACAAGAGGAACTTGTAAGAAATGTTTTTGTAGTCGACGATGATAACGCTGGCTTTGGGAGCAATAACTGAATGATAACTGTATTCGAGGAGGCCAATGCTGTCACATATCGGGATTTCGGATTTCAACGGTTATCGCGGAAGTGAACCTTTTTCTTCATCAGCTTAGGTGTCCATCACCACCTACCTAGTCAGCAGCCTCACCAGCGGTCTATTCTTTTCTTCATTCAGGTCAATAACAAGATAAAGCCAAAGACCACGAGCACCCGGAGCGTCTTGGCTGTCCAAGGCCATCCGAGATCATAATCATTTTCTTCGTCCATAAGAATGACCCAATGATCCTCATTAGATAGGAAGAAAATTAAGAGCTTGTCACAAATATGATCATTTCCATCTGCTAGATGCAACAATGTGAGTAAGTCTGCAGGTACGGTGCAAAAAAGTCCTGGCCACATATTTTTCATAGTAAATAATAGAGGGAGAGACGGGATGATGCTGTATCCTGGTAATTGCTGAAACAGGTTGAAGAAGCCAGGCGTTTAGTAGAGCGCGGCTCTATGTTCTATGCTATCTTCCCAAGCTGTCCATTGCTATAGAGGCCTGCCTGATAAAGAATATCGGTAGACACAAACACCGCACCAATACACTGCACAAGGTCAGACTAGCCCAGCAATTCTTCCCAGCAGCTTTGCTCCTTTGGGTATAAAATGACCTAGTGCTTCGTCTAGTTAAGCTTGGCGAACCCAGGAAGAGAGGCCTCCGTCGTATGTCGCAACCCCGAATATCTTGTATTTCTCAGCGTGTGGGACCATTTCTCAGCACGTTGCGGCACAGTTTAAGCTTGTCTACCGTGCCCACTTCCCGGCCCCACTCCGAATTACATGACGACATCGGGGCTCAGATGTGCTTCTGAGTCAGCGAGAGCTACGCCTGCGTTCTAAGCTCACACCACGGACTTAAGGCGACGTTACGCTTACAACAGTTCCAAAGGGAGATGTTACCCTTGTGATCCAATCGTTTGGTAAGGCCAGACATCATGGGAAGAGTTTCAGTCCCGATCACGAAGTTGTGGTCGGCCACTAGAGTTAGTTAGATGTATGCTAAGAGTCACACCGAGAGATTTCATGTAGTGAGTCTGATGGAGGGAAGTATTGAAAGAAGAGCAGATCGAGACATCTCAAAATACCTTCTCCTTTTTATTTCTAACTTGCTCCATGTCTAAAAGTTACTGATATGTTGGAACTAGAAAGCTCTAGAGGAACCTTCCTATACCCAACACGAGAAATGAAGAATCAAAGTACAAACGAGGCAGAACTGGTTTCCCAACAGATTCGGCTCTCTTCTATTCTGGAAACAACCTCGTAGCGCAGGCTCTTTCCTAACCCCAAAACGTGGGCTATGTAACATGCCGTTGCTCAGTTGCTGCCTGTGTGGAGAATGGCACGTCAGCGTTTCCCCCTTGCCGCCTGCAGAAGCTTACAGGTTGAGATGAGTGTTGAAAAATGACGTGATGTTTTCCAAAGCAGGTCCGAGGTAAGGTTCCCGGTCGTAGAAGTCCATGTGTCGACCACCGGGAACGAGAATCTTGACGGCGTTGGCGTTGGAGTCCTTGATCTTGTCGTGAATCTTGTCCGTCTGCCACCTACTGTCGGCGTCTTCTCCAGCGATGAGGAGGGTAGGCTGAGTGAGGTACTGGCCTGCGAACTCCCATGCGTCAAAGCGCAGAAGTAAAGGAGTTGATGCGCCAGCCATGACGTTCTCGGAGGTGTTATAGTAGCCTCGGGGAGTACGATAATAATCCCAAGCATCAACGAGGTCAGGCGGAGTATCTTCAGTAGGTTCTAACAAAAACGGGACGAACGTGGCGTTGCCACCAGTGGCAGTACCCTGAAGGCGTTGCGCGGCATCGTCTAGCACATCGAAAACATCTGACTGATTCATTGTGTTCAGCCACCCTTGGCGGGTGGAATCGCCGATGTTGACAAGGCTGACTGCTGCCACTGCCTTGATACGATGGTCTGTGGTAGCAGCAGCGATACCGTACGCACCACCAGCACAGATTCCAACAACGACAATGGCGTCGGGATCGACATAGTCCAGACCTTGGAGGTAGTCTACCACCGCGGACACGTCGGAGACCCTGGAGTCGGGGTCTTCTAGAGAGTGAGGAAGACCCTCCGAGGAACCTTGGTATAGTGCATCGAAGGCGACCGACACATAACCCTGTGCAGACAGCCGCTCTGCGTACACGTTTGCCACCTGCTCTTTGACACCTCCGCCAGGATGAACGACAATGAGGCCCGGAGCTTTGGCTGGTGCCGATGGAGGTGTATGGAGGATACCGGCGAGGTGAAGGCTTCCTTTGAGGATGCTGATGAGCGACATCGTAATGAATTTCCGAAATGATGGTTGTTCTGAATGAGGTTAAAGTCTGATCGAGGCCTGTAATGGGTGATAGAAAAGTCTACCAAGAAAGGGAACCTTCCTGACTTATATACCAATAAATCTCGTCTTGACATCATCCAAGGAGTTCTTGCTTATTCAGACGACATTTCATAAACCATCCATATCCAAGGAACAGGACTGCGCCTCACAACGACACGTAACTCCCTTGCTTTCATTCATCCATCAACCAGAACTCATCACGCAGTGCCAAGATGCGAAAATGAGCGAGAGGCATTGTCGTCTATGCACACTGTTCCCATTTCCGATGTGACAATATGGTTGTTAATCCAGTCTGAACAGGGGGTGGTTGCTACGTTGCCATAGCGCACCAATGGAAAAAGGCTGGGCAGGATTAGAGTGGCCCCAAGAGCCACAGAAAGCCCCCCGGACCTATTTCGGCAAGTATACCAGGATATTCGTGGGATAGATCACACCCAGTCCTGGTACGGTGTACGGTTCTTTCTGGCAGTCGCTCTGTATGGCACCATGCTGAGGAGAACAAGTCCTAAATCCGTGTGCTGCTCTGACATCCTTGCTCTTGCCAAACTAACCCGCAATTTAAACAGCCCTAATGAGGGGATCAATGTTAAGGTTCCAAACGGAAAACACGTCACCTACCTATTGCGGTAGGAGCTGCTCACTCCGTCCGTCGATCATCCCATAAGCTACGGATACAATATGTCCGAGTCCTGGTTCATGTTGTACCCCGGAGAGAGCCCAGGCACCACACGGTGGGAAAGGCGCAGCATGTCCGAAGGTTCTCGGGCCGCGTCACGGAGATCATCGCATGGGAAGTGGAGCCGCCACACGGAACATCAGAAACTAGTAACCAGCATGAATCATCAAGCATCGGATACGAGTTGATGAACATGTATCAAGAGAGAAAATTGCAGTGGCTACCGGGACTCTCACGAGTCCGAAAAGCCGAGTTGCACCCATCGCCGTATCCTTTGAAACTCACCGAGGATGCTATGTCACTGTGGCCTTGGGTTTACAAACTCAAAGAAATACTCCTCAATTTTTCTACGTATTCGGTTAGAATGAGAAGTCGTACGCCGGCCGTCTTGCTAAGCCTTATGACTGGCATATCTCAGGCCGTCTCTTTTATAGACTATTCCCCGAGGACAGAAAACACATTTCATGTCTATAGGGTAATACAAACAATCCTCACGCCCGATGGAAGCTGCTCCACAACTTACTAAGTTCTGCTATATCTTCGATATAGTGTACACGGTTCTTTATCGCTCTACGATTGTAATAAAAATATAGCTTTCAGACATTATTCACCATTCCTTTATGTCCGCCTATTCCATATGTTATGCCCTCCTGATAAACCTACAGGCTACCTAGCTCTGCTCTTCGACGACGGCTCCCTCAAGCCCGAGGTAACTCGCTGGCGATCATGATCAACGACCTCATGGAAGCATGTGACAACATCAGACTGACAATGGATCCCGTGTCCTCCATGGAGGGACATTACAGTAGTTCTCCCGGCCTCCCACAGGGAGCCGTAGAATGTGCCGTTCTAGAATCACACGTCCTTTCGGCATCATTCAAGCTGTTAGGCACCCATGGAGCACTTTATTTGGATAATGACAACCTCTTCCCACTGGGAACTTTCTAGTGTGGAACAGACCCCGGCACGAAGCTCCTTCTCCTGGTTATGCAGCACAGGTGTCGAGCCAGGGGCCTTGTGCTTGTGCAGGTCTGATGCCTGGGGTTTTGCGAAGGTACCCATTCACCGCCTGCCTGTCCGGGATATCGCCTCCGCGACGGGCTCTAAGCCATACAATAAGCTCAGTGCCATTTTAATTCTCTCGTGAAACACATTCGTTAAAGGCATTGGCACGTCGGGCCCGGTTCACAATCGGCCATACGGTCTCGTTCCGGCCCGATGATGCTAAAATCTAACCGTGCCCACTTATTGTGCCGACTCTCCGTGCCCACTTCTTGTGCCGACTCTCCGTGCCCACTTCCCGGCCCCACTTCAAACTATATCCTCCGGGCGACGTTCAGGTTGAAATCCCGAGGAGTCTGAGGCAACCAAGAGCATCAATACAATTACCCATTGAAGTCAGATCATTTGATCAAATGCTTAAGCCTCGTTTAAATTGGCCGTACCGGATCCGTTTCCCTTTAACACCCCCACCTAGATCCTTTTGAGTATAAAATAGGGCCGCTATGACCCTCAATCGAGCATCATTTTGATCAAACTTTCTTATTGCATATAGCAAATCGTATATCCAACAGTTTATTAAGGGCTTCAATCAGGTTTTACGATATGTGACGGGAATTTGACACTTGGGACTGGGATGACACGTGAGCTACACAAGCTATAGGGAGATGTAAGGTAAGGCCGGCCGCCTGGCCCTACTGTGCCACGACCCCAGTACCAGCTGTCTACGCGATCGATAGAAGGCTCGACTCCCCAGTTCTCCGAGGGTGATAGAGGTTAGAACAAAATTTGGACAAAGACAAGATAACGAGACACTCACTGTCATGATACCGCTGTCAGTCCAGTCACCAGCTGCTCCTTGCCCTTGGCTCACGTCAGTCCCCTCTGTGGTGTTCGTGACCCAGCCGTAGTCCGGGAACTCGGCCATCGACAAGGACATTGAATCGAACAGGATATCGTCGGATGGACGCCCACTGGACACAAAGCCGCTGTGCGGTGCTGAGAGAAAATTGATGCCGGTGTTAGACTTCAGATCCTCAGACACGACATCAAAGTACCAACAGTCGTAAGCCGTGTTGTTGATCGGTCTGACTTTCTGTGCATCGAATCCATAAACCGAGCTGATGAAACCCCTATCGCTGAACCCCTCGAGGGCGCCTTGCGGGAAAACATAGGTAGTAGAACGGAATGACGTTAGAGATGAGGATACTAGATGCCCAAAGGCAGCCAGAGTTGTTAGAAAACTTAGCAAATGGAGCATTATGACTTGGATGGTAAGGACGAATCGAGCGGCGGGGTATCTTCATGAAGAACTCTCAAGACAATGTGACTTGCTTTCTTTGAGAAGACGATGTTGAATCTCCTGGCACCTATAGAGAGATACGAGCTCCCTTTATAGTAAAACTGACCTCAACAAGCATCAAGTGGCTCGAAGTACTTTAACAACGACTTGTTGAATTCTGGGATCTTTGGGCCACTTTATCACGGTTTGCGATGTACGAGTATTCGGTTTCTCCAGAAGGAAAATACGAACTATGCATCCCAGCTTAGGTCATCTCGGCGCTACACCGCCAGCGACTTGTTCCTGTTCAGGGCGGCGGCATGCCGGTACCCTTCCGCTGCCCTGTAACACGTCCGCTAGGAGAAGCATATACCTGTTGGGGCTTTAGTTTGGCACTAGTGGCGAACCCACGATGTGATCTGTTATGAGAGATTCGGAACTAGAAGTAGCATATAAGGAGGTAGAAGTCTCTTCGGTTTTCTCTTTTTACAACATGTCTCAATCCAATTATAGCCATAAGCCTCCAGTACACTGTATTCTTTTCCCTTTTTTTGCCCACCTCTCTGGCAACTGTTGTCCCCGCGGATGTATTGGTGCGGTGTTTGTGTCTACCGATATTCTTTATCAGGCAGGCCTCTATAGCAATGGACAGCTCCTTGCAGACAGCAGCCTGGCTTGGCGACTTTGAACTCTTCAATAAGATTCGCTTGAGGGGTGGAAATATACACGCCAATGCGGCTGAGGTCCAGGGGATGACATGTATGCAAGCTGCGCTGCATGCAAATAATCTTCCAATTGTCAGCATCTTACTAGACCTCGGCGCAGACCCCAAACACGTCAGAAGCACAGCAGGTTTCTCCATTCTACAAGATGCCGTTAGAGATGGCAACGAAGCCTTGGTCCGCAAACTTCTTAGCGCCGGAGCATACATCCGCCCAAAACGCAGTCGACCGTCCCTTCTCGCCACGTGGATCGAAAGTCAAGGCGCACGTTGTGTCGACTATCCTTTACATTGCCGTCCGTTTGTGAAGCACGTGGTGTCCCTTGATCTGTTTGCCATGATACTCAAGTTAGAAGGGCCAAATCCTCCTGGCAGCCCAACGCCTCTTTTTACCGCAGTCAGCGAGCGTTGCCATGAGATAGTGTGCCTGCTCTTGGCCGCGGGGGCTGATGTCAATCAACTTTCTAAGACATGGTTCTCATCCCATAAGCCACATTGACTTCGGTCACCGCTCGGCTTGGCAGTAGGTTTGACGAATCCTGAATTGGTTAAGATTCTTCTATCTTTTGGGGCTGACGTTAACCTCGCTGACGAGACTGGACATACGCCACTACTTGAAGCTATCAGTACTGCGCCTTGTTCTACTTGTGACTTTGAGATTCTGCAGGAACTCATCAACCGCGGAGCTGAGGTCAATAAGCCAGCGAGCAGCTCAAAATTCAGCCTAAAAGAATCACGTGAACAGGTTTACCCGCTGACTGAAGCTGTTTCACGCAATCAGAACTCAGAAGCCGTGGTGCGAGTGCTTCTTGACGCTGGAGCCGATGTGAAGGTTCCATCAAATTTCATCACACCCCTCCAAAAGGCTGTTTTGGTGGGAAATCACATCTTGGTGGCCCTGTTCCTTGCCCTGGGGGCAGAGATGAATGCACCTGCTGCTGGTTTGGGAGGTAGGACAGCTATTCAGGCCGCTGTCCAAAATGAAGACAAAATCCTCGTTCAAGAGTTGGTATCACGAGGTGCCGACGTCAACGGCTTGCCTGCACGTGAAGGGGGTGCCACAGCTCTCGACCTGGCACTGGAGAACAATGATCTCCAAACCGTCATCTTTCTTCTTGAGCATGGCGCAACGGTCAATGCGGCCGCCTTTAGGATCATTCCCCACAGAGCTATGCAGAATGACTACACAACTCTGGCACAAGAGTTGCTATCAAAGAGCGCCGACGGGACCTTGAAGCGTGCGGCACTCCACACAGCTGTGAAGAATGACGATATTGCTCTCATTCAAGATTTGCTATCAAGGGGTGCCGACGTGGAAGGGTTACCTGCAGAAAATGGTGGCAAAACTGCTTTGCAGCTGGCGATTGAGAGAAATAGTATCCCTATCGCAAGGTTACTGATTGAAAGAGGCGCAAATGTCAATGCAGATGCAGCTCAGATGTTTGGAAGAACACCGCTTCAAGGGGCAGTAGAACAGCAAGACATGTCTTTGGTCCGAGAGTTGATATTACGAGGTGCTGACGTTAATGGGCCCCCGGCAGCAGAAGCAGGTGCTACAGCTCTCCAGTTGGCAGCGATGAAAGGGAATTTGCCTATTGCTGCATTACTTCTCGAACATGGCGGAGACGTTAATGCCGCTGCCGCCCTATCTGATGGACGCACAGCTCTTGAAGGCGCTGCAGAGCAGGGCCGACTTGATATGGTTCACTTATTATTAGCTAATGATAAGAACGATGCAACTCTCAAAGATCGTTGCCAGGCTGCAGCAGAGTTTGCGGGCAATGAAGGACATGAGAGAATTGCTAAAACGCTCAAGGCATGGAGATGACAGTTATGAGTGGGATAGATAGTGATCAATCGGAGTATGAACGTCTCCAAGACTTCCCAGGATCCATCCGGGCGCAACACTCACGTGACTGTCATTAACATTAGACATCAACGACACAATATCCGATGGTCTAAGACGGATCAAAATGAGATATCCGTTCTACCAATCATCAGTCAACCCATCGCCTAATAGATGTGCTCGGATTGTCCAGTGAGGTAAGGATGTAGTCCGCCCCGACCTAAGCCTTTGCCCTTTGGCAGGGCTATAACGGTCGACTCATGCGTGGCGAGCCTAGAACAGCTCACGGGCAGTTGCAGAAGGACGGCATGGTTTAGCAGCAGGAAGGGACGGAAAACAACACCCAACTCATTAACTTACCCTAGGGAAAATACACAGAGAGTCGTCACACAGGCGTCTTAGCCGGTCAGCCCGAAGCTGCACCAGATTACGCGTATGAGGTCGGATCAATCTGAGGCTTATATCTCCTAATAGGGAAGCATCTCATAAGATAGAATATTGGGTCGGTCGCAGGAAAGTTCGCTGGCAAGGCATCAATAGGGCCTGCGGTAGCCCGATATCTGAGGGAGGTTGAAGATAGATATTAGACAGGGAACGTAGTAACAGCAAGAAGGTTTAAATAAATCTCTCAAAAATAAAGGCAATTAATTAATAGACTTTCCAGCAGCCTCGAGTCCTTCCGGCCTCTCTGACTTCTAGGAAGAATCTCTGATGAAAGAAAAAGACGATGATTTTTTCGTAATGACGGTACTGACCTCCCCTTTTAACCCTATCCGGGTTGCCCTAGAGACATCCCCGCTAGCGACCAGCTAGCCCAAGCGTCCCTAACCGCCTATTATATTAAGCTTATTTAAATTTATTTAAAAAATATTTAAAAATACTTAGAAAATATTTAAAAATACTTAGAAATACTTAAAGGATACTTAAGCTTACTTAGAGGATGCTTAAGTTTACTTAGGGGATGCTTATAAGATACTCAGGAGATTCTATATACTAATTAAGAGGGCATTCTAGTAGGGAAATTTTATACTACAAGTTTGGAAATGTACTATTGTCTGTTCTTTGTGCTGGAACAACGGCTGGTGATCCGGCTACTGTTTGGGGTTTCTTCAACCCTAAGACTGTAACTTAGCTTTGTTTCGACTTTAACAATTGATGAACATAGAAAACTAGATTTGCATGGTCTATGATCGGTTCATTCAATACACGCAGCACGCTAATCTAGTTTGTTCTGTAACCTGCACCCATAAAATCCGCAAACACACTGAGTATGTTCCCTTCTTATTGTGAAACTGGGTTATCCATCACCTAAATTGATTAATAAAATGGACTTTATAAACGCCAAGAACATCCCTCTTTCCCGAAAACCCTTTCCTCCATATTACCGACCATCTGCGCAAAGGACCAACTGCTAGGCGAACCCGTCACGCATAAAACCCAGGTTATCCTCGAAGCTAGGAACTGCCAATGACTTCTAAAGGTATGGCTGAGTCCAAAATGGGCACGCAGAACAATGAAGGAAATCCGTCCTTTGGAAGGGCCTCAATCGGGTCCCCACTTCTGGATTTGCCTCTGGAGATTCAACTTAGAATCATGCAAGACGCGGCCCCGCCAACCATTGTGAGTTTCATCAACTATCGAGACAATGCGAGGGCTTTGAGAGGCACTGCCTGTCAGATGGGCCAGATACATAAGCAACTTGGCGATGTTGCCAAGCTTACTCACTCTTGTATCCTTACCGACTGGACACTCCAGGCTCTCCAGATGAACCCTATTACGGACACATTTCTCTACCGCAGGCTTAAGTTCCCTTTTATCGATATCAAATATCCCAGATCAGACAATGCCAATATCAAATACACCAATGCCGACAATATGAAGGCGTTCCCTGTGCGTCCTACTACCGCCCTCCCGTCTCTGACCACACCTACGATCCCTGGTGCTCAGATTAAGGCCATCAGCGACCCTGGGAAAAGTGATGCAGGCCAACCTATCTCAGAATACCCCGAGCTGCCCTTTTGGAAATTGGCTTGTGTAATCAGAGATATGGATGAGTGTATGCTGAACCGTTTCGGAGACACCGCTACGATGCCTTTACCCAAGTTACTGCTCGGTCGCTTCCGCCACCTACGTGAGTACACGTTGATGGCCGAAACCACCAATGGGAGTTGGCTTATTCCTGGCTGCCAGATCTACGAACCTCAGGTCGTTGACAGGCGGGACAATGGCAATACCTTTAACTGGATCGAAGAATGCTCGCCCGAGCGTCACCCCAGAGTCACAGAAGCTGAGGAGTACTTTACGCAGAGGGGGATCGCGGGAGATACGGGGCTAGGCTGGCCGCTGAACGAAGACGTGAATCGCGCTGCTCCCATACTCGCAATTAAATCATGGTCCACCCGTCGTCAAGCCCCAGTGCCTACTTTGGGCCGTATTATGCCTCGCATCGGCTTGATGGGCTACTCGGCGAACGCGACCTCTATCGGGGGCCAATGGGCTGGCTTTCGTTATTATGTGGACACCGGACGAGTTGAATTCACGCCCCTCGCCTATCACGAGGTTCAGGAATTACTTGAAGCGGGAAGAAAGTCACAAGGAGTCCTACCGGATATGGTTGTACGTGTGTGGGTGATCCGGCCTGGCGAAGAGGGAATTGCGCCAGACGAGTCATACCACGGGTGGGAGGAGGTTCAGCCGTACTCGGAGACAGAGGATGAAAGGACATGCAAGATCCGAGGGCTTTGGCAAAGGACGCGGACAATGTTTGAGGGATCCCCAGTTTACACATGCCAGTAGTCAATGACTGCTACTGAGCAGATCAAATGGACGTTATGGATGATCAATTTGTACTGGGATATAGTGATTTTCTGGGAGGCTTTAGCTTAGGTATCGAAGAATGACTGAATGAAGAAACCCATTTATTTCTTCTCTACTCATAATGTTTTTACAACGCGAGTAAGTGAGTGTAGATATGTGAATGACAGAAGATTGTGGAAGAAAAGGCACGATGCAGGATAGCTTAACCCAGGTGGATGATTGGACTGGTTGTCCCGCTAACACCATTTCCATATGCGCGGCGCAGCAGCTGCAGGATGGTGGCGAGGAGGATAATTTTAGCCCCGCAACGTTACGATGGAATTGTATGATTTTGTCACCTTTTTTGTAGCATTTCTTGCAGATGGGTAATTAGGCTACAATACCCCAGCTGTCGAGCAGTTGGAAGCCAGAGCGGAAGCCAGAGTGTAAGCCGTAGAAGGATTTGAAAATAGACGCTACCGCCAATCAGTTGAGGGTATTCCCAGCCTGCAGCCCCGCAACCGTTACATCGTGCCCCTAAAATAAGAGACTCAGCCCTGCAAATCTTGAGGAGTAGCGTTTCTGGGGTCATTGAGCGTTGAAGTGACGATGTAGCCAATGGATTTCGGCAATATCTGAGAGGCTAGTTCGTGGCTGATGTGCGAGTATATCGTTGGGTGGCTCGCCATTCAGGCTCAGGGATGGATAGATGCTGATGGGAAATAGACGTAGACACCAATCATGATGCATAGCTTCCACTTCTCCGTCTGCTTGACACGTAATACTGTGATGGGTTGTCCATCATGCGTGGTATATAACAACCCTCTCAGGCCCAAACACTAAGCACAATCATCATCGACAGTTCAACACATCTCAACTCACGCTTCCATCATCCTCAGTTCCTTACAAGCTTCACTCATCATCCATGTTACTTACAACTCTCGCCCTCGTGGCATCGGCCACCCCCTTCGCAGTCGGCTCGGTAGCCCCTCTCCGCCGCCGCAACAATCCTCAATCCAACCCTGCGCCCATGACAGCAACCGGGAACGCCATTGTTTTCGACGTCGAGGTCCAGTTCGGGAGCCAGTCCTTTCTCCTTCTCGTCGATACCGGCAGCAGTGACACTTGGGTTGTCGAGACGGATTTTCAGTGCGTCAACTCCACAGACAACTCCGATCTTCCTCGGGAAAGCTGCCTGTTCGGCCCGACTTACGATGTGCCCGCCGGCATGGAGTACGTCAAGAACCAGACGTTTGGCGTGCAATACGGCACCGGCATTGCCTTGGGCAAAGTTGGTTTTGAGGATATCACCATCGGTGGTATCACTGTCCCCAAGCAAAAGATCGGCATCGTTGATCGCTCGACCGATAAGGGCGATGGTATCAACAGCGGCATCCTCGGACTAGGCTACCCTCCTCTGACGTCTGCACATTATGGCAACACGCTCGATAACTCTACCTTGCTCCTGAACCGCGCCGTCTACGACCCGACCTTCGTCAGCATGTACAAGAAGGGCCTCGTTGACCCCTGGTACAGCTTGGCCATTGAAAGACTTCCCCAGAACGTCTCGACCGGGCCTGGCGGCTGGCTCGGTCTGGGCGAACTCCCTCCTGTTGCTCATACCAATGACTGGGCAGTTGCACCAATTGAGGTCACCAAGGGCCTCCCGGAACTGTACACTGATGGAGTTGACCAAATCACCCTCATGACCCTGACTGTTGACGGAATTACTTGGGGCTCGCGATCAACCAAAACGTCCAGAACTACCAACTCGACATCATTCCAGGCCGTGGTAGATAGCGGTAACCCAATGAACATGCTCCCGCAAGAGGTCGCCGACGAGATCAACGCCGAGTTCAACCCCCCCGCAGTGTACAACAAGGAAGCCGGCGTCTATGTCGTCGACTGCAATGCCGAGACTCCCGCCCTCGGAATCGAAATTGACGGACACACTTTCTGGCATCAGTCAGCCGATATGATCGTTCGAGACGAGAACACCGGATTTTGCTACTCGAGCGTGACCGGCCCGGCTTCGGGGCTGGGGGTGACGATTCAGTTTTTGGGCGACGCTTTTCTTAAAAATGTGGTGTCGGTTTTCGACTTCGGAAAGGATGAGATGCGCTTCGCTACAAGAACTGGAGGCAAGAATGGAACAACTGGCGGTAAGGGAAATGGATCTGGTAGCGGAAGCGGTAGTGACGATGAGACACCCGTTCCTAGCAGTGCCTCGGCACTTGGTACTGGGCTGGGTTCGATCGCTTCCCTTGTTTTGCTGACCCAAGCAATTGCAGCCATTATTTAATGGTGTATCTGAAGCTGGCGGGCGACCTTTGTATGAGTAGTTATAGACTGGTCTTATTCTCAACGGTAACACTAATAGGGCGTCGAACTCTTGGACGGGGACTTTCCAATACCATCCATTCCACCTTCTCTATTGTCAATTACATCCGGTGTCCAATATTCCAATGATGAGTTTCCAGTGTTTTCAATACCCTCTCGCTCGAAAAGTAACGTCCTTTCTGCTTTGACCGAATGGAGATACTTCAGGACTCCGACCATGGCCGCGGCGTCATACAGACCTTCTCGCCTGTTGGATACCGCAAGCAACTGGCTAGCTCTTTCAACTACGGAGTCGTCGGAGCACTTGACAGCCAATAGAAAGAGCGGTATGACGATGCCGTTCTCGGATGAGAAGTTCCGGCGCGGGTTCTTGGCCGCTTCCGCGGTGGTATTTCTCTGTTGGGCAACCTGCAGAACGCTCTCCACGCGATCAAGCACTTCATGCGCGGCGAGGTTGGGCGAGGTGCCGAATATTTCGTGGTCGTCTGGGAGGATCGATTCAAGCATCATATGGGATATCCGATAGTTGACTAGGAGCATTTGGATCCAGCAGAGAGTCTGTTCATTGGTTGTTGGGTTTGCCGAGCACCAAGCAGAGAACTTGTGCGACCACCGACGCATTTCAGTAAATAGGCATCGCTTTTCTTCGAGAACGATGGGTGGTATGGCGGCCAATTCCTGACCTTTGTAACAAGAATAATCGGTGAGCAGGCGGATCAGCCAATTCTGCATCTTGTCCAACGCGGTTTGGGCGCTTTGAAGGCTGGAAATGGGCCCGCTACCTGTCAAGCCGTCGATGCCATATTCACGCTCATCACCAGATGTTAAAGTCAAAAACGGCATGCGGCCGTCGTTAAACAAAGATGCCTGCAGATCCAGTCGCGCAAAAATTCCGGACAAGGATTCCAGATCACCGATATCGCCCTGGTCCTTGTTACATTGCATCTCCCGGCAAGAAGACAAGACCTGCAAACCATTTTCGAGGTGCTTCATTGCGGCCTCGGCGTTTCCGACAGTGCTTTCAAAACAGTAGAACAAAACGCAGCAAATTAGCGCTACCCTGCTGGCATCATCACTCGGGGTTGCAAGGCGTTTCTGGAGTGCGCGGAGTGCCTTGCCATACTGGACTAAGGTTTCCGGTCCCGCGACCTCGGCATCGACTGAATCTGCCGTGACATAGTCCAGATGAAGTGAGCTCAACGCTACCAGGGCCTGGCGGACGACGGGCTCCCGGTGGCTGTCTTGCAAGACGGTTTGGGACCAGAATTCCGAGGATAAGAACCCCGAGATGTCTGAGGAGCCCTGCACGCAGAAGTAGTGTAGGATTTGACGGTCCTTCTGGCTTCCCGGAATTCGGAAGGGAATGGAGTAGGTGGTAATATTGAGGGGTTTCGTTGAAGTTGTGGTGACTAGGCTTTGGGAGTTGTTTGCGGGAGCTCCGTCGGAGTTGGTTGGTGACGGATAGCCATCGCATTTCCAGCCAGCCTTGATGCACTTGAGGCACGACGGCCGTGTCTCATCGCATTTGACATGACGTGTTCTTTGATCACGAATGAGTCCATCTAAGCTTAGAAACGGGGCACCGATGTCGACATTCTCCTCAAGAGCGCAACTCCTCAAGACTCACCGACAAGTACTGCAGCCGGTCTTAGCTCGCGGGGTGCTGGACCTCTTCTTTCGCGCCTGTGTGGGTTTCGGGGTGGACATTGCGTTTCCGACGCGAATTAATCGTAGAAATGCGGCAACTTTGGCAATAAAAGCCTCGGTTTGCTTCCCAAGACGTTAGGTTACGCGTTTCCCTTCGCCATTCGAGGCAGTTCATGGTTGCTGATTGTTTGAGGTGGTATGAAGGATCAATGTACTGGTAAGAACGGCATCAGTCAGGTGACTCGCTCGCATCCTTCTCTGGCCGGCAGAACACCGGAGATTTCCTAACTGTCAGAGCTACCCTAGAGTATTGAATGATGATAACCAAGGTCTGGGGGCAAGATGGGCGAGAACTTCATTGGGAGGTTGTTTATAATTATATTAAAATGAGTATAGCTATTTATACACGAGAACATTGGTGTTCGCATACAAGTGCAAGCCTCTTTACCTAAGCCCTGGGACAAATCGATATACTTGAAGTTGGAATTCTCACACTTGGAGTCACAAAAACAGACATCAAGCCGGGTGTGATTCGACATTGCTACCGGCTCTGGATCCTGAACTACCTACTCCCACCAGTAAATGACCCAGCCTTCGCATGATGGCCATCGGATTAATATTCAATGAATAGGCTGAGCATTCATGGTTTGGTATTGCGAAGTGAATCAATACCGAAATGTAGCCTATTCAAGACGTGATCAAATACGCAACACCCAGTATTTCTTGCGTAATAAAGCTGTATTGGTAGCTAGTCAGGCTAACCTACACTCTTGTTGCTGGATATATAATTGAAGCTGTCAGTAACCCAAGCCGTAATTCTAAGTCAACCCAGACAGCCCAAAATTCATATCGTAGTTTAAGAATAAGTCGCCATCCAGGTCGGAGAAGAGATGGTCCACCTCAGGAATCTGCATAGTTGTATCTGGATTCACCGCAAGAGAAGCGTTTATTCCACTACTGAATTGCCCATAGGCGAATGGCTGAAGTGTCTCAGCAATTCGCTCCAGCCCGCTAACCATCAGCTTGGTCAGATGCCACTTCCCTGCCGGTTGCGATCGGAACTGTTGCACAATGGTCGTGATAAGCTCGAATACTCTCTCGCGGTCGACGAGATTACCTCCATACTTGATGGAGACTTTGGTAAGGAACATGCAAGCAAATGCCGTCATGGAATGCACATACGAAGGCATCCCGACGATCCCAGCAACCACATCGGGATCGTTGGCAATGAGGTCGATGATTGCCATTGCTGCCGATATTGCCTTTGAAGTGCAGTCCAAAAAGTAGTGAGGGATCGGGTCGTCTTTTGTGAGACCACGGAAGACATGCGAGTAGAGGTACAGTTGAGCGAAGTTATAGTGCAAGACGATCCCCTTCCGAGGAAAGGATCCAATCAAGGGCCAGTGTTCTGGATGTCAAGTTAACAATAAGTCCTAGGTGTGTCCAATTTCCTGGACTTGCCTCGTAGTTCTCCACTCCAGTGATCAAACCATTGATCAAGTTGCCTCCGAAATTGGGAAATGTGGTTGAGATACATGCGCGGGATGGGTTTGCGCTTATCAATACTGAATAGCTCTCTGATGTTTCGAAGGATACTGACCGACGCGACTTGGCTGAGGAGGCGTTGATCTTCTTCGGTTGCGACTTTTGATTGCAAGAATGCTTCCCACCCCTGGATAGATGAATCCTCTTGCACAATCGAAGGCCGCCCATACAACGTTGCAAGGTGTTGGTCGCACACATATAGGCTGTACCAGAGTCTTGCGCAATCCGCATCTTCCTCGCTCTGGTCTTCAATAGCTCGATCGTAACTCTCTTGGAGATTGAACTCGGCCGCTCGTCGGATGGCATATCCGGAGAGCATCCACGAGAGATCGCTCAGCCAGTAGGAAGCTATACACATCGCTCGAAGGTAGTCGCGGTCGATACGTCTCTCAAAGATGAATTTCTCAACTAACCGGCGGAATTCGGATTTACATATTCGATATAGATCGTCTGCTTTCGGGTCGTGGAGCGCCGCGACGGTGAGTATTGCCGCTGTCAGGAATGGACTCTTGTGGCGTAGCTCGGATAGCGACTTGTATGGACAGCCAATACTGTAGATGTAGGGATCTAGGCGGTCCCTATATAGCACGAAGAGGCTCTCTGCATTCGCAAGAGAAATCGATCCGCGAGAAATGAAATCATCGATAGATTCATCCTGTCGAAATTCGTTGTTGTCGGGAGATCGCAAAGCTCTGAGCTTCGTGAGGGCATAGAGTGAGTGGATGGGAACGTAGGGAAGCCCCTCGTCCTCGGGCATCGACTTGGGGGAATTGTCGCATGACGGACCTTGATGGCCTTGTATGGATGAAGTCGAGTGAACAGTTGAGTCCTCTTTCGGTATCGAGCCTTCGGCGTCTCTGGCTGACGAACTTCGCAGTGGCGGTGGCTCGCCAAGAGAGAGCTGGTTGGCAATCTGCGTAAGAAAATCGTGCATCTGCTCAAGGTCCTGCACCACCGACTCGGAAAAGCTAGACGGGATGTGAGCTACCGATTTCCACCTCGGAGATCACACGGATAGGCCGAGGCACTTACTGTGACTTCTCATCGAGGATGGTCTGAAGATTCTTGCCCAAGACGCAGCTCAACTTTCGCTCCGTGCATCTGCGGCAGGGTGGGCCCCGGTCATCTATAATGCACTTGATCTACCGCAATTTCCGATTCGATAAGCTCTCTAACCTCTATAGGGCGAGGTGGTGGATCTAACCTTGTGTTTTCGACAGGCGGTACAAGCCTTGACCTTTCTCGAGATCCGGGGGACAGGTTGATCGCCAAGGATGGAGATGTTGAGTCTACCCGCTTGGTGATTTGTGCCTGGCCGATTGCTCTCGGACCGAGAAGGAGTCGGTGGCTGTATAGATGTTAGGATCTCTGGCTTTTCTAACGACCGGAGGGATGAAAACTTACCGCCAGTGTAGGAAGCATCTTCGGGCTATTGTTAGCATCGGACCAGACGCGCTTTGCCATAGGAGCGGTAATTAACAGGTGGCTCTGCTTTGTAGTAGTGGGCTGTAGAAGTTGATAAGAAGGACCCGAATTGTACAAATGAGGCTGCCAGTCCAAGATTATCCCGGCCTCTCCCATTGGAACACACAACATACATCTTGAATCCGGCAGTGCAATAATGAGCATCGGACTGCTCGGCTGTCTGTCGGGAGCTAACCCAAGATTGGTATAGACGGGCTCGGTATGTTTACCACGGTCCGAGAAGTTGGACCCCTGCATCGCCCGGTTGCTTACTTCGAATGGCAGGGAATTCATTGGACAACCCCTCATCATCAAACCTCACTAGAAAGCCTGGAGCGCTCTAGAATGCTGGGCTGATGATGTCCTGATGCCCGGACCTTGACAATCCTTCAACACAGCCCAATCTCGTCTCCCAGGCCTCCGCGTTCTCCGTAGCGAGACTCCGACTAGCGGCATCTCCCCATGTTACCCCGCAGGAAATGACACGAGGCCGACACCCTAGATGCATCCTGCGGGGCTCCACGCCGGGGTCTCAGGGATCTAGTGAAGGCTTCTTGATAGGAGGCATTCTCTTGGAGATCCCTTATCCCATCTTGCCTCGTGAGATTCGCGAAGAATCTTGAAAATTATGTAACACTTTCTCTCAAAATAGACCGATTCTTACAATGTCGTTCCTACGTACAGAAATCCCATACTAAGTTGTTGCTGGCCAGATATATCCCCACCAGCACGAGTGCCAGCTTGGGCGAGTCAGTCTGCTCCGGATAGTCCCTGGGCGCCACCAATCAGATATCGCCCCGGCGCATGTCGAGCGGCCGTTGATCCCTGCCGCTAAGAAGCTAAAATCCAGAAGAGGGAGGTGAGCTCACTTCTACACCCCGAGAAGATGGACGAGGAATCGAGCGCCGGCAATGTCGCCATTCCTGAACCATAAAAGGGAGAGTTCCCGCCCACATTGGTACAGACAGAGTTCTATTATCAATACAGATCCTTCAGCTTCTTGACCTTCACCTTTCTACAACCCGACTCTGCCATCGCTTGAATCATCCATTGAAACACCTCACCATGTCTATCCCTGTCGAGGACAGACGTGTCGAAGAGCTTAGTGTCATAGGGGACTCTAAGCCGATCGGAATACACCATGAGCGTGCCCAGATGCTCGCTGACCTACGCGATCCGGATGAAGGGAAGTCGGATGAGGAGCGAGCCTCTATTGTAACATACCCCCTTGTTCATTAACCATTTTATCCTGCCCTCAACTGACCTCGTATCAATAGGATCGCAAGCTACTTTGGAGGGTTGACTTGTACCTCATTCCGTGGCTCAGCTTGCTGTAAGTCACCCATCCATCAGCCCGACATGGTCTGACCAAAAGCGCAGTTATCTCCTCTCCTTCCTCGACCGAACGAATATTGGAAACGCCCGCCTCGCCGGCATGGAAATCGACCTCGGAATGTCCGGCACGGACTATAACATGTCTTTGACTATATTCTTCGTCAGCTATGCTGTGTTTGAGCCGCTTACCAACACGCTGCTGAAGAGGTTTACGCCCCGGCTCTTCTTCACGGCAATCATTGTCGTCTGGGGACTGACTATGACCCTCATGGGCCTTGTCACCAACTTTAAAGGTTTGCTTGTCGCCCGTTGGTTCCTTGGCGTTGCCGAAGCTGGCCTTTTTCCAGGTATGAGTCCTTGCCTGTTGCCCATGAGAACAGGAGAGTTGTTGAACTAACCACTGTGTAGGCGTGAGCTACTATCTTTCCTGTTGGTACAAAGGCTCAGAGATCGGCATCCGCACCGCCATCTTTTTCTCCGCTGCTGCCATGGCCGGTTCCTTCGGCGGTCTTCTGGCAGCCGCTATAGCGAAGATGGATGGCCTCGGAGGGAAGCCAGGCTGGGCATGGATCTTCATTCTCGAGGGTATTGCCACGATAATTGTCGGCATGTTCTGCTGGTGGATGGTCTTTGACTGGCCTGAGACTGCTCGCTTCTTGAACGACGATGATCGTATCCGAGTCCAGCGCCGGATTATTGCCGACAAGCAGGGCCGTACTGCCGAGGACTTCGATAAGAGACACATCTACGAAGCTCTTAAGGATTGGAAGACATACCTCTACATGGCCATCTACATGGGTTGCCTTGTGCCTCTTTATGCATTCTCGCTGTTCTTGCCGACCATCCTCCGCGGCATGGGCTACCATGGAACACACGCTCAACTCCTCAGCGTCCCACCCTACGCCGTTGCTGCTGTGTGCACCATCAGCATCGGTGCCTTTGCGGACAAGACCCGATGGCGAGGATACTGCAACATGGGCGCTGTGTTGATCGGAATTGCTGGTTTCGTCATGATGCTCGCCACGTCGAACCCAAAGGTGCAGTACGTCGGCACATTCTTCGGGGCGGTGGGCATTTATCCAACTATTCCAAACACCCTCTCTTGGGTCGTCAACAATACCGAGGGCTCCCTGAAGCGTGCCGTTGTTCTTGGCGTGGTAGTCGGCTGGGGTAACCTGAACGGTATTGTCTCATCCAATATCTATCTTGTGCGAGAGTCGCCCCGGTTCTGGACGGGCCATGGTGTGGTTCTGGGCTTTCAGGCCATTTTCTTGCTGGGAGGGTCGATTCTCATGCATATTGCCCTTAGGTTCCAGAACAAGTACCGGAGCCAGGGCAGAATGGATGCTAAATGGCAGGAAATGTCTGAGGAGCAGCAATGGGTTGCTGGTGATAAGAGGCCCGACTTCAAGTATACACTTTAGGCCGCTATTCAGGCATCGTGTATTGTTAACTATAAGTTGGTGCTCCGGCACAGGCTATCGCCATCAAGATGAGACGGGTTGAAGTCATATGTTAATAGCCAATATCAACCGGTTCTTATCCCTCAGATCCATCTCTCGTCTCAATTGTCTTAACCTAGAGAGCAGCCCTGATCATATCATGCATAAAGGTGGATGGATCAAGATCTGACAGCGTTCCGACGACCTCTCCCACGAACTGATCGAGCTCCGAAGCTTGATTCACTGATGGTTCCTCGAAATTTGTCATACCGGTTTCGTGGCCCGTTGAATACGCCGCTCCTTCAAACAAATCACTTGGACTGTTGATATCCCCTCCACTTGCGATTTCAATTTCCATAAGCTCCTCCGTGTCCTGTAAGTTAGGCGCCGTCAAACTCAGCGTCTGGCCCCACGTGAGCCATCCTTCCATGATAGACACATTTGCATTCGGCGGCATACTTGAATTCCCGCCCTGGGGAGTCGTGACAGGCGAAACCCCCTTGTCGTGAGTAAGAGATGCTATAATAGGACTGGGTTCACGTCCAATTGGCCCGCGAAGACTTGGTGGAAAATCTCTGTCTTCAGGGTTGCGATTTTTACTCAAACTGAGGTCGATAGCAAGTGTCAAACGCAGGTAGACACTTGGATTCAGTCTGAGTAAATCCGCCCACTCGAACCATTGTTCCGTTTCCGTGCCCGTGACTGGTGGAGGGGTTTGAAATTGTATTGAATTGATGGCGTGTTCGACGGCATTGATGACGGGATCTGCAAGGTCGTATTGTGGGTGGTATGTCTTCATGACATCGACTAAATCTTTGAGCTGTCGATGTTTTTCCAGTGCCCGCGAGGCCAAACTGGGAGAATGAGCAGTACAGCCGAGCATTTTGACATCCAGCACATGCAATAGCAATGGTGTGGCAGTACATGTGACAGCGCTACTCGGGAGAAAACGGTCAAGTTGCAATCGGTTCAGCGTTACGAGACATTTTGTTACTGCTGACACGGCGTTTTGAAGTTCCTCCCGGTTCTGCTGGGATGCTGAGGATAAATCGGACATGCTATTGAACGCTTGGCCGGAGCTGCTGGTGAGGCCTAGAGCCTCGTAATGGCACAGAGCAAGCCAGGAGGAGCTATAGTTAGGTCAGCGGTGAATTGCAAACAAATAAACATGTTTCGACCTACTGATAGAACATGTACATCAAATTGATGTATAGAGTCACCGATTCGTGGAGAGTGTGCTGGACATCAACATGATCTGATGTCTCGTTGTCTGGCGTGATGAGATCCTGAAGGTGCAGTGCCGTGTCCTTTGCCCATTCTCTCAAAAATCTTTTCGCTTGCCAAATCTTAGACGTGTCTGCGGTGAATAGGTACCCCCCAGAGCATTGCTCATCGAGAGGATAGACCATGGCGAGGACATCGGTAAGGACAGTACAGAGCTCAATAAATTTTTCGAAAACTCGGAGCAGGTGTCTCTTGGTTTTGATACCGTATACGTTACTGCTATGCACTTCGTCTTCCAAGTCAGCGTGGCGCAGTGGAGTGTTGGCGGCGAAATTGAAGCGTGCGCGGTCGATCTGGACGCCTCGTCTGATACACAGGGACAGGACCCTATCACGGATTATGCAGCACCACCATAGCCGTTTTAGTGTGTTCTGGAGATCGGACTCATCTTTGTCCGGTGTTACCGAGGTGGATTCGAAGTTGGCATATTGGTTTGCATCAGCGAGTTCGGCATGCCGTATGGCGACGCTTAGCCAGGTGGTCTTTTTGACGCCTAGGGTTGCGAAACATGCACGAAACGACAAGAGAATGGCGGCTTGGGCTATATAAATTGGAGATGACTCTGTGTCGAAATCGTAAAGAAGCTGTCGTAACACTGAGTAAGGTTATCTCAACGGATGGATATCTGGCCCTTACCTTGGCACGTCTGTAAAAACCTGCTTTGGCCTGACGGGCGGTTGAGAAGCCGAGGGCTTGGATAGTCTCCGGCGACGCGAACTTTAGATCATCAGCACATGTGCTCTTCTGGCGGATAATCGATGAGACTTACATTGCAAGAGGAAAACATCAAGGCTTGGAAGACGAGCAAAGACATTCTGAGGGCCGGTGGATTCGCGGCTCTTGGCTGATGGTACATTTGCCAAAAGTGTCCCTCGTGAAGCAGCGGAAGGAACGGATGGACATGCAAGAAATATTGCTGCACAAGATCATCCAGTATCTCACGCTTTGGGACTAAAAAGCAGCCTTGGAGCTCGAGATAGTCGACGTCTCCGGAGAACACACTCTGGAGGTTGCCAATGGTAAGAAACGAGTAGTTGGGGTAGAAGATGTATGACGATGGCGAGGTTGGAGAGCATGAGGCGGGCGAAACCGCATTGGAGCAAGGGTAAGCCGGGGTACTCATGGTGGGCAAAGTCGGTCTGGCCTCTGTTCCAAGCAAAGGCAATGCATTGCTAGGCGACGGCATCGGCTGATCGCTGTTGAACGGCTCGTTGTTGCTTGGAGCAGCCCTCCGTCGTCTATTCGCAATCCTTCTGGGAGTAAGGCGTTAGACGAAAATGCTAAGCAGATGTTTGTCAGGAAGCCACGGGATGGACTCACATCCTTTGATTAGAGGGATGCTCGAGGCATGACTCGCCGTTCTTGCGGCATCGCGTACAGGGGAGGCCCGTCTCCCAGACATCGCACCGGAGCTTGCGGACGCGGCACAGTAGGCAAGCCCACGGTGCCTTCTTGTATTCCTTGGGGGTGTTCGAATCGACTGTAGGAGAGTTGCTGCTGTGAGAGTCCTGCATTTCGGTGGAGAATGTAGGTCGTGGATCAGGTGAGGAATTGTGAGGATGCACCTGAGAGTGGGGATTGGGGATTGGGGAAGTAGTCTGGGGTTATGTGGAGCCGTGTCAGTCAAGCGCGTGTCAGTTAAGACGCTTTGCATTACTGTTGTTTCTATTGGTGCTGTTGATTGCGAGACTATTATAAGATAATAATGAGATATTTGATCCTTCTTTTAAAACATTAGTTTCTATTCATCTCTATCCTTTGATGCCATTATAAAGGCACAGTTAGTGCATGATTTTGCCTGTGAATAATCACAGCCGGACGGCCGGATAAGTGGCGACCCATGCTTTCGCCATCGGATGAAACATAATCCGGCCGATGAGTATCGGGCTGACCTCCATGAGCACTCATCATCCCATCCATACTGACCCTAGCATTAGTGATGATGACAATGATACATATGTAAAGGCAAAGGGGGCCCGGGGTGCTCTAGCCTCCCTCGAGGTACATGGAATGGAAGAGCCTATCCAGCTTTTCCACCATTAGTAGGTCCAGGGTAGTTGGGCTTGCAGAGAGGCTGGTTCAGAAGCACCCGGACTTGTCGTAAAGAGGACCACATTACACTCCAATGAGAATTGACTCTGAAGAGATATGGGACCGACATCAGTTATGAGGCGTGAGTAACTTGACTTGGAGTGATGTTAGATATATACCCTAATAAAGATGTGATGAAACAACCGAGGATTTTTTTAGTCAATTCGGATAATCCGACAAATGGATATGAGGAGCTGAGATGTTGCAATTGCATTGCCTTCCCCCATGTCACAAAGCAGAGTCCGTATAAATCAAAGACAACTAATGCTAATTTGTGCCTCGCTTCGTCTCCGCTAATGTAGGTAGGAGGTGCGACAATGCCCGCCCCTCTGAACTGGAATAAGCTGGATGCCTTCTTTCCCCGCCGCCGTACTGGTACTATCGCTGGCGGACGATCCGCCTCATTTTCGCCTTGCTTTGTAACCCCGCGCCGTATTCCATTGATTTTGACCACCGCCATCTTTCTTTCTACGCCCTTTGTTCGTCTCCCGTCACTCTGGGGACGTAGTCTCAGCTCAAACTTCCAGCGCTGAAACAATACTCACCTCTCCGACATCGTTTCCCGATATGATCCTCCCGCGAATTCTCCACGGCGCCTGGCGACGTTTGAAACGGTCCACCGAGCGCATCTACGGCCATGGTTCGTTTTGGCCCATCAGCTCTGGATTTGTGCTCTGTATCCTTTTACTCTACTACTTCTTGGGTGATCAAGGTTCAAAAGAGCCGCTGTTTCCCGACATGCGATATCCCGGCAGCACTATTCGCATTTTGTACATCGAACCTGGCAGCGGCAGGGATTGGATATATGCGAGTTTGAAACCTGTGGCCCTGGCGGAACGACCGGAATATGATGCCGTGTCTTATTCGTGGGGCGAACCAACCGATAAGAAGAAGATTTTCGTGAACGGGAACAAGATCGAGATTACCAAAAATTTGCACCATGCTCTCGTCAATTTCAGGCACCGATCTAAGACGGTTGCGCTCTGGGTTGACCAAATTTGCATAAACCAAGCAAATTTAGAAGAAAAGAGTAGCCAAATTCCTCTCATGACAACGATATACAGCCGGGCAAGGTCTGTTCGCCTGTGGATGGGAAAGCATCTGGCTCCGAGATGGGTCGAAAACGCAGATGTACTGGACTGGTCTGGAGACTGGGCCGTCGCGCATGCAGCCCAGTATCCCGCTTCCGCGAAGTATTGGCTCTACCGGCTAGCCGAGGAAGAATATTGGAAGCGAACTTGGGTGATCCAAGAACTTGCCATGGCTTCAAATATCCACGTGCATTTCGGTTCACGTCACCCTATCCCCTGGGATTCATTCATCCGCCTCGTCGAGTGGTATCGACAAGAAGACCCGATGGCAGATGTCCATCGGATCCTCAGGCTGGATGCGCTAAGGAAGACGATGTATCAGGACCGAGCAACATTTGAGCTGGCAGATCTTCTGACTACCTTCTACGACTCGTTCGCTACTGTTCCACATGACAAGATATATGCCTTTGTTGGCATGGCTAATCAGTGCCGTGACGGATGCATCGACGTCAACTACAACAACACATTGTATCAAGTTTACGAAGATGTCATGCTTACCCTGAGCGAGTCCTCAGACAACCCGTTGCAGACACAGATTCGAACTGTGCACGACGCCAGCGTGATCCGACAGAGCCTTGCAAGAGGATCCAAAAAGGTGCACAAAAAGTTGAAGTACCTGGGCAAAACGGCCGACCCACATTCTTACTACTACCAAACGTGCGGCGATGAAAAGGCTATCCTCTGCTCTAGCGAAATGGACCCTTCAGGCAACATCTCATACAATGCTGGGTTGAATGATGCCGGGTGGGACGCTCTCAGTTGGTTATTCTCCTTCATCTGGCGAAAGCCCGTGAGGTACACCATGATAGCACTACCTATGGAGACAGAGTCCAGTGACATGTGGCCCCCACAAGAAGACGAACGAGAACGAGCCAGTAACATTTTTAAAATTCGCGGGATTGTCGCCGGCACCGTCGGCCACATAGGTCCGCCCCTCTCAGCTTTCCTCGAGGATGCCAGGGTTGCGGCGCGGTGGGCGAAAGAAGTTGACGTGTATCCTACAAACCGAGACCGTCGGAGGGCTCGAGGCGTGAACGAAAGATTTATGAATCTACTGAGTGTATCACCATACGCACTCATTATGCGAGCAGGGCCCCTCCAATTACCGGCTAAGGGAGGAAGAGAGGACGATCCCAATTTGTTTCTGGGCTCTACCGTCATGGCTGGCATATTGCCAGCCGATGCGCGCTCGGGTGACCTGATTGTCCAGTTCTGGGGGTCAAATTCTGTCTTGGTTGTTCGAGATGGGACTGATGGACGCCGTGACTTCATCGGAAGGGCCCTCATTGTCAAGGACGACGATTTTGATTGGGACAGCCCGAGGGACAGCGAGTTCTTCCAAGACGATTCATCGCTTGTCATCGACTTGGAAGTCAATCTTGCAAATCTCACTCTACTCTCTCTGGATGGTGTGCAGCTTGATGGTAGTTGAAGTGAGGCTTTCGTAGTCTAGATACCACGCGCAATACCACAACTGGTCAACATCTGACGCTCATGACGTCATTTGCTCCTTTTTTTCATTACGACTCACAAAGCCTGCGATTTGCAGATATTGTTGGCACTCTCAGCGAAGAGGAGGTGAGGTCAAACATGATGTACAGTAATATCTAGAGGAAGTATATAGATTGGTTATTACATACGTAAGGGTTTCTCTCGACCTTGGTCGTCTGCTTGATGGACCTGGTGTTAGCCGGGTCCTCCCTGCCAGGCTCACGTCTATGGATGGTTCGTACTTTACCAAACCATGCCCTTAACTTGAGGGGTCTTGTGGAGATCAATATTCTTAATCATCAAGACCCAGACGAACGCCAAGACCATCATGCCGGTTCCGGCAGCAAGCATTCGCGTCTGAGCATAGGCATACGATTTCTGAATCGCGAGCCTTGTGACGCTTCCAACCGGATAGCTCAGTTGCGTGGTCAGATCCTCGTAAATATCTTCCAAGCTCGGCAGGGCCGAGGCTGGAAGATTTCGCTCAAGGGCTTTCTCGAACGTGTTGGTCCAGATGGCACCGGAAATTGTATTTCCCATGGCATCCCCCACAGTGCCGACAACTTGCAGTAAAGCAAGGGTCGAAGCGACATGCTGATGATCGACGGCGGCCAGAACAGCGAGCTGCTCAACAATGATGAAGACACTGCCTCCAATAGAGATGAAGATCTGGCACATGACAATGTAACCAACGTAATGAGTGGGCTTGCGGAAGTAGATCATCAAGCCTTGTGCCAGGATGTACAGCGGAACCGCAATGTACAACAGCCACTTGAAGCGACCGGTCCTGCGGATCAACCAACCGACGAGCAGCAAAAGCACACCAGAGACTACATCAAAGGTATTTCCAACATACCCAGCCTCGGCGACAGTTAGGTCATTAACTACCTGCAAAAAAGAGGTGAAGTAGTTGTCCCAGCAGTAGTACGAGATCTGGTATGTTGCGTCCAAAGCGCAGGCACCGATGACGGTTCGATTGGAAAGGAGTTTCCAGTCCAGCATGGGGACAGGCGCCAAGAACGATTCGTAAAGGCCAAAGAAGACGAGAACAACCAGTCCGACCACGATCATGGCAATGATGTAGTTTGACCCCCAGCCATGGGGAGCGTCACCGGCGATATCGAATGGGATAAAAAATACGCAAAGGCCGACCGAAAACAGGAGCACGCCGAGTGCTGCCGAGGATCAGTATCACGCAATCGTCATTGTGGAGTGCATCACTTACCATCAAACTCCACAGTGTAGTGCCAGATGGACTGTAGCACTGTACGGTTGCTCTTCTCCCTGACGAAAATGCCTTGCTTTTTGGCCTTGCGAAGGTTGAGTTTCAGCAGGACAAACAAAGGAAAAGCCACGATGGGGAAGATGATGGCGAAGCAACCGAAGCCCCATCGCCAGTTGAGGTGGAAACTATCCGAAGCCTTTGATCCAGCGAAAGCTGTGATAATGTATGGAGAGGATGTGAAAGCGTAAGCCAAGCCTCGATTCTTCAACTGAGACACATCGGCTGTGATTACATCCACGCAATATGTCATGCCTCCGAAGCCGATTGTGTAAAAGACCTAGTATCACCGCCATTAGCATTCTTCCTTGCCTGTGTTAGGGTATTGAAGCCTTACATCTGCGGCACAGAAGGTATAAATATCATTGCACGTAGCCATGAGAATCAAGCCCAGAGTAGCGAAGATGGTCATAATAAGGAAGCCTTCAGCACGGCCCCAGACGTCCAGGATCTTCGATATCGGGATGTACATTGCAGCTGACATGGCATCTGCAACAACAGAAATGACTGTTAACAGCGAGTGGGATTCGAAAGAACTCGTGACGTAGGGGGTCAGGTTGGAAAGGATCGAAGACTGCATCGCGTTGACGAAATAGAGGAGCCACATTCTGTCGTTGAGGTTAGCTAGATGCATGCAAGTTGACGGGGGATGGGGCAGGGCCATACAGAATAAAAGCCGTGATCAAAGATCTCTTTGACCAGGTCTGGGTCACAGCCTCGACATTCTTGACACCGTGCTGTGCATTCTCACTGATCCCTTGGTCCGAATCTGGTTCATCGTTGCCGTTGCTGTCAGCTGCATCGTTGGCAGAGCTGGTGGTAGGGTCCTTCTTGGTTTCCTCCACCGTGTCCATGGCGACTGGGGCATCTGCCTCATCCCCTGGCGTGCGAGAGCCAGGGAAGAATCTGGAAAAGACTGCCATGGTGGTTGAACTAGAAAGGAGTGGATGGAAGATCAGATAAGCCCACGAGACCGAACAGCAGAAGGGCCATATTTGAATTCTTAAACAAAAGTGCTCCTAGCGCATGCAGACCCTGATGAGGTGGCCCCCATGCGTGTGACGACGGATACCGTGTTGGGGGAACTATGGGGTTGACCGGAAATAACGGCATTGCTGGTGTAGGCTAAAGAGCAGCTACGCCGGCGTGATGCTGGGATGGACGCAAACTCGTGGGACTCCACAGTGCAGGGGGCAGTTATCAGATCACCGAGGCTGCGTCTGAAGGTCCGAAGACGGGTGCGTGAACTAATAAAGACGCAGTATGCATCAGTGAACTTGGGCTTAGCCTTGAAGCAGTCCCATCTGATAACGCTAAACAACCACGATCTACATGCATCCGCCAATCGATCCTTGGCACGCCAAAACGACCAGTTCCTGAGATCGGGTCCTTTTTACGTAACTGACGGCACTGACGGCACCAACGTGCCGGACGGGCCGTTCGGCACGCTGGCTTGCCCACACGCTCGCGCGTTCATTGGCGATGGGGCCACAACATACGTGGAATTGTTATCTGATGCGATTGATTATTGGATCCATCCACACTAATGAGAAAATAAAGAAAGAGAAAAGCATCGGCAAGCATGGTCTTGTACAAAAGTAGAAAAGTGCACCGAAAGACGACTGCCTCTAAAACCAACCCAGCGTACGACCCCCACACTTCGTCCAGAGCAGCGGCGACACAACCCGCATCTTCGTCATCTCTCTCGTCGTTGCGCCACTTTGACGAACAATAACTCGGCCAATTCAGCTCATGCAAGGGAGGGAAAGGCATGGTGACTTGCACACACTGCAAGGCATACCCAATTGTTTCTCATTTAGGCGTTTTGACTTCCGTGAGGGCTGCAGGTAAGGATACCAAAGTGCATGCTGTCCCAAATGTCACCGATCATTGCGAGGTAAAACGCGATTCTTGGATCATTATCAGGATTGCGGAGCGACTCCATTTGGTCCATAAAGAAGGCGGCAGTGTGGGTGTACTCCACCTCAGAGTCACGGACCTCTGTTTGTGTAGTTTCGACATACTCCTGCTCGCAATCATGAAAGATCCTGGGGCAGGAAGTTGGTGTTTGTTCAGTAGTTGATCGCCGGGCGTAGCGATCGATTAGCCAGAGGCTCGCGTCGCAATCCTCACGCACCGCTCTGGCAACGAGCCCACGAGGGGTTCTCTCGCGCAGGAGATCATCCATGGTTTTTGGCAAGTTGAAGTTCCAGCTGGCGTCGAACTCCACGGCAACGTTTCTGACGCGCCCATAGCCACTGGACGAGGCAGAAAAAGGAAGTGAATAAAAGATGGTGTCCCAATCGATGTGCATTCCCCAGTTGAGTGGGGTCAAGCAGAACAGGTCCTGGTATGGACGGACCATGAGTTGCCAATGCTCATTGTTCCCCAGGACCGTCATAGTGGCGGGAATGGCGTCCTTGTCGAGGGACTCGACTTTCACGTGTTCCGAGTATGAATCATTTCCAAGACGGTCGAAAAATGCCTTCTTTGCCGCGTTCCATTGCTGGCAATGGAAGTGACTGGTGATGACTTGTCGGGATTCTGTGCAAGCTGTGAATAGACCAGCGTCCCACAGGCACGCAGATTCGTTCTTGCCGTTGTTGTCGTTATCCGTGCTGCGGAATCTTGGGACTCCAGCCATGTATGTTGGAGACTGTGCGGCATGAGGTGGCATGGGGAGGATTGAGTAACCGCGCAGAATTCCACTAACGGCCTCGTTGACATGCATGATGGAAAACTGGTGGAGTCCACCACTACGGGCAGTTGGGCGAATGGCAAGCTTCCAGATTGCAAGCCGAATCTCGGGAGGAAGCTCTGGGAAGCGGGAGAAACTGTCGAGCGTCATCTTGAGAGTTGCTTCGTGGATATCAACGGTTGTGTCCGGACAGTTGGAGGTCTTGTCGTGCGAGTTTGGGGATCTCTCTCTCGAAAGAGTGTGTTGTTTGTGTCAGGTTTGTCTAGAGATTTGTTAGTTTTACTCTTCAAGACGATGGGATTTCTTGGGGAGTGTGTGGTACTCTTTCTGTAAAGAATGTGTGGTTTCCCGTTCTTGAAGGTTGTGAAAAAAACAAAGTCAAGAGTTTCGGGGTTTTTAGAAGAGAGAGTGGTTTTTTCCCAAAATCAGAATGTGGGGGAATCGGCCGACTACATATAGACCGAGTGCCTATCAAGGTGAAGGTGCTGCCTAGTTTTTGATCCGTGCTGTCCTGATTCATGGGGAGTGTGCCGGGTCATGAAGTCACCTTGACGGCTTTGATGGAATGGCCAAGCTGTTCAACGGACCGTGAAATGAGTCAACCAACCCTTCTAGACTGAGCCAATTCAGAGTTCACTTCACACATTACGACATGTTCCTTGGTCCATTTTAAGGAACATCATTTCTAAAGGTTGTTCCTTTGACACATGCACTCATGTCATGATGTCACGTGCAACCCAGGGCAGTGTTCATGCTAGAGCCGACCATGCGATGCATGATACTCGCTCGCGTGAACGAAGGCTCCAAGTATTGCTGGCTTCATTTAGTAAGGGACAGCGCTAAATACACCACCAAGTCGGGGAAGCGCCCAGAGCACCGTGGAAGGCGGCGTTGGAGTTTTAACCTTGAGAATCCTGTCCAAGCCGGTCCTCGCCACGATTCCTCAAGGTACATGTCAGAGCTCCCCTTCTACGAGATTCCATCGACCTGCTCGTTCCTTCCATTGGTAATTCTTAACTCTAAGCCCAAAAAAACTTGTAGCCTCAGGTTCTTGTCCAATCCTTAGCCAGGACTGAAAACGCTCAGGGTTGCAGCCGGTCAAGCCAGTGGCAGGTCTGCGCGATCCGGTACGTTGTTCGATAGCAACATCAGCCTTTTCGTAGAGATGAAAAAAAAAAACATGTACGCTCTACTAGGACCAGTCCTAGATGTACGTGTGGTGTAAGGCTAATCATATCATGTCCAGAGAGTTGGCAGAGGGATCCCCCGAGACATCCTTCGTCGTCTGGGCAGTGGGCACTAGGCTGGGTGATGCAGGGCTGATTTTACCATGATAGTGAGGAAGAACTCTAGTCATTATTTAACGAAAACATCTGGAACCAGAGAGAAATGCATGAAGAAAGTATCAAGTTGAAGGCGAGAGCCGAATCTATAAATATCTATATGCGATGTGCCATGCAATATGCAATGGAGTGTCTAATGCTAAAGTACCAAAACAAGTAAAACAATCAAAATCAAAACCATGTACGCTGAAAACCAGCTGATTTTCCAATGCTATGCACGCTATGCTGTATGCAAACCCCAGCGCCGTGCTGATGCAGATCTATCGTGAACGGAAATAGAAAGAAAGACAACTCGACCATCTTAGATGGCGCGCTTGGTGATGCCACACTTCTTCAGGCACTCGTCGACGCCGAGAGCGATGCTCTTGGGGATAGCCTGGCGGACAAGGTCGATGTCCTCGCCGGCGATGCTCTGGCCGAAGGTGGCGGCGATAACGTCGTCGCTGAGAGCAAAGGTCTCATCCTGGACCTGGCCGGCGCCGAAATCCTCAGAGGCGAAGGCGGCGACAAAGGTAGCGGGGTGGCAGTCGGGGTTGAATTGGGTGTGAACGGAGCCCTGGTAGAAGGGAGTCATCATGTTAGGACCAAGCTCGGTGCGGATGACGCGGCGGGTGCCGTCGGCGTTGTTGACACCGTTCTCGGGAACCATCTCGGTGATGAGGCGGCCGGAGGTGACGATCTGAAGCTCGGCAGAGCGGGGGTGAACGTGGAGAGTGTTCATGCCGCAGGCTGTAGAGGAAGAAGTTGTTAGTCTCTATGGTCTCTACCTGCAAGTATTCAGGGGAAGGAATATCTTACCATCGACGCGGCCGAAAGCCATACCGGCACCAGTACCGACAAGAGCAGGGAAGGTCTTGCGGTTGGCGGCGACAAGCTGGCCACCCTTGCCAGGGTTGGGCTGCTGCTGGTTGAAGTCGAAGACGAACTGGTCATCCTTGAGAAGGGCGAAGCGGTCAACGGCACTGGAGAGTATGTGTTAGGCGTTGTCTGTAAATGAATCGAGAGGTTGATCAAGGTACTTACGTGTCGGCAAGCTGGAGCTGGGCAGTCAAGCTGAGCTCTGGGGCGTAGCCTCGTCTGGAGGGGGCAGCTGAGGCGAATGAGGTGAAGGCCAGGATGGCGGAAATGGTGGCGACGGAGAACTGCATTTTGATGGTTGTTGTTGTTTGTTGTGTAGAAGATGGAGTAGTTGAGTAGAGTGGAGTAGAGATGGATGAGTTGAGTGTAGTGTGGGTGAAGTGTTGTTGTTGTGATGGATGTGATGCTGAATGAAGATGTTTCGTTTCAATGGCGGGACGAAACGATCTTCTTATGCATGATCATCCCGCCCCCAAACAAACAGAGGAACGGAAACTAGTTGCTGACGCCAGGGTCGGTGAGTAGGAATCTCACGCTCGATGCTGCGTGATGCCAAAGATACTCTGTTGGCACTCGGCACGTCAGACTTCCGCGGCCGCAATAACGGCTGGCGGGGTGGCGGGGTGGCGGTCGCTCATTGGCGCAATGGAAGGTCCAGGGGTGCTCAGCACTAAGAATTACTGGAGAGACGGGGCGAAGTGTGGGTTCGTTGCCCTATTGTCCAGTGTGGCGGAGCACCTGCACAGGCTGGTGAGTGGCCGCAGCGCCTCCGACCAGCCCTAAAAATAACGGCCCGTCATGCTGTGTGAGCGCTAACGGCCACCACAGCGCCTCCCGGAGAGTCGCTGATCCGGGCGGATGGCGGATGGATCGGAAACATCGGGCGCAGCACACAATCTGCTATAGCCTGCTCTACTCTAAATTGCGCTCTTCACCAATCCGAGATTCGGCCACCGCATCGCCAAGCAAATCAAGCAAGGGTTCCCCATCCGTCATCCATGTTGGCAACCGGTTCGTTTCAATGCCGCATCGCATCGTCTGCGCTGGACGGGCTCTATCCGGGATAAACTCCACCTGTGTGTGTCCATGACATCTGAGTCAGCATCGTCGGCCGCCGAGTCGGGAGAGAATCTACTTAAATGTCAGCGCTTGCAAAGTAGAGTGGTAGCTCTAATTAGTAAGGGCCTACCAGCACTCGGCTTCCGGCACTACGGCCGCTATTTGGGGAGATATATCGGGTTTCTATCCCTTGCTTCCGGTGTCATGCGAAATTACCTTGTTGTGCCCGGTCTTCGAGAATACTCTGAAGATGGGCAAGCCTACTGCGGTAAGAGAATCATGTTTTTTTCAACAGTGGCTGGTCCAACCGAAGTGAAATGAACCAGTCGAGGCCATGTACAGGGATGGTTTGGATGTCGGTATCAATCCAGAGATGGGCGTCTGGAGTATTGCCCCATAATCCACGCCAGTATCCACAAAACGAAGCAACTTCCCAACCATCACATACGCCCATGGCTCTTAGAAAATACGGGATCGTCAAGTTCTTGTCTTCTTTTCGAGGATGGCCATCTTCCTGCTAGTTCCAACAAGTGAACACCCATATCATTTTGCCAAAGACCACATGTGACTTTCCGATTAGATAAGCCAACGCCACCATCACGATGCACATGTTCAGCCGCACCTGGAGCCAGATGACCGCAGGCAGGCTCTGTTCTCGAATCTCGCAACAATCATAGCAGAACAGCCTTCCTGTCTTCAACTCCATCGCTATGCCTGAGATCTCATCTATCGTTCGTGGACCTGAGGACGAGGAACCGCCTGTCGAGGCCTTGCGGGATCTAGCGCTCGCGTCTAACACATATCGCGACGAAAACGACTATTGGGCGAGGCTGATCGACAGTCCTGACGTCTTTTCCATCTTCACACTAGCCGCGCAGTTCAATATCCCGGCATGCGATTTGCCACGGGAATACGGCGTTGGTTCCGGCCACAGTGATCGCCTTGGAGCGATTCACAAGAAGGTCTTTAGCCTCGGTGCTGGTGTATCTTGCAACGTCATCGCTCTGGAGACAGATGAATCTATGAGCGATATATGTTCACTTGGTATGTTGGAACAGATTCCGGGTAAGCATTCACACGTTTCTAATGTGGAAGACTGTAGGAACTCGAGTTGCGTTGAAGCGATACAACGCTCAGCCATCCGGGGCTCAAGGTATCGAGACATCGACCAAAAAGATCTATCAGTGGCTGTCATCAGAGTTGAAGGTTCTATGCCATCCTTACTTGAGCGAGCACGAAAACATCAGCAAGTTGCGTTTCATCGCGTGGGAAGAGAGCAGTCTTATTCCGTCCCTGGGTCTGGAACTGGCTTCATATGGTGAGACTCATCGCTATTTTCTCCCTTTGAGGTCGAACGTGTGACCTATTGACACGCGAGTTAGGAACCCTTGAGGACTGTCTCCAACAACTTCGATCCTATGGCTCCAGTCAGAGGAAGTGCCACCTGAGTCTCGACATTGCTCTCGGTCTCGCCGCCCTAGACTCTGTCGGACTGGTACACGGCGACATAAAACCAGGGAACATCATCATCTGCCCCCACGACGATCCTGAGAGAGGCATAGTTGCGAAGATCTCAGATCTCAATGGTGTCGCACTCACCTCAGACTATGGTTCGAAGCACTTTGCCACTGGATCCCCAACTTGGCAGCCTCTAGAGGTGCTTGATAGGGATAGGGTTATTGATTGGCATCTTGCAGATGTCTATTCTTTTGGCATGGTCATGGCGACGCTTTGGTCTTCCAAGGGATACATTCCACTAGGCGGCACCTTTCTCGATCCGGTCATGCCGTTTCGTCTTGGAGCCGACGACAAACGGTCATTGACGGAACTCTACAAGATTACTCAGGATTACGAACCGACTGGTATGATTCGGCTGGCAATGGCATCATTACCTACTGAGGACGTTGGGCTTCCTCTCATAGACATTGTCAGCACTACGCTCTCAACGATCCCAAAAAGGAGGATGCCTATGCTCCATATTCTGCGCAAACATTTCGATGGATTTGCGACAAAAGCCAGCAGGCATGCTTCGTAAGTCTCCCGAGATGAACCCGATTAGCAAGTGTTGGCGGCTAAAAGAAAGACAGACTGGCGTCCCTACCGCAGAGCTCTGCACCAGATCCTGCTTACTGGGCGGTTAACTCCTTTGACTCCTTGCTTGTGCGTTTCAAGACATCCACGAGTTATAATATCGTACTGACTTGTCTCTACTTTAGCTACTTCATCCTCAGTTTATCACCCGTCCGAGGCCGTTTAAAGAGAAGGTGTTTGAAGCCTTGCTAACCACTGGAGAGAGCCTCAAAAGTTCGGTGCCAGTTGCGCCAGGGCTAGAGATCAGTGACAATTTCGAAGGGAATGACGAAGTGCTAATGGATCTTCTGAAAGCAGATAATCGTCTACGCAAAGAACTGATATGGGCGGATGGTAGGCTACACCACTTGGGCAACCTTTCTCTCAACCTTTCCATGTCGTACCTTCTTGGAATAGGGGTTGAAGTTAATGAGCAAGCTGCAATTGAGTGGCTTCGCACTGCAGCTGAGGTGGGAGAAGGCAACGCTACATACTGGTTCTGCCCTCTTGAACAGTCGATGGAAGATGGTCCTCAGCTCGGCCTCCCAAGAAAGAAATGGTGCGCGACCAGTGTGCTCCATGGTTTTTCCTCGGATGCGTTGTGCCTGAAAGACCTCGACAAGGCGCTTTACGACACAGCGATGAACATGGCAAGCCGACGTCGTTGGGGTCGAGACAGCCCTCAAATCGTCCGTATTGAGCCATACATTGAACGGATCATTCCTCCTATTAAGCGCAACCCTGCGCTCGTGGACGAGAAAGTTGAAGCTCGTTACAACGCCGAAGACGTTGGCGAGAAAGCACTTCATTGTTGCGCTGCCATTGGCGATATGGGTTTGGTGAGATACTTGGTATCAGAGGTCAATGCCAACATCAACGTCACGAACGACCGGAACGAGACGCCCATCTTCTACGCTACACGAGCTGGGCAGTACGATGTTGTGGAGTTCTTGTTCAACCTGAACGCCGACGTCAGCCACGTTAGCACCGAGGGGCTCATCATCCTGCACTGCCTAACGTCCCTTGACGACGACAAGGCCGCTAAACTTGCACCGCTCTTTGTCGATCGTGGTGCCAAGCTACACCAGCCTGCAGAAGAGTCTCCTGGAGATCGCATCGACAACTTCGTTCTTGGGGCCGGGACTCCTCTTTTCTGGGCTGCTCTGAAAGGCAAGAATTTGCTCTTTGCAGCTTTGGTGGAACTTCACTGCCGACCCGGTCAGCAGATCAGTCCTGCGGAATATTACGTCCTTCTCAAGGCCCTGTCTACGCTTCATATGCATAGAGATCTTGCGCTGGTGCTAGAATCCCAAGCTGCCATGGTCAACGGGGATCTGGGTCTTGCGCCCACGCCGATAACTGAGCAGGTCTCGAAGAGGTTTGCTCGTCTGAATCTGGCCTATCTGGATGTTGATCTTACTGAGATGGCTGGTTATCCTCCTATGGGTATACCGCAATACTCTTCGGTCCTCTACCATGCTTTGGATGCCAGTCAGGTATCTGTGCTGCATAGGCGATATATCCACATGGCTGAATTTCGCAAGGCCAAGGAAGAGACTATCAAACTCTTGCTGGATGCTGGAGCAGACCCAATCCTTCAGGAAGACGAAGAGGATCATCAGAGCATGCCAATATCTTGCACAGTGTACACTGGAGACACTATTGCATTCAAACTCTTCATCACTAACCTAGAGTCTCGTGGGTTGGATGTCTTGTCCATCCTATCCAACGAGACACTGTTCGGCAGCTATAGTGCTCTCCAACGCGCCATCTACTCCGACGCAAGGGAAATTTTCCTCTTTCTAGTCGATAAATATCCGGATTTACTGAAGCTGATAGGGGAAGCTGGTCGCGGACCCCTCCAATCGGCGGCGACAAAGGCATGGCCTGGATACGTGAAAAGTCTTCTGGAGCATGGAGCAAACCCACACGACCGGGCTGATGATGGTTCGACACCCTTCACATGGGCGCTCATGAGAAACCCCACGACCGAGTCTGCCAAAGAAATTTCAGGATTGATTGCGGAGAAGGCAAACATGGAAGACCTTCTTGGGCCAGACAGGAAGAGCGGCTTCACGGCCTTTGGAAAGCTGCTCAGCGCTATCACGTATTACAAGTTGGACTTTGGCATTGACCGAATCCAGTTTCTCGTCGACACCTACGGAAAGCCTTCCTTTTATTCCAACGAGCACAGCAGGACCACCGTGTTCCGAACGCTGCTTGCGCAACGCCCCTCCCTGACGGACACCGCTGCGATAGCCCTTGAAGGCACCATGTTGAAGTTCCTACTGAGCGTCTTCCCTGACAAAGTCAGCTTCATCGACAACAGCGGTCGATCGCCACTGCACATGGCCGTCTCGTTTGGAAACCTCGCTGCCTTGGAGATTCTTGTAGATCACGGCGCCGACATCAACCTGGAATCGCAGCCCATGGGCAGAGACGGCATACTCGGCGGCTACACGGCGCTCGGTCTCGCAATCTGGCTTCAGGACCAGGACGTTTATGATCGGATCTTGAGTGAGGGTCAGCGGGCGGTTGAGGTCTTTGACAGAAACCTTGACAGCATCATAGATCTTCTGATCAGAGCTGGCGCGACAGATGCGGGTCAAGGCGCTAGTTTCGAAGTCAATATCAAGACCGAAAAGAGAGTCAGCGGAGGGGGGGATCATATTCACATCAGCCGGAGGAACGTGCGGAAGAAGGAGGCAGATTGGCCATGGAGGCTGCCGTGGGAGGGAGACGGGTCATCCCCCTTTGAGATCGCCGACGGCCCCGGAGCTGTTACAGAAATACTCGGAGAAGACGGGCTCTCTCAGATTTGTGGCGAAGAAGGATTCACGATACTCCAGAGTCTTGTTGGAGCCATCAGTCCTAGCGTGGCCAGTGGCAACTACGTGAAGGAAAAGCCCAATGCACCAGAGGGTTTCATGGAGCAAGTGCACTCCATGATCTCGGCAAGGCGCGGTGCAACGGTCTTGGAAGAGTCGTTTGCCAGTGGGAGCATGTTGCCGTCTGGATGGGAGGTTAGGGGCACACCAGAAGGAAGGGTTTATTATGTGGACCACAACACGAAGACGACAGCGTGGTGGCCTCCCCAACGACCGACTTGACGCAAATCTAACAGATTGGAAATCCTCCCACTTTCTATAGGTTTAATCAGTTTGCAGTTTCACAAAGTTTCTCAGGTACTGCTCTATGCCTTGCATCCAGCCAACGGCTCGACGACCTTTTGCCAGAAACTTTTACTTAGCACCTTTCCCTCCTGTCTTGAATTGCCAGTAGTCACACAGAACTCGCCCTTCAGACAACACTTGACCACGTCAACATACGCCGTGCCGACCAGCCCAGCCACGTCTCTCCCAAACTTGCCATCCAGCTCCGTGATAATGTCCTTGGACATCTCCGCCATCGTCATCGTCTTGTATATCTCCACAAACACGGGCCGCCACAGGGCCACCTCTAGAAGCACGATGCCAAGGCTGTAGACCTCGCGGACCTTGTTCCACCTCTGGGCCACATCCGGATGATAGTACACGTCCAACTCCGGCACGCCCAGCGGTCGGCTCTCTATCGACGTGTCTGCCCCCGGCCGACTGTACTGGAACCCGCAGATGTACGGTGCCGTGATCTTCGCGTCGTGGACGCCCTTGCCGCTGAAGAGGATGTTGTCGCTTCGCAGGGACTTGTGTAGCCAGTTGGATGCATGTAGCAACGCCACAGCCCCCGCAAGCCGCCGAGCGAGCTCAAAGCGTGCTCCGAGCGGTGGACGTGTGCTGCGCTGCCGGATGAGCCGTAGCAGAGAAGGCGACGACTGCCCATCAAGTTCCACACCGCGCGGGACACTGTACACGAGGCCGATGCGGCGGTTGCCCTTGGACGCCTGCTCGTAGGCAAGGTCGTCGAAGGTGCCGAAACAAGGGAGACGGTGCAACTCGTCTGGGTTGGCTGTCACGATCACGCTCTTGGCTACGTTGGTGGCGTCGATGTACTTCCACTCGACGAGGGCGGATTGCGGCAACGTCCCCGCTGGCTGGTAGGTGGCATCGCTGCGAATCGTCGTGGCGTTGGGTTCGTATAAGAGATCGAGGTCGGCAGCGTCGATGTGTTTTACTCGTGCCGCCGCTGTTTCTACATCCTCTTCCTGAACCAACTTCAACAAGGCTGCGAGCGAAAGCAGCGAAGGGGAAGATGAGGAGGAGCTGCTGGCGACCGTCGGCAGCAATGCCAGCGACAGCCGCTCATCGATACCGCTCAAGATGGACGTGACGAGACGTGTCGCGTCGAATTCTTCCGGGCGAACCAGAGCCTCAAGGTCTTGGTTTAGCGTGGCCAAACGATCGAGGACATCGGTGAACCTGTCTTTATCCAAGACGGCCCAGGCTATACGGTGCGGCTGCTTCTTCTTGTCCCGCTCGTGCCGGAAGTGAGCTATCCACGGAGCCTCCTTATGAAACGCCGGCCGAGCCCCCGGACCTCCGGGCTTGCCGGGGATGGGCGCAGCGATGGGAGCCATGCTGTACTTTTCGATGAACTTCTTGCCCACGGTCTCCTGCAGGGCGAGAATCTCGGCAATGATCTGGGCAACGACGTCCTGGACGACCTTGGATTCGTTGTTGAGCAGGCAGTTCGCCTCATCTTTTGTCTTCAGGCGGTCGCTCCAAGCCTCAAACTTGATGCGCTCAATGTCATATTTGAGGGCCCGGTCTTGCAGGCCCTGGTCGGATGCAAAAACATCCCGTATCAATACGTAGCCACCCACTACGCCCTTGATTCCTAGCAGGAGCCCTGCGATAGCGAGACCAGTGCCAACGACGAATTCAGGCATGGCGGGGATAGTGATATTCGTGTATTGATCAATATGAACTGTATGTATGGGAACAAGTGCATCCAAAACCCTCGACGTGTGCCAAGTGAGGGGTTTTGAGGCTGCAATGCGGCTGACGGAGGATCAAGAGATACAGCGTGCAACTCTGGTGGCGTTTCCCACGTGACGGAAATTTGCAGGCAGCATAGATACCGGCTGTCAAATTGACCACTTTGCCATTTAGGCAAAGTTTGAGCACTCTATCTTAGGGTTATTTGTTATTGATACTGGCTTGAGCTCTTCTAACACCAGGAATGAATATAAGAAGACATTAATTTGACAAGACTAGGGCTACAGATCTCGACTTTCTGATTATTATGCAACGACAAGGAGTGAAGTAGTTACTAGAACCAACTTGAACAGCTATCAAGGTTCAGACTCTATCTACTAAACATTTGCGAGGGCCCGAGAACAAAGGCAAACCTCGATGGGTTACCTGATCAACACATATCTACATTTCTTAGGAACAATCAATGTAGTGACTATGTACCAGATTTCTTTCAGCTGCACGGAACTTGTAGCAAATAATATACACTGACCACGCGTGAAATCCACCATTTCATTTAACTGATTTCTGCCAGTTCTAAGCACTTTAAATACTTCTACTTTTTTTCATACTTGATCTTCTCTGTGACACTTTCAGCTGCAGGGTAGCCGCGTTAACAATTCCTCTGGCGTGGTCACTGGTTGGGATGCGTTGCTTTACCAAACAATCAAATTGTAAAACTTCACCGCCAATCTGGCCACGACACGACGCAGCCTTACGTCGGACACGACCCGAAAACTCGGCTCAGCAAAGAGGAACCTGATGAACTAATCCCTCAAATCGCGCCGATGCAACAGGGCTACGGGCAGTGACAACAGGCCACGACTCAGCCGCAGCGAACTAGCACAAAGGCTTCAGCTAAGCTGTTGGCAGTGGTGATTATCGCCTCTTGGCAGTTGCCCCCGGCAGTCAAGCCAATGAGCCGCTCACTGTAGTCGCCCCAAACTGACCATAAAGGAGGTCGTTTCAAAACATCGTGAGTACAGACGGCGATTGGGGAGGGAACGAACGGCAGGCTCAGACAACTGCGCGGGTTAGCGGCGACTGACCCATTCCACACGCCCAGACACGCGAGGCTCTGCTATTTGAATCCAGCTGGTTGACCGCAGTAACACAGTGTTGGCTTCATTGGGAAGCGCGTATGCGCAGGTCGCATCGAGGGTCTGCTCCTCCATCGGGGACCTGACAATCGACCTTGTGCACGTTTCAGGGCGAATCGACGCAGCCATTCCCATTTATCGCCGCATAGAAGCGCCGGCTTTAAAATGGCGGAATCTAGGGTCCACTCACGGCTTGGCGGACACACAAAGCGGCCTGTGTCTGGTAAGGCTGGCGTCTCTCGACCAGTGAATTGGGACGCGGAAGGAGATTAAGATGACGAGGGGTTCTGGCATGCAACATAGCCGCCGATGGCTCTCACTTGCCTGCCGGACCTACATCCTGAAGTTGAACAGCGGAATAGACAAACAGGTGAGCCACGTCAGGTTAGTGTCTGACTCTGCGGCTGAAGCCCGTTCATCGGAACAAAATAAGGCTGTGCAGACCGGGCCTTGTGGACGACGTTGCATGTTTTCCTGTGGAGCCCGGGCTGAGCTGAGGACTGAGAGACTGAGACACACCGTCACACACGGGACGCCTTGCTCCAATATAGTAATAGTGTGCCTTGAGTCCATCCGCTGGCAGAATTGCTTCTTCTACCTACCCACTTGCCAGTGCTGCCTCCTCCAATAAGACCTCCTCTTGCTTATTTTGGGAGTCCTCTCTTGGCGTAGTAACCATTCTGTCCTGCACCTAGACGCCTTACGGTCCGCTCGTATCCGCGGCCAAGTGCTGAAAGAGGCGTGCGCGTGACTGATGCTAGACTGGGCGCCAAAGAACAAGGGGATAATGTGAAGCCGTGGCATAGCTATGAAATGAAATGCACTTCAATATGTGTATTGCATATATACCACGTATTTGACCCCTGATATCGTTATAGACTTCGTCCATAGGATATCCTGCAAAGGTATAGAAAGGACGAGAACCCCATATTCACAGGGCTGCATTATTTCATTCTAGGCCTTAACCTTATATTTTAAATTCTCTTCTCACGCGGCTAGCACATCAACATACCAGCTTGCGCTTTTCTGACTTTGCCATGCATTGCCTCATGCTACTCGCTGGCTTCCTCGCCACTCTAATCGGAAATGGCTTGGCCGATGAGTTTATTCCCGGGTTTATTTCCCCGCCAAATTCACCCAGTAACCCCGTATACACAGTCGGGGATAGCATAGATTTCGAATGGGTGGGTATGAGTGGCACAAACGTCGGAGTTCTCATGTGGCAGCAGTCCCCTGAACCGAGCGTGTCCGGCGGTAACAGCATTTCGCTTCTATGTAAGTGCAACCAAAAACCCTGGGTCTCCATGGAATGGACAATGCGCCTAACTGCAATATACAGCGGACTCCTCGTCGACAAGACTCACATGGAAAGTCTCACGAGACTGGCTCGTGGACATCGACGACGACGAAACTGTGGTAGCCTTCCTCGCATTGTACCAATCTGGATCCACCAGCGAAGAATTTCGCAGTCATTCATTCAACATCAGTGCCCTCGCGGACACTCCCTCTGACAAACCTAAGCCCTCCTCATCTGACGAGGTCACTTCTTCCACCGCGGGGGAAAACGAACCGAAATCAACTCAAGAAGCATTGACAGAGACTATGGTGAATGAGGCTACCAGAACGAACGCTGCTCCCACGAATGCCGCAACAACTGACGCAGCTGGCGGTGCGACCACAGCTGCCTTGACTGCTAGCGACACCAGCTCTGAAGAAACATCGTCATCGACAGCGAAATCATCCCCAGAAGAACCTTCTGACTCGACATTGTCTACTGAAAAAATCGCAGGCATTGTAGTCGGTTTGATCGTCAGTGTGATCTCAGCGCTGGGTGGAATCTCATTCGTCAGAAGAAGAAAGAAGCGTGCGGTCGAGGAGGCTGATCCTGAGATCAAGTTGCAGCCTCAGCAGCAGAGCAGTCAAACTGGTCAGAACACTCAGAGCACCCATATTCACATCCTACCACCAGCCACGGTACCTGGCCATTTGGTGCAACCCCCTACGTCGTGGAATGACCCGCCTGTTCAAAGCCAGTCTGGGAATACACCCCCTCCTCAAAGATGGACTCACTCATCTCAGCAATCATCGGCTGAGATCGGCGATTCCCCCGAGTATCGCCCAAGCCACGGTCACGGTAACTCAGGAGTCCACGAGGCACCTTAATTACACAGTTCAGGGACCAGACAGCATTGGGAAGTTACTTGAAAATTCGACTTGGCAAGATGATGGAACTGGAATCGGTATGGAAGCGTGGGCTACTGTTTATTCGAATATTGAGTTTTGTATTTATTTGGTTTTTATTGAAATTATCCTCGTCTTGTCCACCTAAGAGGGAGTAATATATAGGTACTCAAGAAGTGATAACACATTTCCGTTGCACGCCTCCCTACCAGACTCATCATTGAGGTTGGGCACCCAAAATACCCTCCCGTTGCTAATTTAACTTCTGTCTGCTCCCTCAAGCTGAGCAAGCTGCCGGCGCAAGGTAAAAGAAAAAGACAGTTTTATCTACAATTCGAGAATTTCCTACACAATGCATCCACAATGACCAAACATCAAGCTTTTTACCTTGGAAAAGTCAAACCTGTATGAATATATAAGCAGCTAGTTGCCCCAAGAAGCCGAGCCCTGACTCTTTCCCTCCCTCACACATCATCTTTTCCATCAAGCAGTAATAACGCCTTCTTCTACACCAACAAGACCCCTCGTTGGCTCGGCTGACTCAACAAGCTCAAATGCCATCGAATACAAAACCTTCAAAGCAAGCCTTACACACACCACAACCAACCATCACACCAGCTTTCAACCAAAGATGTCTGCTTCATTCCGCCTCACAATACAGACCGGCGAGGTATCTCCGGATAACCGCTATACCAATAGCTTCCGATTTGACATATCAAGAGGTTAGGGTGCCCTAGTACACACATCCAACCACTCAACCAACCACTCAACTAACTACTACACCAACCGAAAATGTCTTTCCGTCCCACACTACAGACTGATGGAGTCTCTCCCAATCATCACTATACTCATAGCTTTCATTTCGATCTACCTCACTGAATCCTAAGTGACACAACTCTTATTCCGAAGCTGCAAATTGCAGCTGAAAAGTCCGGGCTCAAATCGATTTGACCTAAATGATGTGATTCAGGTCGACCCGACTCTGATGCCAAAGCTACAAGTCGCAGCTCGAAAAGTGCGGCCCCAAAGATCTCAAAGACGTCCAAATTGGCCGACCCAACGATACACACCTAGCTCAGATTCAGAGCTGGCCGGTCTGGATATAGCTTTACGACGCTGGGTAACCGCAGAGCTAGGCTGTCCTCAGACCCTAGTCCGGAACTGCCAAGGGAATACAATTCCTCCAGCAGAAAGGGATTCATTGAGACCTCGTGTGGTACTAACTACACAGCATGAATCATGCATCTGATGGACCATGTCATGCTGATCAACTTTCAGCCGAAGAATTGACATATGAAACCCAAGGGAACCTACTATATAGAGGGATGTTGCGGTTCCCTCTCTTATATATCACCTTTAGCTGCATGATCCATGCTGTGTAGCTACGAATCCGCAAGCTCTCAAGGAATTGTATTCCTTTGGCAGTTCGGAACTAGGGTCTGAAGACAGCCTAGCTTTGCGGTTACCCAGAGTCGTAAAGCTATATCTAGACCGGCCAGCTCTCGAATTATAGCAGCTAAATACTAGCAGCTACGACAGTCACTTCAGGAGCCAGTTTCGGGCACCCCAATTGAATTGCAATGTAATTTGATCAATCTACTTGGATTCATTAAAATTTTCCCAAAGAGTGTGTGCAGAGTTTTCCCGCAGTTTTTAGAAGACGAAGAGAGTACTGTTTGACTTAACTATATGCTCGGAAGTCGTACCGACGGCATAATAAACAGTTCCCACGATGCTGTTTTCTGTGTCGTAAATTATCGGCTCTGCATTGTAGAGCGGTCCATTGTGGTGGCTGATTTGACAACGCTGGCTGAGCAGCCAGGGACCACAAGTACAATGTAACAGCTTACCTGATGCAACGCTTGACAAAGTTGTTCCAAGAACTTAGCGCTCCCTGCATCACTCGTTTTGTCTGTACTTCCTGTCTACCCGAGGCTATGCTGACCTATTAGACACCTCATACAGTTGAACAACTTTCAGCAGCGGATGGAACAGGTGTTAAGTGGACTCAGACACAAATTAGACTTGCAGACTTCTAGACTCTTTTATAACTTTTGTACTCTTCACACAGCTCCACTATTCGCACATCAAAAACCAGAAGAGGTATCAAACAGGATGGATCGGTTGAGATAGCTTGTTAGCGATGGAAGATCTTGTCTTTTCTGTCCAACAAGTAGGAAGGCTAGCTATTTATCCCTAGGGATCGTGATGCCATCGGAACGGAGACTCCGAGCCGGCAGTTAGCTTCCTTCCTAAGACCCGTTCATCTGACAAGAGAGAAGACAAAATATTACGGAAATTCGCTTCTTTAGATAATTACATGCGCACCGTTATAATATGTACACTAAATGTGATCCTCACGTCCCCCATTGGCATAGAGTGGGCTGGCCGCTCTGGATTAGACTCCTCTAGTGTCTGTGTCGAAGGGCCCTCTTTGCCCTCCTCGTAGCGGAGCTAACACACTGCGAGTACCAGTCGTTTTGGGCGACACACGAAGTTCCAGCGGCGCACTTGGTGGCGCCGGTCCAGTTGCTGCCACCGCACTGTCCCCACTGCTGGACTTCTTCACCGGAAGCAGTCTCGGCAGCCGCGGCTGCTTCAGTAGTAGTAGCCGCGGCGGCGGCCTCTTCCTGAGCCACGGGAGTCTCAACCACGGCGGCGGCGGTAGTCTCCACAGGAGATTCCACAACAGCGGCAGCAGTGGTTTCAACAACAGCAGAGGGAGTGGTGGCGGTGGCCTCGGATCCAGTGTTACCAGAGGAAGTGCCCGAGCCGAGGTTCGAGGGACCAGCGTTGGCGCTGACAAGGCTGGCGACTTCACTAGCAGCAACAGCGTCGACGAGATAGTCCGCAAGGCTGGACCACGTCGACAGGGCGCTGGTGCCAGAGAGAGCGGGCCAGTCACCACTGCTCGAGTCAACACTGTTAACGACACAAGCGCGGCCAATGTAGGACTCGCAAGCGCTGGCAGCGGAATCATCGGCAACGTTGTAGATGGTAGAAACCGACGCGCCGCTCTCGGTAATGGGAGTAGTCACAGACTCGAACACATTGCCCTCGAGGATAGCGGTAACGCCAGTGTACGCATCGAAAGCATGGCCTGCCATGTTGCTGAAGTAGTTGTTGGAGGCCTGGAAAGTGCCGCTCACGCCGTCAGCACCGAGCTTCGGGGCTCGTCCAGAGACATCGTGGAAGTAGTTCCTGTCCAGAGTGACCTGATCACCGTCGGCAATGAACATCATAGTCCAGTAATGGTCGTTGTTGCAAGATGCGGAGGTGGTGGTGACACCATCAAACTCGTTGTTCGACAGGGTCAGACGGGAACCAGTGTAGTGGGAGACGACGAACTGGCGGCCAATCAAGGAGAATTTGCAGTGGTCAACCCAGACACCGTCGTTGCCACCTCGCAGCTCGAGGGCATCACCACCCCAGACAATGCCGGGGTTGATGTTGGTAAACTCAACGCCCTGGATAATGACGTTGCTTGCGCCGCTCTGGATGGACAGACCCTTGCCCTTGAGAACACCTTGGCCGTTGCTGCTGATGATGCTCTTGTTGCTACCGACAGCAAGAGCGTTGGGGCCAGCAGTGTCGTAGGTAATGGAGCTGACGGCCGTGTTGTCAGAGCCGCCGCAAGAGAGATCTCCGAGATAGTATTGTCCACCTTCGGCGACGCTGCAGCTGATTCGGTCACATCCGGCCTCGGTGGCAGTGGTGCCAGTAAAGTCGTATTCCTGGTCGATAACGATGACACGGGCGGTATCATCCGAGAGCCATTCAGCGAGCTCCTCAGCGGATGAAGGGGTCGCGGCAGCAGCATCGCCACCACCAGTGACGCCAGTCGCGAATCCGTAGGCGGTACCAACGACAGACTGAGCGGATGCGGCAGACGCCGCAGCCAAAATGAGGGAGACAGATTGGATAAGCATTTTGTCGAAATGGGCGATTAAATGTAAAGACTGAACAGGCAGCGAATGATTGAAGCGAAGGGTCACTCAGGCCAGCCTAAGGTCCAATTCCAAAAGTATTGAAATAAGGAAGAGAAAGAAATGGAGTTGTCAAAAGAATGATGCGGAAAGAGATCAAGAACAGCGCTGCTTATGAGATGCTCTGTCTCTTATAGAGCGCTTCATCGTCGAATTCGATTGAAGGAAACTTTCCATCATAATTCCGAACAGGGGGTACGGGCCACCGCTGCCAAGATATTGCACAGGAGTGGTGGCCCACATGTTTCTTTACCAATTCGTCTACCCTAGTTTCAAGTTTCGCGTAAGTCTCCTCATCCTAGGTGGTTAGCCGATGAAACGCGGAGACTAAACGCGTTGATGCATGGGTCTGGCAGGTTTAAACCCTGTCCTGTACCGCAGAAGCCTGGATATAAAACAAGCACACGAAACGATGACGCGGGGATTTCTCGCATGTTAATTTCGTCCCTAATGCTGTCGGTAACTACCTACATAGAGCATAACGGCGAGCCTAACTCTCTTTGCACTCAGCCCGGTCTCGAATCAATTCCCCTCACCGCACGTGGAATAACCGTAGAAGAAACGGAAGAAACCGAATAACCGGAATAGTCCGAGTAATCCGAATAAGGCGCAGGGAAACGGTTCGCGCAAGGGCACGACGACGACCAGGCCAGTCATCCCTTTCAAGGGTTACAGTAGGAATCCAAAGCGGAAAGATTTGACGCATCAGCGCCGTCCAATCGCAACTGAAGGGGCGAACGAGACAGTGAAATGGGAGGAACCAAAAGAGATGAATATGAATGATTGCATTCTAAAACTTCTCCCAAGTCTAAAGTCAAAGATCAGAGCTCTGGTTGATGTTGTTTGCATTGTGCTCCAAGTCTGCCTCCATTCATGACCCCATTTTTCAACACTGCCAGGGGCGACTAGCGGCGTCCTCAAGCGAATACCGCGTGTACATGGATCCCATGCGCTTACATCGGCCAATGAACCAAGAATGAGCATGGTGGCTCGATCGGACACAGCGGATGAGGATTGACATGACTGTGCCTTTTCATATTATTGGTCAGGCCGCCAAAACGGCATTGGCCATCGTTACTAATGAGCCAAAAAGGCGTGTTGATACCCGTGTGATCTCTACCTGGCCTAAAAAGCTGTCATATATTTATCCGTCGCGACTCGGCTGAGCTGGTCTTGGATCCATCACTCAAGGGACAAGCTAAGCTCTTAAATCGACTCTTGACACTATTAACTTAATTATTGGCTGCTTTTCATATCTGCATGCCTTATCATGTCGACCCGAGCGCAATAAACCCTGCGGTACAACCGGGGCAACATTCTTTTCCAAGCCTAAGGAACAGGATCTTTCATGTACACGTGGACTTTTGTGTTGCTATCGAGACTCTATTCTCGTCCATTCCAATATTAGCATGTATTGACAGCGGATGAGTCGCAGCTTCGCGAATATCGTAGCTGATGAACCGACAGTTCCACATGGATATCAAAGGGGGAAGCTTGCCTTGTAGCTCAAAACAATCACACCCACACCCGCATCTCATTTAGGGTAGCAGAGATGACAGCTTGTCGCAATTCAGTTGGAAACCTGACTTCAGCAACAGAACCTTATACCCTCAACTTGATAAGAGGGACGATGTCATCACATCTCTGCTGATAAGAAACTTCAAAAGTTAGTAAGAAAATAGCGAAATCATTAGCTCTACAGACAACTCTCAGACCCAAAACTAAAGGGGAACCAACAAAATCTCAAACTTGATCTCCCCCCTTTAGCGGGCAGTGAGCGACGTGGCCTTTATTCGTCTCTATGTTCAGCTAGCCTAATACAAGATCACATTGCTTCGAAGGTCACCTTGGCCTAGCACGATGTGTTCAATACAGCGACCGGTCGAATGGATTGATGTAATATCCGGTAATTTGCACTCGGCAACTTTGCCCGACGTTACATCAAAACTACCGGGGCATTGGACGGATAAATTCTACATTTCTTCTCCGGAGACTTAACAGCCAACACAATCCTACTTAACTCGCACGATTCTTCGCCATTATCTAAGATTAGATTAGGGTGGAATGATGTACCCTGTATCCCTATTAAACTTGCATACAACTCGGCAAAGCTGTTGGTACTGTTCCTCCTCTTCGACCTCGATCATACGCCCCGCCGTTAACCGTCCGACATTAAATAATTCCAGTTGGCGTGAGGCATTGGCTGTTAACATGATGCAAACTCGAGTGTCTGAAATACGCTGGGCAAACATCGCCATGCCTAAGAGTGCCTGTATTGAAAGCAAGCTCGGGTCTTGCAGTATGAGCTCAGGAATTACCGTGATGGCATTCTGGTAAAATCCATGGGCGATATCAGACAACTCAGCCTCCGAGCCAGGAGCTATTTTAAACCGGGCCGCAAGGGCAATGATGGCATTGACAAAGGCCCACCTGGATGGATTCTCAGCTGGGGCAACAGAGCTGTCGGTGTATTGGGCATCGAGGAGCACCAAGAAGTTCGGTAGGTCCAACAGTTGATGCTCCGCCATGATGTCGGCAAACGAGCTTTGGACCATACGTCGCGATATATGTTGGGGCATAAGCGGCGCAAATCTTTGGGCGGTATTGACACTGCCGAGATTTCCCTTGAATGCCTTTAAGTGTGAATCGAATGCCCCTGGGAGTAGAAAGTCGGGGAATATCTGCATGCGACTTTGGATACCGACTTGTGGTCGGGATGGGTCCACCGAACCATCCCGTTGTTGCGCAATTGAATTGTTTATAACAAGTCCGTAATATGCCGGTGCAGGTTTTGGTATTTCTGTCAATGGTGTGGCCGGAACAGTGGATTCACCCTTCTCGTCTTGACTTGAGCTGTTGCCGTTGTCTAGTGGCTGAGAAGATGATGACAATGGCGCCACTCCCTCTGCCGCTTCAGAATTCTTCTTTCTAGGAGCAAGTCAGCTAGTCTAGACGGATAAATTCAAGTGGGCCATGGCCTTACCCTTTTCCTGGTCCTCGATATTTCCTAACCGGCGCGTAGGTGCATTCAGCGTCACGCGTGACGCAGTTGCCGCACTGAGGCGTTTCGCCATTGCACCGGATCTTACGAGCCTTACAGCGGACGCACGCCTGTGAACGTCAGAGGGAACGAGACACTTCCAGGATAAACGAAAAGCCTTACGATAAGGATCCTGGAAGACCCGGCGGGCGTTGCTTCTGCCTTCTTCGAGCGATCCATGATGGTGTGGATGATTAGTTGCCTGATTTGCATCCGTTTCTTGATGGGCCACAGAAGAGGCACCACTGCCAGTTCTCCTCAACTGAGGTGGCTTCAAAATGATAAGGTAATCCTCGGAAGCAAAAATTGTGTCCGATATACGCTACATTTCCATTGGTCAGGATGGTGTCTTACGGTGATCCGGACATAATTCCTCACACATTTGTTTCCGTTCCTTCTCAATATCCCTGCAAGGTCTCCACAGGGGATTACTCTAGGCTGGGGATAAGATGTCAACGACGGAATCAAATCTGACAAATTCATTCGGGGTGTCTCGGGTTTCGAGCTGGAGCGATCGGTGAGCTGTGGAACCAAGGAATGCTCCCATCTGACCAGAGCTATTGATGCATTGCATTATAAAAGACCTCTTCTCCGCTACATAAGCTGCCGATTGAATGTCCACCACCTTCATCACTCGACGCATGTGCATAACACTTGAACCCTCGGTAACTTACTACAATCAGAAGACAGCAATTCCTACATCAGCGACCTCACTTACACACGCGAGACCGATCTTCTCTTTGGAACCACAATGTCTCTCTTATCGCGGGGAAACGACGCTCTCAATATTAACCCTCCAGCGGGAGTGGACGATGCCCTATCTCAGGCTGGGTCAGACTGGCTCTGGGCTGTCACGGCCATCTACATAATCTCATTCGTAAGCCCTTCATTCGCTTTACATGATCGCAGATCCTAGAAGGAGCATTTGTTTCACGATCATAAACTGACTTCTCTTGCTCTGTAGATTGGCCTCCTAGTCCTTTGCTTCACTACCCCCGAAAGTGACCGAGTGTTCCACTACCTCTTCACATGTGTCCTCCTGGCCGGCTCTGTTACCTACTACGCCCAGGCTTCCGATCTGGGCTGGAGCGCTATCGATCAGGTTGGCGACGGCTCATCCCGACAGATCTTCTACGCAAGATACATAAACTGGGTCGTTGCATTTCCGTCCATCACCTTAGCGCTCGGCATGCTATCGGACGTCTCGTGGACCACAATCTTCTGTAACATCTTTATTTCATGGTTCTGGGTCCTCACCTACCTCGTCGCGGCTTACACCACCACTGTCTACAAGTGGGGATTCTTCACCTTTGGCACGTTCTCGTGGATCATCCTCGCCATGAGCACCCTTAACGAAAGCTACGAGGCGGCTTCACGCGTGGGTGTCGGCCGGGATTACATCACTCTGGCTGGATGGACCAACCTGTTGTGGCTACTATACCCCATCGCATTCGGCTTGAGCGACGGCGGTAACCGAATCGACGTTACCGGCAGCTTCATTTTCTTCGGAATCCTCGATGTACTGCTGGTTCCCGTCTGGATTTTCGCCTTTTTATACATGGCACGCAACTGGGACTATAAAAAACTCAACCTTGCCTTCAGCGAGTCTCGGAGTGGCACACACAGCGGAACCTCCTTGGGTAATAAGACGGCACCGGCTACAGGGACCATCCCAGCCTCTGGTCACACCACCTCTGATGTATAAGTGGCTCAATAGAGGGTGCTAATAGGAAGACCTGGACATCCATTTGTGCAACCTTTGTCGGGTGTTTGCTCGATAGATCTGCTTGAGAATCTCGGCCGACATCTGGATTTATTGAGACTATGATTGGAACTGGTCTTGATATATTTTTGACGGTCGGGTATCGCAAAACTTATATTTGCAAGAAATGATGTTCAGTTCCCGGTTCCGTCGGATTATTGACTACGTTCATTTTCCAAGCTTGGAGGAGCCTCGCAGCCTCGCAGCCTCGCAGCCTGGATCTCAGCACCCTCGCTCCAAGTTGTGAGGTCATTCAAGACCTGACCGTCTCTCTTTCTAGATATTTACGCCATAGGCGGTTTCAATTAACAGTATTATTTCCTTTGGCCTGCTTTACGTAAAAGATTTACTACCAAAGACAAACCATGTGGATATGCCGTAGTGTGACACGCGAAATAGCTAGAAAACGTTGCTGGTTTTCCCGAGGCCATGGGGAGGAATGGATAAACCTAAAAGGAAAACGGAACGTAGAGTCTGGGGTAGACTTCCATACTGAGAGGCGTGTAAGTTGAGATCAGAGACTCAAGGCGTATCTCAGAGAGTTTGACAGTGTGCGTGGCTAAGTTTGATGAAGTATCGTTACTTGGGCGGAGACCCAACTTAACAAACTAGGCATGCCACTCCAGTGCCACATCTCGAGACACTGGAAGGGCTCGGATATTTTCAGGTGTCGCTTGGGACTCACCCCGGCTCTAGCTCAATCAATACAATGCTTCGGATCATCTGGGGCAACCGGCCTTGGCTCTCGACGCCGAGTGTACCATGGCCTCTCAATACGGCAGAAGGGAGACGTGGCAAACCGCAAAGGTAGCGTCCCTATTAAGAACCAAGGTCCTGAATAGAGTCCACAGTTGCTATATACCTCTCTGCTCAACCTTCTCAACCCCTGCGGCCCACTTTGAGTTCGAGCAACCTTGAGCGAAAAAACATCCGTCTCTAAAGTGACGGGTATAAATTGAAGAAGGCCGTTCAAATTCCACCGTTCTCCACTCTCTCGTTGAATCATTCAAATCTCCCATCAAAACACCGGCCATTCCTCCGTTCAAATCACTCGGGCACTAAATCAAGGAAATCCACCAGCTGATTCCATCTGCGACATACCGTAATCGCCTTCCAGCAATACGCCAGCTTATCACTTCAACTCCAGAGATATTGGAGTATCCAGCGTCCCAGACCCAAGGTCGACACCGAGAGAAGCTACCAAAATGGATCCTTTCAAGAAGCTACCACCGGAGGTCCGTCTACATATCTTCATTTGTCTACGGACTCGTTCGAAACTCTCCATTCTACCGTTCGTACAAGCCTCCCCCACTATGCTCCAACAATACATTACATCAAAACTATACATTATCAGATCATCTCTTGCTACTGACCTTGATTATGATATGATTCAAGATGCCATGAGAATTATTCTGTTCCCCGTTTGGCAAATTAATGTTCCCCCTTTGGAGTCCAGTGACAACATGTCTCCTTCGTGGCTGGCACAACAGCTGTCCAATCCATTCAAGAAACGTGGACGTATCGAAAATATCGACAAATTGCATAGCCGACTATTACTATTTATCGAGGACTATCTTACTAAGGCTACTGCAGAATATCCACCTCGGGAGTATCGCTGCCTTCCTCGCTTGTCATCAAACCACTTGGTATTATGAGACGAGACTCAAGCAACACGTGAGCTGACACGGATGGCCGCTTTTACGGCCTCTTCGCTCGCCGGCTCAACGTTGGCTCAGCTGATTATCAGCCCCCTCGGCCCCCTATCAGCTCGCATCAGCTCTAGGCCCTCAACTTCTGGGTCTTTTCCGTTACCCCATCTAACTCTCACAAACATAATGGTAACCTAAACTGGGGAGTTAACCTGGGATCCCATTTTTGGGACCAGGATCTCAGTTTTTGATTCTTTGTTGAAAGCCCTGGAACTTAGCTGTGATTGAATACTCTCGTGTCTGGAAGCAGTGGGCTCCAATGTAGACATCCTCGCTCTTAAGAACTTACTGCATGGTGTTAACAAATAATCCATATATGCCCATGGAATAACTCCCCTCGTTCGCGCCTGGGTCTTTACCTGGTATTTAGACTCGACTTTACCCGTCAACCTACCTAATACCATTGCAAAGCCATCCCGAAATTACAGATAGCGGCAGCAAAAAAAGCGAAAACGCCAATAAAGATAGGCAGATGTATGATTACGAGCCAATAAAGTTTTTAGGGGAAGAAGAGTTGGTGACTTGCTGAGATAGGAGGTCTAAGAGTATTTAAATTCCTCCTTTCAGTTGATTCTATATTTGGGTTGACATCTGTGAATATTCGCTTAGCCGGGTGAGGGCTGACAATGATGACCTTTTGTTTATTGCTTAGCTCACCAATTCGCAGTTGTTAACAATGGCAGAAGTGGCTGCATTTCCTACAGTTGCAGCGCTATTAAAGCCACAGCATTCAATTTTAACCCGAGATTCATAAATTGAACTCCGGAGAGTCCCTGGCACGATAAGCTTAGATATAAAAGAGGAGAGCGCTGAAATATATGCTGAGGATTTACATGTTTTGTAAGGAAATTATTTATTTTAATAAATTTTAAGGAATTGTTGGAAGACGACCCTGTATTACGAAACCTCTGATAGACTGATATCCTGACCTTAGTCAGAAGGGGGGTCTGATAACCCCTGTTCCAGCCGGTCCGGATGACCGGCACAAGCAAGGATCATCATCATCACTGCTTTGAACACTATCCATTTGATCAAATTGACCGTAACGGATCCATCAGGAAGCTATTTTCGTGAAATAACTATGACTATATGCCGTGGGCACTAATTTGAGCCAGGAAAGACAGCAAGCTCCATCATTTAACGCCAGGGCGGAAACCCGACGCAATATTTATGCAGCACCTTTTACGGACTTCGTTATTATAGATGGCAATACCTAGAACAAATCAGTTCCCAGGCCTTCAGCTCCGCTAACTCATCATAAAAGAAAATTTGTGCTCTGATTTTTAAGAACTTACATTGCAAGTCACGATCTATGACTTCGATGACCATGGTGTAGTTGACCCGGTAATGTCTTGTTCCAACCTTTCGCCCGTGTTCGTTGACCACAGGCTCGATAGGCCTTATGAGGCCTTGTTGACGAAGAAACGAGAAATCCACCACGATCTCACCAACTTTCTCTGCTCCTGTTCGCATGGAGACGTCAGCATTGGCACAGGAAGTGAGATGATTCAATAAATACCTTGATTGTTTGGGTGGCTCAACCTGTAATGTGAGCGAGTAGATCGGTCAGAAACATATAAAATCTCCTTGCAGATCAGCGGACGGAGTGGCCAGACGTCGAAAGTGTGGCTACAGACGAAAGGCGGGCATTGCCACTTGGAAGGGACAATATTTCCCTGGAAGATATTCGCATTTAGCACGCACGCCCTTCGTTAATGTCGGCAGAGGAGGGCTTTACCAGCTTCAGAACCCAGTCCACAGTATTCATGATGTAAGGATGTCCGTCATGAGAGTCGTAGGACGGCTTCAAACCCTCGTGCTCAGGGTATTCCTTGAAGGGTTCGGTGCGTAGGATGCCGTAGCTCGATCGGGCTTCTCTGCTTGGGCCTTGATCCTTGTTGAGTGCTCGCAGGACGGCTCCCGAGGCGACGGCGTTTACAATGCTAGGTCCATGTGCTTAGTGACGCTGGTCTAGCTTGGTAGTGATGGTTCTAACGAACTTGTATTCTGGAATTACTAGGGCGACCTGGAAACTGTGCTCGCGGCTGAATACATCCAGACGGGCTTTAAGATACTTCTGGAGAGAGATAGATGCCGCGAATCCGCCGATGAGGATCACCTTCTGTCGCAAGGTTAGCTGAGAAAAAGTGGCAAGCTTACGAAACGTACCGTGACCTTGGAGCCCTGCTCCATCGCGCCTGTGATTTGGGCTTCCATTAGTGAACCAATGCCTTTGAGGCAGCTGATAAAGATTCTCTTGATTTCGGCACTACAACCGACCACGTTAATGTCTTGAGAAACCTAAACCATTCTTAGTAGCATGTGGAATTTGAACCTACGCTGAAATTCTAACACACCCGTTCCTGAAACCTTTTTCGGGGTTGTCGCGGAGTCCAGACACGGGGAACAACTTATACGCTCCGGCCGTGTAGCAGTCAAAGGATCGTTTGACCCTGTACTCGAACTGATCGATCATAATCTTCTCGATGATGCCATCGATAGTCTCGCTACCTTGCTCAAGATATGTTTCGCTTTCAAGCAGCTGCTTCAGAAGGCCGTGGAAGCCTTCGTTGAGGTAGCTCGATCCAAAGAGGCCTCCTATTTTGGCATGAGATTTTCGTCCAGCAAGGACATTGCAATGGCTTCATCACTAGTAACTTACCATCAGGTGGAACCACCTCCCGGCTAAGCCTCAGGGGAGCTCGGCTGCTGATCTCGTACGTGTTCGCGTCGACAGTACCGCCGCCTTGGAAATTGTCAGCGTCCCTGCCATATGAACGCCTGACCTCGGCTTTTCGTACCTGCATCCAATAGGACAAACACATCGCCACACTGCAGAAATAAGTTAGTCGAATTTGGAATCCATGGGGAAGGACTCAAAAGTCCGGAATTGCTACCTGGAACCCGCGCTTCTCGGCAAGCACGTATGCAGCGGCGGCCTCGGGCTCGGAAACGATGAAGAGGTTTTCGATGCTATCATTCTGTAAATTGACGCCCCGGAAATTAGATCGTTCCATGGCAACCGCCATGCATGCTTGCATATCTCGGCAGGATTTCTGTGTCCAAATTGCAGGAACGCAGAGGACAATCTCTCTTTGATAGCTGCTGCCAAAGCCCTCATCCCGCAGTTGAGACTGAGTGTGCTTCAAGAGATGGGTTAAGAAGTCGGCGATAACGTCTAGAGGGTCTTTGATAATCTTCCTCGCTCGGAGACCGTTCAGAGTGATGCTCTGGCTTTGTCGAAGAGGCTCTGTGGCAGGGGTTTTGTCCAGCATGAGCTTGAATCGAGAAAACGGCTGGTTTGAGCTGTCCGAGTGTGTCATGGGCAGGGATCGGCGCTCATGGACCTGGTAACCCCACCGAAATTGGTCGTCATGGCTGGCCGACATACTGACGTCCCCGTCCGCGTCGGGCGAGGCTGTTGACTCTACGTCGATGCCAAAATCTGAGCCCGGAGTCCGCCCGTGGCCTGTATCCTCAACACCATTGCTGAAAGTCTGTTCCGCAGCATGCATGTCCTCCTCCTTGCGGAAATGCCGGTTCAGGGGGTACATGACTTCAGTAGGCACCTCGACCATCATTGGGTCGTTGGGGCTGAAGTTCCAACTCTCGGGATAGTTTCGAATGGAGCGGATTGAGCGCGGGTCAACCAACTCAGGCGGGCATCCTTCAGGTACAGGGACATAAGAAACAGCCGAGTATGTGGTGCCAAAGTCGACGGCTATGATGAGTCGTTTTGGTGGCGGTCCTTCGTCCAGCGCATTCAAGAGACCGGGAACGATCTGATCCGGGACCACATCGCAGTTGGTTTGCGGCTCGTGGTATTGGGGCCCATGATCCCGACCGAGGGTGGCCGTCGAAGCCCTTGAGGAGGACATCCCGATAGGTTGGAAGGGCGGGCGGGTGGTGGCTTCGGGTTGACTGGTCGAGGGCGAGCAACCTGGTTTAATAGTTGCGGTAAGTTACTATTCCTCCTTCCTAAATGGGCACGTCGCAGAGCCCCAACCACCAGGCGAACCGTTTCAAGTACGTGGCGAGGCAGAAGAGGCGTGGAATCACAGAACGTGCCAGCCAATGATTCTCAGTACTGGGGCTTGATATGCTACTTTCTGGCTCCACCGGGACAACCAACAGATGCACACCCTGGTCATTTTATCCTGGCGGCCTGTATCTCTTTGATAGGTACCTGAAAATACTTGAGATGAGAGGTGACGGAGCAGGTATCTGCTAACTGGACTGTGTACCGGCTCAAATCCGATTTGTCCCAAGCAGCCCCACAAGCATTTCCGCACTCAAAGAGATATGAGACCCAACCCTCTCTTGCCGGGTTCTTTTTTCGTCTGCAAACATTACCGCTCAAATTTCCCCTCGCAAAACCATGGCAGGGAAAGGGTCCAAGAAGGCCAGGCGGCCCCGCAAAAGAAAGCCTAACCTCCAGGCCTGGGCTAACAATGATCGCCTCCAGCTCCTGGCATATCTCAATTGGTGTGTGCAATACGAAGTCGACTTTGAGGCTACAGTGATGGGTCATTTGAAGGATATCACAGGGAAGGACTTCTCTTTCCGACAGATTCGGGACAAGCTCCGGAGAGAATGGAACAACTATGGGACATGCGACAATTTCGAAGACTTATATTCACAAGGCACAGCAGCCCTTAATCCGGCGGAAGCAGAGGACCAAGTCATCCAGCAGATGCTTGCTCGCCTCGGCTCTCCTCCTCGGTCCCGATACCTGTTGCGGCGCGCTTCATCTGCGCCCAAATCAAGATCGCGCACCTCGTCGACAGTCCGAGGGACACCGATGTCTTCAACTTTGGAAGCAGCGGGCCCGTCTCGACCCTCTAACTCTCACGATGGACTTGGAGACACTCAGAAAAGAGTACGTTATCTTCCTTAAAGCTGCTAGGGCTGGATTACCTGTATTGAGAAACTTTGTTGGATAGAAAGCCCTTAGTGCTGTGAGCAACAATCTCAACGAATGCGAGCTTGGTCGCGCATCCTCCGTCGACAAGAAAGGGGAAGCCGATCTAGACCCTGGCACGATTTCTGACAGCGAATGCTCTGAGATGACGGAACTGGGCGATACACCAGATCCCCCACTGCAGCAGCTCGACAAGGAGTTGGACTGCACGACAAAAGCACAGATGCTCGACGAGTTAGAGGCTTTACGAACCGAGCTTCTGAAGGAAAAGGCCCGCGTGTTCACACTGAGAAGCCGCCTATCAGAGACGCAGAGGGAGATGGATGAACTGCACAACAGCAGTCAGGCTGCAAACACAGGTCAATACAACTTCCGACAGCAGATTTCCTATCTCTTGGGACAACTCGAAGCCAAGGACCGCCTGTGGCAGGACACCGTAGCATTCAGAGCCGACACTTTCAGCTTCTCGAGGGATGCTATCAAACCAGAGTATAATCTGCTCTACCATGGGATCAACGAAGCAAGCTCATTCATCTGCGAGATGAGTCCCGATGAGGAGGATTTCCCTCGGCAGAGAAGCCAGTATCAGCAATCTGCACAAACCTGGGCAGTTAAAGCCTCCGGCTGGAAGTTAGAGCGTCTTCTCTCCTACAGTCACGAGGAAGGGATCCTAAAGGAGAAGCTTTTCGCATCCTTGGCCACAGCAGGGGTTTTCGAGCTCATCTTCGAATCAGTCCTTCCCGACATCTTGGCTCTCGAGTCACCTCTCCTGCATCAGTACAGAAAACATATTCGAACCAAGAGTGAGAGAGCTACTTGATATCCTCAAAACTGAAGACTAACTCCTCAATTTCAGACGGGCGGCAAGCCCTACATGAGCTCGATCTAATGGCCCTCAAGTCACTCACTTCAGAAGAGCACTTCACGAGTGAGGTTCTTCCAGAAAGAGCCAAGTCGCTCGCCGAGTTTATGATGAGGATTCTACAGCTCTTCTTGCCCCTGGAGAGTCAGGATATCGATCGCCGCTATCAACAAGAGATCTTGGGGGCCGGCAGTCTCGAGACCGTCCTAACTCAGGCCTTGCGTCTGAAACTTCATTTTGCCCTTTCTAAAGGGCGTTTCCAATTCCACTTCTTCAAGCCCGGCGTTCCCTTTGATGCCAGAAGCATGAACCAGGATACTTCGTGTACCGCAGGGTCTGGCGGCGGTAGTAAATGCAGGCAAGATGGTGTTAAGCTGTGCCTTCTCCCAGCTCTGTATTTCTTGCCGCAGGAAGAGGGAGATCATAGAGGGACACCCGAGTATCTTGAGACACACTCGAATAACACTCGTAATCATTGTCTAGCAGAGGCGAGGCCAGAAGATCTCGAGTTACTTGATATTGTAGCAAAGGGCGTCGTATTGATATAAGCGGCCCCAGGACAGCCTATGAGAGGCCAAGCAAAGGAATAGATATATACGTGCTGAATTATAGAGGTTGTCATGCAAACATTAGAGCGAGATGAACTTATATCACTGTCAGAAAGAAGCAGGACAATTAGCGGCTTGTTCTCTTGCGCTCTGTGATATTATTATCTAGAACCATGCTGAGGCGGCGTCCCAGATCTGGCCCACGCAGGGGACCCTTACGACTATACGATCCAAAAAGTGGGCTCGCTCAGGCATCTCAGCCCAAGCTCAGCCCGCCTCAGCCTGAATTCCGGGTTCCTCAGCCCGAGCTCAGCACCAGCTCAGCTTAGAGCAGCAGGAGCTCAGCTCTAGAAACGGAAATTGGTTTTGGTGTGCTTGAGTTTCGTCTCCGAGTTCGGTGGTATTTAAGGATCGGCCAGTCTGTCTTAGATTTGATGCATTCGCCCTTACAACCGGCGAACGAAGGCGACTCTTGAGGGCATTTCTACGGTATGAGCTTATTTGCAAGTTGTATCGCCTCAAACGAAAAGAACCAAAACGTCAACGGAACCTTGAGCCGCTGCTGGAATGTGGAGGCCAGATATTTCAGCCGTCAGAACGAGAGGCTATTCGCTGCGCTCACAGATATCTAACGTCTCTTTACGGGGCCTTAAACGCTCAGTACGGTGATTGCTGGCTACCGACTATCCCTAAGGGCACTTTTTACTCTTTTGAAACTACCGGCTTGCTATACCCGGACAATCTCTACGTCGATGATGCTTGTGGCTCCGACTTTGAACTGTTTCCACCACACCTAGCATGTTTTGGCTTCAATCTTGCTACAACCCTTATTCGATCCGCTACGTCCGGACAACGCAATCGAGACCGCCTTGAACAGTGGTTTTGTCTTACAAGAACATTCTCTACCACTAGGAACTATCCAGACTGGATCCTCAGCTCTTCGAGGGATACATGTTGCCAAAATGGTCCAGGTTTATATCAGAAGCTTTACCCTCGCCTTACACACGATCAACCTCTACAACAAGAGATATATCGACAGCGGGCCTGGTATTTCTTGATGACGCCAGATTCAGTTTCGGCTCAAGTCCACATTTTCCAACTTCAGACGAGCTTGACAGCCAGTCTATTGAGTTGGCGAGGATCGAGGAATGGTTCTTGAATCCTCACCCTACTAGAGCTCGGAATCGGTCACAGAAGTGGCAAGACGAGCAATGTGCGAGTGTTGACAATGACCAAAGGGACAATGATGCCCAAACTTCGGGGTTGAAGATAGAGTGCCAAACTCCACTGATTCCACTGCCTCCTGCATCCACAGGGAGAAGGTACAAAAATTTGGCTCCGTTTTGGCAATAAGTAGGACGCAAGTAGACGCTCCTGGGTGAACTTTCGCAACAGATCCGCTATCTAGGAATAAGGGGATGAGGGCTGCCTGACTAGTTTGTTGTCCTTGTTGCATAGTATGGGACACGCACGGCCACAACGTATGAAAGGGCATGACAGTGTTGTGGTGAGAAAGATCAATAGTAGTGCGTGGGAATACCTACACTTACTTATTTACTTTTCCCAAGCCTCGCATGCAAGGATGAAGACTGCACCGAGGGGAATAATTGCTCCAGCCCCGACCTTTGTCTCTCTGATGTTTGGAATCAGTGCTGGCGAGACGGCCAGTGCAATTAGTTCAATGCCGCTGCTACGCTGGGCCGCTATCATGCGACAATGGGCAGTGCAGCGACGGCTTCCCTTTCAACGTCTTCGACCTGTGTTTTATCGCGACTGCTCTTAATGCAATTCACGAAAGCCACGCCGATTGAGACCTCAATTTTGAATGCGACTCCCCCGGAACATGTCTCCCTGTTACTGAAGTACCTGTGCCACCTCCAGCGACATGTGTCCAGCCGACACATTTTGCAATCCGTAGCTAGATGTAGGTCGCAGTGAGTTCAATGAACCTTTAGTTTGCAATGAGCTCTTCGTGGTCTGCGTACAAGCCGCTGCCAGCAAGTGCGACGACACAGGCTGCCCGAATGGCTTAAATTGTAGCCCCATCAGCCTTTGTCTGTCACCCTGCGAGGTTGACTATGACTGCCTTCACCTGCACCTCATTTCCAATGGCGCTCTCGATGTTGACTTCATCCCACAGCGACACGATTGTGCCATTGACGCTGATTGCGCTGCCAGATTCGCCTGAGACCCCCGATAATTTCACGTGTCCTTGACAAGAGAACCCCCTGCGCTGCCGGTTCCATTGGTCAATCAGGCAAGACATGGGCGACAGATGGCTTTTGTACCGACATGGCTTGTAACTGGGAGGACGTGGGCTACGAAACAGGCGATGATGACCTTTGCAGCACATGCCAACCGAGTTCCTGCGCCCTTCGCGACCCATTCACGGCATGTAGTAAAGATAAGGACATCTAAATGGGCGAGGCCTGTTACTAGTGTTGTCTGTATCGTTGGAATTTCTTTGTTCAACAGGTTTGCATTCTTCTTGAACATCTCGCCCTGAACCACTGTTGTTCGTATTTACTTAATGATTCATTTAACCATGATCCAGCTTTGTTTGGCATTTGAGGCACAAAGACATATTGATAACCTTTGTCTGACATTTTTGAATAGGAACAGATAAAACGCAAATTGTCTTCACCGGGCTCGTCTGTCCGTTCATTTATAAGGCCATCTTCAAATTTCCCAAAACAAACAGACCTCATAAGCTAATTCGAATTGATCTCTTCGGGATATTTTTCTTACTACTCGCCAACGCCACTTTCTGCACGCCACTTGTCTACATAATCGTGCTGCATACTATCTCCCAAGCATGGAGCGCTCCGGGAAGAACCTGAATTGGCCCAAAGGTGCAGTTCGGTTCCCTCAGTATAGCATGCTTCCCCCAGAGCTCAGGATCATGATTGTCCAGGAGGTGGCCTCCGAGATGATCTACGGGGAGCCTATTTTGAACTTGCTCAATTGGCGCGACATGACTCAAACCTCTCTGCCAGTCCAGTCTCTCCTCCTGGTCAACAGAGAGATGAACGTCCTCGTGCGAAGATGTCTTCCCTCGCCGATAAAGATCTCGTCTGGAAAGCTATCCCAAAACTTCTTTCTCGACTTGGCGGCATCGACACTCGTGGTTCCCAGTATGCGTCTCCCGTCGATGTCAGAGAAGAACATGACAAGAGGTGGGGACCGCCCGGCGGATGCACTTCAACCTCCTTTCAGAAAGTTGATTTCGGTATGGGATCACTACTTCCGGCCCACGATGATTCCCAGTGCACATGGAGAGGTCTTCCAACCCCGGATTGGCAACGCTAGACTGCCTGAGCTTAAGGAGGCCACGTTCCTCACAAACTCAGGGCGTCACCTCGGTTTTGATATCGAAGATTTCGGGTCCGAGAATCTGTCGCAAGATAACGTGCATGGCTATGCTCTTGGAAATACACCTGCAGGCGTATGGGTAGGATTCCGCTACCACAAGGATACTGGGCGTGTGCAATTCACGCCTCTGATCTACAATGACGTTGAATTCGCATTCACAGTCGTGGCAGAATCCGGGAAATGGTCCCAATTATTCTATCCCCTTATGATCCGAGTATGGATTATGGATCGCGGAGAGAATCCTCCCGATGAGCCCCATCACAAGTGGACCGACGTACGGAATCCAGGTCCCTTTGACCCATTATGGGTGTCCAATGTATGTGGTCTCTGGGAGTTGGCGCGCAAAACTTTAGAAGGACCTCGGTATAGTCCGCTTCGTTTCGAAGACCCGCAAGGCTTGATCAAAATCACAAAAACCGGTTAAGGGTCTAGATCATGTCAATAGATAAATAAATAACTTAGAAACTGGCTGAAGAGTAACCCGTTCTGTTCTATGTTTAGGCGTGTCTGCGCGTAAAGCGGTTCACGTGACGCGATTGCATTTCCACATCCACATGGAGCTCCACGGCCAAAGCCCATCTCGACTCCCTCACCAACTGTACATGCACAACTCGACGCGACAGCCGCGGCAAATCGCCCTCGCGGAAGACTGCGCGTTGCGGCGAGTAATGGACTGATCAGAATGTCAGGTGTCGTACCTCATTCGCCATGGCCCTCCCGCGCGGTCAGACGAACCTCGCCAACGCCAACGCCCACGCCAACATGGCCATGAGCCTCGCGCCGCCCGACTTCCCCGAACCCTTTCCCACCCACGAAGGCGCCTTCAGCGCGCTGCAGCAATGGGCGCGGGATCACGGATACGCCGTCTCGCGCCACAAGCCGAGCAACTACGCCAATGGCCTGCCGCGCCGCTACGAGATCGTTTGCGCCTTCGGGGGCACGCCCTACACGAGCAAGTCCAACGGCATCCGCAAGAGCACGACGCGCAAGACCAATTGCCCCTTCAAGGTCAAGCTTGTGCAGCAGCGCGCCCTCGGAGACCTGTGGGCCATGACGGTCATGTGCGGCCACCACAACCACGGCCCGAACGACCCCGTCACCTTTCGCGAACACAGTCGTGGGCGCGGGCAACACGTCCGGGACGTCGAGGCCCAGAGCCGTGAGGCCGGAGCTACGGGACGCGGCATTCGGACATCCCTCCAGGCGAACAACCCAGGGCTTCTGGTCACAGAGCGCGATGTCTGGAATGCGCGAAGTCGCCGGCCACACGATGCTGCCGAGTCCACGCCAACTGCGGCGACGCCCTCACAACCCGGTCAACCGAGGCCACGTCCGCGCAAGCAGGCTCAGAACAACGATGCTGCGGCTGCGGCTCTTGCAGCTTCAATAGGCACCAACATCGTCGCTCTCATTGATATGCGCCTCGCCCAATACCTGCCGCCACCGTCAGGCGGGCCATCAGAGCAGTTTTCAGTGCCTCCGTCGGATCTGTCGCCACTCCCAATCAGCAGCCATGTGGCCGCCCTGGTCGATATGCGCCTTGCGCAATATCTAACGCCCCCTTCAGCATCGCCGTCAGCATCGTCGGCCCAACCGCCGCCCCAGCCGGCACCTCAACCACCAGTCCAATTACCCGCGCTACCAGCAACCTCCCAAGCTCCTGAAACGGCTGCGTTTCAAACCAATCTCATTTGGCAAGAGCCAAATTTGGGACCTTCAGCTGCACAAGGCGCAATATAGTGGCGGACAGGGATGCCATGACCCGTGCATTGTTCAAATGCATTGTCCTTTGGTCACCCAGTAGTTTAAGTAGCCACAAAGTGCCTAGAAGGAGAACAAAACAAACGAGTCATTGAACTTTCAAAGAGTTCATTGAGTAATTATTAATAGAAGAACATTCACCCTCATCGATCCGAATAGTTGACGCACCGGAGTCCAATACAATAAATCACTGTATTCATGTGAACAGTCGCCAGCCTCGAGTATAAGTCTTGCCCAAATTCCGTCTTCCCCTCTCATCAGTACGGATAAACAAACAACAACACAAAGCCCAACATCAATATGTCTTCCCGACTCACGCCGAGTGAAGCCTACGAGGTGGAGATCTTGAATAAATTCCAACGTGATGGGGGCCGCCCTGTCTACAATATTCTGGAGCTTTACGAGGACGCTAACAAGAATTTCCACGAGTATCAGGAGAGATTCCAACCTTGGCAAGATCCTAAATACCCGGACGACCGGGCTTACCAGGTACTCTGCAGACAGCTGCTTCGATGGGACCAATTTCGCCAGTGGCAAGACAGTAACAGAGGGCCGCAAGAAATCTCAACTACCACACCAACGCTGTGCAATTTCAAAAGGATGAAAGGGTGGCGGTTCCCAGTGAGGCCATCGGACGCTCTCGCAATCAGGGAGCACAAAAAACTTTACTGGACGCAGGATCTCTTCAAGCAGCACATGCAGCTTGACCTCCCACAACACACCCTCGCCGTAAAGCGCCTCCTCGAGAAGCATGGCTTCCAGCAGCCGTTCCTGCTCAAGGAAGACCCCAAAGACCAAGGGAAGCTGTCCACATGGGTTGAGTATCTGGCTTTTGAGCTCTTGTGCTTGGAGTTGTATTCAACAGCTTCTACGAAGCTCAAGGCGGACTACGATCAGAAGTGGGAGAAGCTTGTGCAATCGGGTTTCTTGATGACTTCCGAAACTGAGACATCAGTGCGAACCGCCAAAGCCAAGAAGGAGCGCAACGAGCGCCTGAACACTGCCGTGCGATGGTACGCTTCAGCGCAGTCCGATCCAACTAACACCCTGACCTTGGACATGGCAAAGGTCCACCTGAAACAGGTGGAAAGACGAAACATTTCCATTGCAGAATTTGTCGACGGTTCTGCAGACTACGTGGAGGCATCCGCACGCGCTGCCCGCCATGAGAAAATCGTGCAGTGGATCAGGGACGAAATCCCTTCCGTCGTGGCTGAGATTACCGACTGGCAGAAGGATGGGGTCCCTGGGTTCAACTTGAAGAAGCGGACGCGCGACTCGGATGCAGAGGAGTCGGTCGGGAGCATCTTCAAAAGGCAGAAGCCGGAGGGGTCGAGGAAGATTGCTCCACTCAACGGGTTTGGCACTGGGCTCAACGCTGGGTCGTTTTCTCAAAACGGCCAAGGTCAAGGTCAGGATGAGAGCCATGAGGACGCATGCATGGAAGATATCTGATGAGCGGGCTTGCAGGAACTTCTGCCGTTAAAGACAGTGGAAGCCCATTTGTGTAGGCCTAGAAGGTTGGCAAATGGAGTTGGTTGATATTTATTAGTGTTTTATTCTCATCTTGCAGGAAATACGAGTCCATTAACTACACCTAGCCCTTTGTATGTCTAATTCGCGGTAAATATCTGCTTATTGTGACTGTTACTCTCGCGGTTTCTTCCATTTCGGGTCTATAGTGATTCCGGCTACAGATGTAGAAGCCAACAGCTACAGATTCATCCAGACACATGCGACGTCGGTGATGAAAGAGGAGACAGTCAACCTAAGTTTCTCCAGACCACCCTCGCGGACGAAGCATTTGTGCTACAGCCTCAACCTTTGCAAGTCTCTCACTAGACTTTTTAAGAACTGTTAGCATACAATTCTATGTCAGTGGACTTGAAGGTTGTACCATTTCGTAGACCACATCTGTTGTACAGTCTACTCAGGCAATTTGTCACACATCCCGGTCTTCATCACACTACGCACCACCAGAGTGTTCATTCCACTTTTCCCGAGGCCACCGTTCCACTCTTTGTCCAAAACAAAGCGGGCATGTCTTTTTTCGGTGATGCGTTACCATCCCTGTGGTAATGATCAAATCAGGATTCGACTGATGAGAACAAAGGATGAGAACAAAGGACAAAGGGAAGAAAGAAGTGAGAGTAAAGGCGCGGATAAACGGCGACAAAGAAAGCCGTGAATAGCATTGAACAACAGAAAGCCTAGAAATGTAATGGAAACAATGTGTGGCGTATCTATAGACACCACGGATAATTAGGGATACAAGTATCGGTTTCAACTACTTCCATTGTCCACAAATCAACCTCCATCAATCATGAGTGTCACCCCTCATTTCCCCGACATGCTGGACCAGCGAATAGAGACGGTTACTGAATACCATGAACTAGACGCCGACATGGAAATCAAAAACGTTCTCCAGGAGGTCAGCAAGACGTCCTGGATCCTCGGTGGAAAGCTCTTACTCTCGCGAACGAGCACACCCACTCCAGGAAAGCCTTCTTGGAGTTCTGGACAAGGCGATTTCTACACGATTTCTGAGGCGCCCTCTCCTCTGCCACCCGTTCGCTCTCCATCATATACCGACGAGTCCTTCAAGCTGCTTTGTTATGCCCACGAGTGGAAAGCAACTTGGCGTATTGGCGAGGCGTACCTACTGGTCCAAAAGCCAGTGTCCCCATATAGTGCAAGGGAACATACTACGCTGGAATATGTCCAAAGCAAGGGCGATTTGGGCTTTATGACCCCGCATGTCCATTACCACGACGAATTCGACGGCCGATACTACCTTATTCTCAACGACATGCCCGGGGAATGCATGCAAAAGGTGTGGTATACGTTGGGGCCTGAGGAAAAGACGTACTACATTGAACAGGCAGTCAACATGGTGAAACAGCTCTCAGAGTGGCAGTCAGATACAATGGAGGGAGCGGGAGGAGGTCCGGTCTTGGAATGGTTCCTAAACGACCCCATCACAGGAGACTCTAACATCAAGCCCGAAAATCTCTTGAAAGCCGCTGCAGCCATGGACATGGATTGCTCGACCTTCCATTTCAGCCACAACGACTTGAAGCCCTGCAGGATCACAGTAAACGGAATCGGCAAGCCAATTGGTGTCTGGAACTGGTCGACTGCAGGGTTTGTTCCCAAGGATTGGATCCGAACGAAGCTCCTCAGGTTCAGATCGATGGATTTACCGTCCAGATCCGACGAGTACAACTCTGAGGTCGCAGAGTGGAGAGAGCGAATTCAGGAGCGCTTGGGCGAGGAGGGATTCCCCGAGGCTACGGCTGGATTTACAAAGTTTTTTAACGCGTTGGGGAAGAGGGACATGTAATTGTTGCGTGTTTCTCTTTTAGTCTTTACTTAGAGGATTAAATGCAAAATCTCATTTTTACGTCAACAGAAGCCATCGTATCCCAATTTTTGTATCATCTACGAGATCCTGGATGCTATCACCTGTGAGTCGGCGGCGCCTACATCTACATGGTACTCAACGCCACCGTAGTCCTAGGTAGGGCCATACGGAGTATCTTGGCCATTTACCGTCAAGGACCTGAGACTAGGTCAACGGAAGAACCCGATTTAAAGCGAATGAAATACCAGACGTCCTCACGTTTCCGCACTACAGACTTGATTCGCAATGTTCGAAAGCCAACAGCAAATACCACTAACAACTAAAGATTAATACGGCTAATAAAGAGCGACTTAAGAAGTGAATAGAAGACTCAGTCCCAACACAGAACCGGAACATGTTTCCCAATCTCCCGTCCTGCGGAGAAGAGAGACTTCCCATACAGGTAACAAGATAAATACAGGAAATGACCGTGACATGAGAAACAAGCAAACAAACATTCAACTCCAGTAGCGATCGTAAACCTAGGTGCCGCTTCCATGCTGCCCCAGAGGGAAATCCTGTGTATCCTCACCACCCATCACACATCATACTCCCCGGCCCCTTTACCATCTGTTGCGCTTGCACTGTCCCGACTTATCCTCGTACTGTCCCTTGGGGCAACAGCACTTCTTCTGAGAGTTGTCGTAGAGCATGTCCGACTTGCAAGCGCACTGCTTGTTGGAGTACACCATGCCGCTCTTCTTGCACACGCACGCGTTGTCATAGTTGCTCCAGGAAGCCTCCTTTCCACAGTCAACCTGGCAGCCTTGAGACGTCCACAGCTGACCTGATGGGCAAGCGCAGGTCTTGCCAGCCTCAGTGTACTCCATTCCGCTCTTCTTGCACACACACTTCTTGCCGCTGGAATCCGGGTAGGCCTGGGAGCCGCAGTCAAGCTTGCAGCCTTGCGAAGTCCACACCTGTCCTGAGGGGCAAGCACAAGTCTTGGTAGCCTCGGTATACTCCATACCAGCCTTCTTGCACACACACTTCTTCTCCTTTGAGTTGTATGTCGCGTCCTTGCCGCAGTTAACGGCACAGCAGTTATTGATGATCTCCTGTCCGTCGGGGCAAGCACAGGTCTTGGTCTCCTCGTTGAACTTCTGTCCCTTCTTGGGGCACTCGCACTTGTTGGCTCGGGGGTTGAAGACAGCGACCTTGCCACAGTTGACCTTGCAGCAGTTGTTGATAAGTTCCTGGCCAACGGGGCAGGCACAGTTGTTGTTCTCGGGGTTCAGAACCTGGCCCTTCTTGGTGCATTTGCATTTCTTGTCGCGGCCGCGGACAGCATCGGTGCCGCACTTCAGGACGCAGACCTTGTTGACAAACTCCTTGGTCGGGGGACAGACACACTTCTTCTCGCCGGTCGTTTCTCGCTCAGAGCCTCCAGTGCACTTGGGCTTGCAGACGCCGTCCACTAACTCATCGTACTCAGAGGGGCAGACACACTTCCTGTCGCCAGTCGGTTCTCGCTCAGAGCCGCCGGTGCACTTGGGCTTGCAGACACCATCGACGAACTCCTCTTCCACAGGCGTAGTAGGGCATTTGCACGCTCTGTCGCCGCCTTCTTCCCGTGTAGAGCCTCCGAGGCATACGGGCTTACAAATGCCATCGACAAATTCCTCCTCAACAGGTGTGGTCGGGCATTTGCACTCTCTGTCACCGGCCGGTTCGCGGTCGGAACCTCCTAGACATACAGGCTTGCAAATGCCGTCGACAAATTCCTCCTCAACCGGCTCAGTTGGGCACTTACACTCTTTATCGCCAGTTTCTTCGCGCTTGGAACCTCCGAGGCACACAGGCTTGCAGATGCCGTCAACGAACTCCTCTTCAACAGGCTCAGTTGGGCACTTGCATGCTCTGTCACCACCTTCCTCACGTGTTGACCCTCCGAGGCATACAGGCTTGCAAATACCATCGACGAATTCCTCCTCAACGGGCGTGGTCGGGCACTTGCATGCTCCGTCGCCGCTGTCTTCGCGTGTAGAGCCTCCAAGGCATACCGGCTTGCAAATACCGTCGACAAACTCTTCCTCGACAGGCTCAGTTGGGCACTTGCACTTCCTCTCACCACCTTCTTGACGTGTAGAGCCTCCGAGGCATACCGGCTTGCAAATACCATCGACGAATTCCTCCTCAACGGGGTCAGTGGGACACTTGCATGCTCTGTCACCACCTTCCTCACGTGTAGAGCCTCCGAGGCAGATAGGCTTGCAGATGCCGTCAACGAATTCCTCTTCAACAGGCTCAGTCGGACACTTGCACTTCTTCTCTCCGGTAGTTTCGCGAGTAGAGCCACCAGTGCATACGGGCTTGCAGATGCCATCAACGAATTCCTCTTCGACAGGCTCAGTTGGACACTTGCACTTCTTCTCTCCGGTCGTTTCGCGTGTAGAGCCACCAGTGCAAACGGGCTTGCAGATACCGTCGACGAATTCTTGCTCTACCGGTGTGGTAGGACATTTGCACTCCTTCTTGCCATATTTCTCTCGTTCAGAGCCGCCAGTGCACTTAGGCTTGCAGACCTTGTCAACAAACTCCTCGTCGGTAGGGCAGACGCACGATCCGTCACCGGCGCGCTCAGAGCCACCGGAACACTTGGGCTTGCAGGCGTTGAGGACGGGGACAATCTCCTCGTTCTTGTTGTCGCAGGCACAAGGTCCACTGCCATACCTGGGGCGAGAAGCACCGGTAGGGCACTTGGGCTTGCAGACGCCGCTGACCAAGTCCTCGTCGTCGTCGCAGACACATTTTCCTTGGCCGTTGCGTTTAGTTCCACCGGTGCATTTCGGCTTGCAGACGCCGCTGACCAAGTCCTCGTCGTCATCGCATACGCAATAGCCTTGCTTGTTGCGCTTGGTTCCACCAGTACATTGCGGCTTGCAAGCGTTGAGGACGAAAACGATCTCCTCGCCCCTGGTGTCGCAGGTGCAAGCTCCGTTACCATAACCAGAGCGCGACGCACCAGTAGGACACTTAGGCTTGCAGACACCGCTGACCAAGTCTTCGTCATCATCGCAAACACATTTGCCTTTGTCGTTGCGTTTAGTTCCGCCAGTGCATAGCGGCTTGCAAGCGTTAAGGACGGGGACGATCTCCTCGTTCTTGTTATCGCAGGTGCAAGGACCACTGCCATACCTGGGGCGAGAAGCACCGGTAGGGCAGTTGGTGCGAGTGAAAAGGTGCCCACCGGGCTGATCACCTCTCTTCTCGATGCCGTCTTCGTTGGCACGAGGGTCGGCAGCGGCACTGACTGAGGTCAAACCGAGAAGGATGTTGAGGGCAAAGTGGTTGAGACGCATGATGGCAAGTTGTGGATGCCGTCCAGGGGCGCAAAATGGAAAGAAGAGTTAAAGTAGGGCTTTCCCAAGACAAACTGAGTTTAATCTCGTCTGTGGTGAATGCTGAGGTTGTTGGCGTAGGGAATCCAAGAGTTCAGAGAGATGGGAGCGGCAGTCGAAGAATATATAGCATTTGAGTCGAATTCTACATGCAGCCACGGTGTCTCCGATGAACAACCATATTCACTACTCAGCTCAGTACCAGCTCCGATGTGTAAAGATGTGTGGCGTTATCCTCACAGAAATCTAGACCACACAAGATGTAGCTACTTCGTTGCCACAACTGATTAATGCTCGATTCATTACTCCATAATGAGGTAGGATGATAGTGTCTTGGCGAACAGTCTTTGTTCATCAGCCCGCCATGTCCTTAGAAGGCAACAAACATCAGCCTCACTGCAGCATACCCTGTACATCCACAGCGCTAAGCGCTTCAAATCACCAGAGCGCTCTGTGTTTCTGCCAGTTCTAGACTGACTGGCCCACAGCTCCCCCGCAAAGCATGTGTCGATGTTTGGGGGCGTTAACTGGTCAAACGGGACGCCACTCGAGCCATCAGCGACCACCCTTACGCGGGTCCTCGCAAGGCAAGACAATACACGGGCAAGCCACTGAGCATGGCGTTGCAAGGAAATATTGATTGCGAGTCAGCGCTGGAGGCGTGAACTGGTGCAACTATACCGTTATGCATCAAACAAGCTGCGGCCTGTCGGTTCGGGTTTTATCGTCACATTTTACTTGCTCATCCGTTGGTTGAAGTCAATTATCAACAAATGCTCAACATCCCCAACAGATTTCTCTTCTAAAAGGAGTGAGAATCCATTGTCCAAGGCACGCTTGACAATGGCTCGCACCTGCCGAGATCCGACAACCGATCTCCCGGTTTCTTGGCAACACACAGAGTCTCGGACTCTCGGTCTAGTGAGGCTTGGCGGTTTGCAACCTTCACTCCGCGTTCGGCTAGACTGGAAGAGACAATCACCATCCAACGTCATGGCTTGTCCATTTACGGCATGTCCGTTCATAAGTGGAAATTATGCAACCATGTGACTGCGGTATTGCCGGCCGATCGGAGATTGTGCCTGAGTCTTAGGTTACAGCTAACTGGTGCCTCCCCGCGTGCGATCCAAGCCAAAATCGAGCGCAATTGAGCCCCATTTGTTGGCCTCTAGAAGATGACAAAGCGCAGAAATTTGCCAGGTTAAGAAAAAGAATGAAAAACATTGAGATTAATGTGGGAAGAGACTCAATTCTTACATTCTCTCTGTGCAATTGGTAATGCTGATGCCATGCTTGCAGGTTTGGTTGGAGCTGAAACGTGCAGTCTGTGTGAAATCGTGACGTAATGGTGTCTGTATTGACCATGTCCTGTCTTCCACTAATCCTCAATAAGAAACATCCATCGCCCGCGGCTGAAGTGCGCTAGCCATGTCCTGCTGAGATAGAAAGAGGAGCTGGCTTGGTGGCGAGACGTTGGGTAAGGAGGCGTCTAGGTTCTTGCTCTAAGCCCTGTTTGAGTGCATGGAGGGCAAGAACACTTTAACTTTATCCCGGCGGTCGAGACATCGGTAATTTCCCCTTTCTGCTGGCCACTAACATGGTCAATGACCAGGAAACATGTAACAATAGAGTAAGAATCAATCCGAGGGACCGGGAGGCCGTAGCGCACGCGCCGACTTTTGAGCCTGTTGGAACTATCGGAACTTTATTACAAGCATCAGCAATAAGCTAATATTTTTAGAGCTATTCCAGTAGCTATAAACAACCATCAGGACAATATCGCCACAAGAAATGATACTTGAAACGATAGGCTGTTCAAGTGATAATCGTAGCTGGAAAAGTGCGCGAACTGATCATTGTCGGGGTCACCAGTCCAAATGCGTCAAGATAGCAACGCATAATTTCAGTCTGGACTCGGCCGCTGATGCATTGGAGCTCATATGATCACCCACATCATAATGTCTAATTGGCCTATGAGGTTGATGGCTGGCGATGGGGAAATAAAGTTAGAGCTCGGTCAAGCGGCAAGATCCCTCTGAAATAAAGACTACCAGTGCTCTGGGATATACCACACAATTTCACGTCGGTCCGGTCCCCCAGGAGAGGAGCACGGGTATTGTTGGTTTGTTCTCTTCGTAGGGCTGAGTCGGTGTCGAGGGTGGATACTCTGCTGGGACTTTATCATCAGAAATTGCAAAAGACAGCCCATGGATTGAAATGCGAATGGACGTTTACGAGAGAGATACCGCATGAATTGGCTTTGAGATTTTAACTGGTTTACGCTCCTCCTCTGATGAATTTAAGATGTAGGTTAAGGATACAGTTAGAGTAAGCAGCTAGATCTTCTCCCGCTCCGCAGCGACCATTGACCGATTTTAATGCCCTAGTGCGGCCTCGGCCCAGATGCTGTTTCCCCGTGAGCATCCCATGTTACCACGGGCGGAGTTGAAACCTTTTCGGGCAAGCCACAAGCCACCAGTGCCACCACACTGGAAACAGGTCGGCGATGGTTTTGTTGCCTAGACCTGTTGGGACAAGATCTAAGCCGGATGTTGGGTCTTGGCGCTGGAGGTCAACTGATGTTACTCTGCGATGGAGCCGAGCCAAAAGTAAGCTTTCTTTTTTGTGACAGGTTGAGGGTTGCATTGGGCTGGACGACAGCGTTGACGAGGGCTCAGCTCACAGGATTAGCCGTGCCATGTGTCAATGCGCCCCGGGGTTCTCGATGAGGGTTGCAGCCTCTGAGTTCCCGCTGAGCTGATCACAGGTATGGTGCGCTGCCTGCATGATGCAGGGGAAGAGCCAGGCCAACAGCAAGATGCCAATAATGGTTTCCCTGCCTTGTGGAGCCTCTCTGCGACTGGTAAATGAGTGACGCCTTTTCTCGTGTCATGCCATGCGGCCATATTTCAAATGTCACATCCCCCATAAGAAACTAGCTAAGTGGCTTCGTTTTCGTTTAGCCCTATACCTCAAATGGGCGGCTCAATGCTCGCTTATCGATGAACATGAGAGCTCCTCCAAGCTCCTTCTACGTGGTGAGATAATTTCCAAGTCTAGAACCCGGCCAGAAATGGGTCCTAGGCAAACCAGACGCCATTGCACCAACTCTAAGGTCTGTTCCAAGCGCCACACCAACCCGCAGCCTTGGCGAGCGGTGGCCCCAAAGCCCTCGCTACGAGGGTGCCAGTCGGGTCGTCGGCCGCCAGTTGACCGAGGGCAGCAATACGAGAGTGAGTGAGAAGGGGGGTACCTTAGTGCTAGCGGCAGAGATGCAAAGCAAACAACAATGTATCAAACGAGGCGTCAGACCATGAGCTGAGCTGGAGTGTGGTTGGATTTCAGCTCTATCAATAATCTGGTCTGGACTTGGTTTTCAAATCTCTCTCCTCTCCATAGCTGTCAGCAGTGAGCCTTGGCAGTGTAAGTCGCCCCGCGATGTTTTACTCCCAAGGTTTATTTATGCTTAGCGATATACGGTGATTAATTGCCCGAGGATTGTTAATAAGATCCTCGGGCTGTTAACTTGGGCTTATTGTACGAGTCAATCATGAACTGGATTGCCATTCTTGTTCCTGGTTCCAACGGCCAGGGGCACCATTCCCCCCGCACTTGTTCCTGCAGCTAACATCGGCTAGGCCCGAAAGGTAGTAGAATGCCAATAGCCTGAAATGCCCGGCCATGTCATGACAACTCTACCCAGTAATTATGTGTCCTCACAAACGGAAGTTGTGTATCCCAATTCCGGCTGGAGCTCGTGGTCTTGACTCTCAATTCCCGTGCCAATAGCCGAGGGCCTAAATTCTTAAGCACATGCACCTCAAGGATCACCACATCCCACGTAGATTGATGTGACTAAATTCAGACATATTTGAGCCAAATGACAACCTGAGAACATGAATGTGTGTGTTTTCCGGGAAATCTGCACTGTGTTGGGACTCTCGGCTCTGGTAAGGGCATTGGTAGCCACAGCCAGTCCACGAGGCCCACAGCGACTCCGGGTGTCAACTTGTAAGAGTGATGTAAGTGGCATGCATATTCAACACAATCGTTCCAACGCTAATCCTCTCCGGGGGTCGACGGTCAGGTCAGCAGGTACCTCTTCAGAATGTGTTGAGAGCGTCAGCGGAAAAAGAAAACGATGGGCTTTGCTTGATGTGGCAGAAGAGGCGCCAAGGTTCGTGACCCTTCACATTCAAGTGTAGGGTAGGCTGGATCGTTTCGGCCTAGCGATCAAGATCTCATTCAACTACATCGTGCCGCTAGTCACGAACAAGACAAGGCGTTAGCATTCCTGGCGGGAATAGCGTGTGGGCAAATCCGAGGGCCTAGAAGAGCTTGGCACCTATCGCCATTACCGAGCTCGTCGGAGCTGTTGGGCCGTTTCAGCCTTGTCGGCCATTTGGGAAAATGGCGGAACCTTGCCGCTCACTAACAAATGTGTGCGCGCTGGTCGTGTAGAAATTCCAAAGGTGGCTGGAAGAGATCAATAGGACAATAATATCCCAAAACGGTTCGTTGCTAATTCACGCTGCCCCGAGCACAGAGTCCACCAGGGCGATGAGAGCCGCAAATTGAAAGCTGTGAGAACTGACTGCAGCTGAAGTATGCGAGACTATCGCATACAGCAGTTGGACAAAAGAAAGTCAGCCACCAACAGGCGTTGCCCGTCTAGACCTGGGTCGCCCAGGAATTGCGTTGCCTGATTGGTTCCTCGCAGTCTCCAATGCACCCCAAGCATTGCCAAGGGAGAATGTTTTGGTCAGTACTAAGGGAACTTGGATTTATGGCATGTTGGTAAGCACATCGGGACTGGACTGTTGAGCCCACGAGGATCTGGAATGGAGGGTGGGAGGCCACGAGCAAGTTTTATCTTGATGTAGGGTAGCTGATGGGCTGGATAATGGACAACGGAGAACAGTTGTGAATTAGATACACACGAGAATGCAATGCGGACGGTAGCATAGTAAGAGTGATTGATCATAGCTAGCTATATCCTGCTTGGTGAAAAGAAGAAGTCTTTGTAAAAGTTGGTGACACCTTTCCTCGCCAAAATTGACCCAAGTGACCCTTGACACACATTTATGACCTCTAACATGTGCCACAAAATCTAGGTCTCATACCAGTTTCCCAGAATTATATTCATAATATCCCATGCAACAAAAACGGAAGTATCTCCAAGGTATTCTAGTCAGTCTTGATGAGCTTGTTCTCAAACCATCTAGCGAATTTCACGCAAGGAATATCGACAGCCCGCCAGAAAATATCAGCACACCAGATGACGGCTGGTATGCAGAAGCAAGCTCCCAAAAAGAAACCGGCAGTATACCACTCTCCCTCAACGCCAGTCACACCCCAAGCCCACTTCATCCAATGCATGCCAATGACTTTCAAGACTGGCCCATGCATCAGATACAAAGCGTACGAGATTTTGCCAAAGTACTGAGCGATACTGGAATTGAAGACTCGCTGCCACCACACTGAGTGACCCACACCAAGGACAAAGACAACTGCACCGAAGCCTTGCCAATATCGAAACCCCTCGTGTGCCCACCACTCAGGGATTAGCGAGGTCAGATACACCCAACCGGGAGTCTTTGAGCCGCCCGAGTCAGGTTGGCCCAGAAAGTATAACCCAAGCATGGCGACTAGGTTCCAGGATATCACCTTGGCTGTTGAGTCAGCTGGCTTGGATTCCTTTTCTCTTTCTCCCGACGGCAAGACGGGAGGTGGGACATGGGCACCACGAATATGATCCCACTCAACAAGAGCCATCCCACTGATAAACAAGAGAAATTCCCATCTGGAATTGTAATAGGTGACGTATGTAACGACGGCCAGGGTCAGGAATCGGTATTGAGTTCGGAGGCGGGCGGTCCCCAAGATGACGAGAAATAGATAGAGCGAACAGCGGAACTCAACAGGGATAGTCCACAAATGCGCGTCATAAACTAGACTTCCGTTAGTATGGGCGAGCTAGGGATAGCCAAAGTGACTTACTGCGGAATCCGCCATAGTGCTCCCAGCTGAAGACCTTAAAGCCCCCGAAGATGGCATTGGCCCATTGCACCCACTGCTCATGTGCAGTAGCAAGCATCTTGGGATGAACTTCCCTAACCTTTCTTAGATATTTTGGATTCATAGCGAACTCGCGAGTCCACTCGAATACACCCATACGGATGAGGCAGACAACCATAAAGGTAGATATGGTAGTCGGAAGAAAGAGACGAATGGCACGGCGGAAGACCATAGAACTGAGCCCAGTAGAAAAGTCCTTGACATTGCCGCTGCGGATGTTTTTAATGGGTCTGTAGGAGAGAGCGTAGCCGGAGATGACGAAGAAGACGCAGACAGCAGCCGGTCCCGCGTAGAACAGCTTTATAAAAGGCAGTCGTACGATCTCATAGTGCCCGCCGTTGAAGCCCCAGCCATTGGCAATAGCAAAGGTTGAGTACGAGTAGTGACAGTGGAAGACAAAGAGCGCAGCAATCCCCCTCATGCCGTCGAGATAGGCGGTGGGACCTAGCTTTGCCGGGCGGATCTGCTCACGCATACTGCGGCCCTGGAGAAAGCTGGGGACGAAGAACCAGGCCAGGCGGACGATGAGAACGCGCCAGTGCGTGGTCCGGAGGTAAAACACCGGGGACAGGAGCTTGCTGGCCCATGTCGCCACGGAGAAAGGCTGGGTCGGGAGGATGGGATTGTCGCGAATGGAATCGGATTGGGATGGGTCGTCGACGAGGAGACCGACGCTCTCCTCGGAGGCGAGGGAGCCGTGTGTATGGCCGTTCATTGTCCAGCAGGAACGGTCGTGACGTAGTTGGAAACCGAAGACGAACGGTGCTCGGCAAAGGATCGTGGGGCTCGATGGGTGAAGGAGCGACGAGGGCGACGAAGGCCGAGAGAAAAGAGATCGGTGCTCTTTCTACCACATTTGGGTATATTCTCAGGTCATCGAGGCAAGGGAATTGGCGTGAAAGACAAACAGGGATCGAAAGGACAGATCGAAGAGAAGGGAGGAGGAAAAAAGAAACATGTCGGGGCTATGCGCTGTATGTCTTTAACTGCTGAAATGCTTGTGGGGCAGGACTTCCCTTCCATGAGCAGGCTGCCCCACAAGCATTTCAGCAGTTCAAGACATCCAATATTGCAGCCAGATCAACGTCTCTGTTGGTCGTCTCGATCCGCACAGTGCTCCTCATGGGGCCTTCAGCCGGGAACCCAGCCGGGGTGGAGGGTGGCAGCCCCTGACGCCTGCTTCCACAGAGCTTATTACCGCCCTGGATGGAAACAAGCATACGTACATGGCGATGCACACCTCGCTCGGCTGCCGGTCCAGTTACAGAAGTCCCACGGCAGGGGCGGTTGCGAAAGAGCGCACCCCAGGATATCAGCCCGGTTTTATGATGCTGGGGCGGAGCATCAAACTGGAGGCCCTGAACCTTCGCTGGCTTGAAGGATGGTTGGATGTGGACCGATCGGCGGACGTGCATCCGTCGCGACATCCGTCAGACAACACATGTTTGCTTTATACCAAAAATAACCAGCATATCCTTCCCGCTTGCGTCGATGGCGCGGCAGCACGCAACGACAGCAACACACGGCGCGCGTAGGATCCGAAGGGCAATCGGGGAGATCGGGGAATTTCTCAGGGCTTACCAAGGAAGGGCAAACGCCCGTTTCGCCCCCTTTCCGGGCTCCCCTGGCCCTTGATCTGCAAAGGCTTCTTTTGGCGCCTGGAGGGGGAGCCAGCCGCAGATCAGCCCTGCTCGTGGATGCAGCCTGGTCACGGTGATCCTGGATGGCAAAAAAAGGAGATGCAAGGGCCGGCAGGGACGGCGATCCAATGACCAGGACCACCTCGCCTTGTTCAATTTCCACTGTCTTCTGTTGGTGGTCAGACATGCTACAGTGGCCCATATCTCTCGTATTGTGCGGGTCCTGGGCTTCATCCATTCACGACCCCCCTGTGACAGTTCTACTCTGTCTGAAGCGCGTTGCAGGCCGCTACCGTTTCAACGCCCTTCATCCGAGCCGGCTTCCGTTCCATACCCGGTCGGAGGTCCGGCCCAGCCTTGCCAGATGTTCATATAAAATACTCAATAAGATTAGGCGAGAATGCTCGGCGTGCTTTTAAAGTTAAGAGCGGCCGGACAAGCATTCCGTGCAGAGCGCTATGGCATCCCGGCGCGCGGGCTGAAGCTACGCGATCCGCGTACCGGACGACCCCTGGTCCACCGCGCAAGGGAGGAGAGCTGGAGGGGGCAGAGCGGCTGCAATCTTGGATGTGCTTGTGCAATGAATGCGGACGAATGTGGGAGATTCGACAATAGAGGACTAGGATTGACCGAGGCACCTTGAATGGCATCGCTACAGGACTGGAACCTCTCTTATGCTAATTGTCAAGAAATCAAGACCTCCGATTTATTTACTCCTGGTTGATCATGCACCACACGCCAAGATGCCCTACCCCAGACTGACTAGCAATAAATAGCCTCCTTCCTGTGACGAGCTAGAGCGATCCTCCAGGCTCCGAGAGGCCAAGAACACATCTGTGCGGGTCGGATGTTTCCAGGGCTAGCGCAGATTTAATCGAACGGCAGCCTTTATTATCGTGTCCCGATTAACGGCCAAGTTCGAGTGAGAGGGTCTTTGGGAATTGAACTGAGGGCACTGCGCATGGGAATTTGGAGATTTAGAATAGGTTCGAGTTGACCAGAGGGTGGTGGGTGCCTTGGGTCATTCCAGCTGAGCCGAGGGGTGCGCCATTCAACCGAAGCTGAACTAGAGGGGGGGGTGCTTGCGACGCGTGCGCGAATCCTTCCAGCTTCAGCTTCAAGGTCTTGGGGTCCAAAGGACAGACAGACACATGGAAAAGTGAACAGGAATGGAGCCAAAAAAAAAAAAAAATTAGGACAAAAGACAAAAAGAAACGTCACCTGCAGGATTCGAACCTACGCGACCGAAGTCACAGCCTATCATTGACCGGTGTCGAACACCGACGATAGCAGGGCTGCGCGTTAACCACTCCGCCAAAGTGACTATTGATGCAAGGAAGAGCTTTCATTAGCGTACATAACCATGCGGCAAGGGCAGGGAAATTACACCGGTGCTGTCTCCGATCCACTGGTTCGCCCCGCTAACCTTGTTGCAGCGACCATCAACCAGCTGGCAGCGAGCTTCTAGCAGACCACAGCCCCGAATTACGGTCGCTTTTTTCCTGGCTTCTTTGCCAGACATTCTTCTCTAGGGCGAGCACCCATCAGGATAACAACTGTCAAGATGTCAAATGTGTGTAACTTTTTATATGAATATGACTAGCTAGGTAGCTACGAGAGAAATGGGGGCTACCCTCGACCGCTCGGCTCATCCAGTTGTTGGGTACCCTGCGAGCGCTTCCCGACCTTCAGGCAAGCTAGTCGCGAGACTTCAGTTTGTGTACGTCTAGGGCATCCCTCACCTGAGTTTTCAAGAATACCTCGGGGTATTACTCGTGCTTGTTTATCGGTCCAATTGAAAGTGACATGTTCTTCCACCGCTTCCTAGTCTCTCGCGCAGCTTCAACTGGACACGGTGAGTTTGTCATTGATGCACACGGCACTTCCAGCCGCCCCAGATGGGGTTTTCATAATGGCTGGTAGTTTGTTGTGCATCACATATGTAAAATTCATTTTGTCCAAATCTGTGACTTATTGACAGACAGCTGCCGGCTTGGCACGTACTTCTGAGATGACAATTTAGACGAGACTGCTGCCATAGACAGAATTTAGATCTGTCTTGTCTCCTTTAAACCACGTTTATTGTTGACTGGTGATTGGCTTGGCAAATATGTTAAAAGGGAAAGTGGTGATCACAGAAGCTGGGTATGTCACGCCCGTTCTTCCCAGCCACGAAAACGTCGATTGGACTGCCTGTTACCCTTTGAGGATCGCCGTTGAACATACACCGCGAATCGTTAACCCACATCTCTGAATCGGATTCATGTTAAACAAATGATAGGATGTATTATTAATATGTTGGCATTTTGTGAGCCAGCATCCAAAGATTCACGACAAGGAGGGAAGATGGTCCGCTGCCATTGATTAGGCCATACAGAATAGCCAGCAAAGAAATCACCATTAAGGGAGCCAGTGAACAACACACAGTACTAATATTGAAATATCCATGTGCATGTCACACTCACAGTGGGGCTCCTAATCTTGAGGCTCAGAGATTCACCACAACCGGTACGAGTCCGAAAGGCTAGTCAATGCCATTTATAGAACATCTTGTCAATGCCAGATGGACGGATTATGAGCACGGCGATGGGGTCCAGGGCATTAAATGAACGGCCAACCACCCTCTCAGCTACTACATCCCTAGAGATTTCCAGAATCCAAACATTCAATTCCCTATTTCTACCAGTCACAAAGCTATCCTTAGCTATCACCGACTCCCCAACCTCCATCTACAAGCGAGTGTCTGTCAAAATGAACGAACTCGTCCCATTTGTACGTCTTAAGAACATCGATCCGACAGGTCCTGGGTATGTCAAGGCTATGCTGTCGTCTAGGGTGTGTCACCTTTATGTTGTTTTTGGCCAATATGGCGTGGAGAAGCCATCTGTGGGCCTGCTGGTCAATTATCACGAGCCTCTCCGCTTCCCTGGATGTCGTGATAATCATGGATGCGAGATTGGCTACAACACAGGGTCAGAACGGGACCCAACCAATGATATTGACTTTGCACCGTTTGGAGGAGACTTGACGAAGCTCAGAGGGGCGAAAGTCGCGTTCCAGTTTCCTTTCACGGACGCGTACAAAGGCCCCAACAGCCTCAGAGTCGGGGACCTGTTCAATATCCTGCGAGGAAGCTATGATTCCCTCCCAATTGAGCATCACACCAACCTGACTCGCTTTAAGCTTGTGACGGATGGCTCCGAGAACCTTTGGAACCAGAGAGGTGTGAGAGATTTAATGTAAGAATAACCCCACTACAATCGAATATCAGAGCTAACTGAATTGCAGCACCCAATGGATGGTCAGACTCTACGAGTGTGGATTCATTCGTTGGGAAGCAATAGGCCAAGCCATCGATATCCAGTTGATCGGCTTTGCCAGCGTGCGCACCAACAGCTTCCATGACATCGTTGGGCATATCTTCACGGATGCCGGACCGCCGGACACTCTCGCCAACATACAGAAATGCAACGTGAGTGCTAGGCCAATCGCACGGGGCAGATTTCTTGAGGAGAGTGTGCTGCGCGTTGAAAAGGTCGGCGACACCATCCTTCCTTATGAACAAAGCCAGTAGCAGTCATAACTGAGTTCATAGTTGGCACTTGCCTAGAGGTATAATTGTGTTTGCAGGACACTGCATCTAAGAGTACCTACCTATACTTCTATGTGTGAGATCCAATGTGTTGTTGTATTAATTGAGAGAATCTTGATAGACTACGTGAACATGCATTCGTTAGGTAAAAAAGTGCCTGATTCATATCACCTACCATCGAACAAGGTAACACAACTATTTCCTCACTTTGAGAAAGTCAAGTGTGTTCGTTGAAGGCCGGCCCTGAGCAGATGTGGAATAGGGGGGTTCTGATGAAATTACCAGCGCCAGAACACCGCTCCCCCCTGTAGTGAAAGATTTAGGGACGGGTGCGCTATAGATTTCTGGGCTCCAATGGGCGCCAACCACCCATTGATGGCACCAGGCCCTAATGGCCTAATGGGGAGCCTTCGAACAAACTTGCTCAAGTTTGAGGATTGTCACCGGGTAAGCTCTCTAACTATGGATCCGTAGACGGCCAACGGTGGGCGAACACCTTGTCTCGCGGCGACAGTGACTTTTGGGTCTCTGGCTCGATCGACTTCCATGGTGACTTGGGTTGGTTGCGATGGGGACTGGTCACTAATTAGCGCTGGGACACTAATGCCAGTGGGCAAATTGGTGAAGCTGCTCAGTGAGGCGACTCCCCAGCTGTCCACCAGCTGGCACACGGCCGGCGCAGACGTGACTCATTTTTACCTCAGGAAGTAATCCGGTAACTGTGTTACCTTCCGCCAACCTGAATTCGTGTTTCTCCATCATCGCAACCATCGGGCCGCTGCGGAGACAGCATATATCGTCGGGCTCTTGGCCCTCGCTGTGACTTTAAGATCTCTCTCCTCATCTTGCCCACTCCTTTCGATTGTTCCATCATGTCGGTCTTGGCCGCCATCCGCGCTGCTCTTGCCGATTCGGGGTTCCACGATACGAGCGGATTCCTCTCGCAGACTGATGGCCAGCCGCCGTGTTTCAACTGCCTCCAGCAGAAGCATAACTATCTAGAGTTGACCTGCGGCTGCCGCTTGCTGGAAACGCGTTGCATTCTCTGTCAATGCCAATCTAAGAAATGCATTTCGGTGAGTACTTGCCATTCCTGTTTAAGATGGGCTGATGCTGATTCTATCCGCAAGATTCCAAACGAAATGCTGAGCACTGCCGCCTGGTACTAGAACGCCCTGACGAAGCTCGGCCAGCATTCTGATCAAAACCCCTTCACCCTCGCACCCCTCACTGGCCTTGGCCGCTGGCGTGTGTATGCGGCTGTACTGAAGACCGCCTGGGCCTGGGGCACTATCGCCTGGTTCATCAAGGACCCTGCCAGGGCCCGGCCAATTGGGGATTCTGCTGCTATCGACATGCAAATCCAGGAACTCGCCGCCCTACGCGAGATCATCACAACCGATCTACTGTTCAAGGTATCCCTGCCATTGCTTCCCTATTTTGACATGGCTAACCGTACTTCCTCTTCCCAGGTTGGCAAAATCACCGACCGTGACGAAGTCATTGCTCGCATCAACGCGTCCCGACCTCTCTACACCCGCGACCACGACCACGCTGCTATCTCTGGTTTGGTGACCTCGCTTCGATGCCTTTCGACCTCTGCCAACACCAGAGATCCAAAGGCGGCCGAGGAGGGCACACTGCTGGATTTCTATCCCTGTTTGACGTTGGCCACGATCATGGAAGTGCGCGAGTCCCTTGGAAAGCCCGCACCATCTCGGGTTATCTCGTACAGTGGCAAAGCGCCAGTTCGCCGCGGTCCTTCAGATAACAATACTTTGCGCACCTCCAAGCTCACCGCAGCCACCAGAGATTCCGCCGCTATTCATCCCGTGTCCAAGCCATGTCTACCTTCGGCTAAGCTTTTCACCAAGCGCACATTGAAGGAGCCAGTGGCTTCCAGGAAGAAACCTCGCGTCACCGAGCGAGTTTCGCCTAGAGACTCCGACTTTTACGATAGCCTCGACCTGCCCCTTGATTCCCTCCTTGAGGATGAAGATTACGTCGACATTTGGGGAGTCGAGAAGACCACCAAGAGGGAGCCCAATAGAACTCGTTCTGCTCATCCTCTTGGCGGTCTCCAGCGGTCTTTTTCTATCAACTCTTCAGCCGAACTTCCACAGACTCTCAGCCTTATCGATCGCCGATGAACAAGAAATGCGAGTTGTCTCCACAGGACAGAACCCTCGCGTATACCTCTCTCTCATTAACCGACGGCGGTTTTCCTAACTCTCGATATATTTCTCCCGGTTTTCCAATTGTTGAGTATACCCTTGCCACTAACAGATCGAGCCAAGGGAATGAAGATCACTCTGTCTCGGATTCGTCAGCGACCGCTCCTGTTGAACCCACCCGTCTCGCTGAGCAATCCTCCCTGTCGGCCGACCTACCCCGCCGACGCCTGCCCGTCGTCGCTTCTTCGGCACCAACGGCCGCGGATCCCTGCATCATTTCAGACGACTCTGGCTCAAGCGAAGAGGATGTTTGCGACAGAACTTGTAACGGACCACTCGATGAACCCTCGCAGGCTGGAGTGGATCGCATGTTGGAGCAGCTATTGAAGGAGGCACGGGCAGAGTCCGCCAAGGAGCTCGCAGACCGAGAGAAAGTTCTTCGAGATCGGGCTGCAGCGGTGATGGCTTCGTCCAAAACCCCACGCACCTCCCTGCCTCGCACCCTGGGAGATTTGCTTGAGGAGACCCCGACTGAACCTGTTATGAAGGGAAAAAAGAAGAAATCTGATCAAGGGGGTTCTTCCGGCCGAGGTGGTCGCTGTTAAGTGTCGTGGTTTGTTAATTGTCTTCGGAATTTTGTCCATTACCTGCAGAATGGGGCTGGGATGGATCAAAGCTGAGTGGTACATCGTCTCATGTTATAAAATCAACGGGTCCTTTGATCCATCGCTTCAATTCATCTATCAATAATAATAATTGTGCCAATTATGTTTATGTATGTCAAGTTTACATACCAGGTTTCCCGTTCACGAATGTCCCTGCATAGCTTGAGCAAATACAGCTCGTCCAGTTACTTCTCTTCATCCTCCGATAGCTCCAGGCCTCCAGCTGCCAGAGCCTCTTCAAAACGTCCAACAGTGCTGCAGCCTATGATGAAAACTGCCACTCTTTGATTCAACTACGCTAGGCTGGCATGGCTTATCAGCCAATTCCGCTTTTCAGGGATCTCCCATATCCGTGATATGATCTTGTCCGTGTTGCGATCGTGACTAGCGTATAGTGGGCCGTTGGCGCTGAGGGATGCCCGAATGACGCTGGTTGCGATGTACGACGCGAGTGTCTGCCGGATGCTAAAGGGCCCTACTGCATACCGTCATCGTTAATGATTTCATCGTCAGTGGATGAAAAACAATACCCGGATTAAACCAACACCGTTCAAGTTGCAGTACCTGTTTATCTCCCTTTCCTCGCGGTAAAGAAGGTTGTAGTGGTTTTGCTTCGGGACGACTTTCGTCAATCCCTTGGTCTCTGCAACCTGACAACACGGACAGAACGGCGGCCTCAGACCAACTGGGCCGGGGGTCTCAAAATCGAGTCAATCGCCATTGGTCTGGATGACAGCTTCTTCAAACTCGGCGGAAACTCAATTACTGCTATGAAGCTAATGGGCGACGCTCGCAATGTGGGCGTCGACTTGGCGGTGGCAGACATCTTCCGCCGTGAAGCACTTGTTGCGCTCACTCGTCAAGAAGTCCACCCGCCTTTGCTAACCTGGATGTCCGAGCTGGAACTTCTTAGTCCGCGTAACCACCTGTGAGTAGCCACCGTTCTATAAGAGCCACCAGTAGCTGCTACTAAGAATCGCATCCTTCTATTCGCTCTCCAGCTGCTAGTAGCGGCGCCTTGCCCCTTGCGTCCATTGCCGCTTGCTGCCTTCCATTTCTTCTCCATCTAGAAGGACAAGCCCGGTCTGCGTCTACATACCCTTGTGTAGATGATACGATTCTTGGTGTCCTTCATAAATTAAACGCCAAGATGCTTTCAAGGTGCTGATGTTCACTCTACTCTCTGTGCCCATTAGCGTCCTCCGCCCTCAGCTAGGGTGCCCCCCTCGCCATGATCCGATAAATAGATGCTCGACAAGAATTGCTTCATCTCCTTTCTCATGAGTGTTCTCGTGCGGCAGCCATCCGAAGCTATCCTTAGGAAGAACCAATACGTCGCCAATCAAGCGAGGCTCCTTAAGTTTGTCCAGCTCATCTCCCGTGTGCTCTACGCCCGTCTTCTCCTTGAAGTAGTCCATGATGACCTTGGTGAAGGCGAACGGTCCGGTGGTGGCCATGACATCCTCAAAGGTAACGGCCTGTCCGGGCTTCTTGGACGCAAGCAGCTTGCTGAGGCCTTGGGTCACCTGCTCAACAACCGTCCTAATGGCAGGGTGATTTGGCTTGGCCAGCACTGTATACTGGCATAGCTGGACGGAATATGGGGAGCCGGGCCAAATTGGTTTTTTGTGGTGATCATTTTCTATGCCGATAACTAGGTTCACCGAATCTTGGTACTGCTTTGGGACCCATTTCGAGACTGGCTGATGGGGGTAGACGTCGATATCCGCCCATACGCCACCTTCGCGCAACAGTATGAGGTATCTCAAGAAGTCGGCTTTTAGGATGGGGTCCCGAAGACTCGTGAAAACGTCCGAAATAGATGCATCAAAGTGGTCACGAACATAGGCGTCGTTGTTCGCGTCAGTGATGCGCTCGTAGCGCCAATCCGGATTGACGACGCGCCATTGATGCGGAAAGCCGACGGTGCGATCCGTCGGGTCCTCCGAGTCGTCCTTCCAGCTCTGCCAGATCTTGGAGGGGAAAGCTTCGTGCTTTTGTATGGCCGGAGGCGTCGGTGGTGTTTGGTGGGAGGTGCTCGCTGTGTCACAGGTTAGCTTCCGATGTTCCAAAATGGGCGTGAGTCTGGAACTGACGGCCTTGTCGGCTGTTGTATGCGTAATTGCCAGTCAACAGAACGATGATGGCGACGCCTGCTAGCAGAGCATAGGCGTACTTCCTTTGCGTCAATACCGACAACATGGCGGCCGAGCTGTGTGTGTTGAAGGAGCTGGAAACACAAGATGCGACGGAGATCGTAACGCATCTGCGCACTCAAGCCCGCGGCTGCGGACGGCGGCAGCGTACATAAGTCGGGTTAGACGGTGTGTGTAAACGCCAGGTTGGTTATCTCAAAGCTGAGCTGGCGGGGATTCAGCCAGCCCCCAGTAATCAGCTGCTGGGGCACCCCTTCCACACCCTAAACGGATCATATTCGCACCTCCATCGCAAGCGTGGCGGGGGGGCTTTTTGATCCGGGCGGCTCCGTGTGCTGTCCGTCCCACTCACAACCCCAGCTCGTGATGGTGGTGGTGTGGGGACTTTGAGACGTCGTCAACCAACACACCAGTCAGAGGTCGCGATGGCAGCCAAGGTACGGAGTCAATAGCCAAGCTTAACTCTGCTACCGACCAACAGAGCGGAATTAGGAATTATGAACAGCGACCAACAGAACGGAAATATGAGCAGAGATTGCCACCTGTTTTCTTCCATCCCCACTCAGGGTTGCGTCCTCTCGGTTGCGTCCTCTCAATATTCGCCAATACCAGAAGACGCCCAGGTTATAAAAACAAAGAGCATGAAAACTCCATAAACCGAAGCGATGGCCGATTCTGATTTCCATTGAAACGGCGCGTTTGCTGGACCACGATGCGCTCCGTATTCCCCTCGGTTGAGGGAGCCAGCATTACCCGCGCGGCTTGTTGCAGCACTACCTCAGCCAGACCATCTGATACATGACGCTTGGCGAATGGAACCCCTGGCTTGACGAAATCGCGAGGACACCGCCACCCAATGCGGTAATGTAGACGCGACCAACATGCTTTAGACTTGACCCAACACTCACTGTTGTCTCGCTCTCTATTGTCAAAGCACCCCCGGGCTTTCCCGCTGCGCCCGCTGCGCCCTCTGCTAAATCTTGTTCCCATAATTCCAGTTTCTCTCCTACGCTTCACATGTCCATTCGTTCAAGACGCTGCGCGTTCCATTTGCCATGATGGCCAGGCTCATCTCAGTCTTCTTTTTCCTCTGTTCATTTCAGGCGTGTTTTGCTGCCAGCAAGTGCTACTATCCTAATGGAGACAAGTCCACCGACTTCCCTTGCGATCCGGAGGCCGACCAGAGCGTCTGTTGTGGAGGAGGGTTGGGTTCGGTCTGCCTATCGAACAAGCTGTGCCTGGGAGCCAACGGAAACACGGTGCGAGGATCTTGCACGGACAAGAACTGGGCATCTTCAGAGTGTGCAATGTTTTGTCTTGGTAAGTTACGGCTCTACCAGCAGTGCCATCCATGGTCGTGCTAACATGATGAAGGCGCGGACACAGGAGGAACCGACTTGATATCCTGCTCAAACGTTACAAACAGCGACACATCCTACTGCTGTGATCACAACCCGAACTGCTGCAACAGTGGCGTCGGCAGATTCAATGTGCTTCCATCCGAGCCAGATATCTGGGCGACGTGGGACCGAAAAGCGACTGAATACGCCGTTGTTGGCACAGTGTTCGACAGCGAGCCCACGTCTACAACCGGACCGGCCACAACGACCAGTACAACATTGACCACGACTTCAATATCCGCGCCCGGCACCACCACAAGCGAGACGTCTGCACCAAGCAATTCAGCACTCAACACGCCAACACCGTCCGAGACACCTTCGGGACTCTCGACTGGCGCCAAGGCAGGGATTGGGGCTGGCGCTGGCGTTGGGGCAATAGTGGTTGCAGCGGTGGCGTACCTTCTGTGGAAGATGCGCAAGAATGACAGGGCTGCGAAGGAGAACAAGCAATCACCTCCTACCTACCACGAGCAGCCACCGACAAACGGTGCGTGGCAGCAGTCCCACTATGCGCTAAAGGAGCCTCAAGTCCCACAGGAACTCCACGGAGACCAATATCAGGGCTATAACGTGCGGGCTGAGCTACCGGCACACAACTGATAGGATTGAAGCCGGAAGCTGATGCTGTGATGGCTCATTCTACTCTCAGTAATGATATGGTAACGGATGGACGGGAGAAGTGACGGTTATATGAGAATAGTAATAGATACCCATTTTATAGCAATTTACGAATACTTTAAGTCACAGTCGCCGTTTTGTTGTCTCGGCGTATTGTAGTTAGCGATTAATAAAATTTCCAGTTCAATCACAACACTATCAAGTCGAATCACTCATAGTAGCTAGGCTTTGAGAGACGAGGGGTAGGTTGTCCTGAAGAACCAAGGAGTCTTCAAAAAGGCTGTGCGGTGCATTAAAGTTAGCTCTCGAGCTTTGCCGATAGTAATTTAGGGTCTTCGAGTTGTTCTTGAAGGCCAGGTACTACTTATTATCTTCTGTAGTTAGAAACTATTTCCTCCCACCAGTCAGTAAATTGGACTCTAGTCGTAGACATGGCCGCACTGTTGACTTTGACTACTATAGTGTCAGACCTACTTACTTTCTGGCAGCTGAACTTGACCTGTAGCTTGCCGATTTGTTTGTTTGTTTCCTTTAATACTGTGATGCTCCGAAGCCTAGGAGACCTGAACCCGGGCCGGAGGACTGACGGAAAGCCGGTTAAGGAGCTCCTGGAGTCGCGAAAAGCTAAACAAAGACTAACAGCTTCCAAAGGGCGTTGGGTTAAATTACTGCATGATGGACACGCTTACGTGTTAATAGCCTCTCAAAGATCTCCTAAAAAGTATCTTGTTTGCTACCTTGATGACGATGAAGCGACCGTCACATGCAATGTGAAGTCCTCAGAACTAAGTAATTGGATGTATGGTGTAAACAATAATAACGATATTTTCTTATTAATATGGGCGTTCATAAGTCTCATACATCCACTCCAGGTAACTCTGTGAAGCTAGTCGATCAGGATGATCTTCTGCGAGCACTTCAGCCCCTCTCGCCACCACATGCTCAAAGAGCTGAAACGCTTCCTTTACTTTCCCACTGGCTGCATATGATATAGCGAGCTCATGTTGCGATGCCATTCGATCAGGGTGATCCTCCGTTAATATCTGCGCTTCGACCGCCACTATATGCTCGAGAAGTTGAATGGCTTCCTTAACTTGCCCGTTGGCCGTATATACTCTGGCAAGCTCGTGCTGTGAGGCCAGTCGATGAGGGTGCTCTTCTGCCGATATCCGGGCCCTGATCACGACCACATGCTCGAGAAGTTGAATAGCTTCCCTTACTTGTCCATTGGCCGTATATATTCTAGCGAGCTCGTGTTGTGAGGCCAGACGGATAGGGTCATCTTCTGCCATTTTTCGGGCCTCGATCGCAACCACATACTCGAGAAGTTGAATAGCCTTCCTTATTTGCCCGTCGGCCGCATATGCTCCGGCGAGGTCGTGTTGTGAGACCAGCCGTTTGTTGTCATCTTCGGCTAAAGTCTGCTCCTGTATTTTCGTGACATTCTGAAGCTGTTCCAGTGCCTGCTTCGTCCGTCCGTCCTTGTCCAAGCAACGGCCCACCCAAAACCCTAGATTGCAGCGCTCTGCGGTTTCAATCAAATCACTTGTTTGAAGCAGTCTTAGGGCATGGGGTAGGTATCGTTGCCAAATCTCACGATTCTCCCAGTCGTCATTCGGAAACACAATGTCCAAATGGTCAATGGCATCTTCTTTGATTTCATTCAAGGACCCTTGTTCGGTGACCATTAGTCTCATTGCCAGATGCACCAAGCTGTGCATGTCAAACATTTCCCCGTCTTCTCGTTTGCTGAGAAACTTGTACCCGCAGAGTGTGCCAATGGCACGTGTGAACTGTTGGTCTGACCCCAGAGGAGGCAACATTGAGCGAGGTATGGCCTTCGGCTCAATGCATGCTACAAATGAAAGCAGTTCCAGGGCAGGTTCGTCAGTCTTGCGAATTTGGTGAAAGGATATCAGCCACGTGGTAGCCACGGCGTTCTGGCTCTCCCTATATCGGGTGTTGTCCAGGAATTCGGTGTTCATTAATTCAACCAAGTCCTGATCGGTGTTTCTGAAAAGACGCAGATACTCCGTGATTGTTATCTCGGTTTCATTCAGGTATGCCACGGCTTGGTTGATTGCCAGTGGAAGATATGTGAGCTCGTCAAGGAATTCAATCACAGCATGCTCTTCGTCAAGCAAGCTTTTGTTGAAAAGTGCTTTTTTCAAAAACGACTTTCCTTCCTCTTGGGTTATCTCTGACAACTCGACTAAGTCATCTCCGGCAACCGCGACTGCTAGTTTTCGAGACCTTGTTGTGAAAAGAATTCGTCCGTTCTGGCTATTCGGGAGATAGTCATACAGGCATCTCGACTGATCGGGGCATTCGAACATGACATCGTCGTCGTCAGCGTTGTCAATGATGAGAAACCACTTCCCTGCATTTTCCGAGTTAAGGTGCATTTGAACCGCTTCTTTTGGATCTTCGCCATCGGCACATGGAATACCAAGCGTCTTGGCGATACCAGTGCATGCCTGCTCGAAACTCGCGTTGCTGAGCGCTGGTATCCAGAAGACGGAGTAGTTATTCTCCTTGGCCCAAAATGCAAGATTCAGAGCGACTTGTGTCTTGCCAATCCCTCCCAGGCCCAAAAGTGCGACAGTTGAGTGTTCAGAGTCGGTGAAAAGCTTCTCTTGGAGCTGCTTGAGAATCTCAATGCGTCCCACGAAGCGTTTATTTGGTGGAAATGGGACGTAGAAACACGTTCGAACTGTAAAATATTAGCATGAACACTTCGATAATTTTGCTCTTCATGTACTAACTGTTGGATCTATGATCTGGTTTCGCGGCCCCAGGCGCTTGCTGGGCCTTGTCGCCAGGTGAGGTTTCAGTTGGCACTGGATGCAATGAGCTCTGACGCATAAAATGCTGCAAAACGCCGAGGATCGCACGGTATCGCGCATCGTTCTTGTCAACACATTTGACCATCTGCCTATGATCTGAGTCGATGGTCTCAACTGTCTCGAGATCGGGATGGAAGTCGAGTTTAGAAGAAAAGTCGCCCACAATCTGTCGAAAGTCAACGTCAGTTTTCAGACCTCCAAGAGCAGCATCGCAGTGATGATTGCTTCAAGTACCTTACTATCAAAACCTTTCATTCCTGACAAGCCACGGGCCTCTTGGAATGAGTGGATCTTGAATTTGGATTTATACGCTGTTGATACGAACTGATCGTTGATGTTTTGCAACACTTCGCCATTGACCTCCAAAGCTTCAAGCGCCTTTTTGTTCGGATCCTTCATGGTAAGGCGTGCTAAATTCGACGCGATTTCGGCCCATCCCGCGTATGTGCTTCCACGGTGTGGGGTGCCGAGGAAGACGATCAGTTTTGTCCGTTTCTGGCATGACTCGGACCTGCAAATTGCCTGTGAAGTGTCAGCTATAGGTACCAGAGTCAACAAGCCACATGGGAGGCACTAACGTCCTTGGTGATGATGCCGCCAAGACTATGCGCTATGAACACGAGCGGATACTATGGATGTTCAGTCTGGCTCGGACGGTCTTGTCGTGATTGATACCTACTGCATTATCAATCTCTCGTTCGAGTTTCGCGGCAAAGTCGCGTCCATGCTGTGAGACGCTGTTCTTGGTGTTCGCCCGGAAAAGTCCTTCGATCACATCCGCGTTGTACCCGTAGGTCCATACTTGTGCTTCAGGAATATCCTCCGTGAGGAATTCGTGGGGCCAGAAAGGCTTGGGCGGGGAGGGGTTCGCCTGGGCCTTGCTATCAGGCATGGAAGGTAGTCGTTTGCGTCGGAACATGGACTTGAGAGATGGCCGGCTACTCGAGCTTGGAGCAGCCTCGGCTGTACTATCCTGGGGTGAGTCGCGGCCCCATGTGTGCTTTGGATGCCCCTTCAAACCGTGGACGAAAATCACGCTATGCCATGTCAGCTAATACTCATCTGCCAGAGGGCGCTGACGAACTTGATGCTGTACGGCCCATTCCTAGTGCCCTCACCCCCGAGCTTCGTGAACCCGAGGCGGTGGACTTCCTTCATGATACAGTTTGCTGTTTGGCCGTGACTGTACTTGGTTGGAGCCTGCTTATCGAGGAGATGTTGGAATCAGTCCACAGCCTCGTTGCCTCAATCGAGGTTGAATCGTCACACGCCGTGTAAGCCAATCATGTAGAGGTTTGCGCTGGTCAGCTGAAAACCCCGCTTTCGCTGCGCACCACAGACAGGAGGGACAGGATTATAGTGGTAGCTATGGAACTAGGCTAATCCCTCAGGGTTAGGGTTACAATTGAAAGCAATCAATAAGTCTATGATTTTACGTGAAATTAGATTTTTACCACAACTTTGACTCTTTTTCTCTTCGCTTTTCGAGCCTAAAAGCATAAGCTTCTTTTGTCGGGCCACCAGTTCATACTACTAGGGTACCAGCATCATCCAATGCGACATCTGCATTTCGTACAGGACCAACAGCTGAAGGGGAATCAACCATTGCACATCGAAAAATACTATATTAATGAGTCTCGCAGGATATCCTGGGACATCCAGGGCGAGATGATTTCCAAGCTATCAAGAAGTTAGGGTGCCCTAGTACACACATACCCATAGGGGGGACTAGAAGCTCAACAGTAAAAAAAAAGAAAACCGACAATAGTATCAACAAATAGTTGCTTGATGTTCATGACGGTGTAGCGTTTATGTCAATCGGGAAGATGTTTATAATAGATCGAGACGTAGTGCCTTCATATTTGAACTTGGCATTTGGTATAGCTTGGGCAAGGTCGTAATGTATGTTTTATCATACACTTGTGTGATGGCTTAAAGTGAAATAGTTGTTTTATTTGGGTAATTATTTAAGAAGAGAGGAATCGAGTCATCGAAGTGTATAGGTTGTAGGACTTCGATTGCGCTGTTACTGCCCTTGCACTACTGTTAAGATGTATGCCGATCCTCGGCCGTATCAGGACACGGGAGACAGTGATGAAAACCCGAGCCCCGCCAATTAAGGGGAATTCTTATCCGTAGCGATTTTCTGGACCTGTTGGGCCATCGTGCGGAGTTCCAAAGAGTTGGGGATAAGCAAATTAAACGAATGAGCCGCAGTCAAGTTGCTTCTGCTACTTGATGACGTATACACCACAGCAATGGGCAGTGCAATGAGGGTCTACAATGGATACGACAAGACTCCTTGCCACTAGCGACACGCGGCTCTTTCTTCTGGTTTTCTCCGCAATTACACAGTGAAAAAAACTCTATTCAAACATACTTTCATAGCCATTGAACTCGAAACATAGGGCTGGCAATACAAGGGAGGCCCTCCATCTCGTCTATGACGTCCTGACTGCCCTCAATGCGAAGGGATTGTTTCTGAGCCAAACAATCGCTTTTATTTCGATACCTTTTGAAGCCTCACTTCAGATTGGAAGAGCGATTCACGTATGTCACGGGTAAAGAGGAAGCAAATAAGGTATAGCTTCGGCCCGATCTCGGCGACTTCCTATTTAATCCGCTATTATCAGATGCTTCGGGGACGCTAGGGGAACATTCATGAAGGTGCGTCGGGGCATTGACTACTCCACCAGGATTTCCTCCTGATCCCGGTTAAAATGGTAGCAATGAAACCTAGACACTGGCTTGAAGCAGCTACTGCAGGTACAGGCCGCAGGGATTACAAAGGTTAATAGCCAAACCAGCGGCGGATGTATTTTTACAGCCAAATGGTACAATGCAGAGTTCACATTTGTAATCCCTGCGACCGGTACTAATGTTGCAATGTTTGTTTAGGCATCTAGGCGTGTGTATGGCGTGTGATAGCTATAGCCATATTCTTCAAGCTGGTCTTCATGTAAGGATATACAGGGACTTAGAGCAGGGACCATGTACAACTTGAGGCATGTGCCGTGCCACATATCTGGCATCATTCCTGCACCGACTTGCTTAGGTCTTGTTTGTACTTAGAACAACACAAGTCGATTCACCCATAAATTGTCTAAGTGACAGAATTCACAAAAGGCGTCGGGTACGAGGTGCGGTACGTGCAGTGTCCGCCACTTCTGGCTGGATCTCCTACAGAACACAGGCCACTTCGACGCTTCGGTCAGTCCCGCCAATGGGGTTGCAGAGCTAAGCCTATTACCTCGGCACCTAAGAAGACAGGGAGGCCTACGGCACTTGAGTTATTAGTCCAGTCTCGGGGGTTTCCCCGACAGTATCAAACCGGAACAGCGCAGTTTTCAATTAAGTTGGTTTATAAAATCACTGCCAGAGTGGGCGGTACTTCAAACGGGATGGTGATTGCGCGGGGACAGCATTGAGGACGGCACTTTAGCAAGATTACCATAACAAGAGGGTAAATTCAGGCAAGACCGCGCCTCGTAAAAGTAGCATAGCTCAAAGCTTAACAAATTAGATTAAGAGCAGAAACGTTATCCTCCACAAATGACCTGGATTTGACCAATTATACCAGGAAGCTATGACGTTTCTGCGGTTAACAGTGGAAACAGGCACCAAATATGGAGTCGCTCTTGTCCGAGTTAACCGAGTTACGTTGCATCCAATAGACTACGGATTAAGTTACCCCTCGTACAAATTCCAAGAGTGGCAAGAGTGGGATGAATCATTCGCCCTGTTACTAAGCATCCCATCCCACCGGTTGACACCCACAGCGATCGATTCATCAGCAGTTGTCCAACTCCCACTCGGAGTGGGAGTGTCTATTTACCTAATTTGGATTTTGTCATCTGGTTGCGTAGCCATGGCAGAAAGTCTGGTCATAGTTCTCCTCACTATGCCTGACAATCGCTCTTTACTTAATTCACTATAAGCTATAAAGAGCCATCGTCCTCGTGCTTTCGGCTGAGACTCCGAAGTGGATAGATGCCAGCCACCTCTTTCACTGCGACCTCGCCTTAACACTGTCGGATTACATCTGTACCTGCATTCTGCCCATCATGGCCCGATTTCCGGTTTGGACGCTCGCTGCAGCCCTTTTTCCTGCACTAGCATCTTGTGTCCCGCATCGATGTCCCTCTCCGGCCGGGGATCTCAGCGTCTCCGCGTTCCAGTTGTACCCAGAGAACGCCGACTTTGACACGAAGCGCTGTGTGGCTTATTTTAGGTGAGACATTCGATATGGATTACCCAGGTGATGAGGCTAATTTTATCCGGCCAGTGTGTTGTTTAACGCCAGCGTGGCTGTCTACAACCCATCCAAGAACGCCGTCGTTGATGTTCTCAAATTCCCCGGCTTGAGTGGCAACTCCCTCCTCCACTCCAGTGGTGTTCAGCGTGACCCCCTCGATCGCCTGTCTGTCGTCGTCGATGCTGGATCTTCTTTCGATACTGGAGGTCAGGATATTTCCGGCGACAATTGGCTTGTCAAGTACAGTTTGGAGAAGGATCGGGTCCTTTGGCAGCGCAACCTCTCAGCCGTTACGGCCGGGGCATACAGTGGCTTCCAGGACATTGAACACGACCAGCATGGCAACACATTTGTCCTTGGAACCTACCCATCCAGCCTTATCCGAGTGTCGTCCGATGGCAAGAAGGCCATACCTTGGTACTTGGGGCCAAAGTCCAGCAACCCTACCGCCGCTGGCTTCTCTGGTTTGGTGAACATTGGCGATTCCCTAGTCGTGTCAAACACCGCCGACGGTCAGCTGTACCGCTTCGATATTACCGCTGCCAAGGGAACTCCTGTACGAATCCCAATCATGACTGGTCAAGCTCGTATCGGCGGCGCACTTGATGGAGTCTATCTACCCCCGCGCTACGATGGCAAGGTGATCTTGGTATCCGACAACGTTAATGGAACGATCGTCCTTCGGTCTTCTGATGCGAAGTGGAAGACTGCGGAGCGGCTCGGAGTCATCCCGAACGACCTTCTTGCCAAGGGTGGTTCCGCCGTTGCAAGTGTTCAAATTGGCGATAAAATCTATGCTGTAACCGAGTTTTTCGGAGACAGCGTCGTGCCTGGAACCCTGGCGGGAAACAGGACTACCTTCCCATTGATTGACATCACGAAGAAGATTGACAAGCTTCTTTGTTAAATATCGGCAATTAAAGTATCATTCTCTCTATAGACTGTATTATCTAGGGTCTTATGCTGTGGTTAGAAAAGACATACAAGCAATTTTTCAGAGTCTTCATCTCACGTCACTTCCCGTGCCACTTACTATCTCAGCTAATCAATGGTCCTCGGGTCAGAGGCAGCAGCGCCAACACAGCATCGACTGAAGGTCGAATCACCGGCGGCCTTTTGGATCGCCAACCCGATAACATATCAACTGGCAGGCTCACAGCAATGATGCTGGGGCGTATTCAATAAACTGTGCTAGAATTCCGAACTACAGCTTAGCTGTCTCCTTGGACCATGTTTCTTTAATAAGGTCTGCAGCTTTCTCGCCGATTCCGTAAGCTGGCATTTGAGTGTGGCCGTTGTTCAAAAGAGGCATCACACTGCAATCAGCCACCCTAAGACCCCTGACACCTTTGACGCGCAATTGCTCATCTACAACAGCATTTGGATCAAGGGTCCCGCCCATAGCACAAGTTCCGGCCGCGTGGTAACCTAGCTCGGTTAGTATTAATGAACGATTTTTCTCAAGGGACTGAAAAGGACAAGGTTGGAAAAGCTTACATGTCGTTGCGTTATCCCTCACATATGGGATCCAGTCTTCCCTAGTCCGGAACTCATGGTGGTTTGAATTGGGCGGCCATGAGCCTTTGACAATATTCTTCGTTCCAGCACCGTCCATGATGATCTCATTTCCAAATCTGCAGGCCTCTGCCATGACCTCGACATCAAGAGAATCGGAGAGATAATTACAATTGACGACGGGCGTCGCAGTTGGGTCACTGCTTCGCAGAGACACCGTTCCTCGGGACTTTGGCGCAAATAGTTCCGCGATGATGGCAAAAACATGGTTTCCCTCGGTAGGGTGGTGGCCAATTGGCTTCGGATCGACGTAGCACTCCGTGGTGAAGAACTCGATATTAGGCTGCGAAGGGCTCAATCCCATTGGATCGCGTCCCTTTACCCGGGGTGCAGATGACCAGATTTTAGAGTCGGCGAGACGTTCGTCTAGCCGAGCAAAGGCGAAGATGCCAAACGGAAAACTGGAGAGAAACCCAGTCTTGCGCTCCTTCCAAAGGGAATAGGACTTTGAACGCGCGTCTCCATGGTGAACGAGATGGTCGTTGGTTAACCCTGGCTTATCTGTCTCGTAGAAGATGAACGCAATCTGGTTAATATGAAGTCAGCAAATATAGGTTGAAAGTGGCGGTATTTGAGCCGTCTCACCAAATGGTCTTGTAGATTCTTGCCGACCCCAGGTAAGTTGACCAGAGTCTTGATACCATGTCTCTTGAGTTCCTCATCACATCCAATTCCAGAGCGATTAAGAATGTTCGGACTGCAGTAAGCTCCTCCTGAAATAATCACTTCTTTGCGAGCTTTGATGTTAATGACGTGACCCTGTGCGTCAACCACCCTCACACCGACGGCACGAAGCCCGCCTTGTATATCCCTTTCAATCATCACCTTGTCCACATGAGTCTCAACCATGAGATGCAAGTTGCTCCTCTTCGGGCCCTTCGTGATAAAGTCTGCGCCCGTAGTGCGGAGGCCCTGGTGTACTGTGCGCACTGAGTGTCCACATCCGTGTGGGTTGTTTCCGTGGGAGAACATGTCGTCGTCAAGGGGTAGTCCTTTCGAAATCATTGACTCTTTAATGAGATGCGAAATAGGGGCGAGGTCGTGCGGCTCTGTATGAAGTTGACCATCGTAACCATGAGATTCTGAGGACTCCTGAAACCATGGTTTGCCGTGAAACGTCTCAGACTAGAGAAATATTGTTAGCACCGTAATGCCACGCCATAGTAAATGCCTGGTATTCCTGAACCACAGCCCAGCGACCAATCGGTATCATCTCTAGTCAAGTCAAATGCACCAACCTTCTTCATGTAGTCAAAGAATTCCTCACCGCTCCAGCCTTCCAGGTTCCAATCATCGAAGTCTTGTTTTACTCCTCGAACAACCAAAGTGCCATTGACTCCAGAGGAACCTCCGAGGAACTTTCCTCGGCTCAAGTTGACCTGCCGATTACTCATGGAACTGCCCTCATCGGACACGATTTTCCAATCAGTCTCTGTATCGAAATTCTGGGACCATCTAATAAGATCAGTAGGAATCTAATCGAGCCGACCAAGGGTGAAAATACCCTCCGACCATATGAACATTCTCCAGATGTTCGTTGTGTGGGCCGGCTTCCACAACTAGGACTTTATTGCGAGGGTTCTCTGCAAGTCTTGAAGCGACGACGCAACCAGCGGTCCCGCCCCTGTTGAAAAGGATGTTAAGTCCAGATTCTGATTCCAATTGGGTGTTCACTGCATGGGATCTCGATGGGACTCACCCGCAGACAATAAAGTCAAACGACTCTAACGAAGCCATAGTAACTGCCCGTCCACACTGATAGGTTGGAGAAGAGTGAAAGAGAGGCTTTACGCAATCAATTGATCGCAATCCATCAAATAACCCACTTGGTGCAAAGAGTAGGAGCAAATGGCTGCTTTAAATACGCTTCAGGGAATGCGGATCATACCCCAAGATACCGACTGCAGATCCGAACCCCGCGTTTTTCCCCGCGCAAACTAACTGAAGAAGGGGGCCCCGGAATCTAGGAAGCTAAAGCCGAAACCGAGACTGAAGCGGAAATTCGGGCCGATTCCGAAGCTGAAGCTGAAGCTGAAATTTGCTCACAGGCTGGGTAATTGTGACTTCGAAGATTCTGACTTAGGATGGAATTTCCAAAGGCTCTTGTTTTATCACAGCAATAGAAATGTCAAATTTACAGCCTCTAGTGTATATATTGAAACTTGTTACTAGCCTATCAATATCAGAGCGTAATTGTCAAATAGTAACAATTAAAAATACGTATATTAAACTGCCTTTCTTTTCCTTTATATTAGTAACTTGCCTTTAATAAAGCGGACGTGCAGTTCCTTACTTCAGCTCTCAGTAACGTGCACCCTACTAGCAGTATCCCAGGCCCTACGTTTTAGCTTTTTCGGATGTGCCTCTTCGCTCTAATCAAATGAGCCATGTCAGGCTCTCCGGGTAATCTGGTGTGGGTATTGCAGTGTTACGGGTGCTATTCCACCGAGCAGGATTCTGGCCCCCTATTCCTATTTGCTCTAGCCTGCTAGCATGTGCCTCCTCGGTGTAGTCGACCGAGCGATATTAGGCTCTCGGGGTAATTTGGCGCGGGTAGCGTAATGTCGCGGCTGGTGGTCTCGGAATGTCGGAATGGAAGCGGGCAATAGGATACACACCGAGATTGATACAGCGACTCTATATTTTTGCAGTGAAATTAATTGTGTTTTAAATGCGTAAACCGAGAAATGAGCTATCTCATTATGTTCTTCGTCAGGTCGTACCTAGGATTGTCAGGAGGTCTATATCCAGGGGCGGCGAGAAAATAGTCCATTAGTTGCTCGAAGCTTTGCTGCCAGCTCCTTAGCGTGTAGCAACTGCCTGACCATTACCAGACGCGGCACAGCTTGTTAGCTCTTAACCCGCCTGATTCCCTGCCACATACGGAGTAAACCAAACAGGTGTTGAACCCACCTTAAGGCCCGATATGACTTATAAGGGCATCCAACCCTGGAGCGGACCTAGAGGTGGGGGAGACCAGCGGAGCCGGGAACGCGGCCACTGTATTTAATAGGGTACCACACTGCTAGCTACTGCTGAATACCACTTAAGCATCTCGCCGTATATGATGCCTTTGTTAAGGACCTTTCATAACAGGATCGACCCACCCTTGACCTACGAGCATAAGGTAGTGTCTGACCGTCACAAACACCATCTAGTACAAAACACGCTTATGCAAAGCCTCGGGCTCCCTTAAGTCATACAGAGCTATAGGCTAACCGCCTCTCGCATTGTGGCCTTGCTGTTACACGACTTTTGGTAAGCCTCTTGACAAATTCCGAGGAAAGAAATTAACCACGGGGCAGGGCGCACATAGTCGACAGCGGTTCTCATGAATCTACGCACTCAAAGACTGGCCTGAATGCAGCATGAGGGAATGCATGTGCACGGCTCGGCGCTAATGGAAGACCTTACTGACACGTCATTTCAGTGAGTTTGTTGGTTCAGTGTCTTGTGCGTGTTACGACCATATACAATCTGTGGGTCTTTTGGACCCCAATGTGGTGGCAACCTGTGCCTCGACAGCCGTAACGAAACGGTTCAGCCCCAGAGCGTACTCTATCGATAGTTTTGACTGCATAATGAGCTGCCTGCACCGAGAAGCTCGTCCCGCTCACTATAGCTAGATATCTGGATGCGTTCTTCTCGCAGCGGTCTATTCTTCGTCGGCTATTCTTGGTCACCCTGCGTGTGTACACGGGCCTCTTGCGCCTGCGCCTGCGCCAAGAGCTCGGCTAGTCGTATTGGGTCCTCGTCGTCTCAGCCGCAGACGCACTGGGCCTCATTATCTGCGATATCTTGACCTACCAGATGACTGTCCTAGGGACGCTCCAAGGTATGCAATCCACCCCCGCGCTTCGCCTGTAGGGCCAACTGTTGAAAACCCACTGTTGAGGGCATTGGACCTATCAACAGTGCCCAAAGCATTAGGCTGCCGCCCGTCCCGTGGGGTCCAAGGGCTTATCTCAAAAGGCATTAGACCTATTAAGGGATAGTGCCCGACGCGGCGCGTAAGTCAAGCTATTTATATTGTAACCTGACGAAAAGTGCTCATCTCAAACGCGGCATTGGCTAGATGTCATAGATTTGGAGAAATTGCTCTTTATTAAGCGCCGACTTCATGGAGCTGCATGTCAAGTGGTGGTCTGACACTCTTATCAGATGGAAAGTGCAAAATGCAGCTTATAATATCCCATGAACAAGCTCATATTAATCTAACATTTTCGTTCCAATTATTTTCCAAGTTAATCCCCGTTCTGGCGATAAAGACTCTTTCGGCCATGGCTCATCATCGCTACCCGCACCCTGCGCTTATCACAGTCGCCATACTCTTTCTTATTGCTGTGATAAGCGTCCTCGTCATCCCCAAAACGGCTAACGCAATTTCATCCGAGCATTGGATCCAGCTCTTTCCCGCCTGGGAGGATATCATCAATACGATTCTGGAAGAGGAAAATGTTCAGGCTGCGCTACAGAACTATCGTGACAACCATCATGACCATCCGAGAACCGGCTACAATATTATGAATCTCGTCCTAGAGGCATTCCCAGAGTTTCGCAAGAGCGAAATGGCTTCGGCTTCTGTGATTCTAGGCCTCGCCCCAGCGCTGCTGCAACAACTTAGCCCGACGTACGCCGACACTGCTGAATTAGCCATCTGCCGCCCTCTTCTCGCATTCCTGGTCGCCGCAGGCAGTCCAGCCGTGGGTCTGCTGGACCCAAGCAACTGCCTCAATGTCGTCAAGAAACTGGAGGACAAGCACAAAATAGGAGCGTTTGAGGGACGAGACCCCACGCGGACCGAACAAGAGTGTACATGGACTAACGATCTTGCCCCCACCATCACATGTCTCGTCGAGTATGTCTTGGCCGCTGTGGCCATTGCAAACAGTCTTCACCTCGCCTACACGCTTGGCGTATGGGCCGTGTTAAGCTTCACGCCGTCCAACACCACCCTACCTGCTGTATGGTGCGTCACTGCTGTGCTCGTTCACCTATTCGGGTGGCTAATCTTGGACGGTATGACACTCGGTGGGTTTCTCCCATCCAGCTTGTCATTATCAACCGGTCGGAACAGTGTTCCCAAAGGTGCTATCGCAATGGCATTTTGTGTCTACGTTGGTTGTGCTGTGCAAGCTCTCTTCGGGACCCTCATTCTTTCGAGCCTCCTCTTTATCAGCGTGCGGGACGCGACCTTTATTGTGCTCAGATTTATGGCCAGTGTATTGATCTGCCGCCTACTTGTATTTATGAGTGTTGACCCTTGAGACGTACGTACAGACAAGGATATGAGGCCTAGCACTCAATGCATATTTATAACGATTCTTTAATTACAATCTCTTTACTTTCCATGACACAAGAACAACCGATATCGCGCTTAAATAGCATTAAATTAAATATCCTCCCATTTAATCTTACGGCATGCTCTTGTACCACTATTCAACTCACCAAATAAAGTCAACTTTGACACGTTATCCCATCCATCTTACTACCATGCATTCGTCCACCTAGCTGAATACCAATTTTCCACTCGACCAGGGTGCGGGCTAATAGTATAAGGGCATTATCCTTCCCTACTATAGCATTTATAATTCCAGCAATCTGATCTCGTAACTTTATGTCGCCTAATGCAGTAGAGGCTAAAAGCTGATTCAAAGATGCAATGCATAATACTTAAAGGGGCTGGTCCGGGATTCTGTAGTAGTTACAATTCTGTCACGGGCTTCTGTTGATCCAGTATTTCTTCTCACCTAATTGCTATTGAAAAGTTATTTAAACCTCAGCAGATCTCGGCAGCAGATCTTCTCCGAAGACTTGGAAGCTAGGGGAATCAGGTTTTATCGCCCTGGCTCAGCACCTAAGAAGCAGGTGCAACAACTCTGAAAGAACTTTGAATAATATAACGCTGTTGATTTGTAATGATCTCTCGACATGTCCGAAGCTATATACACTAATGCTTACACGTCAAGCCCCTGTAGTCTGCAGTTTTCCACAATAGTTCGTCCAGGGAAAGTATCAGGGTCGAAGGTGCACACTGGGAGGTTGAAGATGCAGGGGGCCTTGGGATCAACAGGCAAAAATTCTGGTGTGAACAACTGCACTTTGTGTTCTTCAAAGCAAGTTGACGGACCCTGCAGGAATGTTTCCTTAGAGATCCCATACTTGTCGATAAGCTTGGCGGCGATATCTATTTGTTCATCATCGCCCATCCGCAGAGCGTATTGGACCTCTTTACCATCCACCGTGGCGCAGAACTTGGAGGCGTCATTGTTTGAGTTGAAACAGCCCTGGTAGCCCCGGTAGATGAAGGCCTTTCGTCCTTGCAGTGCGAGCGCGATAGAACGAAGCTTCATGCTGTCGGCAATGTTCGCCTGCATGTCTGCTTGTGTGAAGTTTTGGGCGATACCCAAGAATCCACCGCCGGCCAACACGGAATTGATACCAGTGGTTTCATTGTGAATCTCGGAATTAAGGGTACTCTTGAGAGACGTGGAGATGGCGGATTGGTAGTCTTTGACGGCACTGGAGATGCTCACGCCAAGATCACTCCATTTGACAAATAGATTCGGTGGGACGGGTGGCTTTACCTGGCCGGAGAGGAAGCTGACAACGCCTTTGGGAACAGCAGCTGCTTTAGCCATTGCGCCTGTGAATGGGACGACGCTGAGGCCAAGCGTGATCATGGAATACACTTCTTTGAGAGGGGTGGCGTTGTCCTCAGGCGAGGGCCAGATGTCGTTGATAACGGCAGGCATCTCCAAGGCCATGATGCTAGCGGCGAACGAGACGGCGGTGTTGAGAGAGTTCATGTAGCTGTTATAGTTCTGGATGGCGACCAGGGCATACCTAGATTGCTTGGTTAGCTGGATTCTTCAAGGCGCAAGTAGAACTGGCACAATGTGAGAATTGAAGCTCTGGACAGGCTTACCATCCAGGAAGGTCAACTGGGAGACAAGGTTGTCCTGCGTTGCAAAACTGGCCAAGCCCACTACAAGAAACATGCGGTTAGCCCATTGCTGCGGTACATGCCATCAACTGGTTCATTAAACCCTACCAAAAGAAGTTGGGGGCTCCCAGCGAGGAAGCAAAACCTTGGACATTGTTCGTGGTGAGATTCGACCCCGCGGACTGGAGAAAATCATCGACTTTAAGTGTGGTCCAAGTCTCCTCGGTCAACGGCTCAGAGCGACAGGAGTCGGCGCCGCCTCCATTGCTTTGGGGTAAGGCAACAGGGGTTGCCACGACAATCTCCAGCGCTGAAAGCGTGGCGAGCAGGTGTGCTCTGAAATACATTGTGGTAGTTTTGGCAGTGGCGAACGATGTTAAGAAAGGCAGGGTGGCCAAACGAAGGGCAAGACAGGATTCAATCCAGTCAACGGTTGCGAAAAGAGCGAGTGGTGAGAGAAGAAAAGGAGAAAAAAAAAGAAGGTAGTTTGGATACAATGAATGTGATACCCAGGAAAGAAGGAGCGAGAGGAAAGGTAAGAGCGTGCTTATATATGTAGCCCCTCCCAGAGTTAACAATTGTGCAAGACAGCGACGAAATTAAGCTGTGGACAGATGTTTACCATGCCGCGGGTGAGCAGCACCAGATTGGATTCATTGGAATAGGGCATGGATGCTCCAAACGCTGTTACAGCTTATGCGAAAACGAGCACCTGAGTCAGTCGATTGATTATTCACGTCGAAATTTCTCCGTGACAGCCCCCAACATCAGCTCATCCCGATGATTCCGATCATGAGGCGACTGGTGCGACATTGGTGGCTTGGCGCATTTGAGTTCGACAAGGTCGTTTTCCAAGGATATTGGATATTTGAGTTTGCCAAGGTTGTTACGCATGAGATATTCGAGATTTGAGTTCAAAATCAAGACGAAGAAGGATCAAGACTCTTACTGTTGAGACTAATATTGTGACTATTGTTTCTGCGCGGATCACGAGATTCCGCACACATGAGTGGGTGGCTGTGATCAATTGATACTATAGTCCATTTCTCACCCCAGAACTCCACAACTTCTTCCCGCCCTGTCACATGCGTGGCTCGGATCTTTACTGATGTTGAGAGATGCGATAGATGTGTGTGTTTGGGATGAAGACCAAAGACCAGTTACCAGAAGCCGGAGTTGACAGGGGCAAGGGCTGTATATCGTCATTGTAGATAGAGTTGGTCAGCTTGGGCAGCGGGTCTAAGAGACAGCATTTTTACGGATTTAAGTTACTGAGACCCAAGTTTCGGGTATTGATTGAACCTGTTGCTGCTTTTTACTGATACCCTTACTGAGCTGATTTGATCCCCATTCAGGTGTTAGAAAGCGATGCGAACAAAGGATCACGACTCATCGCGACTCTCACCAGATGGAGTTGGCTCGTGCGGCATTGTCGGCCCCATACATCTGATACATGCACTGCCGCAGGATAATTATAACGCACCACGTGGGGCCTTATTCCTGCATATTGTAACAAACTCTAACGGTCGATACGATACAGATACAACCCATCGGCCGAGACGGAGTTGCCGGCGGGATTTCCCATCCATGCATGTGGCCCGATCCGATCCCAGATTAGGACGACCGAAGCCTGCATAGCCCCGAATCTACCCCAAGTAGAGACGAAATTGTGCCACATAAGGAAGATTGCCTTTCTTAGGGTAGCCCGTAGAACAGCTGTGCCACTAGGTCCGTGTTCTCGGATCCCGTGGAACCTACTTGGTAGGTACTACCGAGTTGGCTGCAGTTGCTCTGTATAGTCTAGTGACTGGAAGATTTATGTAGGGAGGGCCTGGGCAGATTGACAGAAGTGTCGCTGTTAAGAAACTCCTCGATATGACTTGGAGTAGTCTACCATCGTTTTGGAGAGGCACATCTGCTGGTTGGTGATGCTGAGGATCTCGTCCGTGTCTGCGGGATTGGGTTGCTTTGTCGACCCGCAAATTGTGAAACATCCAGCCTGCGTCCGAGCGAGCGAGAACCCTCGGCCGGCCGTTCCGAACCGAGAACAGAGAAGTGGACATGTGAGAACGACTCCAGCACGAACGATTTGCCTGCCGACTGAGAGGATGAGGCTGCTTGAGGTTAGTGCTTTCCCTCGTAGGCAACCTCACAGAACATCTTTGCTATATTTCCAGCATATGTATGTAGCTACGCCCCTGAACCTGAAACCCAATGTCCAGCAGTGCAAATTATAGGGGCCCTGGTCTGTCCCATCACCGGCGCGCGCCGGAAGATCAAAGTATGATTAACAAAAAGTCGTACCAGGTCGGGAAGGTTGCGAATGGAACTGCAGTCCTATAATTACCAAGATTTAGTGATGGCGCCAGGGTTGGCGAAGGGCATATGGAGAGAGGCTTAGGCATAAGCTTGCGGAAAGGTCCCCTTTGGGACCCCTGAGGTAGGAATGCGACAGAGCTATTCGTTATCTTCAAGATCGGGAAGACAACACTTAGCAAATGTTTCCATCGCAGGCATCAAAAATTTAATCTAATAAGAGCACTCAGAGGAACAGTCATCAAAGTAATTATCGGACACAGGGCGTGACATCTGGTCATCCAAAATGCTGAGAAAAGGTTGCAAAGATATCGTGGATGAATGGAGAATATCTACCGGCAAGGGGCTCTAGTATCACGCGCACCTGGAGCGAGGACAAGAAGCTCAACACCATAAAAAAGCAACAAAAATAGATCAACAGTAGAAATAAGAATATAGAAACTCGAAAGACGGCTGAGAAGGGAGAACGGGAGTTGATGTCAGAGCTGAGGAATGGGTATGCAAAGCAAGAATTTGCTAACAACAAGCTGTTTGAAACGCCGACAGGAGAAGAAACGGGTTGCAATGCTGGATGTTGAAGCAACGCCAATTGAGAAACTGGTGGAGTCAATTCAGATGCGGACGGTACCCCACAAGCGCCGGAAGGCCATGAAGGCGGCAATTTGATTCTAAGATGTGCGAGATGCCTTCTGCATGGAAATCAAAAGGGGAGATGAGAGATGTTTAGGCGGGGCTCGTCGACTTGTGCCCAGAAAGGTGCCCGGAGCGGTCAGCCAAGAGGGGTAAGGAAAGGAGATTATGCCCCCAGCCTAACTTCTACTTTGGCTGGAGTTTACTGTACGCACGTGTAGATGCATGTTCAATACCGCGGAGCCAGTCTTGGGCATTCCTCGATGGAATGCTCAACCTGAATAGCGCGGCGTGACGATGGTCGTTGCGTACAGCATCATGTGCGACCAGGGCTTTTGACGTGATGCTCGTTGTCGGTGCTCGAACTTCAATTTTTATGATACTGAAATCTCGTTGACTCGCACATGATTCGGAATTCCCCTAACTTTAAGTCCCCTTCCTTTTACCTATTTAATGATTAGGCATTATCTCTTCTCGTCAGAGTAGCCGGCTTCAGTGATCCAGACCATATTTCTCTGCGCGCTGAACAATATTCTTTCCAACCATTCTGAGCTTTTATCTTTCCCGGTCTCATCACGTATTGCTGTTGCCTAATAAGCTCCCCGGCCAGTGTCGTTAAGAGGTGGAGGTTCAATCGTGGGTTTTCCCGCATACCAACTTCGCCCAGGGTTCTCTGGGAAACCAAGGCGGCTACCTAATTCTGACTTCTGGATGGGAAAATGTAATTAAATTCAGATAATGGCGCTTGGGGTTTGGGCTTGGACACTACCTAGGCATAAAGGTCGTTGCAAGCCACCTGGTCCTACAGCTCCTGAAGTGTAAATATTTGTACATGTGAATAAAGGCTCAATAGGAACAGGAATGGTACTTTGAAAGGAGTTGAGCCCTATGTTTAACAATATAATCTGGTTCATTTCAGCCGTCTAGTATTAAAAGTATGGCTTAATCTATAAGGAGGCAGAATAAATAGGATCTAAGAGATCGACTCTATATGTTCGCGCGTACGACTGGGCGGATGTAGCCATGCGCGATTGACTAAAGACCAACTCCCCGAGCGTTATCGACAGAGGGGAGTTAGCGAGTCTCGCGCGGCTGTCCTCCTGATATTCGGTGGACGTTGCCCATTTCGAACTCTTCCACGCTCTTGCTCGCCTTCGTTATTGCACTCCCCGCCCGAGGACTCGACTCGTACGTGACACTAATTTCGGTCGTCCGTGCGATGCCCTCTCCGCTGCCACTATCGCCATCCTGAGGGTTCCGGCCCAAAATACTGCTGTCACTTGCACCGTCTTGGTCCTTGGGTGCGGCTCGAACCGCCGTCGTCGTCGTGCGGGTGTAGAACCTTTCGGCGCTGTTGTCGCCCGTCTTGAGATACCCGCCAGCTCTCGGCGTCGAGTCGGTGCGCATTCGGACGTTGCGGACGAGGCTTCGGAGGACGGGGAGGCACGCTGATATGATGGTGACATTGGGTTCGGCCATGGACCATATCCAGAAGACTGCTTGATTATGAAAGTCTATGCGCAACGTTAGCATGAATCTGGATTGCGTCATAAGGTTTTATTAAATATCGTGAAGCAAGGTCAGTCTTCTTACATTCAGGGGATTGTAGGTCGATTAGCTTGTGGGCTTGGACGGCTTTCATCACTCCCATAATCCCAGCCAGCATACCCAAGCTCAACGCCAGAGCTATCCTGATTCTCTCGGCTCGTTTCATTTGTAGATTGAAGATCATCCTCCACGGTAGCATGGCGAGGACGAAGTCGCAGAGGGCGGAATACACTTGTCACCATCAAACCGCGTTAGGGCTCACGTTTTCACGAAAGTCTTGGAGAACAGACGGGGGACTCACGAGCGCTAAAGATGCTAAAAGTAATAGACTGGACCAGAGTCCAGCATCTGTCCCCTCCAATATGCGGCTGAACAGGGGCGCCACAGATTGCCTGCCACGTCGCGATGATGTGTACGAAAAACTGCAGGTTCATGGAGATGATGATCCCCCAGATGAGCTTTGCTTCCCAGCCCCCGGGCATCAATCGCAGCAGCGTTATTCCGAACGACGTCTTGGTCAGTCCAAGGGCGATGGCCTGTAGATTGTGATGGGCTCGCGCGATAGTAAATTTGCTCAAGCTTTCTGGGACCACCAAGACCACCATTAGCCAGGACAAGCAGCACGATGCCAGGAGAAGAAAGAACCACCCGGCGAGGAGGACCCAATCGTCCTCCTTGAGCCCAACGCCGACTTTTCGGAGTCTGCTGTAGCCTCTGAAGCCCATAAGGACGGTGGATAGCGAGAGAAGCTATAGAAAAGGTACTCGGAGCAATAAGCGTTCTGGTGTCTGGAAAAACAGGGGATCGGGACGGTTAGTGGAAAACTCACTGCCCATGTCGTGGCGTGCACAAGCGCTGAAGGAAAGTTCCCGTCAGAGTCCATGTAGTTCATCCTTCGCCCGATAATTGCGACCTGCGCCGGCTTGAATCGAATCACAGAGAGTCCCGAAGGATCAACAAGGCGACAATTTTCGCTCGCGATCGCGAGAGACAGTTGGGAGTGGATTATGAACAGATGGAGCCGCGCAGAAAGCCGCGAAAGAGCTTCGCCACTGCTTCGTACTACACAGTATGCTCGAGTCAGCAGAGGCGCCCCATCGGACCCTCTTGGATAATTCAAATGTTACATCGGCCCTCGGACTTGGTCATTGCGATTGTGGGAATTTGATGCGAGGTGTTGGTGCCGTGATCCTGCATTATAGCCGACAGGGGCCCTTGTCAAATGTGGGCGGCACATCCGAGATCTCTGTACGCGGATGGCCGGAAAAATAAGATATTTGCTAAACCCTGTCTCATCAGTGCCTCAAAGGCTGTGCCTTGATCCCGGCCCGTGTAACCCGAGTCATGACGGGGGTAGAAATACGAGCGGGAAGGGCGGAAATGTGGCTGAGAAAGGCATCTTCTCCCAGCACCAGAACACTATATCTTGACCTCACTTGTTCAAATCGACTGACAGTCCTACTTCGTATGGATACGGGTACTAAGCCACGTTCGGCAAGGTTAGAGGTATACAAATTTATATGTAAATGTGTGCTAAATACGTCGCTTTTACTTCGTACTAGGGTAGTTATTTTCGTTTAAACCTTATTTCTTTCTAAGCAAGCTCCCCTGTATCCTTAACCATTCTAATACCAGTAGAGAATATTCGGGGGTCGACAGGTCCTAAGCTATTCCTAGGCTAATTTGCTTTTGCTGAGGTATTACACTAGCTCCACCAGCAATAGAACAATCAAAGAGATATAGCTGTAGCTGCAGTCATTGAAGCAAGGAGGGTAAAGAGCAGCTAGTGCAGCTGGTCGATTGTACTCGCAGCGATCAAGGCCCAATCCTTTGCTCCGTGGGATAACGGCCACCTTATATCGGTATAGGAAGCAAGTGCCGTATTCAGCCTCAGCAGAAGAGAACAGCTACCCGAACTAAGTTGAACCCCTTCACATGGCCCGGATATTGTCTCTTCCAATCCAACGACAACAGCCAATCGGCGCTCGGTCTCGCAGCACGACTTTACCCCTGCCAAAACCAGTTGCGGCCATTCCTCAACCCACGCGATGGGAACAAGACCCGTAACAATTGAATCGAGCGGCACGCCGAGACCCTAAATCTACGGAGTCCCGGAGAAGATATCCGATCCAATAACAAGTGAAACTCTCCAACATTCGATTAGCTCGGTGGGGCCTCGGTGCAGGGGGATATCTTGACAAGTTGACCCCAGACGGCCCCACCACCCCAGCAGGTCAGCTCCAGAGGCATACTACGTACGCGGCACGACGTAGACCCTTGCCTGGCAGTTGAGATTTCTTGGTGGATAGATTGATGAATTGATGGCTGGATGGCTTGGAAACCGATAAAGGGCGTCGCCTTCGGCAATGAATCCTCCAGAGACAGATCCAGTCCAGTCTCTCCTGGATAGTCGCTCGTTTTGTCTGTGTCGTTGACCAAGTCACTCGTTTAATAATTAATTTGTGTCGTTCATCATGCATCTCAAGCCGCTTGCCGTGGCGTCCTTGGCAGTCTCTGCCCGTGTCGTTGCCCACCAGTATGCCATCTCGGCCTCGACCGGCTTCAAAGGTGTACGTCTTCCTCATCCAAGATTCTTGTTCCTCTTTCCTGAATAACCGCCCTTTCCTTTCCGCCCAATTGTTGATAAAGGAATGATAGTGCGATGCGCTCCTGGGTGCTGGCCTTGAAGATATTTTAGTCTTCCCCGAAGACGTCGCATACGAGGACAGTGTCTCGACCTACTACTCGTCGGAGAATCGCCGCCTTCGGCCAGTCTGTATTATGCAGCCTCTCTCAACTGAGCATGTCTCCAAGACGGTCAAAGCTCTGAGCGGGGTGAGCGGTGCCGGAAACTGGGACATTGCCGTCCGATCTGGTGGTCACAGCGACTATGACAACAATGCCGTCAATCGAGGTCACCATTGACCTGACCTTCTTCAACGAGACGAACCTTGTAAAGCGTGATACTAGTGAGTGGACGGGCAAGAGTATACTCACCAAAGTAAGCGCCACTCTGTTTCTTGGGGAGAGCCAGTAACTGACGAGTTGTTAAGTCTATCGCCCAAATCCGACCAGGGGCGCGATGGGGATCGGTAATGACCTACCTCGAGGAGTACAACCTGGGAGTTACAAGCGGCCGTTCAGCTTATGTGGACGTGAGCGGCCAGCTCGTCTCAGGCGGCGCTTCTTACCACACCCAGCTCTGGGGTCTATCGTGCGACAACGTCGTCAACTATGAAGTCGTCCTAGCTGATGGATCTATCGTTGAAGCGAATGCGAAGCATAACAAGGATCTCTACAAGGCTCTGAAGGGTGGCGGCAGCAACCTGGGCATCGTCACTCGCTTCGACTTGCGGACCTTCACTGTTCCCCCCTCTGGTGCCTTTGGAGGCCTGCTGTTCACCTCGTGGGACAACTTGGACGTCGTCAATCGGCAGTTCGTCGAATGCGCCAGCTCCATCGGCTCGGGTAACCCCGACCATCAGTTTGTCGTCTATCGAGCCGATGAGGGTAACCTTTCCGTCATGGTCATGGCGGTCAGCACAGACGGAGACGAGGATTCCTCCACATTCAACTCCTTCAACACTATCTCACTAACCAGAGACTTGAGGAAAAAGCAACCCATCAGCAGCATTGCCGCATCCATCGCCGATACTGGCGGCTCGCACTACATCCCATTCACCCTGACTCTCCAAGCCACCGCCGACATCATGAAGAAGGCCTCGGACATTTTTACAAGTCTGGCGCAAGACCTGTCAAACTCAAACATCCCAGTATCTCCCGCCTTTGTCTTCCAGCCTCTCCCAAAGAAGCTCGCTTCGGTCAAACCCGGCAACAACCTCCTCGCCCTTGACAAGAACCTGCCAGCCGATTCGATCCTCTTCGAGGCCAGAGGTACCCTGGCCGCTAGCGATGCCTCTTATGAAGGTGTCGTGCGACGCAAGATAGGTCAGGCGATCGAAGAGTTGAGGGCGTACTCTGCGTCGCAGGATGGCCATTCCGAGTACCTCTACATGAACTACGCCAACCCTGAACAGGATGTCATTGGATCGTACGGCTCGAAAAGCGCAAAGTTTCTGAAAAAGACGGCCGCCAAGTATGACCCGACCGGCTTCTTTCAATACCGCATTCCTGGCGGGTGGAAGGTCAATCGCGTGCTGTAATGGACAGAAAAGGTCAGGGGTTGAGAGTTGATAGAACCTGCTGTCAATAATTAGGTTGCCAGATAAATATGCTCGTAGCTCTATAAAATTAAAGATTTGGCGCACTATTGAACCGGCGGTACGGGCAGCAGACGGCAGCGCCTCGCCGAGTGGTTGGCTAGGACAAGAAAGGTCAAATAATAAGCAGGCAGGTTAACTGTCTCTGTGTGTCTGTCTGGCTAGGTGATAATGATCGATCCGTCATTCCAAGAACGCAATTAATTATGCAACCCGCACCTTATCAATAAGCTAGACCAGCCCATGAATCCCCCACATACTTTACTACGAAAGCCACGAGCTGGCATCTCTCAGCCATGTAATTGCTACACATATAACAGACATGGTGACTCAACTTCGAAACCAAAGTCTTTGCCGAGTAGTCTCGGATCCTCAGCACATCTCTTGCCATCAGTCGTCCACTCGCGACTTAGACCAAGTATTTCCCAAAGAACTCTACGAGCTTGGCACCAGCAACATCAACCTTGTCATACAAGTCAGCGTGCGTAGCCCCGTCAACAACAAACAGCTCCTTCGGCTCCTGGGCGCTTGCAACTGAGTCTTCACTGTACCACTTCGTGGCCGCCTTGGTCCCGGTGATGGCCAGCAACGGCCGAGGGCTGATCATTCGGTTCCAAGCAAAGGCATCGAAATTGGCCATAAGGTCCCAGCTGCGAGGCAGGCAGGTATTCGTAGCTCTCGGATGGTTTGCCCTCGACGTCCGGTAGTAGGAGGCTAGGTCCCGAAACGATTCCGGCATCTGGTCAGGCAGTGCTGCATCGAATTTGTCAGGCAGCATGTGGATAATGTCGACTTCTTCTCCTCCAACATCGCTATTGCGGTCCTTCGCGGCAAGCTGCAGCTGCACCTGTAAGTTGTCCATGTTGGAACTGTCCTTATCCAAACCCCGACGGGCCATTGTGCCAACGCAGACGGCAGCAGAGGTCGCTACAGCCTTAATTCTGAGATCGGTCTGAGCCGCGTAGGGGGCATAGCCGCCGGATGCGCAAATGCCGACAACGCCGATCTTGTCAGAATCGACATCTTTACGGCTGACAAGGTATGTGACAGCGGCTTTGATGTCTTCAACTCGCTGACCAGGATCTTCAAGCGCTCTTGGTAGGCCTTCGGATTCTCCTTGGTAGGCTGCATCGTATGCAAGGCATGAAAAACCGGCTTGGGACAGGACTCGGGCGTAGTTGGCGGGAGACTGCTCCTTGATTGATGTCCAGGGGTGACATAATATGACGGCGGCACCCGCTCGATCCGGAGAAGCCGAGACTGGAGGGTAAAAGTGAGCGGCCAACTTGTAGCTGCGAGAGACGAACGAAACCTCTGTTGGTTGCGACATGGTGTTTGTCTTAATTTCGCTTGAATTTAAAGACTCGGTAAGGTGATTGATTTGAATACTAAGTCGGAGTTTGCAACGAGAGACTGGGGGAGAGGCTTTTATACCAGTTCAGACAGAATTTTCAAACGCAGAAACCTCTATCCAGAAAAAGAGGAGAACCACGGTGCTTGAACATTCTTTGGGTATCACCGTTCCGTCATCCTGCTCATTAGCTCTACTCTAGCCAAACTTAACGTCAAAAAGGGGGGTTAAAAGAGCCACTAACCAGCGACCCCGACAGATACGCGAACGTCATCAGGGATAATACGAAAGCTGCTCCAAGACAATGGAGACTGGTGCGAAACGCTGGCAGCAACTCCACTGGTTGGTATCTCCGATGAAGATATCCCCGAATCCAGGAAGTGCAGTGGCTTGGCTATGATATTCGAGGAGTTATCAGAATTATCGCCGATGAACTACAATGCGACTAGGCGTTAAAAAGGTGGAGACGTTATAACTCCGCAAGACACCTTCAGAAGGTGGAGTCGTGATAACTCCGACGAGACGTCAAAACACCTCCAGTGATTTGCTAACTCTCATTAAGTCAGAAAGCCTCGACGTCTCGACTCTCTACAGATCCTTGTTGTGGAGACGTCGGGATTTGCGCTATCACCGAAGGTGTTCAGCCGACGTACTGCACGGACTTCTCGATAGGTGGAAATGGCTGAATCTGAGCACTTGCGCATCGTCTTTCAATGCTACTATTACTTCTGACAAGCTCTGCCATTCAGCCACAGCTTTGCATTCTATGAGAAATACGGGTTTAAGCTGGTGGATGAGAAGAAACTAGCAGATTTGAAGTGTTCTTCAAGTACATTCTATTACATGGTGAGGGAGGGACAGCACGAGCCGAAGATATAATGCAGTAGTCAAATGAAAGGTTGGCTTCTAGAGGACTGTCTCGAGGTAACAGATAGAAAGATGTATTATCTTGAGTGAAATAAACTAGTGAAGATGCTTCTATTTTAATGGAACTAGAATAGTTAAAGTAATATACAGTAAACAAGTTATATCAATAGCTGAGGAGCTAATGTCTCAGTATCAGCCAGTTCCACAAGCTAATATGTTGGACGTCTATCCGCTGGGTAATGGGACTTTAGCTCGGTCTAGGGTAGGGGTGTTCGGACTCTTGAAATTCACTCGACCGCAGCAGAGTCCTACTTATCCACACCTGGAAGTAGTAGGAGGAGGGCCCCATTGACTGTACTAAGCGACGGCAGTTGAAGATCTTACAGCATTTTCGCCAACTGGGTAAGGCTGCAGGGGATTATGTTTGATGCCAACAAGTCTTGCGTTGTTGCCAGGTGCACGGTTTCGAGAATTTCGGCTGCCTCTTGGCTATCCCAAATCATCCCTCCAGCACATTAACCGAAGTAGTGTAGTGGCTCTCAGCTAGATATCAGCATCTCTAGAAGATGACCCGATGAGAGTTAAGGGGGGGATAACATTGGCGTGCAAGCTATAGATTGCATCAATCTGGAGATGACTAATCATAGCCCCGTTGGCTAAGTGGTATAGCGTGTCACTAGTAATGACAAGATCACTGGTTCGATTCCAGTACGGGGCAATACAATGGCTAGACCATCCGGTTCCCTTTCTTTTTGCGTGAGGGAATGATTACGCTCAAGGGTTGACGAAGCAAGCTTCCTTGACCGAGCCCCGACTCGCTACGTGGAAGCAAGGGTTTCATTCACCACAGGGCGAGTGGTTCAGATTCATCTGATATCTAGCCTAAGTTGCATCATTGTACAGAGTTATGCCTATGGTACCTGGCCCAGGGATTTGTGGAGAGTTTGAATGTAGTCAAGACCATAGCTGAATTGTATCCAACCTTTTTGGCAGCACATACTGAAGAGACCATATGGGACTCAGTTCACCGTGTTAGAGAAGTGGTTACAAATGAAGTTCCTTTGCACCCCCCTAGCCTACTTGTCGGCAACAAAAATAACCTTGTGCGTTTTCATTTCATTAAATATTTCATAGCCTTGCACTGCCTCACTGAGTGGCATGATCGTCTCCGTCATAAAGCTGTCGCTGAGATTAGTGGCCATGCTATTGATCTCCCCTTCGAGGCAACGAGTGTGGGACTTACTTCAACAAGTGCTGCTTCTTCTCGAGCAGTTCGAGAGCCTCTGTAAATATACCTGCAACAGAAACTGGTTAGAGACTGAAAAGGGTGACGGTTGGGTGGTGTAGATGTACTTCTCACTGGGCATCTGCCCATCTTAATAGTCAAGTTTTTGCCGTACGCTTGATTTCCAGTCCATGGAATCTCGCCGTTGTGCACACCGACGCTCGAAATGATCCCCCAAGGGCGAAGTAGCTGGAATCCCATCTCAAGAGCCGAACTATGGCCCACAACCTCGATGACAGCATCGGCTCCACGCCCGTCTGTTAGTTCCAGGACGCGTTTAGAAAGCTCCTCCCGCTGGGTTTGGTAGTTCCAAGGCTCAGCACCCAGGCTCTTCGCGGTCTCTAGGCGGTCCTCGATGCCGTCGACGGCCAGCAATGCCTTGGGCTTGTACTCGCCTGCCGCGATCAAAGCGCAAAGGCCGACAGGGCCGCAGCCAATCACGACGACAACGCTCTCGCTGACAATCTTGGGCTTCAGCCCGCCGAGCGCGTTGGACGCCGCAAAGTAGCCCGTCGGAAAAATGTCTGCCATGAGACACAGCTTCAGGTCCTCGATGCCACTCGGGGCTTTCACCACGGTCGATTCCGCCAAAGGCACTCTGACGTATTCGGCCTGCGCGCCATCAAGCAGCGGGCAGCCAAAGAGGAGACACTTTTCGCATCTGGATGAGAACCCCTGCGTGCAGTAAAAACATGCCCCGCAGCTCACTGTGAACGGGCTGACGATGGGATCGCCGAGCTTCAGATTTCGAACGTCGGAGCCGATCTCATGGACGGAACCGGTGAATTCGTGGCCCATGATGAAGCCCGGTTTGGAGGGCTGGTGACCACGGAAGACATGGAGTTCGCTGGCCAAAGACGATTTAAGCGAGGGTGTTTCTCTGAAGAAGAACGATTCTACTTACCTGCCACATAATGCGGTGTATCGGACCTTGACGATGATGTCCTTGGGATCCTGAATGGTGGGGATTGGCCGCTCTTCCACCGCGACATTTTTCACCCCCTTCAAGACGACCGCGCGCATAGTTTCAGAGGGCATCGTGGACGTTTGGTAGGCCTGGGTTAGTGTGAAGATCCGAAATTGGTTGCACAACCCGGTCACAGTGGGATTGTATTTTATCCTGGTGATGGTGCATCGCCTGATGCTTGAGCAGACCTGCATCACACTGACTAATGGGCCTCGGCACCGGTTATCCTAACTCGGCCAGCTCCTCACCTCAAGTTCGCTAGATCTCATACGGAAACATGACGCAGCGGGGTGCGGGGTTTGCATTGGCGCTAGTTAATCATGCAGGATGATGAGGATGAAGTGCCACGAATTGTATTTCCGGAGCGCTACAGCTTGCTATCTCGGCTGTGGCCCTGTTTTATCGACAACAGCGTGTGCCGCAGCGTGTTAGTGCCCGATCCGCCGGGATCGGACTTAGCCCAGACCGCATGAGAAGAGCAGGATCGGATTGAGGAGATCCGAGAGCGGATGGCCCTCTGTGGCTAATTTTCAGTCCGGGATGCCAATCACCTTAGGTTTCACCTTGTCAAAGGCGAGGTTGTTCAATAAGAAGCACATTGCCTTCGGCATTCCCTCGAGGCATCAGCATCATGGGCGGTGTGTCGTATGTTGCCTGCCATAAGACCGCCAACGAGGAGCCGCCGTAAGAGAAAATATGGCTGGGTCTGTCCTTTTCTGCGGCCATTTCTACCTGAGGCCATTCAGAAACAAATTGCCTCTAATCTGAAAAAGTAGATTGGCCGCCTGGGGTGGTCACACGGAGTTGCCATGACTAACTCCCGATGCCGAGGATCTTTGCGGAAGTCAATCCCGCATCGCTGATCTCTACCCCACGATTCAAGTCGGCACGGAAGCGCCCGCACCGAACCCCTAAGTTAATGCCTATTAATATTAGCCAAATGAATTTCTCTACACTGAACCGAACCTTTGTTTAGCTTCCCATCCGTCGATAAACCAGATTAGGAGCCGTTAACTATGATTTTCAAGTCTCTGAGCCCTGACATTAATCGTGAGCGACCCGTATCCTGACATTTGCCCCTCATTCCCGTCTGCACTCAACTCCTAACTCCGCTCTGAAATCTAGTGCCCAAGAGCGTCTCACTATGGTCATGGCTGTTCGACTCCCCTCACTCGCGCTTCTCCGAGCTTCCTCAAGACAGCATCCAAGGGTTTACTGATGTCTTCACGAAGAAGCATCTGAGCTTCCACGATCTGAAAAGCCACGCTACTCACCTATCGACTGCTCTCAAGAGCTTCCACAACCTCCAGGAAGGCGACGTGGCCATCGTCTACGGCCGGAACAGCATCTGGTATCCCGTAGCCACCCTGGCCGTCGCGCGCATCGGTGCCATTGCCTGTGGCGTGTCTCCAGAGTATAATGTCGAGGAACTGTCCCACAGCTTACGTGTGAGCGAAGCAAAGATCATCTTCACGACCCCAGACTTGGCAGACACGGCATATGCCGCCGCTGAGAACTTGAATATCCACAAGGAAAATATCATTCTTCTCGATGGCCAAGGCGACGGCATTCGGAGCATCCCGACGCTGATTTCCAAAGCCCAGGCCCTTGGCAAGGCCGCGGAAGCACCTTTGTACGAAATACCGCACGGAAAATCGAATTCCGACGTGTGTGCCTTTCTATGTTTCAGCAGTGGCACCACTGGGCTTGCAAAGGCCGTCATGATTTCCCACGGGAATATCATCGCCCAGTGCCTGCAGGTACAGGCAATTACCCCATCTGACCACACCAAGATCCTGGCCGCACTGCCATTCTACCATATCACGGGGATAGTGCATCAGCTGCATTTTCCCATTTCGACCAATGCCCACGTTTATGTGCTCCCGACATTCACCCTGGATACGCTGCTCTCGGCGGTCGCAGAATACAAGGTGAAGGAGCTGCTGATGGTACCACCCATCCTGATCCGTCTGGTTCGGGATGAAGCTATCGTGTCTAAATATGACCTCTCGCACATAGTTCGGTTCTCCTCTGGCGCTGCGCCTCTATCGAAGGAGATCCTCACCCTTCTAGAGAAAAGGTTCCCCGGCACTGGCTTTAAGCAGGGCTACGGCATGACCGAGTCATGTTCGGTCATCACCGTTCACCCACCTTCTAAGTATGCCTACAAGTATGCCGATAAAGTGGGCACGATTGTTGGATCCACAGAAGTGCGAATTGTTGACCCGGACACACAAAAGGATTGCGGCGTAGGTGAAGCTGGAGAGATTTGGGCGCGAGGGCCGCAGGTGGCCATGGGCTACTTGAACAATCCCGGGGCAACTGCCGAGACGTTTGGCGAAGACGGGTTCTTACATACGGGCGACATTGGAAAAATTGACGAGGAAGGGTTCCTCTCTATAACGGACAGGATAAAGGAGATGATCAAGGTCAAAGGCATTGGTGTCGCACCCGCAGAGCTCGAGAACCTCCTCCTCGGACATGCCTCCGTCAGCGACGTTGCAGTTTGCGGCATTCCCGACAATCGCGCTGGAGAGAGGCCAAAAGCGTATGTAGTGCTAAAGCCGTCGCACGCATCTTCGCCGGGGGAAACAGGGCTCGCATTGATCAAGTACGTCAAGGACAAAAAGGCAAGATACAAGGCCATTGTGGAGGTTGAGATGGTCCAAGAGATACCCAAGAGCGCGGCAGGTAAGATTCTCCGACGAAAGCTCCGGGAGGCGTCGAGCAACGGGAATGTAGTTGTTCGGGATGAGCCTACCAGGGCGAAGTTGTGAGATTTACACGGTTGTCAATTAAGTTAGTCTAGACAGCCATAAACTCGAGCTCAACATTTTAAATATCGTTTGCTTCCAGTTCTATCTCATTTGACATGACGTCGGAATTCAGCGTATCGATGTCTTCCCCGCAGCGAGGTTGCATCCCCTGGTGCCAGTACTCCTCATGTTTGGACAATTCCGTACTTAGAACCCCCGCAATCCTAAAATAGCGAAGCTCGGGTTTGAGAAGGCGAGCCGAGGCACGGAGTGAAACCCGATCATTCTTGACTTAGTCATGACGTTTAGCGAGCTACTGCAGTAAATGACAGTGGCAGTATTAAAGTTCCTACACCCCGCGCTTCCGGTTGCTTTTATTGACTAGAAGACCATCACTCATCCATCATATATATCCCTTATCCACGCAGAGCAGCTCTATTTGTGTTTACCGCTGTATTTATCCCTCCCTCTTCCATTGCAGCTCTCACCTTACTCCTACGCCATGGAGCTATCCGCCTCTGCCAGGATCCCCGCTCTTGTTGTTGACAAGGTCAGCAAACGAGCCCTGGAGCAGCTTGACCAGGTACTGTATCTCTCGCGGTATCCTGCAAATGGACCCAATCTCATTCGTATATATAGGTCGAGAAATTCGTCCAAGAGCGATGTCTTCCAGCCGATGCCATCTTCTCCAAGCAGCTTGGAACCGACCCCAAAGTCCGCTTTTCCACCGTGCCCAAGATCCTGGACGTCTTGAAGGTGGAGGCGCGTCAGCAGGGGCTATGGAACTTGTTTTTGGCCAAGGGCCACTATGCCGAAGGCGGCGGGTACACCAATCTTGAATACGCCCTGATGGCCGAGCAATTGGGACAGAGCTATATTGCGAGCGAGGTAATGCACTCTGACCTGCTTCTCGCTTGAGAACGCTAGGTTAAAGAACAACTAAGAAAAACACACGGCGCTAACATGTCGACTCCCAGGCAATGAACTGCTCCGCTCCTGATACTGGGAACATGGAGGTCCTTGCCAAATTTGGCAACGCCGCCCAGAAGGCGAAATGGCTCGCGCCCTTGCTCGATGGCAAAATTCGGTCGGCGTTCCTCATGACTGAGCCTGACGTGGCGTCCAGCGATGCCAGGAACATCGAGTTTCAGATGACCAAGGATGGTAATGACTACATCCTGAATGGCAGTGTAAGAGACCCTCCCCACCGTGATCGCGCGGATTCGTTTCTCTCCAAGATTCAGCTAACACATCTGCTTCCTGTCTAGAAATGGTGGAGCAGCGGAGCAGGCGATCCGCGATGCGAAGTATACATCGTCATGGGCAAGACGGATGCCGAAAATCCGAATCCCCATCACCAACAGTCGGTGATTCTTGTCCCTGCTCGTACACCTGGAATCACCGTTCATCGTATGCTGTCCGTTTTTGGCTACGACGACGCGCCCCACGGACATGGCCACATCACGTTTGAGAATGTCCGCATTCCGGCGGAAAACATGGTCCTCGGCGAGGGCAGGGGTTTCGAGATTATTCAGGGCCGCCTTGGTCCAGGACGAATTCATCACACGATGCGATGCATTGGCGCCGTAAGACATCCCGCCTATCCTTGGTTTGACTTTGGTGTTGAGAAACTGACCGTGGAAACATCTCATCTAGGCCGAGCGCGCCCTCGACTTGGTCATTGCACGTATCCACGAGCCGAAAAAGAAGCCCTTCGGCAAGATGCTTCACGAGTACGGCTCCGTCCTGACCAAGGTCGCCCAGGCCCGTGTTGACATCGACGCATCTCGGCTGATCGTACTCAACGCGGCGCTCAAGATCGACAACGGCAACGCCAAGCTGGCCTTGAGGGAAATCGCCGAAGCCAAGATCCTCGTGCCCCAGATCCTGGGTCGCATCATCGACTTTGCTATCCAGGTTTACGGTGGTGCCGGCGTCAGCCAAGACACGCCGCTGGCGTACATGTGGGCCAACGCGAGGACCATGAGAATCGTCGACGGGCCGGATGAAGTCCACCTGCTGCAGATGGGGAGACTCGAGGCTCGCCGGGCCCAGGCTGTGCGGGAGCGACTGGAGAAGATCAAGACACTGGAGAAGACGCTCGCTGAGCAGTACAAGGTGCAACTGACGGATCCTCTCAGCATGGGGTGGACGTCTGAGACCAAGCCCAAATTGTAACCGGAACCACCCTTGCAATGACATGCTTTAGACCTACTTGAATAGATTTCCCTTACTATTAGTAATAGGGAAATTCCCATCTTAAATTGCTGTCAGGTGTATCCCCGAAGAGATGGAGTCCTGCCATGAAAACACTCCCTTGCCAACAATAACTTGTCTGTAGTTTGGCGATGCTCTTCATTATACCCCAAATGGAGGTAGTTTGTTATGTTGTTCATTGTCATCTTGGCTTAAGAGGGGAGCTTTATTTTCGAAACTGGTCGGCGACAGTATCTGTCACCTTGGCTTTGTTCATTTTAGCATGGGTTGTATTCGTGGAGATAGCGGTCCAGGCAAGTGAGGATATGTGGCAGTTATTCTCGGTTGCTATCAACGTCGGTTTTGCTTCAGAGGCTGGAAATGGTAAATATTTCTATGATAGATGTGCTGGCAGTGCGACGAGGACATCGATTGTGCATAGCTGATCATGCACTTTTGTCACCGTGTGGTTCTAGACTTTGTTAGGCCATTGCAGCCCTAATTTCCAGGGCGTGTGGCCCTGAATTCTCGCGTAGTGAAGACCTGAAGGTCAGCGCACAATGACTGCATTTCGGTGGAAATGTGGCATCAAACTCAGAGCATGATTTTAGCCATTAAAAAGAATGATAATCGTAATCGCGCTCCTGAAAGTGCTGCGAACCGTCGCTTGAAATGAATATCAATGCCATGAAGGTCCAACCCAAACCGAGTGAGCTGGGATTGTAGTACGGGACTGTTGCTTTCGCGGTCCTGAAAAACCTAGCTGGGGCCAGCATCAAGTTCAACCAGACGGCTTTACTTCGTCGCAGCCAACAATAGGACTCCGAAGGTTGGACTTGAACAAGAAATTGTGAAGAAGTGTTCAATGGATGTGCATGGAGACCCATCTGTTCGCCGCGATTGCTATTTCGTAGGATCCATACCTGTTGTGAGAACAATGGCCGATCCTTTGTTGAACCAAACCTGAAACTAAAGCAATGAGGATTTTCGGTGGGCTTATTGCACCTGCTTGTTTAAGCTTTGTTACATTGGTATTCCCTGAACAATGCCCTACTGTTTCACGAAAACAAACGTGTCTGCTTGAACAAGGGATTTTACTCAACCGTTTTGTCAGTAAAATTTCCCAGGCAGTATATCATGAAGCGTGTAACCTTGCCCAACAATTCAGACAGAGAATCAGTACCCCGGACCGTGAATCAACACTCTGGACCGAGAATCCACAGCTCACGAAGGCAATCAGCACCCCAGACAGAGAAGTCAGCACCCCTCGCAGAGAGTTAGCACTTCACACAAAGAAATCAAGTCAATCAAACATCGTACAAGTTTCCAGCATGTGTTTGTGCGTTATCACCCACCAGACCAAGTGCGAGACTCGCCGTCCTGTCGTTGTCAACGTCGACAGTGACTATACTATTTTCCACCCTTATGAACGACCTCCACCATGTCGCCACCAACAAATCATGTCTGAACAGCCGCGTTGCCCTTCCCATGGAGCTTGCTGCACCAATCGCAAATGGAGAATTTGCTGTGCTACCGGCGAGAACCCCAAATGCGATAGGTGGGAGATGCTCCACATGGTCATTTCCGGCTATCACGAACGAACGATGCTCTCCGGACTAGCGAAGCAGCAACATCTATCAATCAAATCCATGATATCCACAAAAGCTCCCGATTGCTACAGAAAGCTCAGGCACAAGTTCTTCGAGACTGGAGCTGCGGTTGCACATTGGGCTCATGCAGCCAACAAGCTCGGAAACCTCATATACGATGACTCTGTATCCGAAGATAGCAAAGACATAGCTCGGGGTCGTTTCGAAATGGTTTTTGAAGAATGGCAGCGCCATGTTGAATCCTTAGATAACCTAACGAGTCTATGGGATTCGAACGCCGACATTGGCATGATGGAGGCTTGTGCTTCAAACAGACTCGAGTTGCACCCATACGCCTGGTATTATCAGGCTGTACCTACGCTAGGTTCTGAGCATACTCTCACGCCTACCCAGTGGCTTCAAGCCTTTAAGCAAGGTGGTGTGCATCGACAACAATCAGCTACTCCGGTCGAAGACCCGTCAGCATACTGTGATGAGGATATACCATTCGCGGTGCTTCCTATCCAGCCCATTGAGAATTGTTGGGCTGGGCAACCCCCGCCAGTGTTCAAGACGATAGACTGGACGGGACCTCCTACTAGAAGGGCAAGCCTCCCCGTGAGTCCAAATTCAACGCTTGATAATTCGTCACAGCCACAGGTTGCTGAAAATGCCAGTGTCCCTATTCCGGATAACGGGAAGAAGCGAAAGCAGGCTGAGACTCCCGCGGGCGAGAAGACGACTCGATCTCGGTCGAGGAAGATTTAATGAACAACGTAAGGTTTGGCCGGAGATCTGGGATAATTAGAGACCCAAACAGGGTAACGGGCGTTCAGGTACAGACAGCGATGTTGTTCAACCAAAGATGCAGAATAGATATGAAGGTAGTATCCGGGGAATTCAATAGTAGAAGGAGAAAATTCTATTTAGTAACTATTCTTCTTTTAGTTTTACTCAATATTATCAGATCGATCAAACCTACGCTGTACTTGCAAAGAACAGGAGCTCATACTGAGCAGCGCAACCAGTCCAGAAGATACAATAGCTTGATAGTAAGTGGTTTGCGGCACACTGACTGACATTTTCCTGAACTTTTTCATGTAGCCCTTCTATTGAAACCTGAGCCTGGGCCTTAGCAACTGTAACATGTACAACGAAAACGCAGTAATTGCAAGCATCAGGTTCATTCATCGAGGGATTCATAAATTATAATAAACTAGGTCTAGCTGGTCTAAAGAAATCCTACATCTCAATCGGAGTATCCCAAAGTGGGGATATGGAATCTATGAACTCAGCTAACAATCTAATTAATCACTCTGGGTCGTCAGTCTCTATCTATCATATGCCATAACAGTCGTACCAATCCCCACACCCTGCTCTCTAGGCTACTCTAATGCCGAGAATCATCACAATTCAGTTAATCTAATCCCAAAGACAGGGCCAATGGCATGCATCCCGTGTCAACTGCCATAGTCGTCGGATCTGACCATCCCTTTCTTCCTCTGTCTCGGAGTATGGCTTAACCTCCTCCCACGCGTGGTACGACTCATTCGGTACAATCCCCTCCTCTCCCGGCCGGACGACCCATATATGCGCCACTAACTCCGGCAATGTACGTCGAGCTTCCCAGCTTGCTGTCAGAAGTCCTTCAATATCGGCAAAGGCCAACGGGGTAAATTCAACCCGCATCGTATCCGTGAAGTAGCGGAATCCGGCCCAGTTGCCCCCCACCGAGGTCTCATTCATTGAGTAGCCCATATGGCCGATGCGAGGCATGGCGGACAATGTTAACGCCCCTCCCATCGAGTTGCCATCTTCATCAAATTCAGGCTCAATAAGGCCTGCACGGAAGTCCTGGCGCCATTGAGCAACTTCTTCGCTCAAGGTCCAGCCCCTCATGTTGGTAGCCTGGTGCAAGGGGTAAAAATTCTCCAACGGCCACTTGATCCCAGTGTCTCCTGGGATCCCTTTCTGCTCGAAGTACCTGGCAGCCTGATCCAGGGAATCGGGATCTTGGGTGCAATTCCGGTACCATTGGAAGCCCCGATCCGCCCCGATAACCTGCGGTTCAAGCATTTGACACCCATCGATCCAGAGGCGTTCGCTATGCTCGGATAAAACAGTGTACTCTCGAATGTTGTCAAAGCCAAAGATCTCGAGTTCCCCCAATGGCTCCGTAGTGTAGTCAATGTCTCTGGCCATAGTAAGATGTTCAAAAACAGAGGCAATCTTCTGTAATCGTCCACTGCCATCGCCGTCACCCAGGCCGAGTGGGGGCATACCATCTTCGATAAAAACAACGTCATGAATGAGATTGATCTGGACTGACTGGTGCGACTGGCCATTGTCGTAGTCGACGAGCCAACACCCATCTTTTTGGACAGTGACGCGAGATTCGGCATTTACCTGGGATATATCCAAGGCATCGCCTCGTTGGACATCTTGAGGGGTCTTGTCAACGAAGAATGTGTGAATTGTCGGTGGCGTCCCCGCTTTCCAAATTTGCTGGCGTATCTCCGGGGGCAGGTCGTGGAATCCGATGCAACGGGGGGCTCCCCCTGGGGAGAGACCCTGATTGCGCTGTCCACTCATGTTGGTGGTTGATGTGATAGTCCGTCTCGGGAAATTGGGCCAGCCCCAAGTCGGACACTTTCGGTTGGGAGTTATGTGTGAGTGCAAGTTGGAAGGTTAGGAAGTGATGAAGAGCGCGGCCAGGACGGTTGTTTTAAAGAATTCAAAATAGGCATCCATTCAACCATTCAGGGAATCATCAGGGCATGTTCACATCAACAGCTAGGCAAGAGACTGGAGCAGAAGATGGCAGGTAACAAACATTGTCTTCAGACCTAAAACACACAGCATGTTCACAAAGACAAAAGGCTGTTCTACAAGGAACAGTGGGTCGAGTTCCAATGTTACATAATAACGATTTCTTATACGCGAGTTATCCGGGCCTCTTGATGGAGTGCGCATGTCATTTTTGGCGTGATACGAGGAACAAAGAACACTTATCCAGAGTAGCATTTCATTGCCGTTTTTCCCGACGTGACAAAATACAGAACAGTGAGGAAAGCATAGCCGATTTATGTAAGTCAGTGAGTGTTCAATTCACTATTCGCGCTGGGCAGAACCTAGAGCCTCATCCATCCCTGCGGTCAGGACATGTGATGGTGTGGCCAGAAAGAGAGAGACAAGGTGGTATTGGCACAATTGTCTGGGGTTCCACGAGAGAGAATAGGATTCTCTAGCGCTATACGAATAGCGCGCAACGCTGCAATTTTTAGCCTTGATCCTTCCGCCAAAGGAGGTCAAGGTTAGGTTCCCTTTCCCGGCTGCCATTCCCACCGCGTCAGCGCGCGGCGACAGATGCCTTCTTACCCTCTGACATATGCATTTGCCATTGATTTGATGATAACAAGATAATCGCCATATATGCTTGTCTTCAATCAATTGCCGCCCAATATGACAAAGGCATTTAAGCAAGCTCTCAGTAGCTTAGCCGCCCTAGCCGAAACCCCGTATTCAACAGAGACCCATCCGACAGTCGGTTGAGGCGATCGCAATGATGCACCGACAAGCAAGAAGGTGGATATTCTGGCTACGACAACTACATGTTAGAGCAAATTGTTCAAGAGGTCAGTGGAGCTGGCAATTAGGAACTTGTTTAGGGGGCAACTGACATTATGGGTGCGATGCTGCTCGAAATCAAGCTAAAACACTCCGCTGTCATGGAGGAGTTTGAAGCATCTCCAAGCGCGCTCAAGTATGGGACTCTCGAGCTGGAAAAGTCTATGTCGGGGTTTTATGTGAAGAAGTCGACTGAGTTTTACCGTAATGGGCAAAGATACGAGTCTTAGTTTTCAGATATGGCGAAAGGAAAGCAACGAGCGTGAGAGGAACAAAGTGTAAATTACTGATCACATTTGCTAAATTTGTGTTTTGGAGATCTCGAATATGACTAGCGACGAGTTTCCAGTCTAAATCGTGCAAGCGTTCAGTAAACGTACTTGAAGTATTTGTTTTCCAAATCCGTTTCATCCAGCAAACCTCGCTCCCAAGCTCGGTCCTCGATTGCCCGTGCATGGAACTCTGCCCTTGATCTGTTTCTGAGCCACAGCAAGACCCAAATGCCAGTGAGACACATCACCTGGACAGCTAGACAGAAGAACATCATTCCCACACCAAGTGGATAGAGCGGTGCCTGGCCAGTTTTGAAGAAGAACGGCCCGACAAAGTTCCCTATACAGTATCCGATAAGAAGCATGGCGTTGGTAGTGATTTTCTTAGTGTGACCAGCGGTGTTGGCGATAGCAACAGACATGCTTAGCGTTCCAGCTGCTGTATAGCAAAAGGTTACCCATAGGCATGCTAACCGGCCATATGAATTATCCTGAGACAGGAGCCGCAGTCCCAACAGGCCGACAAGAAATGGAATCATCGCAATTAGCATGATAAGTATTCTGCAGTTGGCATATCGGGTCGCAAAATGACTAAGGTCTTATTAGCGCAGGCTTTAAGAAGGGATGAATGTGTGACATACCAGGCCAAGAGGCATGCAACCAACTGCACGGCCCCGGAGGGCATTTGAAGAAGCGTGGTTCTAAGTGTGCTGAAGCCTGCTCCTTTGATAATGAGGCCTTGGAACTTTGGGGTGTTAGCAGTGTAATATTAATGCTGACGGTAAACTTACGGCGGACAATCCTCCGTTTGGCGAGTTGCTAGTCACAGCAAACAAGAAAATCAACCAAGTCTTGAGATCCAGCATAGCCTCCCGGAATTGTTTTGCTTTGAACTGCTTATTCTCAATTCCGGTTCCATTGTCCTTGACGCGTCCGACAACGAGACTTCGTTCCTTTTGGGTGAGAAACTTTGCCCTCATGGGCGGCCCAGGGAGGACAACCCAGCAGAAAGTTCCCCACGCGACAGTTATGGAGCCCCAGATGATGAAGAGAAGCCTCCACGACGAGAGAGATGTTTTGGCGTGACCAATACCGAAGCTGGCGATGCCGGCAAGAATGTAACCGACACCCGACGAACCAATCCATATCCCGAATCTAAACGGCTGTTCCGAACGGGTGTAGTACATACTGAATAGTAACATCGTTCCGGGCTGGATTGCCGCCTCAAACACACCGAGCAGCGTTCGCACCGCAGAAATACTAGCGAAGGATTGCACGGCGCCGTGACACATTAACACAACCCCCCAAAGAATAACCTAAGATAATTAGCCACACCAGATTCAAAGATTAGGAATCGACTCTGGGCATTGACTTACAGTAGCTGACATGACGTGGTTGATTTGCAAACGCTGCAGAAGTAAATTGCTAGGAAATTCCGATACCATGTAGCCGAGGTAGAAGATGGCGCTGACCCATGAGTAATCCGTCCCTTGAAGATTGATCTCTTCACGCACCCCAAACACTGCAGCATAGCTGAGGGTGTTTTTGTCAATTGCTTGAAGGGCATATGTGATGCACAGAATGGGCATCAACCGCAGATCAATCTTCCATCTCAATGCTTTAGCCTCCTCTTCGGTGAGCTCATTGTCGAGCGCCTCGCGATGCAGATTGAGGGCTTCATAGGTTGAAACATCGTTGATGATGACACCTTTCAGGGAGCTCGCTTCAAGCGGAGCTGGCTTTTCTGTTGACTTTTCTTGGTCCATCGTGGAGAAAAAAAGGACGCTTGAGGTGTCTCCAAAAGTGTAGATCAGATTGATAAGATATAGATTTGAGCCCGGCCACACCCGCGCCTTTTAAGGATCAAGGATCGCTGGCACTAACTTCTCCTCTAAAACCGGGTCTTCCATATTATTCGCCAACCTATCTTCCCCCGTGGGGGTGGTGAAAAAAAAAACACGCACTACAACCGCAGATCAGGTAACGAGTTTGGAAATTCATACATAGCCGGCGGGTAACAAGGCAGGGATCATCACCATTAATACAGGCCTCGTTTGGTTTGCGGGATGTGGCCGCTGACGCCTGATAAGTTGAGTGGATACTAAGTAACCCACACGTTGCGTTAATCAAGTTCATATTTGCCGCGGATTGCGAACCCTTCCGAAAACACCTCGTGATATTTGCATATGGTAGGATTTAAGTCTAAAAAGAGTCTAATGCTACCCACACTCCCGCCGGGTGCTACTCCGCACCATGTCATAAGACGGCTGTCTCCGATAAACGGCCGAAGTTCGTTCAACCTGTCTACCGCTTTATCAATCATTCCATATTGATCAGCAAGTCAAAAGAGTCTTGGCGTATGTCTCTTATCAATGCATACTACGACCTTCCACAACAAGCGAGGGTATGGTTCGTTGGGGAGGAAAGTACACGGCAGTGGAGGTTTATGACGGGAAAATACTGCCATCCTGGGTCACCTTATTGCTACGCCGTAGCTCAAAGGCAGTAGTTGAGAGGGACGCGGGGCACAAAAGAGTTATAGAGAAGGGAAATACCGCGTGGGGTGTGTCGTGTCAAGGTCTAGATTATTGTGGCCCGGGCCAGTATGTGCAGGGAGGTCGAGCGGCATGAAAGAGCAGAACTGGGGTCTCGGGTATGCGACCCTTACGACTTGCCTCATGCAGGCGAGCCGAGTGCGATTCACTCTGACGAAGTCGGCCAAGATCTCGATTCCATTTTAATGGTCGAGGCAAATAGAGGTGACCGGGCCCTTAATATCTCAACTTCTTTCCTGTATGTCGATTAAGAACCATTGTACCATTGCCATTTGTCTTGACCCGTTCTTCAATTTCCAACGTGAAATCGCTGCTTCACTCAGGCCCTATGGTCACCGCATTCGTACTCTCTAGAACCTGCGTACTCTCCAGAACCGGCATAGTGAGCCTGAGTTCCCGGTGGCACCAGTTGCGAATCTCAGTGCTAATAAAAGAGTCAACGTCAGCGGGCTCGAAAGTGATGGTGATTCCAATATCCTCTGCTGGGGAGTAATAAATTGAAGAGCGTACGGTCAATTTCCGTAGATAATCGATCCCAAGCTCTGCTGGGAGCTGGGAAATGCCGGTACCGGCAATCTGAGACCCATGCCGATGACGGCAATTGGAAGGAGTGGATCTCGCTTTGGTTGCATTGTGGGTGATGTCTTGTCGGCGAGAATGGTTTGAGGAGGTTGGAGTCAGGGACAAAGAGATTGTTGAAAATTCCAGCAAAAGCCAAACATTTCAGGAGAGCTATTTGGCATGTGTAAAACCCCAATTGAATGCGCTCGGCAGTCTGGACCGCACATCTGTGGGTACTTGTGCGGGTGAGACATGCCAATGCACAGGTGTTACGTTGCTTTAGATGTTCCGATCCGAAGCACCAGCTCTGGTCCTATCCCCACGTACTCCCGATCGTGGAAAAATAACCAAAAAGCCGTGATGCCGGGTAGAGTTGAGCATAGCTCTGTCTCGGAAATCCCGTCTTAAGGGAGAACAAAAACGATAGATTTCGCAACCACTGGAATCCAGCACCCTTGATAGCAGTTTTCCACCAAAAGCATCTCCATTCTGGTTGCGGTCATGCATAATCCGACTTTGACCTAGTTCGCACCAGTGAGGCTATCCCGTCTCGGACGACCGATTTCGCGTGTCCAGGCTAAGGCAATAATCCACCTGACGATGCGGCCTTCATGAGTTGTGCTGTCTCATCTGAAAATATCACAGATGTATTGAATAAATACCAATGTGTCCCCTCCTGTAGATGAATCCTTCGCTCTCTACCTCCGCAGAGTTCGATTATCGGAGCTCACCACGCTACATTGTCATCGTTGGTCCACCATGCAGTTCAAGTTCTTGTTCATCGTCGCCGCTGCGACCGCCGTCCTCGCAGCGCCCCTCCTCATGATTCCTGATCTCGGGCTCGCTGCTATTGCAGATGACTGGCCAATGAACTCCCTCAATCAAATTCGGATAGCAGCCATTCACTTTAACAAGACCGTGGCGGAGTGGAACGGCGGGTATCTCGGCGCCATCTCTATCGTCATGCAGTCACGCGAGCTCGTCAATACAATTGGAGCTGCTAGCGCAAGCATTGCGCCGTCCATCGTTGCCAGAACATCCAACGCCATATCTCTTGACCAAGACGCACTCGAAATCGCGCTGCACCTTGTCAGGGACGTTGGCTCGGCGATCGACACCGCCATTGACGCCAAACCGAAGCATGACGCACTTCCAACACTAAGCAAACCTATCGTTGTGAACATTTTTAAGAATCTACGGACTGCAGCATCTGAATTGGGCGGGGTATTGGGCCCTTTGACCACGGGCGAGCGAGTAGGAGAAGCCCACACGATTGTTAAACAGATTGATGACCACTTGGTAAGGGGCCTTGCGGTCTACGCATAGAGGATCTGCTTTGGGATTGGAATAAATAAAAGTACTACTGCCAAAATGGCGATTGAGAGTGTCATAATGTGGTTGTATCAGGATGTAGACGACCTGATGAATTTATCGCTGTATTTGCAAACATCCGGTAGCATTCGGCCTTCCTAGACTGTCTCCCCGCTTGTGGCACTGGATGTGCCAAGCAGGGATGGTTTATTGATGAGAATATTCTTCTGATCACCGGGCCTCAATTGCAGGGTGCCGAGATGCCATGGGCCCACTATGCGAAGTCAATGATGAGCCTTGCATGGATATAGCTCTGACCAATTATGGGGGATACAAAATGGTAGGTAGCTTGGCAGATATATGGCGTAATAAAAAAACTTCAAACCATGGTAGACATAACTAGAGATGAAGAAGAGGGAAAAGATGACCATGGTGAGCAACAAAATTGCAAGGTTGAGTTGGGGGCGGGCTGACGTTGAACTCACTGTCTCCTAGAATGACTGGCGATTGGCCGGAGGAAGCTCATCTCGTCAACCGATTTTGAGAATAGGCCCAGTTTGTGCCGTAATTGAGATGGCTAGCTTATCGGGACTATCTATGGATTTATTGTAGGGCTAGAACTGGTGTAGGTCCATTTCTTACCTCGCTCTCGACACATTTAGCGAGCAAAGGCCAAGTGTGAAAATTCAGTCTTGAGATGACGGAGGAATGTGAAAGCAATATTTCTTTGGCGTTATAACAGGCCTAATTTTATCCCAGTTGGCATATAGGCAAGCATGACTATCGACAACGCAATCTTAGTACACATCCCGGTCCCATCACTTACTAGCAAAGGTCCCGTCATATCCCTAATTGTGTGGCGTGCGGCAACCCATGGTTGGCAGATTATCTTGAGTGGGAAGGAGATGCTAAAAATATTTAGTCCTAGTCCCGTTCGAGACATCACCTACAACCCAAAGTCCCCAGATTTAGAGATCTGGTCGTCCTACATGATTGCGCAGCAATTTCGGGGGCGCAGCGCTTGGTGCTAGCCTGAGCCACGCTGACCGCCACACCAAAATATCTTGCACACAGTAAGCTCCCAAGCCCAGCTAATGCTGACAGGCCCAATCACGGAGCGCCGGGAAATAACTACATCGGGGCAAGAGGTGCTGACTTGAGCCGGCGACGTGCTCGGAGGCGCACTAGTCAGACGCCAGGCTTAGGATGCCGATGAGGAAAGCGTGGCAAGGCTGGAGCCGTAAGCTAGGGAGTACCGGATGGTTGCACTCCGGGGGCTGAGGTGATTTGTGATGGGCCATCTATAGAACCTCACCCTGGGGCGACCAAATTGAATTGCCTATATAACAAGAAGGCATGTCGAGTCAAATGGAAAGTTCATCATCACCATCATCCCAACAACCGCAACACTCTCCTCTAAACGACATCATCCTAGCTTGGCACTACTCTCTCACTTTTGTGTCCCAGTACCCACCAAAACTACCATTCAAAATGTTCTCTTTCAAGGCCGTCTCTGCTGCTCTCCTCTTGGCTGCTAGCGTCTCTGCTGCACCCACTCCTACCACCTACGACTACCCAGACGGCACCGTCGAGCTCACCGGCGTTACCCACTCGGTCGTCGCCGGTCTGGGTGGTCTCCGCTTCGATCCCGACAATGTTGTGGCCGAGGTGGGCGATATTGTCGAGTGGCACTTCCTCAAGGTGAACCACTCTATCGCCGAATCCAGCTTCGCCGAGCCCTGCAAGCCCCTCGCCGATGGCACCGGCTTCTTCTCCGGTTTCAACTTCTTCACCCAGGAAGGCCAGGCTCCCGATGTCTTCCAGATTGTGGTTGTCGACGACGCTCCTATCTGGTACTACTGCCCTCAGACGAACGGCAACCACTGCCAGATGGGCATGGCCGGTGTTATCAACCAGAACTTCGACAACCAGGACTTCAGCCTGCGTCGCTACAAGGAGGTTGCTGCTACTACTGGTACCTCGATCGTCCCTCCCTATGAGCAGGGCGGCGATGTCATCCCCAACCCTAACCCTAACGGTGGCTTCTAAGCGCCTACTTTGATTTTGGTGCAACTCGAAATGATAAAGGCGAATGTTTTACTTTCCTTCGTTATGGCATAGCAATGCGAATAGATTATTGGGAAAATCGGCGGCTGGGACCTGGGATTGCATTTAGGGCGTACTTGACTGGCTTCACCATTCATTTGACATTAAAATTTACTACCAGAAATAAGAACATTAGAATCTTACTCGAAGTCCATCGATATTCTTCTAATTTCCTGCTTTGCATGTGGCTCTGCTCTCCTGAGGCGGCGGTCCGGCACAGACGAATTCGCAGCGGAGGGCGGAGTTTTTCGAGCCTGGAGGCTGAGGCGAATTCTGGGCTGCAGCGTAAACGCCTGCGCATAGCGCACGGGAAGAATCATTGTTGCAGCAAATGCTTATAGAGTACCAAGACCCATAATAACGACCAGTTCGTATCTTTATGTGCGTCCACACAGATATTCTGGATGCTTATTCAGACCGGCTGCGGAGAGCGAAGCGCGAAGCACGAAGAGCGAGGCGCGGAGCTCGGAGTGCGGAGTGCGGACTTGGTAAAAACTTTAACAGCGGACGTTTCAACAGCCCACGCAAACCAAGATTGTTCTCTTTTCCAGTTCCTGCAATCTGTAATTTATAAGCGCACGGATTAAATATTCCCACCGGCCTCCTCCGTCGGGGGAATTACCACACTGGCCGCTCTGAGAGGTCTACAGCTATGGCACAACCCACTATGAGGCATCCCAGCGTGGCACGTTTTTGGCGTGGACGAGCCTTCAATTTCGATGCTAGACTGAATAGAACCACAGCGGTCGGAGGTGTTTTATAATCGTCAATTATCTGGCACTTGTTAATCAATGCAATGAATGTCAAATGGCCATATATACTCTCTGAGACCCGAGAGTTTGAATGCTTCACCCGCCTATCAACCATCAATCACCTTCTCACAACCAGCAATCTACCCACTTCACCACCATGATCTCTTCACGCCTTCTCAACTTGGCTTTGGCCACCACTCTTTTCCCTGCGACCCTTGCCCTGCAGCTCCTGGAGTACAAGGCACTGAAAACGTCACTTGTCTCAAACGTTCTGACCGTTACCTTCCACAACCCAGACTCTCCCATCAACTTGTGGAACCAGGACACTCAGGACGGTATCACCGACTTGGTCGAGCGACTCCAGCACGACAACGAAACCAAGGTGGTGATTTTCAACAGCGATGTCCCGCGCTTCTTCACCGCCCATCTCGATCTCTCTATGCCCAGCGTAGCCGAACGTACGTGTCGAAGCGAAACGCCTTGAATCCATTGTCCACGTCCACTAACAACTCTCTAGCTACTTTCGCAGCGACATTCGCGACGCTCATGTACAACCTCACGACCCTGCGCCAAGTCACCATCGGCGCCGTGGAGGGACGAGCTCGGGGAGCAGGAAACGAATTCCTCGTGGCTCTGGACATGCGCTTTGCGACAAAGAGCGACACCTTTTTCGGCCAGCCAGAAGTCGGCACCGGCCTGTTCCCAGGCGGCGGCGGCAGCCAGTTTCTCCCCGGGCTGATCGGCCGCGGACGCGCTATGGAGTACATCCTCAGCTCCAACGACATCACAGCGGCCGACGCGGAAAAGATCGGCTGGATCAACAAGGCCTTTGACTCTTCGGCCGACATGTACACCTACATTGACCAGCTGACGTCTAGGCTCCGGTTGTTCCCCCTGACGGCGCTGTATGGAGCCAAGAAGTCCATCAACCGCGCTTCGGCCCCGAGCTACGAGGATGTGCTCGCGGATGGGATCGCGTTCCGTGAGCAGCTGGCGGATCCCCTTGCACAAGCGGCAGCGCGGCGGTCAGCCGCTCTGCTCAGCAATCAGTCGCAATTCGATGTAGAACTCAATCTTCCGGCTGTGCTACCCGCACTTTACCAGTAAAGTGTAGCATGCCATCAATGGAGGTGTAAGTAATTAGGCTCAGGCAATTGGAAGAATGGTGTGTTTCAATTCAATATATATACATATTAAGAGTTAATTTGTTTCGTGATTAACTATCAGGTGACGAAAATTAAAGTCCACGTACTAGTGAACACATATCTGTCTGTCGTATGATAACTCGTGGGAAGAAACACGTCGGTCTAAGCTATTCGAATTACAGCGTAGTCAAATGGACCCTCGGTACAAGTCCACCACGTCTCGCACCTGTGGAAGGGGGATAAAAAGAAGCCCCGACTAACTATGGACTTAATCATCATCGCAACGGCATGGATACTTGGCCCACTTGTCAACCACGCCGTCCCACTCGGACATGACTGCCCATTGCATATCGCCAGCAACTCGGTCAAGGGGCAACTGGCGTGTCTCGTTGTCTTTCAGAATGTAGGAGAGATCCTGACCCAGGCTGCACATCTTCCTGGCCCAGTCGTCGTGAAACAAGGCCCCAATGGCGGTCGCTTCCTCTAAACCGAGTTCCTGGCGATGGTCCAACTCACCGTGGGCGCTCAACGGCATCAGCGCGGCCAAGCCAATGTGACCACCGCAAAGCAAGAACGACTTTTTCCCCATCAGCGTGTGGTACTTCACCATGTCGTTGTCGCACCCAGAGCTCTCCATCATGCTGGAGAAGTCTTCAGCTGCGCGCACTGGGTCCTCGGAACGGTCCAGCTCCATCGCTTGGAACAGAGAGATCTCGTAAAGCCTTGTGATGAGACTGGACACCAGCTCTTGATCTTCGAGGCGCCGGATACTCTGAGCCAGCTCGACCATGCAGACCATTGAGGCCATTCCAGCGTCCGTTCCAGCATCCGTCCCAGCATCATTCTCGTCAATCGTTCCGTCGTCCGTTCCTACGATCGTTTCATCATCCGTTCCTGCGATCGTTTCGTCATCCTTTCCAGCACCCTCCACATCTCCAATGGGCAGAACCAGCGCCGCCCCAGAAGGCCGTTGCTCGGTTCGGGCGATCTTTGCGAGTTTGATCAGCTGGGTTAGACCCCTGCGACTTCGCATCGTAGCGAAGAATGTGAGGCCCTGTCGGCTGAGGGGGGCGAGTTTCCACTCCTCCGGGAGTGTCATGCGAGCATCCATTGCCTAGATGATTGCCCGAGCCTTCTCCTCTTGTTGCGCCAAATCCGCTTTCTGGTGCGTATCTGCGTGGTGTGCGTGCTCCGTGGCGGCTCGAGGAGGTGTCGTCTGTTCGCCACTTCCTGCCCAGTGTTGTGTTAGCGATCTGCTGGCCGAGTGCCGGGATACATGAGGTTGACTTGCCTGGTTCATCGGAATGGGGAGGCATGATGGCAGTTCCACTGTTGGCAGGGCGAGAATACGCCAAGATGTGATGTCACGGTGGAAGGCGGGTGAAGGCAGCCAAGTGAAAACTCGGATTGTGTTGGAGGTTGTAAGAATCAAGTCAGAGTTAAGTGGGAAGCCAGTCAGTGCTTCCATTGCTCTTGTTAGCCGTAGTGAATCACAGATTAGATGCACGTGTTTTCTCGCTCCTGCCGAGTACAGTTGTTTAACTTGCTTAGGTGCGATTGCGTGGCTTGTTTGGTGGCTAGTTTGCGTGGCTTGATTCTATCACGGAAGCTGTTTCCATCGTCATCACTTCCTCCCCACAGGACTTCGGCCTGGCCTGCAACGTACTAACGCACACTGTTCCTACTACCACTTCTCAAACACAACACCCTGCTCAGCAAATGCCTTGGTTATTCTTGCTAAACACCTCTTGTTCATATCAGATCCATTGTGCAATTGGTAATAGATTGATTGCAGGTCTGGGCAGCAACTCCTAATCTGAGGTGCCAGGACCATCAAGTCGTCGCCATACGTCTCAGAGTCAAGTCGTATCAGTGCAAGCGTCTTGAGCGCTCGGGGAAGCAGTTTAACAAAAAACTGCGTCGTTTCTGCATTGTAGTTCTCTTCTTCACTCGAAACCTTTCGCCACAGGCTGCGGCCATCAAGCACCAAGTGCTCTAGCGCTTCGAGCATAGTCATGGAAGTGATTAGGCCAGGAGGAAATCCTGTTGTCGAGTAGTGGAAAATCTGCCAGTCCCAAAAACTGAGCCTCAGATCCGTAAGCTGTTTCTTGAACGGTTCAAGGGCGTCCACTGCTTGTTGCGGAGTGCACAGGTCGGCGTCAGGGTCGCCATTGCAGAAATTGAAGTTGAAGAAGAAATCCTTCAAGCTGGGAAAGCCCTGTAGCAAGTCCTTCAGTTCCTGGCCTGTGAATCTGACAAACATGAGAACGAGTTCTGTGACGTTTTCAAACCGCACACCAGCCACGCCTCCCCGGGTATTATCTATCCGAAGTGAGGTGAGGTTCGGGGCGAAATCAGCTAGCGGACGGATTTCTCGTGCCGTCGCTAGGTGGTCTATGCGGACATTTCTGAGACGAGGCAACAACGAGCCATCTCGTTTCGAGTTTGACGCTGACATGAGAACTTGAAGGACGCTTCCCTCGTCTGATACATGGTATTGAAGGCTTTCGAGGTTGGGTGTGTGGGCCGCGATCATCTCCGTCAGGAATTGAAGAATTTCTCCGTCTTCTCCTTCGTATCTAATGATGTTCCAGGGCTCAGTTCTTGTAGACGGTCGGTCAGGGCGTTGAAGTACCGATTCGGGAACTGGAATGCCGAGAAGATTTGCTGCCTTGACGAAAATTTCGACGTTCTCTTGGGAAAGCATTGGGTTTCCGTGGTGTGTAAAATCAATGTCCTGAACCATTGACGCGATTGTTGGATTGGTGATCATCGTACGCAGAAGACTCGAGAGACTGCTTTGAGACGACTCCTCTTCGTCGGAAACAAACACCGGAGTAAGCTCTCTAAATATATCAGGGAGGACAAATGCCCGGAGGCGCTTAGAAACTCGAGACAAAGATAACAAACTCGGCTTCCGTTCTTCTTCAACAAGAGGCGCACATATTTGGCCAAGAACCTCCAGCGGCATGTTGTCCAAATGCGCTTGACCCATGTTGAGATAGATGTTTGCTTGGAGGTATTAGCTGAGATAATGAATAGCCGTCTACCAGGAAGCTTCATCCAGTAGACTGCAAACTTATAGTCAATAGTGTCTAGGATGACGTTTTGCTCCCTCCTGGATTAAAAAATCAGATTCCATTCACCATGAAGGTGAGCTAGTGCTGACGTGTCCTCATTTCCATGCTTTTAGACGTGCTTGGCACGAAAGTGTGGGCTGATAATACCACGTACAAATAGGGTAACCCCGCCCTTTCTCATGGTTTCCATTGTTGCCTGGGTCTTTGGCCCCAAAATGCGGCAAGAGCTGAGAAATGCCGTCAGTGCAAATTCAGTGACGACCACAACGGACTACCTATTAACTTAACACAAAGCTACCCTCCGCTCAAAGCATTGCGTGATCTTTAATATCAGAAATATGCCAATCTTGTCAGTAAATGTTCTCCATGCATTTCTCTTCAATCTCTGGTTTCATGGATTGAACTTCCTCCTTGACCATAGATTAACTCCAAGAAACCAGAATACAATGGGAATCGGAATTGCCGTGCTTATTTTGTCTTCTTTAATCCAAATGACTTCATCATCTTGGTTCATAAACATGTCTGAAGGACCATCAGTTTCTAAAATAGTTGCTAATTATTGCATGTGGCCTAAAAATTCAAGGCATTTTTCTGTTCCCGATTTTCCACAAGTCACCAAACAAGCACGTACGGCGGTCAAGGTTTCCGACAAAGAGTCAAAAAGGTCTGAGGGACTGATAATTTGGTAGATGGTAAGCTATCCAGCTAGCATTGCTGTTTGAGGATACTATCTCGCCTGGAGAAGACCGGAGGCTACTTCGCCAAGTTGCACAATGGGCTAGCGGGTGCGAGAGGAAGCCGTCAAGAGCCCATCTAGTATCATTTTTATTTAATCCTTAGAGACGCTCGAAAACACGCCGGAGCCGTAGTTGCATGGGGTGATCCAGTTGATGGTATGTTGACACGTCGGTGGCAGGTGCCCGCGCGCCTCCCAACATTCCAGCATTGTTTTAGGAATAATTATTGCAACAACGCTCGGGGAATTATCCACTATGATTCAGTCGTGATTCACTGTTACACTAAAGGTGGCATGACCACCCCGACAAATGTCTGTCCCCTAACTGAGACGCAAGCGTGGCGAGGGCACACGTATTATATCAATATCACGGCTAAGAGATCCGCACAAAAGGGCGAGGTGAATTCTTCGAATTTAGAATATCGAAATATGCCACTCTTATTCCCCCTCCCCTCACTAAACTTCCATTGTGAGCGCAGTTGTTTGGCGGAGCTGCCTTGATGTTGCCGGATGAAGGGTAAATGTGTGATTCCTGGGTAACCGCAGTGATGCATCTCGGGTCGACGTGCGCCTACCCTACAGCTAGTGACCGGGGAGCCAAAAAAAAAAAAAAAAAAAAAAAAAAAAATCCTTTAATACGTGCCGCAGAGCTTGGTTCCAGTGTAAAAACTACGGAAATCGTCTACTCATTGCTACGGTAGTGACGCGGCTAATCTATGATACCAAAACGTCGCTGATGAACATGCAATGACGGGTTGAGATATTCAAGGTTATTTTTCGCACGGCTTCTCCTCCTAACTAAAAGCCAAAGTTCCACACCACTCTCTTTTCTGAACGATTGCCGGCCTTGGAGCAAAGTGTCAGAGGGTATGACACAAGCTAACCTGACGTAGTATGGGTAATGACTGCTTCCTTTCGAGAACATGCAGCATCGTTCTGTTGTTAAGCCTCTGGTAAGTCCAGCTTCTATATCGTGCTGCCCTGGTGGGAAATAAACCCTTGTCTTCCCTAGTTCAGCGCCTTGCAAGTCTCAGTCTCACTCTAACTCTTCATCAGCTACCCATCCCGTCGAGTGGACAAGCCAAAAGTCCATTGCCCCACACCTCCTTTAAATCCTCACCTTTGTGACGGTTCTAGAGTAGCTTGGCCGATGACTAGCGTCATCTCGCCAGTCTCACTCTCCCTGATCTATGCACCTCGACCCGTCCCGTCCCCATCACGAGTCACAACTTTGATCGTTGCCACTGGTGGCGGGTCTTGTACTTTGTCTTTAGGGCTGCGAAGTCGGCGACTCAGCTGGAAAGAACCCTGTTTCTCTCCCATTGACCGTTATCCGTCAAGGCTGGGATCTCACTCAATATCAATCTGTGTCCTAGGGCTCCCGAGGCCCGTCGAGCGCGTGACGCGGGATAAAGAATTAAATACAGACAGCTTGGATTTCTGAACATGCCAAGTGATCAACCACACTACGGTCCGTTGTCTTCGTCTTGCAATATTTCGCCGGGATTGCATTGTAGCCGCCTGAGTCGTTGTCTGAGGCCACCCGCCTAATTTACTCCATGCCCTCTGACATAATCGCATTCTACACAATGCCAATCAAGCAAAAAGGATGGCCTGGTTCTCAAAGGTTCGGACGCCTGGAGTGCTGCAAGATTCCATTTCAGGCTACTCCTGGTGGGTTGTTGGCGTTGGGCATGCCAAATCACATCTGCGAGCCATTTCCACCTGATCATCCTCGTCGTGATTACCCGAAGACCAGATCATCAGACTTCGACTATCAAATTTGTAGGCACTGTCACTTGAAGGTGGCTTACGCCGCAGATCCTACGTCATCTCACTTTCGTGGAGCCGGTTTCAACTGCACAAAGTAAGATACTCGGACAATTTCTGAATCCGGAACAGCTTCTTGGCCCACCTACTCGCGAGTGCTGCTGACCGGGTGTGAAATCACTTGCCGTCGGTTTGATCTGGTTCCGAACTGTGACAACAGGAGCAGAGCTCGGGGCCGTTCAATCGACGCATCGAGATGGCATGCCGAGAACTGCCCGGCGTTAGCCCTTGCAGGTATCGAGGCTGGAATGCTCACACATCCGGCCTATCACTCTTTGAGACATCCCCACATATCTACCTATTGCGGCTACAATGCATTCCAACTCAGTTGGGAATGATTGCTCTATTGAGCTGCCTACAAGGCAGTTTAGACCAGTCAAATATAGAACATACACTCCCCGTAGGGTCTGTTAATCGAAATCTGTTGAACATGCCCCCCATCTAAGTACGGGAACTCGGGCTCATAGCGGTGGTTTATGACCCGTCCATTTCTTGGTGAGACAAGTATCCACAGTTTGCCGTACGTGCAAGACGTGGCACCTCAACATATCCTTTGATGCGAGACAAGGTTTCATGCGTGCCTCCGTCAGCAAAAACGGGGAAGATCGGGACTGTCAAGTTCCCGAGAGGCCGACGTGAGGTACCCGAGATCGCGAGCAAAGGGGTATTGTGGCGCCGTGCTGCTATCTTTCCCTCTGCCTTGTTAATGGTCCGTATTCTTCATTCTATCGCCGGGTCTTCTTTCACTATCCTCCGTGTATAAGCTAAGCCCTTGCTTGCTTGTTTGCCTCGCATCTTGGCGACAAATGCGACCATGGCTCCAGAATCGAAGCCCAAATCTATCCAACTCGATTCTTTGACGGCGACTTCTTCCCATGACGCGCAAGATGTGTTGGATCGACGTGACTGCGGGGAGAAAAGCGACGCCGCACTACAGCCTACCGCCGAGGCACAACCTGCTGCCAAAGAACAACCTAGTTTCGAACGAAAACGTGACGCCGAAGAACAATCGAGCGAACGAACGGAGATAGAAAGACCCGGAAGCAAAGTCGTCAATGCGAAAGACCCTAACGAAGATCCCTTCAAAGGGCTATCTGACGATGAGGCCGCTATTCTCAAACGGCAGGTTGCTGCACCGCAGGTCAATGCTGGGATCAAGACACTTTACCGATACGCATCGACCAACGATATCCTCATCATCATCGGCTCTTCCTTCATGTCTATCGTCAGTGGTGCTGCAATGCCACTGATGATTGTGGTATTTGGTTCACTGCAGGGCAAATTTCAAGACTTCTTCGCCGGCAACTCGGGCTATGACGATTTCAACCGTGCGTTAAGTAGCACCGTGGTATACTTTGTCTATCTCGCCATCGGCGGTTTTGTAGCCACTTACACCTCGACAGTGGGCTTCATCTGTATGTGGCAGCGTAAATAGCATCCATGATCAGTATCTAACTTCGACAATAGATACCGGAGAACGTATCAGCGCCAAGATCAGACAAAATTATCTCGAACATTGCCTGCGTCAGAATATTGGCTTTTTCGATGAGCTAGGCGCTGGCGAGGTAATTACAAGGATCACTGCTGACACCAACTTGATCCAGGCGGGAATTTCAGAGAAAGTTGGACTTACCCTAGCGGCCATTTCTACATTCGTGACAGCATTCGTTATTGGCTATATCAAATACTGGAAACTCGCCTTAATCCTAATGTCTGTTGTGGTTGCTTTAGTGGTCAACATGACACTGGCGTCGGGATTTTTGATGAAATACAGCAAGCAATCGGTAAGCACTGGTGCCATTGGAGGCAGCTTAGCCGATGAGGTTATGAGCTCCATTCGGAACGCCGTTGCATTTGGAGCCCAAGACCGCCTCGCAAAACAATACGAAGCACACCTAACTAGGACTGAATATTTTGGTTTCCGCTTCAAGGCTACTATGGGGATTACACTTGCAGGCCTGAGCTTGATCATGTACTTGGGCTATGCGCTTGCTTTTTGGCAAGGTGGCCAGTACGTTATCTATGAGGGCCTCCCTTTTGAAAAGGTGCTCGTCACTGTCATGACTATTATTCTTGCTGCTTTTAGCATTGGCAATGTGGCACCGAACGCGCAGGCATTTTCCACAGGATTGGCAGCAGCCGGCAAGATCTACAGCACCATCGACCGCGAATCTCCTTTGGATCCCTTTAGCGAGGATGGCGAAAAGCTAGAGGATATTCAGGGATCGATTCGACTTGAAAATATCAAGCACATCTACCCGTCTCGGCCGGAGGTAGTTGTGATGGACGATGTGAGCCTCGAGGTTCCAGCTGGAAAGACAACAGCCTTGGTGGGCGCATCCGGTTCCGGCAAGAGCACCATCGTTGGACTCATCGAGAGGTTTTACGAGCCTATTGGAGGCGCTGTATACCTCGATGGACACGACATCAGTACCCTGAATCTGCGGTGGCTGCGTCAACAGATTTCGTTAGTTGGCCAGGAGCCTACCTTGTTTGGTACCACGATTTTCCAGAATATTAAGCACGGTCTGATTGGCACGACACACGAGAACGAAGGCGAGGATATTCAGCGGGAACTGGTCATCGAAGCCGCGAAAAAGGCCAATGCCCATGATTTTATCACCGGTCTTCCGGATGGTTATGAGACGAATGTTGGTTCCCGCGGCTTTTTGATGTCTGGCGGACAGAAGCAGCGTATTGCAATCGCGAGAGCTATCGTCTCAGACCCAAAGAGTAAGTCAAGACAACTTTCTATAAATTGCAATCATGTTAACAGATCTTAAGTCCTTCTCCTCGACGAGGCAACATCGGCCCTCGACACAAAGTCAGAAGGCGTCGTCCAAGTAGCATTGGACGCAGCTTCCGAATGCCGTACTACTATTGTTATTGCACATCGACTATCTACTATCAGAAACGCCCATAATATTGTTGTGATGTCGCATGGAAAAATTGTTGAGCAAGGCACTCATGACGAGCTTCTTCAAATGAAGGGCGCTTATTCTGCTCTTGTTCACGCCCAGAACATCGCTCAGAATATTGACAAGGATGATGAGGATGACGAGGAAGAGTTCACTCACCCCGCATCAAAGACGTCTTTTTCCAAGGATATTGAGGTTATCGGTGAAACGGCAACCAACCACCTGCACCGCTTGTCCACCACCTATTCTTTGACTAATATCGACGAAGAACTCGGTAACGCACAGAACAGAAACCCTACATTCTGGACTTTAACAAAACTCATTGCTTCTTTCAACAAGAAAGAAAAGGCCTTGATGGCCATCGGTCTCTTCTTCTCTGTTATTTGCGGCGGCGGAACTCCTGTTCAAGCCGTTTTGCTCTCCAAGGCCATCAGCACCTTGTCGACTCCGATTTTCCCTGCGAACCAATCCCAGGTTAAACACGATTCGGACTTTTGGGCTGCAATGTATGTCATGCTAGCTTTCGTACTGGCTCTTGGATATTCAACGCACGGTATTGTGTTCGCGAAGTGTTCTGAGCGACTGATCCATCGTGCGCGATCGTCCACGTTCAGAAGCATTCTCCGGCAAGATATTTCCTTCTTCGACTTGGATAAGAACACGTCTGGCGCACTGACGTCTTTTCTTTCAACGAAGACGGCGGAGCTGGCAGGGCTTAGTGGTGTGACCTTGGGAACGCTTCTCATGATTTCAACGACTCTGATCGCCGGTCTGATCCTCGGTATTGCTGTCGGCTGGAAGCTAGCGCTCGTCTGTACCTCGACTGTCCCAGTTCTGCTTGCTTGCGGCTACTTTCGCTTTTGGATGCTGTCCCACTACGAACGACGATCAAAGGACTCATATGTGGGCTCCGCAAGCTATGCATCTGAGGCTGTGTCGTCAATCCGCACCATTGCATCTCTTACTCGTGAGGCAGATATTCTGCAACAGTACCGGGAGTCATTAGAAGTCCAGCAACGCGCAAGCTTGATCTCTGTCCTCAAATCCACCATTCTTTTCGCATTGTCAGAGTCCTTGACATTCCTCATCTTTGCTCTTTGTTTCTGGTATGGCGGAACTCTAATCGCTAAGGGACAGTACTCAATGTTCCAGTTCTTTGTTTGTTTTGCATCCGTCATCTTTGGCGCCCAATCCGCCGGTGCCATCTTTTCCTATTCCGGCGACATGAGCAAGGCTTACTCGGCTGCGCAAGAAATCAAGGACCTCCTGGACAGAGAACCTAAAATAGATACCTGGTCTCAGGAGGGCGAAGCAATTGCCAGCGCTGAAGGCCGAATTGAGTTTCGAAATGTGCACTTCCGTTACCCAACACGGCCCAACCAGCCTGTCCTCCGCGGCATTGATCTTGATATCCGCCCCGGTCAATACGTCGCCTTGGTTGGAGCCTCGGGCTGTGGAAAGAGTACAAGCATTTCACTGCTTGAGAGATTCTATGACCCGACCAAAGGAGGCATCTTCATCGACGGCAAGGAGATTGCTACGCTCAACGTCAATGACTACCGTGCCTTGATCGCTCTCGTTAGCCAGGAACCGACCCTCTATCAGGGCACTATCAGAGAGAATATTGTCCTCGGAACGACCAATGAGGAGGTATCTGACAGTTCCATTGAGCAAGCTTGTCGCGAGGCCAATATTCATGATTTCATCGTGTCCTTGCCCGACGGCCTCGACACTACTGTCGGTAGCAAGGGAGCTCTGCTATCAGGTGGACAGAAGCAGCGTATTGCGATCGCTCGAGCCCTAATTCGTGATCCTAAAATTCTACTGCTGGATGAGGCCACTTCTGCTCTGGATTCCGAGTCCGAACATGTCGTGCAGGCAGCCCTCGACAAGGCAGCCAAGGGTCGCACCACAATTGCTGTTGCTCATCGCCTCAGCACAATTCAAAAGGCTGACATGATTTTTGTATTCGACCAGGGTCGCATAGTTGAGCAAGGCACCCACAGTGACCTGCTTCGGAAGAATGGGTACTATGCTGAGCTGGTGAATCTGCAAAGTCTGGAAGAGCATCGCTAAGGATGATGAAATGTTAAATAATTTTACGAGTTTTGGAGTATTAAGCACGATAGACAAATTGGCCCAGAGCCTGATTAATAGCTATTTGGAGAACCAGCAAAAAGGAATAATCTCAGTTGCTCGATAATTGAATGGATCAAAGTTCACACCCCAAAATGCACATATGGAACCCAGTGAAGTGTCGTGGCTCCCTCAAGGCCGTCACACAAAACAACATCCCTGGGCATTCGGACCTTCCCAGAATGTGGTTCACTGGAACTCTGAACATTGGCCCCATCTTCTGTCGGCGGTGACTCCATCATCATTCTTACGTCAACAGTATCCGTTTGGATGGCTAGCCATTGGTCTCGGAGCTCCCGGCAAGCCGCATGAAGCCCTTGGCAAACTGACTCGTCTGTCAAACCTCCGTTTCGTATCCCTTCGTATGTAAGTTTCGCCATCTCGACACATGATTCATCATTAACCTCCCAAAGAGTTCCAATAACATGACGAAAGCCGGCGAGTTGACACCCACTGATCAGGTGTATACTTTCGTCAACAAATCTCTCATCCTTAATGCGACCTGTTCCACAGGCAGAGAGATAGGCAAGAAATGGAGGGCTTTTGCGTAGATCTATCTCTAGCAAGTTTGCTACCGTAAGTGGTTCATCTTGCAACAGCAAGTGACTCTTCGATGGATCTGTTCCGTTTGTATAGCCATGCCCAGCAAAGTGAAATATCTTGCATCGGGGCAAGTGCGAAATGACATCTTCTTTGCGCCGGCCTGGCTCGATAGGGTAGAGTTTCATGCACTTGCACAGGTTGTGTAGTACCTCAATTTCCTTGGGTGCAAAGGGAAGCCGGATACCCCTCCCTGGCGTGTGCTCCATCGCAACGAGGAGAGCATGGGCTGAGGTGGAAGGCGTGGTCGGACGTCGTCGCGTATGGATCATTGCTTTGACAGACGAGCTGTAGGACGACATCACTCTGTCAAGCACAGCTTGGCCTTTCATGTGATATCCAGCCGCATGGATTGGGAATTTGGCCAAAGGTCCGGTAGGAATCCACCATACATGGGGCAAGGTTCCTTGTGGAGGATCAGTGAAACCCAGAGCGTTGAGAACTGGATCAGCAATAGCATCCCATAGCCACTCTAGAATCTCAGTACTACCAAGTCCCTTTTGTGACTTCTCTTCGATGTCTTGGCGGTTCAGCCGCGGCAAGGATACTGATTGAATCCCTTGTTGTTGAATGAGTATCGCATCGCAGCGGAACTCGCTCACGTTGATGACGATGATGGGACCGCAGCTCGCCGCACCCATCATTTCCGCTTGGCTCGGTGCAAGCAAGAAGTCATGGAAATCAGCCTTTTGTCGGATTGAATCGATCAACTTGTCTAAGTCGTCGCCTGCTTTGTAGCGCCGGTGCGATTGAGCTTGCCATGCAGCGGCTTGATGATTTCCATTCAGGGCCACGTGCGAGATTTGTCGTGTTTCTAGTTCTTCCCGAAGACGAACAAAATGTTCTGCCAGTTCCGGATGTTTCTCTTTCAGCTCCAGTACATCTGTTCTTAGCTCTTCGAGAGATGTACCAAGGACTCCGCGTCCTTGTTCGAGGAAGTTTAGGGCAACCAAAGGTCCCTTTCCTGCATGCAATGCTACGGCTGCTGCGTCGGAGGCAAAGCCAACCACTTCGCCAAGGATGTGTTGCTTGTCCGAATTTTCCAGTGAGCGAAGTGTTAGTTTAGGTATGAGGGGAACTGCGATGGCTGATGCGTCGTACGCTTGTTGCCAGCGTAATTTGTTGGCGTAGCACCGAAGAACCTTTCTACCAGCCGTGATTCGAGTACTGGCGACTGAGCTAGAGTGGCAAAGAGCAGCTTGGTACTGGGCTGTGATTGCTTCAAAGTCGCTGATCGCTCCTGTTTTCCTGTACCGGTCGCTGAGTCGATTCCCGAGGTTTATCAGCCATTCTGCTCGTCGCGAATGGGTTTTAGGCATCGCGTCAATTGCTTCTTGGCAGATTCGAATAGCCTCGTTCAGATCGACGATGTCTCCAGTTCTTTCGAACAAATCCCCAAGCCGATTACCAAGATTCGATAGGACAAGAGCTCTGTCTGGATGACCCTCAGGGGTCTCATCGACAGCCTTGCGGCCCACCCGGATGGCTTCTTTGAGATCAACTTCTGCCCCCGTTGCTAAAAACCGATCGCTGAGCCGGATCTGAAGATTGTTTAAGCGTTTCGCACGGCTGATGTGACTCTCTGGCGTCATCTTGACAGATTCTCGAATCAACTCAATTGACTCATTGAGATCACCGTCTGCTCCTATTCTTGCGTATCGATCACCTAGTTGAAGCCCAAGGTTGTTCAGGAGGCTGACCCTGTCCGGATGGTCCTTTGGCATCGAACTGAACGCTTCCCGACTCACCCGAATAGCTTCTTCGAGATCAGGCGTGGCTCCTGTCCGCAAAAATCGATCACCAAATAAACCACCAAGGGTAGCTAAGAATATTGGGCGGGATATGTGCGTCTCCGGCTCAGGGGTCACATCGACGACCTCTTGTGCCGCTCGAATCGCTTCTTCAAGATCAGCTACTGCCCCTGTCTTGGAGTATTCATAGCCCAGGAAAATGGCAAGGTTGTTTAGACGTCCTGCGCGACCCAGTTGGCCTGTTGGAGTCGTATTCACCGCTTCGCGACAAAGTCGAATGGCCTCTTTCAGATCTGATTCCGTTCCGGCTTGCGCATATCTATCGCCGAGCCGAGCCCCAAGGTTGTTCAAGTATCCAGAGCGGCCAGGTTGGTTCTCAGGAGTTCCATTGACCGCTTCCCACCCAACTCGAATAGCCTCTTCAAGATCGACCTCTTCTCTAGTTCTTGAATATCGAAGGCCCAGCGTAAGCCCGAGGCCATCGAGACGCACTGGGGCGTCTGGGTGCCCGCTAGGAGTCATCCTTACGGCTTCTCTCTTCAGTTGAATTGATTCTTCGAGGCACGTCATAGACCCTGTTCTTAAATAGCTCTGTGTAAGGTGGGTCCCAAGATTGTGCAAGACATTTGCACGATGTCGATGGCCCTCCTGAGCTACCTCGACGGCTTTTCGTCCCACACGAATGGCCTCCTCAAGATCGGACAGCAAGCCTGTTCTTGAGTATAGAATGGCCAGCTGTGCTCCAAGGTTGGTTATATAATCTGCATGTTCCGGATGCCCCTCGGGAGTGGCATTGACAGCCTCCGTTGCCAGTTGAACAGTCTCCTGGAGATCATGAATTGACCCCATTACGGAATATCGTTTACTGAGGAAATTTCCCAGATTCATGAGCACTTCTGATCGATCCTTGTTGTCCTTAGGGGTCAAATGTACGGCCTGTCGTCCCAACTGAATAGCCTCGTCAAGATCAACCATCGCATGAGTCCTCGAGTATTGAGTGACAAGCCGAACGGCAAGATTGTACAGAAGCCTTGCATAGTGTGGATGGCGCTCTGTTGATAAAACAACAGCATTCCGCCCCGCTTGAACGGCTTGTTCGATATCGACCATTGATCCAGTCTGTAGAAAACGGTCTCCTAGTCGATTTCCAAGGTTGGTCAAGAGTGCGGCTCTGTTTGGATGTCCATCAGGGACAAGAGTGAGAGCCTCCTGGGTGACTTGGATGGATTTTTCAACATCGGATATTGCCCCGGACATGAGATATCGATCGCCAAGTAGGTTTCCAACATTTCCCAAGACTCCAGGGCGATCTGGATGATTCTCAGCGATCGTATCAACCACTTCCAGGCCAACCCGAATGGCCTCTTCAAGATCCGTCATTGATTTCGTTGTCGCATACCGATCACCCAGTCGATTTGAAAAGTAGATTAGGAGGAACGGCCGCTTTGGATGACTGTCTGGGATTGCCCTCAAAGCTTCCCGCATCATCTGTATCTCATCACTATCGACCTCGGCCATCTTTCTTATTGCCAAGTGAAGAAATAGAGTATTCTAGCGACGGCGGAGAAGTTTGAGGTGGCATTGAGCGAATTCGGCAGCGCCTTTGAATTACGATGCGTATGTCACATACCACGTTCTATTAAGGGCGACGTGGTCGGCCGACCGGTGGGAAGAGAAGAATTTGTGGCTGGGCGTTGAGTGCTGAAACCTACGGATTCAGTATAGCCTACATGTACGAAGTGCATGATCAGGCTGTTCCCCGAAGTTGATTGCCTTGAACGTATCTCTGGCAAGGCGTCTGATAATGCAAAACTGCCTAAAATGAACATCTGACCGCTCTTTAAGTCGGCTTGTGCGTAAGGGAATGAAAATGAGGCGAGCTAGTTCAACGTGTCCTGCACTGCACTGGTGCAATCACCGTCCAACTTGCAGTTCGCATGTTTGATGGCTCCTCTGCTTGGCTACATTGAATAGCCCCTGTCTTCGGTGTCATCACGCCCCCCCCCTTCAATGTAATGTACTGCGCCCGTCAGATTATAGCGTATTTTGCCTGGACAATCTCGCCATGCCCCCACGCGGATTTTCTGAGTCTCTCTCGGTCGCCTTCCTGTTTGCCTCGGTCAAGGAAATTGCCACGCTCCAATAAAAAAGACAATTGACAGATAGAAATGACAATATGTAGTACGTGAGACTGTCCAATTACCATAGCATACCAATACATCACCACTAAGCCCCGGGCTGCTCTTGATGAATGCTCAGTGAGGAATGTGTAAGAAATCCGACCCCTCCGTGATGTCCGCTGGGGCTTGTGTCTTGAATGACAATCATTCTGCTTCCTTTACTGCGACATATTCTCCTTGGGAGGATTCATGGCCCAGGAGCGAGACTATTTGACTTCATTTTTCTAGTTCTAATGTTTAATGAATACTTCAACCCTGAATTCCCATTTACCAGGCTCGAAAGCTCATGTGCCTGGGTGTAGGGTAGCCCCGCGGATGCAAGTGGAGCGATTATGTGCCATACTGTACCTGGGCCTTGTAGCCTGACTCGTAGAGAGGCGAGGCTTCGGGAGGATCTCGCCGTGAAGTATGTCATGGAACCCAAATGACTCGTAGTCTATACGCTAGATGACTGAGAAAAGAAAGCCTAGGAATACCGCGCAAAGTTTTGTCGGCCGGCGTAGAACTTCGCGCCAAAAGCCCACCACAGGTCCTCCAAGCGCCTGAGCACACTATATTGTTACGCAGGCTTGGATGTCCAATGAACGGAACAGTTCCATATAAGTTGCGCTGAGTTTCTCATCCCATTCCCCAATCTAGCAAACCCGGTTTTCCTCGGACGTCAGGTTGGCTCAACTGGAGATGGAGTGTGGTGCTTGTGTTGTTAGTTACACCACCTAGCAGTTCTATTGATGACCCAGACACCAGCCGCAAGCCTGCTCGGCTTCATGCCCGCGTTCCTGACTCCGACACTGTTGAGAAACCTTTCGATGCCCGGTTTATCCACAAGAGAAGGGTATAATACTGGGCTTCGATCCGGCTGCTCTGATAGCGCCGATATGAAGGGCCGTTCATTAGTCACGTTTTCGGCATCTTGCGACAAGGGGCACGCATTGTTGTAAGGCTTGGGTGCCGGAGCTGTCTTTTCTACTTACGACAGGCTCCACACTTGGCTCATTCATGAGTCGGAGCAAAAACTGGCCTCCGCTCTCCTCAACCTCTGTATGCTCGTCTCCGCCGATCCTTAATAGTAGCAGACTGTTAATGGCGCGTGGTCATGGCTCCATAAGCGAGGCCTTCTCAATCTCGGCCACATACCTCAACTCGTCTAGAAGGAGTGGACCACTGGCTGAGGCGGGCAAAAGATCAGATAAGATATGGGTTGTGTTAGAATGACATGGATTCTTTGACAGCCGGTTCCTGCATCATTCACCCCGCTTATGTTTCCACCTTATATCCCAGACGGGTGGATGAATTCCTTGCCCCCTGTGGTAGGGCCGAGTTTGTCGTAATTCACACGGAAACTCGGAACGCGATGACCGAGATCGGCCACGCGGTACCACACCACCGAGACCATATCCGCCAAATTTGCTTTACCTTGGATGTTACCTCCTTGTTCTGTACGTGAGTGACTTGGAACTATTTTGAAGAAGGGAAGAACTTACATCTTTTGATACAATCCCATCACCGGAAATCACAAGATACCCATCATAGTATCTCGACCACCCCTCACGATTCATACCTATGACCTCACCCGAGCTTATTCCATGATTTTTCCGTTCAAGATCCCTGTCATGAACTAGCAGGCGGCACTTCAAGGCACATCCTGTCGGACCGTGCTGGGAAGCTCGTGGCAGGTGGCGGCAGAAGCTGCCTTGACAGGCCTAGTTTGTCTAGTCGCCGAAGGAAGAAATTTTAGCTTGAACCTTGCACACATCCGTGACACTTTCGTGATGGCATTTTCAGCAACTTCTCACTGCTTTGCTTATTAAATATGGAGACGACAGGGACAGTACTTGTTCAATCGACTCGAACGCGTGTCATGGGGCGTCGGATGTCGGTAGTTGAAACAAGTCAGTTGAACAGGGTTCGGAACGCCTCATTTGTAAGGTCGGGGAAGAGCCTGTTTCTTCGTAAACGAACAAGTAAATAAAGATCGTCGTGCCCTCCAGCACTCTGCATTTGTGTCGATTGGAAAATACCTTCTTCCAATTTATACTCACCCGACAACTACATCATGCGTCTGGTTTCTCTCGGAGGCCTTTCGGCCTTGGCCCTGGCTATGACGACGGCCGCGGCCTCGACGTACGACTACATTGTCGTGGGCGGTGGCCCTGCCGGCATCATCACAGCCGAACGACTCTCGGCAGCCAACAAGAAGGTCCTCCTCCTTGAGCGAGGACCAGGCCCTACCGTTGAGACTGGTTCCAACAACACCCTTAGCTGGGACGACTCGTTGACGCCTGTCGATGTCCCGGGCCTGACCTCTGCCGTCGGTAGCTTGACCAACTACATGTGCACTGACACCGGAGGTCTTGCTGCATGTGTGCTTGGTGGTGGTGTCACAATCAACTACATGGTCTTTGTCCACCCGCCAGACCATGACTTTGACGATAAGTGGCCCAAGGGCTGGAAATGGAGCAACATCGCTCCCGCAGCGAAGAGGCTCTATAGCCGAAACCCTGGAACTACCCTTCCCTCAAAAGACGGCCAGCGCTACGATCAGGGCCTTTACTCGACCCTGTCCAGCTTTTTCGACAGCATCGGCTGGACCTCTGTCGACATGATCAAGCAGCCCAACGAGAAGCATCAAGTCTACAGCTACCCCTCGTGGAACATCAAGGATGCTATGCGTGCTGGACCCGTACGAACTTATCTGCCTTTGGCCGAAGCGCGAGACAACTTCACTCTCCGCCTTGGCACCAAGGTCATTCGTGTTGTGCGCTCCGGCTCCAAGGTGACCGGCGTTGAGGTCGAGGACTCTGAAGGCAAGAGTGAGATCATTAGGCTTACTAAGAATGGAAGAGTCGTCCTATCCGCAGGCGCCGTGTCGACGCCCCGACTTCTCTTCAACTCTGGTATTGGACCTAAGGCGCAAATCTTGACTGCAAGCAAGACTGGCGTCACCCTTCCCCCTAAGAAGGATTGGATTGAGCTACCCGTTGGCAAGAACCTTAAGGACCACCCTATTTTCTCTATTAATGTCAAGACAAACGACACTTGGGGTGTTTTCGACAGCACCGGTGTGGTCAACGGCTCTGATACTACCGACATCAACCAGTATGAAAACAAGGAGTCGGGTATTTTAACTCAGGGCAGGCACCGCCTTATCTTCTTCAGCTCCAAGGCTGGAGCGGATGGAATCACGCGATACTATCAGGGATCTTGTACAGCTTCGGGCGAGGGTATTGTCCAGATCAAGGTGTACATGACCCACGGGCTTACATCAGAGGGCGTTTTGGGACTGTCAGAGGATGGCAGCACCACTATTGAGACTTCACCCTATCTTCAGACCGACGGCGACCTGGAGGCCGCAACCTCATTTATCCAGGGCATGGTCGACTCCATTACCTCATCTTCCGCTGGCTTTGAGCTTCAAACATACACCAACACCTCTGCGATTATCGGCTCTCAGACCTCCGGAAACCACTTCGTTGGCACGGCAAAGATGGGCACCGACGATGGCCGCAAGGGTGGTTCTTCGGTTGTTGATACTAACACTAAGGTGTATGGAATGGACAACCTGGTAAGAGTCTTCTGTTACGACGCTTTTGAACAAAATACTAACTGGTATTCTAGTTTATTTCTGATGCTAGCATCCATCCCGATGTTCCCACTGGCAACAGCCAGACCATTGTTATGGTTGCCGCCGAGATGGCAGTGGCTAAGATCCTTGCTTGTAAATAAACCTTGCAACACCTGGAGTGTTAGCAGGATGTACAATTTGTAAATATTTCAAGAGACTAGTGCGTAACTAGCAATGTACTTAGTTATACTGTCAATATGGATATATTTAAGAGAAACTAAATTACTCCAGTTATGTTTTCTTCTTGCGTAACATTGAACCCGCTTCGAAGTATTGAGAAACAATCTCCTTCCCATCGACGCCACGCGTGGGAGTAGTTGAGCCTCGCCGAGATATACAGACGTGTATATTCTGCGCGCATCGTCCATGACCAAAACCTGCCAAACTGAACATGTCACAGGTTTTTAGTGTTTTTGTATTACAACGAACATATCTCAGACGCCAGCGTAGAGTGGCCTCTTTCAATCACTCATTACAAATGAGGCCACAAATCCCAGGTCCGTGCACTTCATAATAATGGGCGCGCCAAGGACTCAGACGAACAGCGGCTTTGTTGCTAGGATCAGACATTACTCTCAAGTAGTGGTCAAGAACAACGCATCAATGAGCACTTCGATCTGGGAACACTAATAACTTCCCACGTTGTTCAAATAATATATATCTACCAAATTTTGAGACTCGCCACTATAAATTGTTATGATTCCACTCCAGAATGATGTTTCAGTCCAACAATCTCAACACATCACAAACATAAAATTACAACCAACACAAGCGACTAAAAAAGCCCTTTTCTCGACACTGGATCTTAGAATATCAGTAGCCTCGTGGAGCCAATTTCAACAACCAGCGCAAATCGGAATTCGATCCAACAATGGGTTGCCGGATCTCTGAAGACCAGCTCCTTCATGATACCCCCGACGAAAACTTTTATGCCCTCGCTAGATCATTCGGTGATCGATGGGGCCTTGTGAGGGGATCAAATGCGCCCCCCTGTGTTGTCAGAAACTTGAATTCCACCAATGTGACGATCACTGTTCAAGTTGATGACTACAAAGTGGTCTTCTGGAGCCCGCGTACGGCCTCCAATTTAGGTGTGCCGTTTCCAGAGACTCGACAGAACTTCATGACCCACTGGGCAATTCTAAATTTACTAGTGATGCTTGAAAATTTTCCATCTCCTAAAATCTTGGATTGGAATCCCTACGCCCACCCTCTGCTTGAAGCTCCGTACATCTGCATGACCCATTTGCCGGGCCAGCGCTTATCTGATGCTTGGTTTGACAAGTCCAACCTGATACCGCTGGAACAGCGACGTCTGAGAACGCTCCAGTGCATTGCCGAAGCTATAGCTACACTTTCCAACGACAAGGAATACACCAGGATCTTATCGTCGAATTTGCAGCCCGAAAGCCATTATCTCCAGACTGATGTCGAAAATAACGGAGATAGCACAGAAGCGGTATTGTCCTCCCCAAATTTTTGCACAGATCGTGAGTCTTTTAATCTGCTATTCGAGGACAACGGGATGGATGGGGCACAAAAGTTCGCCCTGATGATGAGTGAAATGCTGCCTATCACAGACAGCCCAGCAAGTTTCGTATTGCGAACGCCCTGTTTGGAAATGGAAAATATCCTGGTTGATGAAGAGGGATCCATTGCAGGACTCTTGCACTGGGAAGGTACGACGGCGTGGCCAGCATGGATGGGGTCAACTTACCCGGCATGGATTTGTCAAGACGTTGTGGCTGACATGGACGGGTATAAAAATGACCTATCGCATGAAACGGCGCTGGAGTATCGTCGATTCTTCCGACAGCAGCTTAATGCCAAACTAGAAGACCCAGATGATCGGCAATGGTGTAAGGCTTCTCACATCCGTCGCTTGATCTGGCTCGCAGCCACCGATGTGGACGCTCGACCCTGGATTTGCGCGTCGGTGCTGGCAAAATTGCTGGGAATCCCCCTGGACACCGACGAGGACTACTCGAAGCATCGGGGAGAACTGGCGCAAAAGCTGGCACAAATGGGAAGCCCCGATTACCCCGAAGAGGATTTCCAGGCTCTAAGGGTCAAGTTCAAGGCGTGGATGGATTCAACTGAATAAAGACTGAGAACATCTGCGAAGATATCCATGTTTATGCACATTCAATTTTTGATAACCACGCAGCGAAGATGAGTTTGGAGTTAGAAGAGATGAATGCAAGGCAGTTGAGCAGCAGAGCGTTTGACGGTAGTGCAGAGTACGCCTTTTAATAGAATAATAAATGTCAGAACATCAAAGTGTGTATTCCCAATTACTTGTGGAAGACTTATAGCCTTGCGGCTGTCCAGTGAATGTTCCAACAGTGGAGTGGGTCGCAGGAGGTGATAAGGTACAATTTAAATGTCTTGATGGCTCATTAACTCTGGATGATCTATTTCTTCGATGAGAATGTGAACTCCGTTGAGTCACAGTACTGCTAGGTGTTTTGACGAGTAGACTTGACTGCACTGCCATGTCTTTCCCACCTGAAATCTTGCGACGAGGGTTGTGCATCGAATAGAAGCTGCCGGTATTGCCCGGGAATAGCTGCCAAGCTGTGGCTCTGTGGGCTCCTGAGGCGAGTGGAGGATCTGCACCTCAGCAGAGCACCCCGCTCTCGGCGAAGGCGACTATGCATGGAGGCCTGATTTCTCCACTGTAATTCTGCCCGATGAGACAGTTAGGCTGATACATGTACATGTAGTGTTACACTGCATTGATTTGGGGGTGTAGTATGATGGTGGTGTGGCATCCGCTCCCTCCTCACCGGCTGCGTGGTATCGTTTCCAGCCGAATTAGGGCGGCCACGAGGCGGCTGAGAATGTCCAGGTTCCGTCAAAGATCACGGTATAATTCACTCAATCAAATAATATCATGAGACTAAAGCAGCTGGGTAGTCGGAGGTCCCGCACACAGATTGACGGTACCCGCTCCTACAATTTGTCTCCAATTTTGAGAATACTCCAGCTCTATATCCCACTCGTGCCTGAGACAAAGACGATGAGGACAGTAGCATATCTATGACATCTGATGTTAGCAACATGCAAGAATAAGGTTAATATAATCGGCTGGGAAATGGGATGTACCCACGTTGTGCCAGCAACAATTAATTCCATCGTTTTTGATTTCGTCAATTCAGACAGAATGAGAAGATAGCATATCGTGCATGCCATAACAACAAAAACTCTGATCGCAACGGAGCCGATGACGTTGCAAATGATGATTGGTATCATAAGGATAAATGATATCAGCAATACTAACAAACCCTTGGCTATTCTTTTGATCAATGAGCCCGAATATATGAAGACGTCTTCATCCGTCGAGACATCATGAAATCGACTCTGTTTCCCGTATTAGCATCTTTGTCAAAGGCCGGGGTTTCCCTTACCTTTCGGAACCCGGTGTGAAAACGGATGAGTTTGTCTTCTACCCATGACTCGAATGTCAACACCGCATCATCACCCATCGGAGATAGGGCAAACAAGTCTCGATGGTGTGTGAGATAGGCCCCTTCCTCTCTGTCCAGGCAGCCACTACTATTCAACCAATTTTGTAGACTGCCGACATCTCTCATCTGAGCAGAGCCAAAGCTCATTACACGATTGCTTCGCTCCACAAACCGATCTGATTCTCATGAGTATAAGGACACAGTATTTTGTTAGGTGCAAATACCATAATCGGCGAGGCCATCGTCAATTTCCCGCAAAATAGATGCTCTCTCAGCATTTCTATCACACCGGCTCCTTCCAAGGAAGATCGGAGCCGTTTCAGAGTGATCAACATCGTCCAGACGTTTTTCGAGTACAGATAGCCGGTCTTGCTTTAAGAGAAGAAGTCTCGCTCGAAGCTTATCAAACCGTCTAAACACAAAAAAGTTGGAATGCGACGAGATGAGAGCAGTGTAGCGGGGATATCCGGCTCTATAATCCTCAACTTTGAACCATTAGCTTAATGTCTCGCTAAGAAGAGTATGTGCAGTACTCTTTTCAGTTCGCACTTCGATCTCGGTGGTAGAGTCAGAAGGTGCTTTGGAAGGTTCCCAAAGCGGAAGACAAGATGTGAGGGGTGCCATCCTCCACGGTCGCCACTACCACCGAAGTATTATGATAAGGGACATTCTGCTCAAAGATATAGGGGAATTATGCTAAATTTCAGCGGCCCACGATTTGATCGTTACACGCCACTCAAGCAAAACGAGAACAAAGTCGGTCGGATTTGTTCGGCCAAAAGTGCCAATAAAAATGCGCCACGTCAGACCTGCATGACTCCGCCACCAAGACAAATGATACGCCGATACGCGATTTTGAAAATGTGAAAGGGCAAGGCATTTTCATGTTGCCTCTTTAAGGCGATTGTTGCCTGGAAATGGAGCCTTTTTCGTACTTGAGCCTTGGCAAATTGAACAATCGGAAGAGACGGATTCGAGAGGCGAGAAATACATAAGCGGGGTTACATCTCCCATGATTGCCACTGGTTTTACTAAACACACGAACAAACTTGTCACTTCACACACCAGCTTCAACATGGCTGACTCTACGGAGTACGTAACACTACCTTTTAATGCACTACTGTTCCACTAACGCGTCGGAAATAGCAACCAACCCACGGACATCACAGACGTCGGGAAGCGCCCGTACGTGAGAGCTTCCGCCCAGGTTTGTACGCCCACAGGACACCTCACTACGTGTTACTGACTTGGCGCCAAGCGACCCCTCTTTCATGTCGGAGATAGGGTATACTTGTTGAACTCCAGCGGAGCCCGTGAAGGACCTTACCTCATCGCATCTGTTCCCGGAAGGCGAAACTACACCCTGTGTTTTGAAGACGGCAGGGCCGTAAAGAACAATCAGATAGTAGATGTAGATGATGTGGAGGCTGCGTAAAGTCTTTTCCGGTTGGAGGATTGTGGTGATCGTGATGGTACTGCCTAGCGACACGAGGAGGCGTGGCACTGGGAACACAATGTACTTCGCCACATACCCCATCTACATCTGCACTGCGCCGCACCCATAGCCTCTTTATCTAGGTGCCCACATGATGCGGCCTAATAATTACGGTGCTCGAACGCAACTTGACTAAAGCAAAGACCTTTCGCCGGGAAACAGAACTTGCAGACTCATTTGCAAGCCCTATTTCAACTACACCCAAAGCACTGCATATCATCAAGGTCCTAGATAGTATGTCAACTTCGTACAGAACTGCGAGCACATTACCGTGTATTTTGGGATATATCAGCCATAAAAAAATCTCTCCGCAGTTCATTTCCTAATGCTATTTGAACCTCCGCTTTCCACCCATGACCCGTGGTATACCGGATCCATTTGCTTTGCTGTGAGGACGAAACAGGGGTAAATAGGCTATGGCATAGTTTGATGGACACTGGAGAACCGTTTGACTAGAGGCACTTGAGGTACCCCCTCGACTTGGTGGCCCGGGGCGGATGCAGCGTTAAATGTCGAATGTTGGTGTTGGACTTCATTGGCCTGCTGCTGATGGCTTCCACTCCCCCAGTCTTTTTCTGGTGACAATTGCCAAAGATATAACTGTACACAATCCTCATTGATGTATGCATTGGCCCCTAAAGAGGAGATAAGCTCTTTGCGGGGGGTAATAGTCCCTAAGGTGGGATGGTTGGTCGGTGCAATCCAACGCTCTGATTTCACATCATCAATTGTGATGTAGCTGGTCAGGCGATATTTTGTCCCCTGGTAGTAAGCTGTAAAAGTCTGCTTCACGAGGCCGCCCTTTTTCAACGCTGCTTTGTCTATGTCTTTCCGAGAGCAGTGCGCTGAATTTGCCTTCTCGAGCTCTAGAAGCAGAGCGTGGCGGTACCTCGAGATTTCTGAGCGCCAATTGGCGCCGTCGACCCAGCGAGCAAGACCTTTTGTACTCGCCAGAGAAATAAAAACACTGCCGCTCTTGGGGAAACCCCGTCGTCGCTCGGCCGGTGTTGGTGGGCGGGTGACATAGCTCAGCTGGCCTCTCAGGCAGGCCTCAAAGAGAATGAGGGCGTCCTTCCTAGTCGCCACATGGCCCTCGAAGGTGGGACTTAAGATATCCATAAAGAGGGTTAACCACGAGAACGGTTATATTCAAGGTAGAGAATGAGTTGGATGAAACACCCTGTTACACAATTCTTAGCTTATGGAATGGGTGTTTAGTAAGATGTGATTTTCGTGAAGGGTGCTTTTCCACAGTTCGAAAGATGGCGTATTATCCGACGAACTTTGACAACATATATACTTCAGCATGCCGTGGATCAAATTTTGCTGACTTTGAATCAGTGTATCATTATCGTTGAACGCATAGCAATAACAACAACTCACATACGAAGTTAATTCACGACAGTACAGGTCGAAGGAATTGCGAGGAACAAGATGTGGTGATTTATAGCAGGAAATAAATGGTTCAAGTGAATGAAGGCCACTAGAGTATATGTTTTCTGACATATGAGGATCGTCGTAGAGTTATTCAGGGCGACATTGGTATATCGAATTATGACGCGATTCACATGTAGAGGTGAAATACTGAAGATAAGGGCTGTTCAGCGTCAGTACAATTGGCTCGGGAAACATATTCATATCCTGTAATTCATCGAATTAATAGCGAGAATCCGATCTCATATGGAGGATAATGAGTATACTGGCCTTGATCCCGGGAGGTCTTACCCGCGGCGACGCTCTACCCATGTGCTCAGGGCCTCCACACGTGGTTTCGAGTCATTTTTCCTTTCTCATGAAGGCACAACATATAATAATTAGTCGTGGCATATGAGTACGAAAGAAACGCTTAATCCGTCACTATGAGTCATAGTTCTCTTAAAGTTTAAGAAAGTCCAGTTGAACTTCAAGGGCCGGAATGGAGCCGAGCAAGACGAGTGGCTGCAAGTTGGAAGGGAGCTCCTTTCTAAAGAGAAACATATTTCTAATCATTTCCTATTGACTCATTCTCCCCCCTAAACTATTGTTTTGCTCTTCTTTCCGAAGCACAGGGTTCTGAGTTGGATACCTTGTGTTAGCATAGCTTGCCGTGGATAGATCGTGGGTACAGGTCCAGGAGTTAAAACGGCCAAAGTTCCAAATGTAGAAGACATATAACCCTGATCTGGCAGAGCTTGGCTAGGTCATTCTTGATCTCCTTCTTGAGTCGGCATTTTCTGCCCCTTTGCCTTCTTCCTAAACACCAGAAATCCACCAGACAACCAGGAGTACTCCAAGGCCGATGCCGAGCCCTAATCCAATCTTCAAGGATTCGTGGTTTGTGGATCTTCTCGTGTAGCCGGTGGATGAAGCGCCGTTTCCGTCAGAGTTCGGGATGGTGGAAGCCTCGAGCGGAGGCTCGATTGTCGTCTCTCGGAGTCTCAGTTGACGTTGTATCGGCGGATGCACTGGTCTCAGTCGAGCAAGCTACCCCAAACGAGGGATTGAAGCCCGCTTGCCTGCAGTACATCCTCGAGAAATCCTCTGCCTCTTCGCGATCGGATTCGGAGCATTGTTCGATCAGACAACAAAGTTTGTTTCTGATGTATGTCTCATTCATGCATTGACATCTTGTATCATAAATGTACCAAGGCTGATTCAAGCTCAATACTTCATGCTCCGCTCTCAATGTCACCCTTTCCTTTTTCCTTGACCAAGTTTTCCTCTGAATATCTACTTTGCCCGTCTCCATCTTCGTCGCCCACCAGGTTGGGTCGAAATATCCTCGGCCACCAGTACCAAAGCACGGAAGTGATGACGGTAATGGGGATGGCGACCGCCCAATAAAGCCAGAACTTTTTGGAGACCGACCACTCTTCAGAACCGCCATTGTAATTGAAGAATGACGTGCTAAAAATAGCGGATATGAACGTGGCGGGCAGGAAGGTTAAGGTCAGGAAGGAGATAGTTTTCATCGCCTCGCTATCCATTTGTGCTGCGCGACCAATCTGAACTGATACTCCTGAGTCGTACTGAGCAACTGTGTTGAATGCTAGCTGAATTTCGTTCATGAGTCGTGCTTTGTTTGATACCGAGCGGTGTTGCAGCCCCTGCAGCATATGCTCATGGTAACGCAGCCGTCGTTGAAGGTGCTTCGCTGCACGGATAGTTGGGGCATCGTTACTCTGACTGTCGTCCATAAAGCTCTTATGCTCTGACAGAATCACCTCAATAGTCTTGGTCGCAACATTTAGAGTCTCCGAAACATGAATCGCATGCCTGCAAATTTCGTGGAGATATAGATACTTTGGTTGTGGCTTTATCGGTGAGACGCGCGAAGTCTCTGTGTGTCTGACCTGGTCGCGGATCGCCCACACGGCCTCGTCTTGGAGAGTGGTAATCATATCTACCACTGAGTCATAAATCCAGAAGGGATCTCCCAATTGATTCGGATGAGGATCGCCGACCAGCGCGGGCAACTGGTCAGCGATTACTGCAGGCGCGTCAAATACAAACATGATTGTTTGTCTGGTCGAAGGCAGCCAGTAAGTCAGCATATTCAACTTGTACCACACGTAATTCTTGCTGCTAACATCGCTAGCACCACTGCCAACATTGGGAAGATGCTGCTTGACCAGGAAGCGGGCCCATGTGACTGCGCTCGTGGTTAGCAAAAGCACGCAGTCCAAGGCGGAGGGAGGGTGATTACTGAAGCCGGTTATTTTTCCTTGGTCATCCATAGTTTCCTCGCATCCAAAATACCCATTGGATCTTTTGCACGCCTTTTTCCACCATAGATCGGGGATTTGAAAGACTTTTGCAAACACAGATCGGCATCTCGGGCATTTCTTGATTTCTGCGGCATGTGCTTTACTTGGCGCGCAAAGTTAGCATCATCGCCGGTTCAAGCACCGAATGAAGACGGACATGATAGTGATGTCGAATTCAAAATCGAGAACATCGGACAGTTTATTTGTGCCCGTGGCATCCGTATTGCCGAACACGATTTGCTTCTGTTGCCACGCCTCGCCTACCCGTCGTTAGAAGCCGCGTAGGTCTGGGGATGGACACAACGTACCGTGTTTCCGCCACGTCACGTCCAACTTGGAGCAGTCGGGGCAAGGTGGTTGTGCCATGCTGCAAGGTCAACAAGTCTGGTCGTAACCAGCGCGAATAAATTGTAAGATGTTACCAGGCTGAGAAATAGTTGAGCTGAAGCAGCCCCGCGGCCGCTTGGCACCAAACCCTTATATCCGAAAACCAGCCCCCGGCTTTGAATGGAATCACTGCAGCTGAAGTGCACAAAAGGCGACCCCCGGCATACTGTGGCTGATGCATGATGTGTTGGCGCTGTCCCCGCTACTTCTCGTTTGATACGTATGCACGATAGGCACATTCGGCATGAGGAGATAAAATGCATGGGAATCCTTCGTCCTGCTGTTCTGGACCGGTCAGCTGAGACGCCAGTGACGGTCGTGCATCATTAGGCCGTGACGAGAATCATGGCTGCGTCTGGACCGGTCTATTAACCCCAAAAAGCATACACCTATGACGCGATATCCGTTTACCGACAGGTGCCTGGTCCTGAGCCATGGTTCGCACTTCGGTCGCCTTAATTAATTCCCACATTAATAAGCGCCAGAAGTATCGGCAAACCGATGCCACTTCCAAACAACCGCAGGTGCCGCTTTTAGGGCCGCCTTGCCACCCAGCTCAATGTCGGCGCTTGCAGCAGTTCACCCCTGCAATTATTCAAAAAAAAAATCATGCTCAGCGAACGTGCCTAGTGATAGTAATAATGAAGGTGTGAATCAAGGTTGGGGTCAAGAAGATGATTGCTGACCTATCTCACAATAGAGGAAGAGAGGACTCGGGGCGGTGTCGCCCCGGGTAAGAAAAACCCTGCAGGAAGAGAAGGTATAATTCGGCTAAGGGGCTGATCCTGGCCTGATGGAACTTGTAGTTAAGATGAGGGAGGCAAAACTAGCTGCGTGGAGCTAAGGGCGACCCAGCCTTGGACAGATCTGTACAGTAAATACTCTGGCTAATTGGTATTAGTTACAAGTAGGGAGGATGGAACAATAATTGATTTTACCAAGGCCAATGAGACACGGAAATAAATCAGACGTATGTTCAAATATCTTCACAATAAATTAAACAAGAAGTCTAGAAAATGATGGACCCATTGGACCACTTCGAGGCAGCCCTTAAGTCCTTCCCATAAACATAAAAGGCAAAAGGAACAGGAATCAATAATGCCGCAACTCCTCCTGTAATACTTGATCCAGGACCAACACCGAGGTTGTGATACAGCGGACCTACAACGAGTGGCAAGGCCCCAGCAAAACATGATCTCAGAAAGGTGTTTGCTCCGATTGCCGAAGCTGCATAAGCCTGAAATGTGTCGACAAGATAGTTGAGTGCTGCTTGAAAGATGGTAAAAAATCCCATGCCCAGCATTATCAACCCGATACATGGAGCAACCCATGTGGAACCAGGTTCAGCTGTCCAGCCTATGAGGAACTGGCTTCCACAGAATAGAAACGAACCTAACATCATAGGCGGCAAACGCATCTCTGGAACAGCCTTGTTTCCTGCTGCAAAGTAGGCCTTATTATAGCGAAATTGGTTGTAGATGTTGATACCACAACCAAAAGCCGCCCCGATGATGATCGATAGAAACGGCAGAGCAGCTGGAATTGGATCCCAGCCCCGTACCTTTTGAAATATGATAGGAATCGCACCTAGTTGCATATATAGAATGCCGTAGCAGAAACTAGCATATAATGTCATAAGAAGACAAATCGGTGTGCAGAGAATCTGTATTGGGCGAACGAGAAACTTTCGTGCCAGTTGTCCAAAATTGATCTGCCACTCCTCAAACTGCGCATGAAGTGCCCAATTGCCGCTTTCGTGACGTAGATGTTGGGCTTTGTAGATGAGAAGCAGGGGTGGGTAACTCTCATCGATGAAAATAGCACCAATTAGAAGAATGACTGATTGAATGATACCCGTGAGATACTCGGTCCATCGCCAACCCAAAGAAGGTTGTTGTGCAACTATGGTAGATATAACCGGCCCTGGGATAATTAGCAGGTTATCTTATACAAGTCAAGTATGGCTCAAACTCACCAAGAGCAGGACCGCAAACAATTGCCATTGAATATCCAGCTAGAGCAACACCTCTCCAAGCTGGTGAGAATAAGTCACCCAAGACACCTCCAGTATTGGTCATAGGTGCCGAAGCAAAAAAAGCACCCCAAAATCGCGTCAACATTATCGTCTGCAAATCCTTCGCCGTCGCTGTGGCAAAGCTGAAGCAGATAGCAATAAACATGGGTGTAAGCACTGGTATCCTTCGGCCATACACCTCGCTTAACGGAGCCCAAAGCAAAGGTCCCAATCCAAAACCGAAGAGATATAGCGTCGTGCCTAGAGTGGCTACTTGTGTCGACACGTGGAATTCCTTGGCGATCTGTTCCGTGCCTGCTGAGTACGATGACGAAGCCCACGTTGCTGACATGGTGATCAAGCCGTACAGGAGTGTAGTAATGATCTTCTTATGCGTGGGCCAGTTTAATGGCCGATATGGGTCTCCAGCCCCATCAAAGTCAACAAGGTAATCCTCCGATGTAGGCATGCTGACCATTGGATGAGAGAATTCCGGGATCGGGCGTGATCGAATGCGCGAGATGATGGTTTCTATTCGTGATGGCGTAGGCGCCAGACTCATCATCGTGCCCGACTCTTCCTGGTGGCTGCTTCGGCATCTTGTCCTTGAAGCGTGAGATCTAATTTCACGCAAACACGGACGGTGGCCGTCGAGGATGTCCTCTGTCTTTTCGCTCTCAGACGTGGATGATTGGGAGAAACTTGCTCCATCTTCGAGTGCGGTGCTATCACGGGATGTTGTGGAGCGAAGAGACAACGCCGTCTCGAGGTCATCCCGGACAGCCATAGCTTTTTTGTGATGTAGAGATAGTGTGATTTATGGTGTTGAATGGAGGTTATTGAAGCATCGGGGTAATTTTAAGAACAGCATGTTAAACATATATATTATGATGCTTTGACTTGTGGTAGGAAACTAGTAATAGATATGACATCATTCCATGTTTGAACATTAGCTAGTTCCAACACTCATACGACAGTCGTTCGGAATGAGATAGCCGACCAACTGGCCTTGGCTGCATGGGATGCGTTTTTTTCTATCAACCACTCACAAAGTGATGGATTCTGTAAGCGATGTGGCTTGCTTGAACTGACTGAAGGGGTTGGGCAGGACCCACCGACATGGCATCCATATGGCTGACAGAACTATGACAAATTCACTTATCACATTACTCACCATCCTAATGCGCCGATTTGGCAGTTTTCTAGAATATACTGAGTACCTGCGAGGGAGCCCATTGGCTTTGAGACGGCCGGCTTTAGCACGGTATTGCGGTATCGGCATCCTGGGATCACTCACGGCACTGACACTCCGTCGTCTAGACGGCATGCATGCAATTGTCACTAAAACACGGACGATTCCCAGGAGCTTGTGGAGATCTACGTCATGCCTACGTCATTACATCACCAAGAGCGTATTCTAGAACGATGCAGTGAATGTCCTCGGAACAGCGGCGTAGTGGAGCGGCATTTCCGTATCGACCCACATTAGTAGCATCCTTTTAGTGAGGAGATGGAAGCAGCTTATGTGATCGTTTGGGACTTTGGGCCTCTATTGACCTTAATTAAAGGCTCGGAACCACAACTCAACTGGCTGATATCCAGAAGAAAACTTCAACTCCGTGAAACCTTGGCCCAGGCAACACACGAACTAATCCATCCGGCATAAAATGGCCGCATACATGAAAGCAATTGGTATGAAGCGGGAATCTCCACCTTAAACCTGACCTTGCTAATATACCTACCCCTAGATGTCCATGGCGGCAAAGGCGACAGTGATGCGTTGTTCATCAATCATGAAACCCCGAAGCCTCGGCCTGCTGAAGGCCAAGCACTTGTTCGTGTCAAGGCATTCGGGATCAACAGAATGGACATTATTCAACGCCAGGGCTGCTACCCATTGCCCCCGCAAGCACCCACGACCCTAGGGGTCGAATTCAGCGGCATAATCGAATCTTTCGGGTCCGGGGACCACGGAAACGTCGAGAAGGGTGATGAAGTCATCGGCCTTGCCTATGGTGGTGCATATGCCGAGTACATTGCCGTCAGTACACGGATGCTCCTCCATAAGCCCCCGTTCATGAACTGGGTTACAGGTGCGGGCATCCCAGAAACCTGGATTACCGCAACGCAAGCATTGCACCAAGTTCTCGACTTTGTCAAAGGGAAGTCGATCTTATGGCACGCAGGTGCTTCTGGCGTATCTATCGCTGGTATTCAGCTGTCCCGTCTGGCTGGCGCTGCCAAGGTCTTTGCTACAGCCGGATCAGAAGAGAAATGCGATTTAATTACAAAGGAGCTCGGAGCTACAGCTGCCTTCAACTATAAGACGCAGAACTGGATGGAAGAAATCATGCGTCACACGGAGAATAAGGGGGTCGACTATATTGTCGACTTTGTCGGCGGAGGGTACTTCCAGCAAAATATATCGGCCGCAGCACGGGACGGGCGGATCGTCATCCTTGGGACTCTGGGTGGCGATAAAGTCCCCGAGGCGGATATTTCGCAAATCTTATACAAACGGCTGCGCATTGAAGGGAGCACGCTTAGGAGCCGTGACGAAGAGTACCAAGGCAGACTACGGAACAAGTTGGAGGAGTATCTCCCCAGCTTTGAATCAGGGAGGCTCAAAATTTACATAGACAAGGTCTATCCGTGGGAAGAGATTCGGGAAGCCCACAAGCACGTCGAAGAGTCAAAAAACGTGGGCAAGGTTATCTGCACTGTTTATTAACCTTCATATATTTGCTTATTAAATTGGAAAAATTTGTATCAGCCATAGCATCAGGCGGAGGCACAGGATAATTCATCGTTGCACGTAAACAATTGCCTCTGGAGTATTAACGACCTGACTCGCACTGTGAAAATTCGAACGGCTACATATAGCCAATTTTTGCTCAACTAGATTAAATGACACGTTGCAGGGTACTCTTATTAACTTCCATCGTAGTTTCTCTCCTTATAAATATCCGAAGTTCCAGATTAAGATTTTCAGCGGAATCCCTACTTATCAACCTATTCATCTACCTCATTGTCCAGTTGTTATTTTGGTGGCAAAAGAGGTAATGAAGCAACCCGCAAATGGACTGCTGTTCCCCACAGTCGGATGCACGAGAACACATCTGATGGCGTCAAGCCAAGCCGACCGGAGGCTGAACCAACTGTTGCAATTGGGATCGTACAGACGCACTGACTTGACCAGCAAAGAGGGGAGCATTTGATTGGTTGCTTCAACGGGCTGGGGTAGAAAACAATAGTGGCAAGTCATCGATGCCAGCTGCGGCGGCCTGGAAATGACTGATGTGGAAGACTGGGGATAAACAAAATGGTGATAATAGATGGGAAATAACTGAGGGGGAAATGACTCCAAATTCAATCATGAGGCGAATTGTTTGGATTAGGTCCAGCGGGATACTCGGCTCGTCCGGAGACCAAGCGGTGGTAGGTTGATCTGGGTCAGTGTCGGTGGTAGTTAATTTACCAGTGGTACTATTAGGCTCGGTCGTTAGTTATCTCGGCAGCTGAACAGATTTATGTCAGACAGCAACAACTGATTTTGATACGTATTCATCTGTAGTAAATCCTCCTCCATTAATAATGACTAAAGAAGCAATACAGTAGTAACCAGGAACACCATTCGAACCAGCCACGCTGTACATGCTGTTGTCGTTAAAGCAGCTGCCGAATCGATCTCATTGCCCCAACAACTAAACGTATCATTTGGCAAAATGCCTTGGTAACGCATGTCATCAAATACATGGCAATCAAAATCCAATGTGTCGGATTCCGATGGATATATCCGAAATGACTCCAGGCTTTGTGCTGGCCCGCTTGAGTTGGTACCATTGGGATATTGCTCGATGAAGGATTTACTGTAAGAAAATAGTCAATAAGCTGTAGTAAAGTTCACTTTGGCGCGAGATTAAGTGAAGGAAAACTTACAAGAAGTCGGTGCCTGTTGTTATTTGATAAATAGATATCACCTCTATGTTCTGACGCGGCCAGAACCAAAACCTTTCTTCCCCACCTCCATCTTTATGTCGGTATTCAGAACTGAAATTCAGTTTCGGAGAACCGCTCAGACTTAGGGAAAAGTTTTCCCAGTCAAAAGCCTTGGAGGGAAGCGTTACGGTGCTGAGTTCCTCATTGTCAAAGAGTTCTAGTCTCGAAAGTTGAGTTGCGGTAATATTCAGATCTGTCAACCCAGTTTCGTCGATACGAAGTATCCCAATGGTAAGATTTGTGAGCGCTTTCCCGGGTTCAAGTTTAGTAATGTTGCCTGTAAGAGTAATTGTGCCCATATTCATCAAGGTGGTATTTGCAGCGCCAAGTGTGATCGATAGGTTGTCTCCATTAACGTTCAGGTAGTCCAGGTTTGACCATCCGAAGTTGATATGCCTGACGTTAGGGAGTGATTTGCTGTCGATCTCAAGCCACGAAAATCTGGTGTCATTTTCAAGTGGAACTGGTTCAATTGGATAACTGAAGAAGCTGTCAATTGACTCGACCGCTCCAGTCAGATGAACTGTACCAGGCCTTTCCTTGCCTGTGAATGATTTTAGGATCTCGTGCTGTATGCTCGCCAAGTTCGGCGTGGCACGGATCATGATGTCGCCAACGCGCGAGAGTTTCGTGATATCCAGTCGTTCTAACTGAACGGCGCTGTAGATGGACAATGATCCTTCGACGACAGAAAGTTTAGGGAACTGAAGTTCCTGCAACCCATGAAACCAACTCAACTCCAGATTTCCGCCGACGGCAGCGAGTGTAGAACTTGAAATGTTGAAGAGCGGCGGCAACGCGGGGCAATCATATGTACACCCGGTGTGTAAAATATCGCCTTGGATTTCCTCAATGCCACTGAGGTCTACCGTCTCTTTGAAGTCAGTGCTAAACTCGAGGGTTCCGGTGATTATTGTGCAGTCATTCCGGACTTCAGCGGCATCGGCAGCGTTGGAAATCGTCACATTATGGCATGACACAGCCTGTGCGACACCTGGTCAAATGATCAGTGGAGGACTTCACGCGAACTGGAGGTCATGTACTCACCGAAAAAGAAAGACAGGAGCCCAATAGTGGGGGCGACGCACAATATTCGCATCGTGAAAAAAACGAGGGTTGGACACCAAAGTTGGAATCTTTCTCCGCAGCAAGGGAGATTGAAATATGGAAATTGGGCCGCTCGCTTGCGGAAATTAGAGCCTGCACGATTGGGGCGTGATTCCGTCACAGGCTCTCGCCCCTGTAACTGAGGGTTGCATACAACCGACACCAGGATTGGCATTGGCAGCTTTTGTTGGGCGTATGATCTAACCGGACCACAGTGGAGATATGCCAAGCTTAAAGAGCGCGCGAATGTCTGCGGCCATTGGCTTAGGATCGAGCGTGGCAAAGCCAAGAGCACAGGAAGCTGGGGATTGGGATGGGAAAATGGTCATCTTTCCCAACTCGGTCCAATGGTGTGTTTGCCAAGCTCTCTGGTATTGTTATCCCCAGTGAGGTCATCCGGGAACCCGGCATCTCGCAGTAATACGAGCCTTGGCCATACTATTGGATATCGTTGGTCCCATCTTCTCTCCAGGTTTTAAGCATATTAGGGGATGCTCGGGGATTGCTGATTGCGTCGCCAGTTGCATGGTGCCGATTGAGACTACGCGCCTTGCTTCCTGCCTTCTGCGGGGGACTTTAGCAAATCCCTGTAATAGCCAAGCCGTCCTACGACCTTGAGAAATAATGACTCGTATTCTAACCAATAATGATCCTCGTCCTGTCAAGAAACTGACTCGATCCTAGCACGCATGGAACGTCTCCCAGACAAACCGCAAGGCATCTAGTCTCAGACTTCCAGAAGGGATATCTTCCCCACCTGGCTCCAATCAAAGGGGCTTGGAAGGCTGGAAACCCTTAGAGGCGATCTCTAGCCCTTTGTTACATAGGAATTGAAGAGCGTTTATGATTATCACCTCGATGCTGTCATGCGATAGTAACTCCTTTTATGAATGTAAAACAGAAGTCTATGGTTTGGTTGAAGTTTCAAGCGTGCTCAATAGCTTGTGTCGCCACGTAACGCCAGTATCTCTCTGCACTTGCCGCTCTGAGTTGTTTGCCTTTCCAGATCATCAGAAGGAAAGTGCATCCAATCGCACATGACAGGACAGATACTGCGATGAACGTGTTTTGTAGACCTTGGGCGTTGATCCACGGCGTGATTGCGTAGTTGAACGCAAAGGCCATTGTATTCCGACAGAGGATCATGGAGACGATGGTTTCCCCAGCCAGCTCGCGGAAGCAATCTACAGCATATGCGATAGCATAGCTACCACCAGCAACATTACAGTAGCCACACAAAATGGAACCAAAAAGTAAGATCGCCCAGTGTAAGTGGAATGCTGCCCCAAGGCCCCAAAGGAGGAGACCTGTGGGCATCAACAAGCAGAAAATGACCAGCCCCCAAAGGCGGTACTCGGGCTCTCTCAGGTTGTTGAAGCGACGGGCAAGCCTCAAGGCACTCCAATCAGCAATGGGACCAGACACGACGCCGGCTATAGCAGTACCGATCAGAGGTGCAACGTATGTCAAACCGACAGTGGAAGCGGGGAAGTTGTATGGCGGTGCCGAAAGAATTGATGATGTCGTGGCGTTGTATACATTGAACCTGGGGTGTTCAGTTACAGTAAAGACCAATGCAAGAGGTGGCTCACTTACCATGCTAGTGCAGAACCGTACATGAAGCTTGCCCAGGTGATGTTAGGGAAGCGGAACAGGATCAAAACAGGTCGATATGCGATCGTGAGAGCTTGTTGAAGCGAGAGTCCGCTGTAGGAAAATAGTCGGAGGTTCTTCCAGAACTGACGAGCTGTTGGTGCCCTCCGTCGCGTTTCGCTCTGTGCTTCGTTCGGCTCTGCTGATGTCTGGAACAACGTCCGAGGCATCTCTTCAAGGTCATCTGCCTCAATCAACTTGTGGGAATACATTGTCTCTTCGTAAAGACAGAGGACTAATAACAAATCCAGTGACAGGAGAATAGCAGAGCCATGCTGCACCCAACGCCAACCATAGGCATCGCTTAGAAACCCCGCTATCAAAGGGGCAAGGAAATTGCTGCCACAGAGAACAAGCATGTACCATGCGATATATGTCCCTCTCTCTTTGTCAGAGAATAGATCCGGGATACATATCTCGGGCAATACCAGCATGGGAGCAACCACGAAGCCGTACAAACACCGTGCAGCTACCCAGGAAGGGAACTCGCTGAGCCATGCTGTCCACTCGCTGGCCGCTATGGCGCCAATGAGACTGAAAATTATTGTTGGCCGTCGGCCAAACGTCAAGGCAAGCGGCTGCCAGATCAAATTTCCCCAGCCTGAGAGAAGGAACAGATAACCGGTTCCCGTGACAAGTTGACCGATGGTCATTCCAGTGTCCTGGGATATGGGATCGAGCACTGAGTAGATGGCGGTGCCGCCAATTCCGGTGGTAAAAACAAAGGACAGCATCAAACTGACATTAAGACGTTTTCGCCATCTCACCCAGTTCAAAGGGTCGTCTGGGTCGGTCGAGGGCTTGGAAATTGAGCTTGCGCCGCGCTGGGTCTCATTTAGATAAACCGTTCCTGGAGGGAGGGCCTGACTGGTTTGCGTGATCGCCATGATGTAAGAGGAAAATGGCCAGAGGAAAACGGACGCCAACTCATGGCAATCAATCTATCGCATTCATTTTAGCAGGCTATTGACCTTCTCTTATAGCTCGTGGCCGAAATCTGAAAAGCCCACGGGTCAGAATGTCAATCAGCGGTGCCGTGATCGCAGGTTCAACACGCTACTAGTTTCATTAGTAGGGTCCACCCACGAGGAAATAGCCGTATAATTTGATGAATGAGATGGTTGCCTGCCCTTTTAGGAAAGCGTTCAAATTCTTATCGAACGAAAGATAAGATATGCATCGCCTTCTCCATGGACAGTACGGAGCATCTTGATGCAACCAGCAGAAGTCCGATCTTTTATCTTCCTCCCTCGTTCAGTCAGGCTCACATGATCTCCCCTACTGCAAAATATTAGAACACTGAACTTAAATCTGAAGTTGTATTTTCATACAACTTTGAACATCCCAAGCCGCCTGGCGGTACAGCGTCAGGTTCTGTTGGGATGGTTTCCCAATTCGCCATACCCTCTGCAACGACACACCCTCCACACCGCAAATTAAAACATACATAAATAGCATCCATTTTAGTTCACAATTGATATCACAAAGCCTGAATGTGGCTCAACCCCGATCTCGGCGGAGCCTGCCCTATGCCTGGCTGGCTTGAGTTCCACCTTGCATCTCGATCTCACATCTGTCGACCCTAGATATGATTCGACATGCATTGGTAGGTTGCCCGAAAGGGAAGAATAACAAAAGCGAACGCGGCTTGCACGGACGCCAGCGCCAAACATTGCACTAGTACTCCGGGCCCAATATTTCCTGGCCGACGATAACGTCGCTCTATCTAGTTTGAACCAAGTTTAGCTGATTCAGGCATAAACCGTCGTCGGTAAAATCTCTACGAGCTGAACCCCATCTAGCACGCAAGACCGCTAGACGATATATCAATTCAAGGGGGAACATCTGCAAAATATACTTTTCCTCAACCCGCAATTAAGCAGCCGGTGAGGCCTGGTGCCTCGTAGCATACATAACAGAAGCCGATTTCATTAGTTTTCAGCAAGGAATTCAAAAATTCCCACGGGAGAAACTCCACCGTTCTTGTGTCTCGATTTTTCCAAGCACTAGGGTACTTATGTTAAGCTCAATCAACTTACGAGTAAATCATGCATCATTTACTTGGGGTTGTGGAAACCCGGAATTTCCAAACAACGCCCAGCTTGAAATTCACAGTGGAAAAACTCCAAGCAATGTAGACTAACGTGTTAAAAAATGCACCTCGAAAAATCCATTCCTTCAGTCTCCGCGGTTCGTCGGCATGCAGTACAATTAGCTCTGGTAGTTAGTTGCGCTTCTATATGCTTATATCGAGGTGAAAACCACAAATTTTCTGAGCTAGAGTTGTTGGAATAATAAATCTCCGGTTCTGACCTACTCTGTTGCATTTGTCAACTCCTGCGTGACCCCGCACGAGCATTGGTGCATTCCCAAACACATCTCAGCCACAGTCGGAATTATCTTTACACCACCAGCTCGAAACTCGGCCACGACATCAAAGCTTCAATGCCTATTACCTTACGTGATGCAACTCCACAGGATATTCCTGCCATCGCTACGATCTGCACCGCGGCATTTCATCCGACAACAGATGTAATAACTCGAACGCTATTCCCTCCACATTTGAAAGCGAGCGATGCCGGGGACGATGAAGCCGCGTATTCATGGCGGGCAGCTCGAAAGTCACACAGCATGGAGTCGAAGCGGAACATAATGATGGTTGCTGTGGATGGTGACTTGAATGGAGAAATTGTGGGATTTGCGCTTTGGGAATCCCCAGTCAATCCCGAAGATCCGCTTCAAACAGCACCCGCGTACCCAGAACCTCCTACTGCTTTGGATCAGGCAGCGTATGCAGAGCTGCGCTCAGTTGCGTCTGCCGACGCAAAAGAAACATTTGGAGAACGAGAAACGAGAGATGCCTGGCGTTAGTCCCCCAGGCATATCTTGCCAGAGAAGGCATTGCTAACAGACCTAGATCTTGACTATATTGGCATCGATCCAAAACACCAACGAAGAGGTATTGGCAAAATGCTGGTCGATTGGGGTGTAAAGCGTGCGGCAAGTGAAGGTAGGGATTGCTATCTGATCGCAACCCCTGCTGGCCGTCCGTTGTACTTGGCATTTCAGTTTGAAGACATCAGAACAGTCGATATCTTTGGTGTTCCACACTATTCAATGATTCTTAGACAAGCTTAAAAGAGTATCTAAATACTACACTTGAGATAATGTGCCAATGAGGAGCAGGTGATCATGAGCATTACGCACAGTATATAGCTCAATGCTCCCACTCAGATAAGGGGTGATTGTATCGTGCATATGAAAAGGGAAAACAGAAATCAGTAAATCTATTACAACTAGTTTGCCTAGATTTTGACTTGAGGCTTTACGGAGCATGGAGGTGGGTTTCTGGATAACGTTTAAATATTCATCGATTTATTAACATACTTCTATTTCTTTTTACTTCTAAGTAGATAATAAACACCTCACAATCTGAAATATCAGAGAAGCGACCTAAGAATAACAGTCGGTCCGCGCATTGTCGAAGTTATGAAAAGATATGTTAAGATAAGCTGGACTATGTTCTAGCCTTGCTTGGCCATCCATAGTGCGAATGGAATTTGCATCTTATTTCGCTACCACCTGCACTGCACCCCGGATGTGGTGTGCATCTTCACCTTCTCCTCACATTACAGGCAGGCATATAAATACCCTTCAAGAATATAGCGAGAAAAGCGCACGTCAAGGTCACAAATTGTTTAAAAAAAATTCACCCCAAAGCGGTGGGTTGGGTTCTATTCCTTTAGCATCGGGCCTAATTCCACTCATTCTGTTCTATGACTCCTAGTTGTTTGTGCTAGGCCGTCCAGACTGTGCCTTGCCTTCAGTTGGTTTCCCTGCCATAGGGTCAAGAGGCTCGGTACCGGTAGTTGAACCATCACCATTCACATGCAGAGAGTCGATCTTCTTCTTCGGCGGTGCACTCTTCGACCAGAACATGTCTCCGAAGGTACCTAATACGGAGTTAGACGGTTAGGAAACAATTTTAGTTCACCCACCATTATTTGTGATGATCTCGATGTAGCCTGTGACCTCTTTGCCATGCTCCGGGGAAGTGGAAGACGGAGGGCATGCCTGTCGGCGAGCCGACTCGATCATGGACGGATCCCTGGTTGGTTGCGACATTTCGGATCAGGTTGGAGATATGCTGAACTGCTTGGCTTTCTTCTGATGCTGATGAGAATTAATGTCTACAATATCTGCGGCATGGACCTGGAGCAGACATCATTTAAGAAGAGATAAAATATGATCGTCGCCATACAGACCCATAGCTTCAATCAAACCTCAAGTCCACAATCCTGAATTCGTCTAAACAATGGCCTCACAAACAAATCACCAATACGGGCGCGTGAGTGCTAGCCACGAAAGACTAGGCGGGAATGGCCTCACCGGAGACACATGTTTTGTGAATGCAAGATTCGGAGTCATTTCCTTTGCGGCCTAGATTGACTTACTGGGGTTACGTTGTCTGTCATGTAAGTGGAGGACATGCGCCTGACATCAACCAGTCCCTTGTTGAGAAATCACAATGGCCTCAATTCCAAACTGCAATCGCCTTGTGATTGGCCCCATTATGTTACGTCCTGGTCGGGATATTTGAAACAACCCCAAGTGTTCGAATGCAGGCTGTCACATCATGGAGACGAACCAAGATCCCGCCCGAGTGTGGAGGAATTGCGGACCGTGTTCGAATGGCCTCAACTCAGAGACCGACGAGTTGCACTTTTTGCCAAACGCCCAATTTTGAGAACCTGGGTACAGTACCCTTAATCACATCAACTAATTATGGCGCTTCGCACTCGTGGAAATCCCTTTCGCTGTAAGGGTCATGCAACATCTTTCGTCTTATTTCACAGGATTGACATGCAGTTATTTTCAAGGCCCCGAGTAGGCCGATTTTGGGAGCTTTAGCCGGCACTGAGTACAGCAAGCTTTCCTCCCAGGTTTTTCATATGAGTGCGGCCTCTTAGGTGTCACATTAAATCCATGATTGGTTGGCGATGGTAATGGCCTCAAACAACACGGAGTGTGACAAGGCCCACTTTGCTGACCGTCGGCTGAACAAACGGTGTACGAATCAAACAAGTACCTACTGAAACCGCAGCCGAGGCAGAATTATTGGCCAAGTGGCTCTTGGATTGATGCGAGTGAGCCCTGGCTGGTGGCGTCGCCGCAGCTGGGATCATCTTGACTTCATTGGCTCATGTGGCCTGAAGCTGAGGGAACTATAAGACATGCATGAGGGCAGTGCGGGGCTGTAATGGCCTCAAAATGTCACCATCTTTCCACAGAGCGTCGCGAGCCTCGTCCGCGGCAGGCGCCTGGCTCAGGATGGGAGCGCCAACTTCCACCTTGACGTGACAGAGACTCTACGTAGTCTACCATACACCTCATTCAAACTATTCTGTAACGCCTCCTTTTCTCTACACTGCTCCACCACAATGCGGCTGACATATTTCCCGACGGTGGCCTTTGTGGACATTCGCCCTTCTCGCGTACTGCAGCCTGACGGATCTCCTTCTCCACGCAGCGATTATGAGCTCCTCTATCTGCCAACCGCTAGAGAAAGCAGTTTCCGTCCATCCTTTAAGACCATTGAGGCACTATGCATTGAGCGTTGTGCATATTGTAGGCGGCATGATTGTATTCTATCTTCTTGGACACATGATCCACTGGAGCGTCTCGCCTACCTATACTACAGGCGACGAAACATCAAGATCAAGGTCAGCACAACAGGCGAGAAAAAGACTAGCGACAACGACCCGTCCTATGATTGTGCAAGGGGTCTGGTTCAAGAGAAGCCCCCCCAGTTCGTGATTGGAACGCAAGGCCTGAAGATTCTGGACGCGTTACAGTGAATGGCTTGGAGCTGGAGGTGGCAGATGTCACTGAACTGGGGGACAAACCAGTCCTACAGTCTGACTTGTATGAGGCCCGTGGAAAGGACGGGCTCGCAGCCTGGAAGTCAGGGCCGGGCCGGAGCAAAGAATGGAGGAGGAGCCCTTCCACGAAGAGGAAAACACGGCGGCAGCGTTTCCGTGATAAGGAATACCAGCGCGATCAAAGAAAAGGCGGTAGGCAACCGGCAGACTCTCACCAAGTTGCTCGGCAGGAGCCGGTTATGATGCTCAAGAGTCAGTCCAATTGTGAGCGAGGTACGCATGCCAAGCGTTCAAAGAGAGGGTTCTCTCCTCGGCAGAAGCACTTCGAATCGCAGGAGGATGGTGTCGGACTTTTTCTCGATATCCAAGAGTAAGTTCGTCCGCAATGTTTCCCACCCTTATACTATGGTCTAAACAACTAATGCCCATCTGGGAAAAGTGGCGGATTCAATCTTACGGTGGACAACAGCGACACAGACTCCATAACGAGCGATCAACTCGAAGAGTTTGAGGCATACTACGATATTGGTGCGTACTACGACAGAGATGAGGAATTGGGTGATGCAAAGGATTATGCGCCCCTCTTATTCCCGACCGAGTCGCAGGCAATGCAGAAGACCTGTAGGGAACTACCCCAAGCATCCCATGCAGCTCCTATCGCGCAGCACATTCCAAAGAAGACGACTGAGAGAATGCCCCAGTTTTCAACATTCAAGCTGGAACACCCATTCAACGTGTCTTGCTATGCCTTTCGTTATGATATCGTCTGGGTTGACATTTATTATCAGTCACTGAGCCCCCGTAAAGCGTTGGCGAAAAACAACGGTTCTGGAGCGCCAACGCCTCAGACCGAGCCCGGTCATCACCAAACCTCCAAGCGCAAGGACGGCAGGAAACCGCATCGGGGCATCCATGGGCTGAATATCCCCAACTTCTTGTCTATTGATGCTGCCGAAGTCTTCCTTACTCGACGATGGGACGCACTCTCCTCCCAGATATTGCACATAAAGTATATCATCAGGAACGGCTCCGAAAACGTTACTAGGTTGCTCCGGGTGTTAAAGAAGAAGGGGAATCAATTATACTCATTGTCGTTAAAGTATGAGCAGGCAATATTCAGACAACGCCACGTCGAAGCTCTTTATGTCAGAATGATACTTGAGCTTCTCAAGCGTGATGAATGGGTGGATGAGTGGATGAATGAGTGGAGTGAGGAGATTCTGGACTCGTTCTGGATGATGCGAAAAGGGCTGTCGATGAGAAAGGGAAAGGAATTGGGAAAGTCTACAAAGCCCATCACGAAGCTGTGTGATTGCAGAAGCATCACTACTTTCCAGGATTTAGGTGCATGGTACGACTGGCAATGTAAGGCCGTGGTTAGAGATATGAATAGGCGTTAGAAGAACAGAAGGGTGCTGGGTATCGCTTTTAGGTCACTTTTCAACACGAAATTTTAAGAGCAATAAGTTTAGGAGATAATGTCCTATTTACTATCAGAAAAAGGATAGATTGGATAAGACAGCTTTAGTGACGATGTAATTGCTTGATTTCTCTACCTATTGAAGGGATAGGATCGGTCTTATAGACGATGATGAGGTCGGCCTTCGGCGGCCTCTGGGCCCGAGGTCCGGAGGTCTGAGACCGGAAGACTGGCCTGCGGGGGCTCTGAGACTTGGTCCAGACCGGGTTCCTAGCAGCCGGCCTAGAAGCCGTTCCAGATATCGTAAGATCGTCATTGTAGTAACAGACTAGATCTCAACGGTCCCTATCAGGCTGTCTGACATTTACAATAAGCCAAATCGTCACTGCGCCGTGACAGAGTGAAATCCGCTTTTGCCGTAGTCGACAATGTGATAAAATAAATTCCAGAGTTTCATTACACTAATTTAAACGCTCTTCCCACAATATACCCAAAACGTTGTTACCCAACAGAACGGCCTTGATATGTTAAAAATCAAGGGTGTGAAATAGCAAAACCTCCAACAAAATGTGTAAGCAGAACAAAGAAGACGACATCAGACCCTTCAACAACATCCTCCGGAAGCTAGAAGTCTGACCCACCCCCTTTCCCCTCTTGACCATCATAGTCTATTGTTGCAACATTTGCTTCGACAGTTATTTCCACGCCGCCCCGTCACGCTTGGCCAATATACAAAAACGTAGCTCAAGAAGCATGTCTATGCGCGTCGAGCTCTCGACAGCGTCGAGGAACGAGGCGCGGTGGGAACGTCAAGAGACCTTACTTAACGCCTTGTCTGACTTGGCCCGTACATTCAACATGCATGTTGCCTACTAGAGGCATGCTGGAGCGCAAGGGACAAGTCTCAAGGATCAGTCAAACTATTCATCCATCATCCATCATCATCATCGTCGTCGTCGTCGTCCTAAATAACTAAGGACGACGTGGTGGTGCGCCCCGTCGCGGCTTGCACACTGGGCTGTCCAGGTGTGCCAACCATGCGTCCTTGTCATCCCCCGTGTGACCGCGGTCGCATCGGAACGAGCACACGATGGCGCGGTCGCATTTCTTGACATGCCGCTTGTAGTTGTCGCGGCGCTTGAGGACTATTCCACAGGCGCTTTGCAGCGAATTTCCCGGCAAAAACGTATTGTACAGCGTGGGCCGGTGTTGACGGCTGTTGTGGTGTCGCTCAAGCTCTCGCCGTGAAGGGAAGGCTCTGTCGCTGCAGCCAAGCTCGCAGCGGAACTGCCGCATGGAAGCTATTCCCGTGCTCGAAACTTGAAGGGCGGGCACCGTGGCGAGCACTAATCTCTCGCTGTCAACAGGGGGAGATTCCCAAGTCTCCTCTCGAGACTTGGAACTCGGGACCGACGGTGGAGCGGACGGTGAAGTCGATCCCGGAGTCGTTACTGGGGCCGGGGTTGAATCACGGGTGGAGTCGGGGGCGACGGGCGATAAGGATGACGATGGTGATGATGACGAAGAAGAATAGTCCGCCTGTCGGAAATCCAACTCTGGAATCACTTGGAGGTGGCGGGGATCAACAGTTGGCAGAAACTGCTGATGGGCGCCGTGCTGCGAAGTGAGGTCGGGCAGCAACGACTCGTTGTCTGATTCCTGGAAGAATTGGCTTTCCGTGTCGTTGGTAAAAGCAGTACAAATGACGCAGAAGAGCCGGGTGCCGCCGGTTCTTTGCGCAATAGCTTCCACAAAAGCTAATTGATGATCATCATTGTTGCAGAAAATGGGAGGAGGACAGGGAAGACCCTGTCCTTGGCCGTTGTATCAACGTTGGTTGGAGGCGGCTCAAAGCCCAGAGAGCTGGCCCAAGAGGTCTCAGGGACCATAGGGGTGCTGAGAAGAAAGAAGAAAGAAGAAGGAGAAACGCTCGATACGGCTACGGCCGCTGATTTTGTAAGCCCGCGTTTGGAAAGATTGGTGCGCCCCTCCATACGCTGAAAGTGTGAGGCCATTGTCTCAGCGCCCCATAACTACGCCACAAGGCGTTTTTGCCGCAGTGAGGCAAACCGTGAGGCCATTACATGGCAGGGGTCGCTGATTGGTTGGGTAGAACAGCAGCGGATCGGGATTGGTGTCAGTATGCTATTCGTTGACAGTATAGTGGCTGGAGAAAAGCAAAGAGTTCCTGATGTTTTGGCGTTCAGGGCGTCACCTTCCCGTCTTTGGAGTCGTTCGGGTATAGGTCTGTGGGTAACTCTCTAAGGCCGTACCGCACCCATGCGTCGAGGACTCGAGGGTCCCAGGACTGATAGAGCTTGCTCTTTTTGAACATATTTTGGGCATCTTCCAGCGATGGCCAAACGTCTCGCCGTTTTGTGGAGAGTGTGGCTGGTGGAATACTGCGATATGGATTGGAATGATCGGGTCGCGTCAATACAAAACAGTGTAACAATCGGGATGAATTAATGATAGATCTGCCCTAAATTCTGCGATGAGTCAATATCCAACGTTGGAGTATCTTGAAACAACAGACAGTTGAGTGCCTCCCATACTATGGCCTATGCCAACAATTGGGTGGTCATGCCATTGAGGTTCATACAATTCCTTGACATGGTGTGAGCTCGTGAACCTGATATGAAGATGAAATGTGCTAGTTCATTCAAATGACGCACCTTTGGGGAAGCCACTCGCATGTGCACTTATGACGGTCACGTCCCCCGGCCGAGATTCACCATTGTTCTGTGGTATTTACTGCTTGACTGCGAGCATCACCTGGTCATATCTCCGTCAGCAGTTGCTCCAACTTACTCGCGCGTGTGCGAACAGTTCACACCGTGCTGCACAATTCGGAACTGAGAAGCCATTCTCGTCAGGGTGTTGATTCTCTTGGGTAGCAAATCCAATAACGGCCGTGTACGACTCCTAAAGACTCGCACGCTTATCGCCTTGTAGGAGCGGCGAAGTAAGCAAAGCTGACGATTGCATATTAGAACGGTACGACGCATTTTGGTTGGTTGAACCAGTATGAGCAATAGTGCTTGAACTTCGACGAAGCCTATGCACGCATGGAAAATGCTTCGCCCCCAGTGTCCTCTTGGTATGGGGCGTTTTGCGATGACGCCCTGCGACCTGTTTCGCGCCCTGCAAGCCATCGTACGCCTTGCACCGGCAATCGACATCTTCACACGCTATATGAGATGTTGCCGAGGTAGACAAACGAGCTAGGCCACTATAAACCATTAGTTGGATACAAACCCCAGATTGGTACTGCAACGCTTTGCAAATGTAGCTTTGGTCTGCTGGTGGCTTGCATTGCAACGGAGCCTATTAATGGATCCTTCTTAACATCGCTCCCAAGTACGCTCCCTAGCTCCTTTGTCCTTCTCTCTGCGTTCCTTATACAGTAGCAATTCTTTTATCGCTGATCAACCTAGTGTGCACCCTTTGCAGTCTCTTATGGACATGCACAGTGAAGCTCGACGTCGACGATTGGGTTGCTATCGTGATGATCCGACTATCCTCCTGTGTGACCTCTGAATCCAGTCGCGAGCACCTGCTCGCTGCATGGTCCTCGATATACTGTGATGATAACTTGCCATATGTTCTAGTATTTTATTTTGAATACTCGTAATTATTGTATGATTTGTGGGAATACTAAATGAGTAAATAGTTCCGGGCCCGGGGTTGAGCAAGGCCGACGGCCACGGGTTGTAGGGTAGGCACTGTCCGGAATAGCGGGTATCCTCACTGTAGCAGATGCTTGCATAAGGGAGCGGCATTACTAGAAATCAGTTTGAAACCACATGTATGGGTGACAATTTGCCGGGAGCTTTCCCTCTACGTCATTATACGAGTTTCCCGTCATGGACTGCTTCTAATTCTTGCTCAAATTTGCTCAACCATCGACCGGCTCGGCTGGAAATCGGTGGGGCTGATCGCGGATGAGCGGGACACATTAATATGGGACGGCCGCCGCATGGTCCGTCTGTATGATACGGTGGGTTAATCGGAGTTCGCCGGCAAGATAATGAAAGAAGTGTACAGGTCTATCCTGAAAGAATTGCGCTAGACTCTCCAAAATTCGAGTTGTGATTCAAGTTCAGATTCAAACGACTACTAAAGTACATAGGATTTCACTGTACATCGACTCTCAGTTACCATCCCACTCCCTTCTGCTTCATCGGAACATGGAGTAGCCGATGACCTGCCTCATTCGCCTTGGGTAAATGCCCTGCGCGGATGTTCACCTGCAAGGACTGATGGATCAGCCTTGGCTCTCCCAACGTGGCGTCACGCTTCTTTCGTAGGGCCACAAACTCCTCCTCGGTGATGCCGTCTCGTAGATGCTTGTTCTGAGCCTTGTGGTCCTTCACGCTCATCCAAGGTGCAGGCGCGCCGCGCTCCTCTGGGGGGTAGTCGTGGCCCGTCCAGATTTTGACATGATCTGGCAGGCTCAACAACCTGCGCCCAGAGTTGAAAAGACTGCTTGCACTGCCGCCCGGGAAATCGCAACGAGCGGTGCCAAGGTCTGCGTGGAAGAGAGAATCACCACAGAATACATTGTCTAAGAAGCCATGTTAGTCGCTATCGCACAAAAATGGGCTGCTGCGGGTGTCTTACCTCCAATCTTGTAGCCCATATGGTCGGGAGTGTGGCCAGGAAGGTGCATAGCCGTCGCACTCAGCTTACCAATGCTGAACACCTCATCGTCGTCAAAGAGCTTATCAAAAACGCGTCCGTACTCGTCTGCCGGAACTCCGTATTTTCCCCCAAACAATTCTTGGACCTGCTGGATGCGCTTCCCAATACCGACACAAGGCTTGTATCCTTGCTCCTTTGCAAGCTGCTTCTGGAGATATGATACTGCCGTCAGGTGGTCTGCATGAGCGTGTGTTTCGAGAATCCAGTCCACCTTGTAGCCCTTTTCCTTGACCAGGGCCAGGAGCGCATCGGCGGTGTGAGTGGCCACGACCAACGTGGCCGGATCATAATCCAACACCGGGTCAATGATGACTGCGGTCGACGTAGATGGATCAGCAACCACGTACTGCCAAGTGCTCGTCTTAGTCTCGAAGACGTCGTGCACAGTGGGTTCCCCCGCCAACGGTGCGTCGGTGCTGTATGAAGCTCGACTTTGGGCCGCACGATGCGAGCTTGTGGTAGCGAGCGGATGCACGCTGCTTGCTACACATCCCGGTGCTCTCCTTGGAGATGGTCGATAAATTGCCGTATTGACAGAAGAACCATTTGGTGACACGCTCTGGGTAGTGTACGCGGCCTTGTTCTCAGGGTGGCGAACGCCACAGAGGTGCCTCCTCGACTCATTGAGCAGCGGGGCTCGCGCTGCGGGAAGCGCCCAGCGTAGACCCCGCGTCAGCGAGCTACCGCCGATGTGAGGGCGAATGGACTTCATGGCGAATTGAGATGACGATGATGATGATGATCAACGAGGAACGAACGAAGGGAGGAGAGGTCAGTATGAAACTTAAAAATAGAGCTGATAGCGCCAAAAGTTCCAGCTGAAGAGTGGCTCCACAATGCCTTGATCGTCCACCCGTTCCGTCCCGCGCTTTCGGGGACCTGACCGCTGAGGATCGGGGACCTGGGGGACTCGTCGGCGACGACGCGCCCGACTACCTACCGAGTTCCGGAGCGTCAGACTCTTGTGATACAGCAGCACGGACATGGTGATAAAGGCAAATACGCATCTCGCTCTCCTGAACCTGGCTGCGCGCCTCGTAAAGGCAATCTATGCTTAACGGCAATCGGCCACGATCCGACCCGGCCGGCCCCACCGTGTTATGCTGCCGTCCGCAATTTCGCGAGGCCAGACACAATGTTGCACTGGCTGTTCCATCTCACTCTCCAGGTCCTTTTTTTTATTTTCCCTTCTTTTCGAACTCCTTTCTCTTCTTCCTTCATCATTGTCTCTCACATCACATCTCCTCCTTGCCAATCATGTTCTCCAGCCGCGTCACGTTGGCAGCTCGTTCAGCGGGCCGCTTGGCCATGACAGCTCAGACAGCTCCAGCCTTCCGGACCTTTGCTACGGTATCCCCGGTGACTGCCGCTGCTAAGAGTCACAAGGTTGTGGTGGTCGGCGGCGGGACAGCCGGTCTCGCCATCAGTCATCAGCTTCTTCGATCCGGCAGATTCGCTCAAGATGACATTGCCGTCATCGACCCCGCCGCGTGGCATCACTATCAGCCCGGGTGGACCCTGGTCGCCGCCGGTCTCAAAAACAAGGAGGACTTGCGACAGCCTATGAAGAGCTTGATTGACCCCAAGCTCAAGTTCTACAGCGAAAGCGTTGGTGCCTTCGCCCCAGACGACAACCTTGTCACACTAGGCAACGGCGACAAGGTCAGCTACGACCAGCTCGTGGTTGTCCCTGGCATCAACGTTGACTTCGGAAGCATCACTGGTCTGCCTGAGGCCCTCGCCAACCCAGACTCCCATGTGTGTTCTATTTATGGCTATGAAACATGCGACAAGGTCTTCCGCAGCGTCAAAAGCTTCCACAAAGGCACCGCTCTTTTCACCCAACCAACTGGCCTCGTCAAATGCGCCGGTGCCCCGCAAAAGACGATGTGGCTCGCGTTGGATTACTGGAAGCGAGCCGGCTTGTATGATACCACCTCAAAATCTCCCATCAACATTAGCTTCGCTACCGGCATACCACAAATGTTTGGTGTCAAAAAATACAGCGCAACGCTCGAGGATCTACGCAAGAAGAGAGGTGTGGAGGGTCTTTTCCAGCACGATCTCATCTCTATTGATGGAAATACCGCCACTTTTGCCCGTGTTGACGGAAAAGAGCAAGTCAAGAAGCAATTTGACTTCTTGCATGTTGTGCCGAAGATGGGCCCCCATGCATTCGTCAAGAACAGCGCTCTAGCAAACGAAGCTGGCTTGGTCGACGTGGACGCCTTCACGACTCGCCACAGCAAATACCATAATGTCTGGTCTGTTGGCGATGCTTCCTCCTTGCCTACGTCCAAGACAATGGCAGCTATTACCTCCCAGGCACCGGTGTTAGTTCGCAACCTACTACGATCTGTTGATGGAAAGGAGCTGGACCCTGCATATGACGGTTACACTTCTTGCCCTCTCGTGACCGAGTATGGAAAGGTCCTGCTTGCCGAATTCAAGTACGATGGAGTGCCTAAGGAGACGTTCAGCGGCCTGCTAGGCATCAACCAGGGAGTTCCACGCCGCTCGTTCTACTATCTGAAGAAGGACTTCTTTCCATGGATTTATAAATTCATGCTCAAGGGCGTTTGGGCTGGGCCTAACATCTGGGTGAAAGCTTAATCTCGTGTATACTACCCTGAGTCACAAGGAAATGGAATAAATGGGGTGTTTCTAAGGGTGAGGAAAGAAAGGAAATGGGGCCGCTCACTTCGCTTTTGGGTGAGTGTCGAAACTAAGATTCCAGGATATCGCCGGTGTGCATGTAACAAAAAGTTGTTCAATTGACAATGTTATTCTAAATCAAGTGTAAATGATCAAATGAAGTCAGTCTCATGAATAGCTCAAGGTGAATTTCAAGGTTGTGGTCAATCGCAGAAATGAATGTTGGCAAGCTTCCACGTGCGGGGCGGATGACAACAAGACGGGCGCTCGAAATATCAGCACGCATAGCATGACTTGGCCGCTTGGCTTGGGGGCACCTGGGTTTTTTTTTTAAGAGTAGGCATTGATGAGGGCTCGCTAAATAAACCAATTTCCCTAATTTCGTGGTCTGCTGTCGCTTGATTCCTGTTTGCGTCAGGTGAAATGCCATGGCCGCGTGGAAGGCGGCACTAGGACGGACAAGCGCAGATTCCAGATTCACAACCTCCTATCTGGCTGCAATCCAGGTCCCCGAGAATGCGGTCAGACCATGTTTTTCTCGTCTGCTGACCTGACTTCATCGGCGATTTACGGGTGAGAAAACCTAATTTAGTTGAGCAAGAATAATTCCGGTGGACCGGACCGGAAGGCGTCGAGAAAGGCGGGGCCCCGACGGCCGGAAAAGCGGGGCCGACGGAACCGCGGAGCTCCAAAGCGTGAGACGGTAACCACCAACAGAGCCCCGAGATCCGGCCTCCAAGACACCCCACCTACACGGACATGCCCGGTCCAGTATACAAATACAATCAGAATAAGAACAAAAGTTCCCCAAAGTTGTCCTATAATTATCATATACGCTTTGCCGATGTTGCCCATTTGAACTCTTACCTGAATCCTTCGAGAAGGTATCACCTCGTATCAAACGCCCTAGCAAGGGTATCGTTCTATTTCCTATTATTATCCAACTCCACGGTAATGCAACGTACTCCATTCCTTCGGCACGAATCGTTTTAGACAACGCATCGTGTCGCCCACTGCCATCATGACGGACACTTCGACCAAGGTGCTGCTCATGCCGGTCCCTCAGGTGCAGAACCGCGAGCGGAGGGAGGATAGCAAGGTTCGATATCCATTTTGGTTCGGTGGCAGCTCCAGCAGCCTGGCCGCCTGTGTCACACACCCGTTAGATCTCAGTATGTCACAGTAGCTATATGGAGTTGCGATGTCATGTATGCTAACATCTTCAGTCAAGGTATGCCGCAACAAGGATCCGTTCGCCCGTTGTTGCATGCACTGATAGCTAATGCAGGTCCGACTACAAACACGTACCGCCGGAACCCCGAGAGGCATGATTGTTACCGTCACAAACATCTTCAAGACCGACGGCATTCTTGGCTTCTATCATGGAATATCCGCCTCCCTCCTTCGACAAATGACATACTCGACGATCCGATTCGGCATCTACGAAGAGATGAAACAACGCGCGGGACCGAGCCCAAGCTTTCCACTGCTAGTGGCGATGGCCGCGTCTTCAGGCTTCGTCGGGGGCATGTCAGGAAACTATGCTGACGTACTCAACATACGCATGCAGCAGGACGCGGCCCTCCCAAGCCACCAGCGCCGGAACTATAAGCACGCGATAGACGGGTGGATACGGATGACCAGAGAGGAAGGAATACGCAGTTGGTTCAGAGGGTGGCTACCGAATTGCAGTCGTGCCGCAGCCACCACGGTGGGCCAGCTCGCGAGTTACGACGTCGCAAAGCGACTGATAATGGAGTACACCCCCATGGGAGATACGCTGCCGACGCAATTATTGTCGTCGCTGCTGGCTGGCTTGACTGCTGCCACAGTAACGAGTCCGATTGATGTTATCAAGACCAGAGTGATGCTATCGACAGAGAAACGAAGTATTCTGGGATTGATTAAGAATATTTCTCGGACCGAAGGCGCCGGATGGATGTTCAAGGGTTGGGTTCCCAGTTTTCTTAGACTTGGTCCGTATACGATATGTACTTTTTTGTTCTTAGAGATGCACCGCAAGGTGTATAGAAAGTTTCAGGAGTAAGGACAGATATGTATGCGGTGGCGGATATGTGTTATGCATAGGAAAGGGGATCATTATTAGGCTTGGCGCTGCGGGTGTACATTCTCCACACTACGGAACTCATGGGATCACTTTTATTAGTTGATGCTGGCAAGAGAGCGCTGACACAAAAACACTCCATTGATATACAGCAACCAGTACTATTCTAAACAATGCATCAACATCTCAGCTTCGATTTCCAACCTCCTAGTTGCCATGTCCTCCAGATTGGTACATAGAGTCTAGACTAAGAGATCTGTCGGGATAATCTTGCCTGGGGTTCCAGCAACCCGAACACGGACGACATTATGACTTTCCTTAAGAACCGGCTCAATCTTAAAGGGCCCTGGTTGCTTCAGATCTTCCAACTTGTCAGCGATCTTTGCTAGGAAGAAAGGTGGCTTACCATCCATATCAAGAGGTCCAGGAAGTTCGTCCGTGTAGGGATGTGCACCGGAATTCCCTCCATTATCCCCTTCATAGTCTTCCGGAAGGTTTGAGAGCACCGTGGCAAGTTTACCGGTGTATAACATGTAGACTCCTCCAACGGCGTAGCCGCCAGCATCCAATTGGACAACTGCATGGTAGCTGGTGACATAGTTCTCTGCAAGTGGATTGATAGCGTCGGAGGCTTCCCAATCGCGGAACTTTACCCAACTTTCGCCTGCACAGTATCCCACGTGGCCAATCGAGAGGAAATAGAACGGACCGTACAGTAAAAGCTCGTCGGTAGTAGTGGTTCGAGTTCGAGTTCGGCTAACCGAGTCTCCTCCAGAGTGACGGTTCACTTGACCCGGGCTTCGCGCTCTGAGATCGATTTCACTGCTGTCGATAGCCATTACCCAATTGCTGAGTAGAGATGGAATGTCTGGCTGACTTGGAGATTCCTGTAAATCGAGACAATGGCATCGTCCAACTTCGATACTGTATCCGCACAAGGTTCCGCCGAAGTCACACTCTCCTATGCGAATATTGTTCATTAGGCGCATCCCCGCGGTAAGCTGAGCTTTTCTCAGCCCCTCGGGATCCGCGCACCGTAAGGTGAGAATAAAATAGATGATTTCTTCAACTCCTGGAAAGGCGCTGTAGGCATCAAGGCTCCACTTCTGGGAGAATTCACACCATTTCTGGTATGCATTTGTGTGCACAGTCTCATTGAATAAATACTCGATCTCTTCCTTCATGAGAAGATCACGAGAATCACTATCCTTTATTTTCTCTCGAAAATCATCGTAGCCGGCATACTGGAACCATTGGAGGAAGTCGTCTTCCAGGTCAGTCATCTCACGGCGAGCCTTCACGACTTCAGGTACACGATGCATAGTTTTGAATGTGCGCACTAGCGTTGCAAATTGATCGAGTGGGTCGAACTGGGTGTGTATGAAAGATGAATAATCTTGGAGGAGTCTTAAGGAAACATTGATGAAAAGTGTGCGACGCCGTTCGCTTTATAGTTTACCAACGGTTGAAAAGCTCGCAAAAGACTGCCTCTGTTTGACCAATTGTTTCCATGAGATAATTGAATACTGCTCATCTATTCCAAATGTTCAGAAGATCAGACAATCTGTCTGCGACGTTCTGTCGTCAGCGACTGATGAGAGCGACCGCAGGGTGACCCAAAAGCGACCCAAAAATACCGATTCCACCTTTGTTTGCACACACAAGACTTGTTCGGGTTAAGCGAGGAGAACAAACCAATTCAAGGCCAGATGAGACATTCCCAAATAACCCCACATGGTGATTATGCTGGGTTCATAAATCACTTGTTCAACCTTTGGTGTCTCGTGAATACTGAGCAAGATACAATAGTAACTTTAAATTCATCACATGTCTTTGTTGTGGCTGTTCCCACGCACGGATATCTTTGTACTCATGAGCCACGGAGAAATGCCACAGACGCCGGTCGAATGGAACCATAAACAGTCCTCAAAGATCCATTCATTTCCATACGATCACATTCGCCAATCATCTCTAAACAGGAATATTTGAGAATATCAAACTTTTCTGTGCTTTCATTGTTCTACTTAAAATATTGTCCTTTGTCAACACACGAAAACACACTCGAAAGGACTATTGCTTCAATATGAACAAAGACAAATTTAAACCTGTTGATTGGATAAGTGAATAAGGCGGCCAGTGAAGAAAGGTTTCTATAGAATACACGATGATATCTTAGGCAGGTGGTCCGGCCTTTGAATCCGACAGGATACTTAGTAATGATTGAGGGCAATTTGGTTGGCAGGACTTATCCGCATTACATGCAGTACATGTGCTTTGGTTCAGCGAACTACTTAATCATGAGCCCTTAAGTCCATTGAGTCAAGGAAATCCGGCGCTAGAGCTTTCCCAGAATTGAGATTGCAAGCCAGAGAGCGTGGGAGAGTTTAAGGGCGTTGCGTTACCGTTACTACTTGAGATATGATGATCTCGAAAGCTTCCCGGGCAATCTATGACACCCACAAAGGTAGTATCAAGTTGGTTCTGGTAACAGATTAGTGGCAGAGTGTGTCCGCGTCGTAGCTTTTCTATGCCCCACTAACCAGAGCGGTACCGACTGGCGCTCCGGAGAAGCGGATTTCACATCCTTCAGCTCCAAGGGACGATGGTACCGCTTCCTGGGAGTAACTCAACCCGTACTAGAAGAGAAACAATAAAATCCGAAGAAGACCTCTGGCCCCATTCGTGTCGAGGACTTCTTGGTGCGCCTGGAATGGTAGGTATAGACCCACACAACCAATGAACCTACCTCTGTTTTACCAGCCACAAATGGGTCTCGATTTTCCACGGACCGTACAAATACGAGTTCAATTATGCATAGTCGATGTACTGCTCTAGTTTAACGCTACGCAAAACCCTATTCATGTTCCGAGTGTAATCGTAATCCAGTTTATGCATAATGTAGCTGTCCGTGGAGGATTTCAATACGAAGTGGGCATTAGAAGTTCGACTGAGAACGTCAGGATTCATACAAGAAGCATGCAAGCCTAGACGATTAAATTCGTCACAATTGAGGCTAGCAGAGAATCGGACATAATTACAAGCGGAAATTCAACCGTTCGCCATTACTCAAGACACCGTCGGCCGAGCGGCGGCATGATCAGCCCGTCTTGGCGCGATGATAGCGGCGGCACAACCGTACCAAGCTAAACCCGAAACCTTTGGATAGGGGCATGCGGCGGGAAATGCTCAATCCAGACCACCAGGATCAACCAGGCTGGGAAATGGGGTGAAGATGAGAAATTCCATGACCCTCACAGCAACCAGAGGCCTCCTGGTATGGGAGAACGGCTTGAAGCTGGAACGATCTGGCCGCAACCACAGGGATTGCGACTATAACGGCGATAGACTCAGTCGAGCCTATGGTCAAAGAGGATGACGACGACAACGTACTACGGCTACACTAGTCAATACGACAGTACCGCCTTGGCTTATCAGCGCGCCGAGCGTCGGCGCGTAGCAAATGATCGATTACCCGTCATCCGGACTACCAAGTTGACGGCCTGACTCATTTCCAGACCTCAGCCAAACAGGCAGCTTTCACCGTATTCGCGCGCTGATAAGGCAGAGCAGAGCCTCTTTGTTAAATCAAGAATACTACCCACAGCCTTGTCGTTAAATACAGTTTCGTACTTTGGAATCTTATTTACACCGCCCGCGACGATCACTTAGGGTCCCGTAACCTTGAATATAGATGGGACCCACGCAGCATCGAATGTGGGTTCTGGAACTTCAGATGGATTTCTGCGACGCTGTCGACCAACCAGCAGGCTCCCTTCGTAAACTCGGCTTTCCGGGTATGTGCACGGAACAAAAAGCCCACGATACGAGCAACAAAGGCTCAGTAACGTAACCACTGTAGTGGTCTCGAAACTGGTGACCCCCGTTCGGGTGCCATCTTAGAAATATTAATTCCCGCTATACTAACTACCCTGCTCACAAATATCGACAGTGCTTCACCCTGTCCCTGGTTTAAGACGGTAGAATTTGCACTTAGTGTATCTCGATGCTATCTCAAAACGGGGAAATTGTTGCAATTGGTTTAAAATAGTAGACTTGGCTCTAGAGCCTCTAGTAACCATCCTTTCAGCAATAAAATGTTCCAATAGTAAAGGGAAACATTTTGTCTACTCAATGGCTAGAGGAGTAGAAATTTTAATGGGGAGTAAAAAGTCTCCGATGGATCAAGCTGCCCGGCTGTTCCCTGCCGATCTCAGCCTTGATGACCTGAGTGCCGATACTTGGCGTCTAGGCGCAGGTAAGACGATCCACACGCGGTGCACCCGGAACCTTGGCATGGTCATAAATGCCAAGTCATGGATTATCGCCGATGGTCTAAATTTGAGACTTGGTAAGATACCTCTCCTTACACGGTGCTGGTTTTGAAGTGGCGGAGTTCGTATCCAGAGTGTTCAGGCTGGCCACGCTGCCCAGATTCTGAGGGACACCTCCTGGATTTAATCACACCCGAGCCTTTCCTACCGTAGCTTTCAAGTCCTACGAAGGTATATATATCCCGATGTCTTTCTCATTCACTTTCTTTTCAAAGCATTAAGGCTATCAATTCTATCGGAGACCTTCTAAGCACTTCTAATCGACATAACCGAACTGAGCCAGCATCAACCAAGATGGATGAAGCACTTCTCCTCCGAAATTTGCCGGCTCTCATACTCCAGCTCTATGATCTGGCTCCCTCGCAGATCCCAGAGAGTCCCCAATTTCGGATGCTTCAAACGGCCGAGTTGGATAAGGTCCAACTATTGACCTCAATTCCAGCAACCTCAGAGTCTTCATACCGGCCGTTACACTTACTCTATGTTCTCTTGACAGAAATTCCTGGGCCATGGCCGACGTTTGATCTCATCAAGTGTCATACACGACTTTTCAAAATCCTCCCCGAGGAAGCCAAGGCACGCCGCAATGTCGACTGGGGCTGGCTTGTTGATACCACCGACAAGCTTGTCAAGAAATCTTGCGCTCCATTTTCTCAGTTTATCGGCTGCGATGAGGGGCCCGCCCTTCGAGCAACAACCAGGGACTACATTACACATCGTGGGCTGCATCGCTTCGTGTCCAACTTTCGGCTACCAGTCATCCCTGGTCGGAAGAAGCCGGTTGTTGGGATTGCTCTGCCCAACGGTCCACTATTAGCAGCAACTTGTATTGCTGTTACCAGTTACTATATCGCAGCACCCATCAACCAAGCGACAGGTCCAGAGCAATTTCAAGCAGACATTCTTCAAGCCGGAGCCGATTTTATCCTGACTACGGATGATGACTACAAGAAACTTCAGCTAGGCTCTTGGACTACGGAGCGCAATATTCAGGTCTTCATCATACACTGGACTTCCGGCGACAACATCAGTATCCGGACTCTGACGGGAGGGCCTCTTCCAAATTTTGATACGACGTCAACGGAACCTAACCAGGGAGACGACATCGGAATGATCCTATTCACCAGTGGCACATCGGGCACGAAAAAGGTGGTTACACTGACAACGCACTCAATCATCGCGGGTATTGTTTTCGTCAAGGAGTCTTGGGGTCTGACCTCCAGCGATATCTGCCTTAATATGATGCCTCTGTATCATGTGTGAGTTAGACGACGAAAATTTCGTCCTTTCGAAGCTCTAACTCTGTGTGCAGTGGCGGCCTTGTTAGAAACATTTTTGCGCCTGTCTTCTCGGGCGGATCAACGGTATGCTGTGCGGCCTTTGACCCGAACACTTTTTGGGATGTTGTTCAGGATATTCAACCAACTTGGTACTATGCCTCGCCGTCGATGCATTCCCTGATCCTTAGTGAGGCAACCGGACGCCCCGAATCATTAAACAAGAGCCGTATTCGACTGGCCTGTAATGCTGCCGGTGGTCTCCTACCATCACTAGCTTGTCGTTTACGAGACACATTCAACTGTGTTGTCCTTCCCAGCTACGGAATGACAGAGTAAGTGCCCTTAGCTACTGTTACACACCATTCCAGAACTAATATTTGACTAGATGCATGCCAATCTCTACCCCGCCTTTGAACTATCAGCTAGATCGAGAAGGCACGTCTGGCATCAGCACTGGGCCAGAGCTTGCTATTCTGGATGTGTCAGAGGCTGCAACATCATCTGGAACAGTCGGACGAATCTGCGTGCGGGGTGAGCCTGTTTTTCCTGGTTACCTGAAGCCAGACGGTACCTATGATAGGTCGCCCTTCAACAAAGACGGGTGGTTCGACACTGGCGACCTTGGATATATGGATCCTGATGGGTATCTCTATGTCACCGGCCGCAGCAAGGAAGTCATCAATCGCGGAGGAGAATTGATCTCGCCCTTTGAGGTTGAGAATGCTATTATCTCCGCGTCTCTATCTGATTCCCCTATCAGTGGACGAATCAGTCAAGCGCTTGTCTTCTCGGTCTGTCACGATATCTTACAGGAGGTAGTGGCAGTGGTATTAGTCTCTGCACCTGACAAGCCACGCGTGGACCTTAAGACCCTGAATGACGCACTGAGGTCATCTTTGCAACAGGCGAAATGGCCTGTTTTGATTACTTACATGGATGACCTTCCGAAGAAAAACAACAAGGTCCTTCGAATTCGACTTGGTGAAAGACTGGGAATCCCCGATATTACGGACAAAACGCCATACCTTAGCCGACATGTGGAAGCGTCATGTCCACCATGCGACACGGATCTTTCTGTCCCTATCAAGTCCTCCCCTTGCTCAGTCGACTACGAATACCTGCGGTCCGAAATCGAGAAGATAGCCCCCAATACCGTCCAAGTTTATTGTCGACGAGATCCACAAGGCGGCGGTGTTGAAGCCTTCTTGGCCCCAACAATCATCTCTGAAAAGCCAGTACAGGCTAGCACGATCAAAGATCTTCAGCAGAAGCTGGGGCAGTCAATTGACAATTTCATGGTTCCTAGCCTGGGCCAGATTCACGCAATGACCTCCCCATTTCCACGGGACACATACGGTAACATCGATGAAGAGCGGCTCCAAGAAGAATTCGACAGGCTTCTCCAAGCGTCAGTGCAACAACTAGGGGTCTCCACCGAGGGATTAGTGACGAAGGTTTTTGCGGAAATCCTATCACGCCCACATGGAGATCTCCCCAACGACGTCGACTTCTTTACCCTTGGTGGCGATTCTCTACGTGCTGGGCGTCTAACGTCGGTTCTGCGTTCGCAATTCAACGTGAACATCCCAATCGGTCTGGTTTTCAACGACGGAACGGTTAAAGCCCTCGCATCTCACATTGACAAGATGACCGGGGCCGGCCCAATCGACAAAGGTGATGGCAGAGACAACATCGTTGGGTGCTCCGAGACATACAGCTCTACCAACCCAGTTCTTATGCTAGTGCAGTTGATCCCACTTGCGTTTATCTATCCGCTTCGCCGGGCGCTTCAATGGACCATCTTCATCACGTTACTCGCATATAGTGAATACCTACCCACCAACCACTCGATCCCAGGCAGGTTACTCAATCTGATAGCTTCTATCACATTGGCTGGTATCATTATCGAATTCATTGCGCCCATCTTTGGAATTCTCTGCAAGTGGCTTATCATCGGCCGGCACCGTGAGGGCCTCTACCCGATGTGGGCTTTCTACCATACCCGATGGTGGCTAGTGCAGAAAATTACGAGTATTTGCGGGCCAGGTGCTTTCGAAATCACCAATTCCACTCATTGTCTCTACTACCGTCTTATGGGAGCTAAGATTGGTAAAAATGTGAGAGTTGGCGGAGCGGCTCTCGGGGAGTGGGATCTCTTAGAGATTGGAGATAACACTGACCTAAGCGAATGCATCTGCCGGCCTTTTGCAGTTGAGGGCAATACTACGATGTATTTGGGACGGATTTCCATTGGAGACCATTGTTCAGTTGGCACAGCTTCTATCATTGCGCCAGGAACAACGCTACCACCCAATACCTGCATTGGTCTCAATTCATCCAGCTGGGAGATGGAAGATGCGGACGAAGCTTACCGATCATCGAGTTATATTGCGAAGCCACACTGGCTTCTAGTATGCTTATTCACCCTACCTCTGCGATTTTTTTCTGGGTTCCTGTCACTTGTGCCTTGGATGTGTGGCCTCCTCGGCATGGTAATACATGGGTCATCCGCCGGTCGATCTCCAATTCTGAATGTCATCGACTGGTTCACGCACCCACAGCGAATAGCATACCACTATCTTGCCCTCGTCTTGAAATGCTTCATTAGCCCATTTATCATACTCGGCTTTACAATTCTGATCAAGGCGACACTGGATATTGCATTCGGAAAGCTTGGGCCTGGCTCAGCTGGGCAAAGCACTGTTGCCACCTGGAGGGCGCATCTTATTAAAAGCCTCTGTCCCGTCGATCGGCTTCATGAAGTCACTGGTATGTTTGGGCAGCATTACGAGGCCACTTCAACCGCCCTTCGAATGCTAGGTGCCAAAATTGGACAACGTGTGTATTGGCCTGGGACTGGACCTGTCATCGGTGACTACCACTTGCTAAACATCGGAGATGATGTTGTTTTCGGCTCTCGCACTCATCTTGTTACCTCAGATATCATCGGCTCCGATACGATCACGATTGGGGACCGGGCTATGATTGCTGATCGTGTTTGCCTTCTGCCTGGCGTCAAGATCGGAGACCGCGTTACTATGGGATCTGGTGCTTTAACAAAGAGAGGCAAGCAGTATCCAGCGAATGGGACCTATGTTGGCTCAAAGGGCGGCGATTCCGTGTGCCTATCCACTGGACGCCAATTGCAGCAGCAGAAAGTCTCCTCAAGGCCGATAAGCATGAAGCACATGAGCAGTTGCGACACCCTGACGGGAAAGAGTAGGGAACCTGCCATGCCTACGCGTCTCCCCCACATCGACAGTCAAGCTACTCTCACTGGCGGAAGCGCCATTCCCGCGAAACACCGTCGTGCCACGACTAATACCAGTGACCACGACATGACAGAGGAGAGCTCTCATGCCGATGCCGATGCCTCTACTGAGAACTCTTCACCATTTGGACGAGCTTTCTACTTGAAGCAAGCTCCCTATTGGGTCTTAGGCCCGTTTACCATCTTTTGTTACTCATCTTTCCTTACTCTTTTTACCTCCTTTTACTGGAATATCGCAAGTATCTCGTCGATTCAATTCATTAACGTGGTCATCAAATTCCTCCCTTCCGGAACTGGCTTTGGGCATGATGTCTGGAGGCTCTTTGTACTTTCCTTTGCCGCCATTGCCGTCATCACTACTGCCCAAGCAATACTCGCACTCGCCATTGTGCTTGGTGCCAAGTGGGCTCTACTAGGCCGCCGGAAGCCCGGGAATTACGATTGGGACAAGTCGTCGTATTGCCAGCGTTGGCAAGTCTTTCTTACCATCGAGAAAATTCGCCGCAGGTGCTATCAGGGCAACGGTATTCTTGGCCTACTCACGGGAACAAATTGGATTGTGTTGTATTTCCGGGCAATGGGTAGTACTATTGGCAAAGATTGCGCTTTATTCGCAAATGGGACGCCGAGCTTGATGTTTACTGAGCCTGATCTGATAACCCTCGGAGATCGAGTTTCGATTGATGATGCGAGCGTCGTTGCGCACATCAACACCAGAGGGAAATTCGACTTGAATAGGCTAGAAATTGGCGATAGGTGTGTTCTCAGAACGGGAAGCAGGCTTCTAAGTGGCGCAACCATGCAGAAGGATAGCTGCTTGCTTGAGCACACTCTTATCATGGGGGGCGACGTGGTGGAAGAGAACTCAACTATGCAGGGCTGGCCGGCAGAACCATTCTCAAGAAAGACGGTGAATCTGTAAGGCTACTTGTAGATCTCTGGCGTGGAAAGAATATCTCCTAGGTTTATTTCATTCGATAGCGTACACAGATATTATGCACAATTTTTTGTTCTCACATTTCGGGAAAGACTTTGGGGATGGAGACCGAGCAGGGTTGAGTGAATCCAAAACCTCGGACAAGCCGGGCAGATTCCTGGATCCCCGGATCCCCGAATGTTGTGGATCCCAGATTTCCAAGGCGCCATATCCAACGTTGCCTAGTTGGTACAGGGTAACTTGAGCGCTATTTCATCGGCCATTGCAAGAACGAAGGACAGACTTAATGCGATGAGGATTTATGTGGTTAACTAGCTTCTGGTCTGCTGTAGCTGGATGCTGTCAAGATACGCTGGAAAAATATATGGTCATGAGCACCTAATGCTTCGCCAAATATTGATTGATGGGCGGGACCAAGACACAAAGGTTATCACATTCTGTAGGAGAGTTATTGGATTTCTTGGTATAACCGACTTAGTTCAGCTGCCGGGAGTCAGTTTAATTCACAAACAAATGCTAAACTAGCAGAGAGTGCCATGTGGCGAAGATAATGGATAGTCACTATCGGCTCTCCGCAAACCTTACTCTTTGGAGCGCCTGGACTCAAGCCCGTTTTCTTGGCATGTATAAAACTCCTAGTCCTTTTGCAAACAGATTGATCCCAGCACACCAAGTTGCCGTATTCAGGCTACGTTTATGATTTATGTCCCAAAATCGCTTTCTATCCTTGGTGTTTACTCTCCTGCAAAGTGCCAACGGCTTAAGAATACAGCTAAGCACGCTCCGGCAGCAAAATGAACAGCCAGGAGACATGGAATTTGCATGCCGCGATTGCAGCTCGGATTTTAACGCTTCATTAGACTGATAGTCTCTTCGCCGCTAGACAATATTGCAGATCTAAGACTCATGTGCCAATATTGGTCTCCCATTGAGCCTCTAAAACGTAGAAAGAGATGTTGAGAGGAGATTCCACGACATGCTCCAAATTTTGGCTGCCCCCTAGCGCAGCCTGTCCAAGAAACTTCAGGTTTCGTTGGGAAGTTTGCGGTTATGGAAAATGTCGTCCAACAAATGGATGAGCAAGTATTGTGAAACAAGCTACTGATGTAGATCCCGATTACTGAAAACTGGAGCCACAACAAGAATGTGGGTTTAGAAATCGGTGATTTATCGGAGTCCGGAATTGTAGTCTTCGCTGCCTTCTCCCGTCAGCTCCGGGAATATCCCGTGCCAGCACGACATAAAGTCATACGACTGAGTGGTTTTCGTTTGACGTCAATGCCGAGATCAAGCGAAGGCTTCGTATAGGAGGAGCCCCGGATTGCGGCGAATGCGGTGTCGGTGGCTGCGGCTGCGGCGAGTGCGGCATCCGCAACGGAACGCACCGACATGCGGTGCGGCATGCACCTAAACACGTAGGAAACTTGATCTATCATGGGATTTACATGGATAGATGCAGAAGGATTACTACACAAATACGTAACTGAATGATATTTCATTTACTCTTGCATGAAGTGCCGAGGCAGTGGCGGCATTTGCGGTGACAGTGTCATCTTGACAAGTCAATCGAGGTATCCACTCAAAGCTAACCAAGACATCATAATTAGATATAAAACAAGTCAATTGCCCTTTCAATTAGAGAATCACCAACAAATCATTCTATCATCTACATTCCAATTACAACTCCAATTCAAACTCCATTCAAAATGGTTGCCACGATCCGCCAGTACAAAGCTGCCTGCGTCCAGTCTGAGCCAGGATGGTTCAATCTCGAGAAGTCGGTCAAGAAGACGATCGCTCTCATCGAAGAGGCTGGCGAAAAGGATTGCAAGCTGATTGCTTTCCCTGAACTCTGTAAGTTTTGCAATCTCATCTGATGTATTCCGGCATTTTTAACAAGAGTTTAGGGATCCCGGGGTATGAAGCGCCGATGACACCTTCTTATGGAAGATCCTAACTAGGCTCTACAGATATCCCTACTGGCAATGGCGCGTCAACTACCAAGACTCCCTGCCCTTGCTCAAGGAGTACCACCAGAACAGTCTTCGACCCGACTCGGACGAAATGAGACGTATTCGTGCTGCAGCCAAGGCAGCCAAGATTTTCGTCTCCATCGGCTATTCGGAGATTGACGGACATACTCTTTACACGACCCAGGTTATCATTGACCCCCGAGGCGAGGTCATCAACCACCGTCGCAAGATCAAGCCTACCCACGTTGAGAAGCTTGTCTTTGGTGAGGGTACTGGTGACACCCTTGACAGCGTTGTTGAGACTGAGATTGGTGCCCTCGGCCACCTCAACTGCTGGGAGAACGTAAGCAAACCGTCTCCGAATATCAGTCTAGCGTAACTAACCAGGACAGATGAACCCCTTCCTCAAGGCCCATGCTTGCACCCAGCATGAGGAAATTCACGTCGCCGCTTGGCCTGTGTACCCCCCTGCATCCAGTCTCAAGTACCCGGACCCCTACACCAACATCTCCGAGGTTCAGTCGGACCTGGTCACGCCCGCCTATGCCTACGAGACTGGCACGTGGACTCTTGCGCCCACCCAGGTTGTCACTCGCGAAGGCGCACGCCTGAACCTGCCCAAGCGCCTCCAGGACGATGAGGCTGCTGTCGACGCCGAGGCCGCCGTCATCGGCAATGGCTTCGCTCGCATCTACCGTCCCGATGGCTTCCGTGCCGTCGAGGACCCTGCCAAGACGTTCGATGGCATCTTCATCGTCGACGTTGACCTTGATGAGAACCTCCTTACCAAGCGCCTCGCTGATTTTGTATGTTTCTCCCACCTTTAGCGTCTGAGGATGTGCTTGTACTGACAGATATTATGGAAACAGGGCGGTCACTACATGCGCCCTGATCTCATTCGCTTGCTGGTGGACAAGACCCCGAAGCATTATGTGGTGGATGCCAACTCTACTGACCCCAAGACCTTCACCAGTACCATGGAGCGACTCGGCCTTACCAAGCCTCTCCCGGCCGCGGATGAATAAGTCTGCAACTAAAATTGCCATACGGGCAGCGACTGGGAGCTTAATGTATCTCGATAGCTATCTCAGAGCTGGAAGAGACTTTAGTCTCCGATGATCCTCGCACCTCTGTTCAATTCAATCATCAATCTTCAGACTCAATTTGGTGTATCAAGTGGACTTGCGTGACTGCCATACGCATCAAATATGCTCGCTTAATCACTTACTTTGCCGAGTACAAATCTTAGATGCTTATAATTGCTTTCTCTTCGTATCCACTCCTTCATGAAGTCATCCATCAAATCCGTAGGAGCAAAGTCAGTCCACTGTCTGGAAATCTTCGTTCTGTAAATTAGACCAAATATGCTATATATGACAGCCGTTGCGTTGCACTGGAGCCGTCCTCTCGTGAACTATCTACGCCCAGCTAATGCCTCTGCCCATAGTGTACCCTTCGCGGCTCGAGCCTTCAGCCAACTCTGGCAGGAAGCAATAGGATTGGGCTCACCATATGAAGTCATGTGTGATTCTTCCTCTGGAACCTTCAGAACACGTATGTCCACACAATGGTTCGGATCAAGCGCTTCTGGGGTATACGCAGAATCCGAAAAGTCCACTGATGAATAAAAGTCTTCGAGGAAGACCAGTGAGATTTCCCTTGGATCCCTCTGCGGATCCAAGTCCAATCTCGCTCGCTTTCGGGTGCCAAGCACTGCGTTTACCCATTCGTGCTTTACCGTGAACCCATCAATACCATGCATGTCAGCCCTAGCGAAGATACCAAGTTCCAAGTGAGGAAGCCTGGCCATGTCTACCCAGATATCACCTCCCATATCCATGTTCGGGTTGTAAAGGGCAAGTCGTCGCAGTTTCGGCCAACACTCTGCCCAAACCTCAGGTTCGTCTTGTTCGTCATCTGTGGCAAGAAAAAGTTCATCGCGAATGCTGACGAAGTCTTCTAGGTTTACGAGAGCTTCGAACGCATCTCTCAGGATCGGCCGGACTCCCCCTTTGTCATAATATGGGTAGAGTGTCCGTAGTGGCATATCAATGACGAGAGATCGCAGTATCGGGGCTAGCGCAAAAAGAATATCTCGAACGACGATAGCAGTTGGAACATCTTCAAGAGGCGAAACGGACAGGTATGTGTGGGTTGGCAGGCTAGCCGAGCTAGTCGAAGACGACCTCGGTGATGTCTCCTGATCGGGTTCGATAGCATCAATTGGAAGCGGCCGGGCACGACCTCGTTCGGATTCAGAACGGAATGGCCGAAGAAAGAGCCTCGCCGGGAGATGGGTTGAAAAGATCTTTTCAAGGGGTGCCGATTTTAAGGACGCCGCAAAACTCGCGGCTCTGGTCTTCGAGTTGATGTAGAGGCAGAATTGCCAAAGCAGTTTGGAGGCGGGTGGATTCGTTGCTCGGCAAACTCTTGTAAAGGCGACGAGCGATTTGGTGACTGGATGATACGGTGGATAGATCTCGTCCGAGTTTCTGGAGACTAGGGACTCAACCACCATGAGAAGGATCTCGGTGGGGAACCTTTGCGTTGGCATCTTGATCGTGGGTGCTAACCAGGGTGGATTGTCATTTCTAGAGTAAAACTGCATGGCAGGAAAGCGGGGGATTTAAGATAAGACGAATGCTTTAATTGGTGGGTCAATGCTTCTCCGACAAGCGAGCTGCTGTTCTGAGATGTGGCTTTGATTGTGGCTGAAGTGTTACACTGATTATCTCCCTCATCCTACAGCAATGCCAGCACTCATTTCTATGATCGGCAGACTCCGGGGTTTCGTCCCATAGGTATGCTTGAGATGTATACAAACATTCGTTTGTTGTAGTTGTTGTTGTTAATGTTATTTGCAGTGATATAGACGTCAAACGTCATGCACACTAAAACATGATTCAAACAACAGCACCCATAATCTACTTGGATCCGCTTCCTTCTCGTCCCCCATGGTGCATGACGGAGGCTGCCGTTCTCCGACATGGCTAACGAGTTGCGAGGGTATCAGGTCTTGGATTTATCGAAGACATACGATCCGCGTACTTGCTAGCAAGAGTAAAGCCTAATGAGCCAACGGAGACACCAAACCCAGAAGAGCAGTCCACATGATAGCGAGTGCATCGTAAATTTCGGAGAGAACCCTATCGCAGCACCGTAAGAAAAACAAGTTTGTCTATATGTCTGTCATGATCAACCCTCGCTACTGGGAGACGCGATAGACGGCCGTGACCCCTGAACGGAAGGTGGCCGGCACTCGGCATTACCCTGGACAGCGAAAGTCATGCACTATCCCAGGCCTTTTGTGTTGTACAATTTAGCGAAGACGGAAGCTCGGTGAAGCAATGGGCTCTGATTGGCCCACTTGGTACCGGAATGCCTTCAGGGCGGATCCCTGAGCGTGCCAATCACTCACCCATCCGAAGCCGGTTGGCGATCTTCTGGATGCGGATTGGACGATCGTCTCGAATAAAGACCGCTTCTCGCACGGAAGTCGCCTCGATCTGGCATCCTCCAGGCGCGCCATCAGCAGCTTGAAACTTTACGTCTGATTCTCTGGTTCAAAAGGTCCAGGGCGTGTCGATCAGCCTACGCCAGTGCTCGCATTCCCTCTCTCATTGGCTGCGTGCCCTTGACCACCTCATTTAGCAATGTCGCACACGTGGGCCTCGGGAAACATCTTGATGGTTGTTATCGCACCGCGTTAATCGACACTCCATCTAAAATCACCTTCTTTTTTTGTCAGACTACTCGGCTTCGATGTGCCATTGCCCCTGTTTCAGTAGATGTTAGCTTATTGAATTGAGTATATAAGTCATGCCTCGCCCAGCAAGGAAATATTCAATCCACTCTGTACATTTCAACAACATATTACGTTACCAAAAAAAATATCATCAAAATATCCCATGATGGCTCGTCTTCACTTCATGGTTCCCATTGTGGTCGCCATCTCAAGCGTCGTCACTGCTACAACTGTTTCGTGCCCTAGCAACCTGACTCTGTCTTGTCATAACACGACTGCGGTGGCCAACACATGCTGCTTTATTCCTGCTGGACAAATTCTCCAGACTCAATTCTGGGACTCTAGCCCTTCTGCTGGGCCATCTGGTAAGTCTCAATCTCATTCATCTGCAGTTGTCCATACTTTAACAACCTCAGATTCCTGGACAATCCATGGTCTGTGGCCCGATTATTGCGACGGAACCTACCCCCAGTTCTGTGACTCTAGCCGAGAATACACCGACATCAGGGGACTTGTGACCAAGTTCGCTTCTGCAGCTACCTTGTCCTACATTGATACGTATTGGGTCAGCAATAGTGGCACTGATGAGTCACTCTGGGAGCACGAGTTTAGCAAGCACGGCACCTGCATTAGCACGCTTAACCCTAGTTGCTATGTTGGCTATCAAACTGGCCAGGAAGCGGCGGATTACGTGACCAAGCTTGTATCGCTGTTCAAGACGCTACCGACTTACGATTGGCTCGAGGAAGCAGGCATCACACCCTCCACCTCCAAGACGTATACATTGAGCGCGATCCAGGATGCTTTGGAGACACAACACGGTGCTGGGGTCACTCTCGGCTGTTCCGGAAAGGTCCTGAATGAGGTGTGGTACCACTTTAATGTTCGGGGCTCTCTCCAGCAGGGTACCTTTGTTGCTGCGAACCCTGATGGGAGCAAGAGCACATGTCCTAGCACGGGCATCAAGTATACTCCTAAGAGCTAAATCCGAAGGACTTAGGCGTCAATTGTGTGACAGAAATAGTCTATAAATTACTCTACATAGTGTGTGTGAGAGATGAAATAGAGAAACTGGAAATCCAACAAGACACGCCCAAGCTGAATTGGCAGTGACCGTTGCAATAATTAATGTGTAAAAGCAGAGAAGGCGGAGACTGAAGATGGCAGAGTTGAACAACATAGTCAAAATGCCATAGATACTACTCTCGGTATCGTCTAATTAAACGGTTCGTGCATGAATGTCGCAAAAATAGGCCAACACTAGTATAAATTGAGCATGCTAGTAACGGTGCCTGCTGGTAAAAGTAGGCAGTCTATTTCTCTGTCCCGAAGACCTACTCTACGAGTTTGTGAGGCTGACCAATTGGATTTCGCCCATAGTCTAATCGTAAGAAGGAACTCCGTGGTAAAGGAAGCCCGATGTGGCCTTCTTCCTACCCAAAAAGAAAGTCTCTGGCACAACATTTGTGAAATGGCCACGTCGAAGTTAACGGGCGTATAGGGATGAAGGTGACGCCGATAGGGATTCTTAATAAATGTTGGTCTCAAGTACTGTTCTTGTGACTGCATGTCCGAGAAATACACTACCTCGGGTAGGGGTTTCAGTTCCACCTTCAGCACCACCGACGTCAAGGAGCAACTGGAAGCTACTCAGGACTAGGAATGCTGCAGTATAAGATGGTTTCTTAGTCGAATGCAACAGTTGGACACATAGGCACGAGAATCGGACGAAACTTGTTGCTGTCGAGGTAAGTGATTTAACAATAACGTGGGGGAGCTAGACAGGCGCTTCCCGATGTTCGCCGATCACTTGCTGACGCAGCCTTGGATTGCATGCCAAGTGATGCATTTCACGCAGCCTCATTCGAGCACGTGGCATACGTGGCATTCTATCGCCCACTTAACCCTTCGTAGAGCGGGGAAAACTAAAAGACGAAAAACCCCTCATGCATCTGTCCTCCATGCTCATGTAGCGCAAACCAACTGAATCTAAACGACCTTAGATCCCATCTTAACCCTTGTGAGTAGGAAGGAGGTCATCCCTACCAGGCTCCCAGATCTGATTTTGCCTTCATCCTGTGCTAAAAGTTTGCGAGGAAAGAAGCCTAATTAACAAAGTGCTGCAGGTACACTGCTAACACTCAATCAGCAATCATGGCCAACGTCGAAAGAACTCAATCGCCCCAGGGAACTTTAGATGCAACTGCATTGGAGGATCCTGACCAGGCAACCAGATTAGGGCAGCATGGATGCGAATTATTTTCTAAATTCCACGAGAATCGAGACGTGAAAGACCTAGACAATGCAATTCGAGTTACTCGTGAAGCTATTGACACGAAGTCACCTAGCCAGCATAACCAGGCGATGTTTCTATACAACATTTCTGTATTCCTTCGAGATCGATATGAGACAACCAAAGAAATTGCAAATATCGAAGAGGCAATTCAATTTGGACGAGAGGCCGTCAAGTCAGTCCCACACGGCGATCTCAATCGACCTACTTTCTTATTCAACCTTGGCTCTCAACTTCTCCTCAGGCACTCAGTGACAGAAGCACTTGGCGACCTGGAAGAGGGGATCCAGTTTGGGAAAGAAGCGGTGTGTGCCACCGCAGTGGATCACCCAGATCGAGGAGCACATTTGACTGGACTTTGGAATCTTGTTCGGGCTAGATACCTGACCACAAGATCGATGAGCGACCTCCAGGACACCATCCGAATAGGGAAGGAAGCCATTGACGCAACTCCAAAAGAGCACGCCAACCGAGCCATGCTGCTGAGAAGTTTTACACCGATCGTCACTGAAAGGTACCACAAGACCAGAGACCTGAGCGACCTAGCGGAGCTCATTTCGGTAATGCAAGAGGGGGTGGAAGCAACTCCAGATGGGGAACAGTACAAGGCAGGTCTCTTGACAAACCTCGGCCATTATCTTCGGCATAGACATTTGCAAACCAAAGCGCCATGCGACCTTGATCAAGCTATTCTGGTTGCCCGACAGGCTATCAACTCAACCCCCCCGGATGATGTAAATCGAGCAAATGTGTTTCAAAATTTCTGTGATGGACTCTGGACTCGATACTCGATCACGGGAAATATGAGAGATCTCGACGAGACCATCCAAGCTACACAGGAAGCTATAGATACTACCTCAAGCAATCAACCGGGCCATGCAAGATTGCTCAGCATGCTTCATACCCAACTACACCATAGGTTCGGCAGAACAGGAAGACTGGACGACATTGACGAGAGCATTCGAATCGCGAGAAAAAAGATCAACGCGACTGAACAAGACGACCCGGAAAGATGCTTCCTGGTCACGGACCTCGGAAATCAACTCGGCGAGAGGTTCCGTAGAACAGGAGCAATTGCCGACCTTGAAGAAGCTGTTCAGTTTGGAAGGGAAGCAGTAGATGCGACTCCGGAGAGCCACCCAAAGAGGTCGCGGGTCTTGAATAATCTCGCAGTTCATCTCAGCGAGAGATATTCGAGAACAGAATCAGTGGCTGACCTCGAAGAGGCCATTCGAGTAGGGCGTGAGGCTATTACGAAAGCTATCAACGACTTCCCTGAACGAGCACAACTGCTGAGCAACCTTGGATCTCGGCTTGTAAGTCGGTTTAAGAAGAACGGAGTGATGGCAGACGTGGATGAGGCTATCGAAGTTACAAGAGAAGGTCTCAATGTGATTCCGCCAGGAGATTCAGCTCAATTTGATTTCATGATCAATCTCGGGGCCCGCCTAAGCATGAGATTCCAGAGACTAGGGAGTATGATTGACCTTGAGGAGGCCATTCATTTAACCCAGCAAGCTGTCGACAAGACTCCGCCAGCCCACCCATACCGAGCACTACGACTACAATCCATGGGAGATTTATTCTGCTTAAGATACCAGAGATCCGTGATGACGGCTGACTTGGACAAGGCTATTGCAGCTTCGCAGCAAGCTATCACCGGAACGCCATCAGACCACCCCGAGCGGGCGAGGCGCCTGAATAGTCTTGGAAATACACTGAGAATCAGATATTTGAGAACCGGAGCATTGTCTGACCTCGAGGAAGCCATTCGAGTCACAAGGGAGGCCGCAAACTCAGTTCCTAGTGATCATCCAGACCGACCTGGTTTATATAATAACCTGGGCAATTACCTTCGCGACAAGTTTGAAAGAACGGATAAAATAGGTGATATTGAAGAGGCCATTGTGTTTGGAAGGAAAGCGGTTTCTACCATCTCGCCTGGCCACGAAGATCAGCGTATCTTCTGGAGTAATCTCGGGACTCTTCTTCGTACGAGATACCAGAAGACCGGACACTTGGTTGATCTTGACGAGAGTATCGAGGTTGGGCGGGAAGCGGTTAAAGCTACCCCGAAAGACCATTCAGAGAGGATGCGACCATTGGTCAACCTTTCGGCTCATCTCCTGAACCGATTCTCCAGAACAGGGACAATGGGCGACTTGGAAGAGGCGAGCCAAGTTGCGAAGCAGGGCATCGACGCAACTCCACAGGGCCATTCAGAGAGAGCAGAGGTTTTGATCAACCTTGGAGATTGTCTTGCTGTGAAGTATAGGACAACAAAGTCAATTGAGGATCTAGCTTGGACCGTTTCTCACTATCAAGAAGCCATGCAAAACGACTCATCACCAACAACCTCGCGTATTGGGGCAGGGATCAAGGCCCTCGCATACGTTGGGTCCATAGCGAATTGGCAGCGTGCCTACGAGATATCAGAGGTTGTTGTAGGACTGGTTCCTAAACTGACAATACGATCACTCAACAACATGGATAAGCAACACCTCCTTGGCCAGATAGCCGGTCTTGCTTCCGACGCTGCGGCCACGGCTTTCCATGCCGGGAAAGGCCCACTTTCTGCACTTGGCTTTCTTGAGCTGGGACGTGGTGTTATTGCTACGTCCCTAGAGGAGATTCGAACAGATGACCGAGGTTTGCTGGATCAACATCCCATACTCGCAGAGAAATTTGCGCGTCTGCGAGAAGAGTTGGAAATCACCGTCCAAGGCGCTACCGCCGGCAATGACCGCGAGACGTTGTGGCAGACACAATCACAGCGTCGCTACGAGAAAGGACAGGAGCTGGACCAGCTAATTGCTGATATTCGCGAGATGCCTGGATTCGAAGACTTTTTGCGTCCGCCAAGCGAAGATGCTATGCGCGATGCTGCAAGATGTGGTCCTATTGCCATTATCAACGTCAGCAGGTTCCGCTGCGATGCGATACTTGTCGACCAGGACCAAATTCGGTCAGTCCATTTGTCACAACTCACCAGTGATGAGATCGAGCAGAGGGCACTTGGGGGCAATCTAGGGAGTCTAGAGAGTCTCGAATGGCTCTGGGATGTCATTGCTAGGCCAATTCTAGACACCCTGGGCTTCGCTGGCCCTCCCTCTTGCAACGATTGGCCTCACATATGGTGGATCCCGACGGGGCCTTTGAGTAGATTCCCACTTCATGCAGCTGGACATCACCTGAACACTTCACACACGGTGCTTGACAGGGTTATGTCGTCGTACAGTTCGTCTGTGAAGACTCTCATCCATGGGCGAAGGCGTCCTATGACTCCTGTCATTCCGGCATATTCACCAGGGTCACAACTCCCGGCCGAAGCGGTCCTTGTTGCTATGGAGCATACACCTCAAAGCTCGTGGCTACCATTTGCGACAAAGGAGGTAGAGATACTGCGGCAGATGTGTCACTCAATGAAGCTTAATCCTGTTGAGCCGAGGCGACAAAAGCAAGACATCCTAGCACATTTGACAAAATGCAAGATCTTCCACTTCGCAGGCCACGGGCATACAGACACCAATGATCCGTCGAAGAGCTACCTACTTTTAGAAGATGGTCGCGAAAATGCCCTAACCGTTGCCGATCTGTTGGGGATAAACCTGCGCAAGCATTCTCCCTATCTTGCCTACCTCTCAGCGTGCGGGACCGGGCGAATCGACAATACCAAGTTTGTCGATGAGAGCATTCACCTCATTAGCGGGTGCCAACTAGCAGGGTTCCGGCACGTCGTTGGTACTTTGTGGGAGGTCAGTGATGAACTTTGCGTAGATATGGCTAGGATAACATACGAGGGGTTGAGACACGGAGGCATGACGGATGAATCGGTATGTCTAGGGCTCCACAAAGCTTCTCGGCAACTCCGAGATCAGTGGCTGGCCACTCGAGCAACAATCAGGGATGGAAATCGACTGTTGGAAAGAAAGGTTGAACAGGACATAGGTTCACAGAACGTAGCGGAGAGGGATACGAGAGATGTGATTCTCGACGATGACAAAGAAGAGGTGGGATGGGCACATTGGGTTCCATATGTTCATTTTGGCGTTTGAACGGTATTCTTGAATCAACGACCGTCATTTCCCCCGTCTGTTAGCTCTGCGCACCATCTTCTTCCTTGACTGAGAAAGTGGCGCATGGATTTATGATGGTGATTTACACAAAAATGTCGGCCCAACAAGCGCAAGCATCTGTCACTTACACACTGCAGCTTAAGTGAATCAGCCTAAGTTCCCGTTGCTCCCAGCCTGTTGTCGGGCACAGACGCATCAGCCTTCGACACTATAGACGTGATTAAGGATGGACATCGAATGTCCTCGACAAAGGCATCTGTGTTAAAATGTCAAGGAGCCCCAGAGCTTGTTCATCAACATCGGTCCCCATGTTAGCGTTTCCCATTGTCCTTGGGCGATTGCTGGTGTGACTCTAGCACGGCCCCAATACCGTCATGGGCCAAGCCCCTGCTCAGCCGATTGAAGGCTGGATTTAGACTGGCAACAAAGGAATGTTCTTTCTGAAACTGTTTCTGGGAACATATGTGAACAGTCTTGTGCCATTGACTGGCTCAGCTCGAGCCTGGTAAAGGCCAATGGCATCCCGATCCATGGAGAGGTCCATTGTGCGAGATACAAAAGTAACAAATGCGGAGAAGGGAAAAGGTTCGAGGAACATTGACAAGAACATGGCAGGACACACGGAGGAGATGAGAACAACAACCTGGAAGCTCAATTCTAGCAAAGTGCTCAGAGTGAACAAAAACAATCAGCAATGGCAATAAACAGAAAGAAGATTTAAACAAGGAAACATTAAGAATAATCCAGAAGACAAAAAGGGGTGTTACAAACTTGAGGCTTGGGGCAGCTCAGACAGTAGGGGTATAAATGGTTAGGTCTCACCCCTTCTCCTTCCTTCTTCATAACACAACGCCATCGAGCAAATATCGACCATTACCAAGTCACAAACATTTTCACGCAAACATCGACTACTATCAAATCACGATTTTTACAGTCCTCTTTCTACAATGTCAAACATCGAGAGGCCTTACTACCAACTCCGGGAGATTGACGATAACTCCTGGCTCCTCGCAGGGAAGATCGTAATCTCCCGACAAAGCGCGCGCGCCTCAGATCGCCCATGTTGGGAGACCTCGCAGGGCGACTTCTTCACAATCTCCGAATGCGCAACTCCGGCGCCACAAACACGTGCGTCTACCTTTGTAGGTAACAAGTTGTTTGGACAAGTCCCACATCCAAATGATCCATCAACCCTTGGCATCTGGGCCATGGGTGATGCCTGGATACAGTTGGAGAGGGCACCTTCGGCCTGGATTTCAAATGAGTACCATGCCTTGAAACATGGGGGCGCCATGTGCTCAGCGACAGGGGGGTCAGCGTGAGTGAGGATATCGCGGGGTCTCCTGGCTGGTTCATGAAACGGGCAAGCCAAGTCTGGATACATCACGCTCCTCCACACAGCTGGATTGTGTGCCGTGCAGACCAAATTGGGAATATCGAATCCACTTGAGTCTGCAGCGATTGCCCAATGATCCTTGGGAGCCCTGTTTTTCTTTTCCTTTTTCGTGTCTGCAGTGAGATCTCAGGCTCCCCCCAATCACGTCTGGCAGTGCCAGGGAAATCACAGGGAAAATAGCCAGAGAGTTTCTTTGTGACGTGTTGGTAGCTCCGCCGTCATGAGGAGGCTAAACATGCAAGCAGAACAGGGGTCGGGGTGGGCTGCCACTTCCCATGTACAGTCTTGTGCTGGCAGAGATCTGCACTCCACCAGGTATCGGCTGGGAGCTTGCCGAATGAGCAAGAGGTACAGCCTTGTGCTGGCAGAGACCTCCGCTTCTCCAGGTATTGGTCGGGAGCTTGTCAGATGAACAAGAGGCACAGCAAGAAACCTGCTTCAAACTGTTGTTCCTCATTCTTGGTTGTTGGTGGGCGTCTACAAAAGCGTTGTGAATAAGCCACGGTGGCACGTCACTGAGTACCTACTTGTCGTACAGAGCCCAGGGGAAACGGGATCAAGCTCGATGAGAGAGAGAGAGAGGGCTACGGCTGATGCCGGAGTTTGTTGGCACTAAAAACGGCCGTGGCTGGTTTCCGATTGATTGCATGCATGATACGCTTGCGCGATTGCCCGCCTCACGCACCACGGCCCCCGCCCATGGCGGCCAAATTCTTCTCATCTTTTAGACGTACCGGATCATAGCATGTCCGTCTTCACCAACCGGGACTTAGCTGATAAGCGGGGATGGAAATGATATACCTTGGCCAGCGCCGGGGTCCAGCCTGGGGAATACCGAATGGGGCTGGGGAATGGAACGCCAATATTGCAAGATCAGCCAAAGAGCGGGAGCCATCTCTGCAAGGCTCCAATAGCCCCAGCTAGCTAACTCTAGCAAACCGTTTCAATCACAAAACCTTAAGCGCACCAGGTCAGACACCAGCCAATCCAGCACCTGCAGCGAAGGCAGCCACCCTCCAGAACCCGGTCAAGAGACATTCTGCCCATCCAACAGCTCGCCGTACTGCAGCAAGTAATAAGTCGATCAATCAGTCCGTCTGTCAAGTAACTTAGTCGGTCAATCAGCAACTAGCCCAGCAGCCCAGCGACTCCGTAGTGTAGACTATAGACCATAGACCGTAGGTCGTTGTGACATCTCTCTTTAACTTACACGGGAGGGGCGGTCTCGACATGGGATGTGGGCGTATGTTCGGGCCAATCACATGACATGATTGGATAGTGTGACCTCTATTCTGGAAAAGCCTCAAGCTCGAGTCGTGGTCCCCAACTATTCCTTAAATACCATGTGGCCCGTCCAGCAGCCTCCGTAGCTAGCAGCGGGAGCCACAGTAGTCCGCCCAGCCAGCAGGAACAGCGATATTCGCAGCGGTAGTTAGTTATGGCCCCAGCCCTAGCCCATCCAGCAACCCGCCCACCGGAATCGTATGGAGTATCCCAGTTTGGATGGCTTACGCACCATGCCACCAGAAGGCACAGTCCAGCGTACCTTACCGGGCCGATATGTGAGGTTGCAAGCCTATTAAGTTAAGTCGAGCTGACCTTGCCTAGGCTAAGGTGGACATGTCGGGTTTACTGCACTTAGTTCATGAGCTACGCTAGCGCTGTGACCTAGGCTTGCAATTGTCGCCAGGCTTGTGATTTGGGCCAGGCTTGTGATTTGGGCCAGGCTTGCAGAGCAGATTGGGAGCTAATCAGAATGCGTCCCTGTATTCCCGTCCGGTAGTTCTAGCAAGGTGTGGCACCCCGCAACCACTTCAGGGCATGTCGTTTCAGCGCGATGAGCGCTAAATGAACTTCGGAGCTTACAGCTAACAACTTCTCAGCTAATTAAGTAAATCGGATAGTCCAGGAAATTAGCAATCTCTACCTATTTATCGTTGAGTCTTCAAGTCGTAAAATGGCATTTGAAGGTGTGATACAGGAATCGCGCGGAACTTTTTGTCGCCCCGCTGTAGCACCTGGAGCATTCACTGAGGTGGGCGCGCTGGGTCTTCAGTTGACCTCCCCTATGAAAGTTCCAAGATCCGTTCACAGGTCCTTCGCCGTCAATACTACATTCAACAAAAATACAATTTCCCAAATCACTAAGAAGTGGATTGTCTATCTGACATATTGTTAAACTGCATGTACCACGTTCTATCTGCTCAGTGCGACCTTTTCTCCACAATCGTTGCTCGCGCTCAACACCCCTAGTCGCTGTCTTCATCCATGCTATCGTCCAGATATTCCATATCATGGTCGACCAGCTCATCCAGACTGTCGTTCTCCACATCATCCATCAGCCCATTCATGTACGATTCCGCGTCTTCCGGGGCGTCACAATACAGGATTGTCTTAGCATGTACTTTAGTCAACCATATTCGTCGCGCGAATTTCCAGGCTGTGCAAGCTTGCTGGACCCAGCTGTTGTCGTTTTGGTCCGGCTCTTGAAGATCTGTCCACATGTGATGTGGCTCATCAACCGGGCTCTCTCCACGTTCGATGATCGATACTTTGATCACGAGCGGATTTTCGACGTCGTAATGGGGGAGTCTGTTTCGGTAGATCTTCTTGGCCTCTGAAAGTGCAAAGCTGGCGTCGTCTGCGATTAGGGGCGTGAATTGAATACGACCCGTTTCCTTGAAGTAGCGGAACCCAAGCCAGATACCTTTCTCGGGATCAGCCCCGAGTGCATAGGCAGCCAGTTTATCACTGAAGATGGTCCACTCCTTGAACCCGTTGAGCATGAAGTCTGCTGGGCCGAACCTGGTGACAAGTGTCACCTCCTTGACGTGAGGCAGGTTGGCTTTCACCGGCCAGGGTTTCAGCGCCATGAATCGCAATCTTTCCGCCGTAGAAGCCTCGGGATACTTCGTTCGCAGCAGATTGTTCCACGGAAATCTCCAACCATCTTTCGAAATTGAAATGACTCTTCGGAAAGGGAGGGGAAGAACTAACTGCTCTCCGAAGAAACCGATCCAGGGGTCTTCGGACTCGCCTTCCCGCACCTCCACCATGGGGAGTTCCATGTCAAAGACCTTAAGGATGGCAGATTCCAAGTCGAGTCGAACTGTCTGGTCTCTGCTGCTGGCGTGAAAAGTGAGGGCATCGGGAAAGTTGCCCATCTCTACCCCAGACCCATTGTTTTCCTTGTGTCTCAGAATGCCCCTCGTCTCCGCATTGACTTGGAGGAGGGATCTCTCAGCAACGGGTGCATCCAGGATATGGTTCTTCCACACAGTCACAACCTTCTCAGACATGGCCTCGGTAAGAATCATGGTCTTGAGCTCAATGGGCAAGGACCTGTAAGGGGATCGGTTGCTCACTTCCTTGGATTCCTCCATGGTTGTAAGAAGCTCGGGGTGTGATGATGCTGTGATAGTTTTTGTTCTGTGTGGTCTGATGCGTCCTGGTTCGAGGTATCGGCGTGTGATCAGAGGTGTGAATTGTAGAAAGTTTAGATTTCCTCAGGGAGGATGAGCTAGGCTTTATACCATTTGGCTGCCTAATTACAGTGTATGATTGAACATTCGGACAGTATGACAGTGAAGGATGGATCTTTCCTCAGCTATCTTTGTCAAAGGAACATGTAGAAACAGTTAATCTTCCGAACGTACAAAGATGTTCAAGAACAATCATTTCAATATAGCTTGTTACTCGTGAATCTTGGAGACTACACAGCCAATGGCAAAATAACGCAGGATACATATATGCTCGTGCTGAGTGTAGCAGTGAAGGTTTGTCTCCACCGGTTGAAAATACTGCATGGCTTTTGTCAGACGGAGATATGGACCACAATAACGCTACCGGTAAGAGGAGTGATCATTCCCTTTTGCCGTTGCGGTTATTGCGACAGCTTTGATCTATCTGATGATCTCGAGTAATTTTTTATTTTATTTTTATTTTATTTATTTTAAAAAAAAAAGAATTACATGGAGTTTTATGCAATGCCGTGCTAATCACACCTCTCGATTTCATCAGATGTGCACTTTGATGTGCACTTCGCCCCGCCGCAGCCTCAAATTCCCACCTGCCCAACTGCAATGGTGCCTGATAATCACGGTGTTCACTTGTAACGTAAGCCATGTTCCACTGGCCTGGTATTACCCCGCCCCCAGCAGAAGGCAGATTTGACCTCAATCACATTAAATGTCAGTAGCTGAGGAAGCCCTCATCTTTCAGGTTCCATCATTTTATCCTAAAAATTCGGTCTCTTTTACAAACTACCTTGCTGGCCTGAATTCCGTCTACATCCCCGATACCACTGTCTGGCGACTAACCATACCTTGCGACCCGGAGCACGCTGTCATTCGCTGGTGGATGCGCCATGGAAGAACATCACGACACAGTTCAACACCACGCCATTTTGATCGGCATTGATTCCTACCCCGATAGACCCCTAGATGGCTGTGTACAAGATGTTCAGGAAATCAAATCCCTACTTGAAGCGCAGTCGCTGCCTATGAACATACAAACGTTGGTAGGAGTCCGCCACATCAATGACGGAGCATGCACTCCAGCTGAACACAACACGTGTTTGCCCACATACGAGAATGTGATTTCTGCTTTCCAGAACATTCTTTCTCTCGCAAACCCTGGGGATTTTGTCTACATTCACTACGCTGGACACGGGACTCGAGGCGATCCGATGAGCAAGTTTTCGAATGAATCCACAGGAGACCTCGCGTTGGTTTTGCTTGATGAAAAATCTGAGGATGGCGTGAGGCTTCTGTGGGGTCACAGACTCGCCCTTTTACTGAATGCCATGGTTGTGAAGCGATTGGCTGTCACCCTTGTTCTCGACTGTTGTTTCTCCGCGAGTGTGTACCGCAACGACAACGCCGGTGTCCGTTTTCTACCATACGACCCCAAGGCCGGTTCAAAGTTCTCCTCGGATCCGGGAGACGTTTTGGAAGATGAGAAGCTTGATCTACCTACAACCCGCGACGCTTCCATGCTACCAAACTGGCTTATCAACCCAGATGGATATGCCATCCTCACGGCCTGCGGGCCACACGAAGAAGCGATTGAATTCAAACCAAAGAATGGACCTAAACACGGCGCTCTTTGTTATTTTCTTCTCCCTTTGATCAAAAGCGGCGGCCTCACCAAAAAACACAAGGACATCTATCATTACCTGTGCGCCAAGTTCCGAGAATCTACCCTGCAACAAAACCCGGTGTTGTATGGGAACAAAGACCAAGGCTTTTTCGGTCGCATCACCGGAAAATCCACAATCACCCCAATTTCGATTGTCAAGAGGGGAAAGAGTCTTCAGTTGCAAGCGGGCAAAGCTCATGGCGTTTGTATCAGCGATCAGTTTGCTGTATTCCCCTCCGACTTGGCAGAAATCGCCTCTGGACCAGCAGGAGAATTGGTACTTGCCAGGGTCTCCCAAGTCAAAGCTTTGACATCAGATCTTGAGCTACTGGACGGATCGCCCACCATCCAAGTCCAAACCGGGTGGATGGCAAGATCACACATTCGATCTTTGCTTCACAAATTTCCGATACAGCTTGCATCCAACCTGTCAAATTTAGAGGAATGGATGGCAATTTTGGCTAAAAGATCGCTCGATGGTTATACCAGCCAGGGGCGCTCTCTGTGCTCATTTCAGGTGGTACTAAACAACGGAGAGTATGAGATCCTAGACAGTTCTGGTCAAAAAGTGCTCAATCTTCCAACCATGCCACAAGGTCGAACTGACATCAGTTACATCTGCGATATCTTGGAGCACTTAGCTCGATTCAATTTGGTCGAAAGCATTACCAACGAGACGCCCCAGGACTCTTTCCGAGATTCAATCGATGCCAAGATAATTACCCCCGCTGGCAGCATTTACACTCCAGGAGCGGTGGTAGAACTCGAACAGGACGAAAGTGCACGATACACATTCGAGTTACAAATCTCAAACAGAGGGACAGAGAGTCTTTACGCGTTTCTGTACAACATGGGACCTTTTTGGCAGGTTGAGGATCTTTACCGTGGCACATACGAAGTCATCCCACCCCAGAATCAGAGTGAAATGTTTACGGGCACATTTCGGAAGAAGTTGAAGACGAGCGTACCAGTTGAGATGCTAGACAAAGGGCACCTTCAATGTGAAGACATCATCAAAGTCTTCATCACATCTCAGCCGACGTCATTCGATCTCCTGGACTTGCCCAAGATCGACGGAATACCCAAGAAGAGTTCAAGCAGCAGGACTGGTGAAGGGGGGTCGAATCTCTCCGAGGATTGGGTTGCCCTGAATTTCCATATTCGAACTTCGATAAATGAGGAGTTTTGATCTGTTACTCAGTGTCTTGGGATATGCTAGCTTGCCACTATCCTCTGACAAAAACACGAGACATTCATTCCAAGAAGAGATCCCTAATTGAACACAGAGTACTCAACGCAATGACATCATGTAATAAAAGTCGCTTCCTTTCATCCAGAAGTGATTTGGGGACATAACAGCAAGAAAATGAAAATGCCTTCAAGATGTGACGCACTCTCAACCCTCAAGTCCAACACAGCCAAAATATTGTTTTGGTACAAGCCTACATCTGCTGATTACCTATTACGACTCAACCTCGGTTAGTGGTGGACAATCATCTGGTTGGTGATAAGTTGTGCTACCAATAAATAAAGGCGGCACACAAGGTAAAAGTAAATAAACCAAGGTTTTATGTTTCGCAATTAAACATTAAGTAACAGGTTGCCCGCAAAAGAATTGCTTATTTAGACACATATTGAGCGACATAACCGATTTCCATCAAGCTGCCTGCTCCTCCCCACGTCTTAGAGTTCGGGGCGCCTGGCTATTAGAGTTGTTAGCGTTGAGTTCCATGCACGACGGTTTAGAATCACAGTTCACGCCAACGTACCCAGTAACCGCCAACGGCGACGTTGAAAATGATGTAGAGCGGGCTCTGGCAGAGGGTCTTCCACACGGCAGCATTGCCAATTTGTGCGCCAGTGACAGTGTTGAACACCTTGCCATCAACGGACCAGGTAATCGACTGGCTCTTCCAAGAGCTGCTCTTGCGGTTGAAGTCGACTCGCCAAATGTGATAGCTAGCATCGGGGATGTTGGTAGTGTCGACAATGCCCGATGGCTCGTTGCAGATACCGCCCTGGGACACGTCGCAGTGGACACCGCCATAAGCAAGCTTCTGGCCGTTGATGTTTTCCAGGATATCGATTTCTCCGCAAGCAGGCCATTTGGTACCCTTTCGATACGAGTTGCCGAGGATCCAGAAAGCAGGCCAAAGACCCTGCTTGTGGATCTTGGCATTGCCGCCGAGGCGGAGTTTGGACTCGACTCTGGTGATCTTGCCCGCTGTAGGCGTGAAGGTGTACTTCGATTCGATGCGTCCGGACGTCCACTTGTTGGGAGCCGACGTGTCGTAGCGGGGGATCAGCTGAAGCGTGCCCTTTCCGGTGATGCGCATGTTCTTGTTCGACTTGGTGTATCTCTGATATTCAGCGTTGCCGTTCTTATCGCCCGTGATGAGGTTCCATTTGGTCGTGCTCGGCAGTGTTTCGGCCTTTCCGGCGAAGTCGGAGGTCCAGACCTTGGAGAAGCCCGCATAGGAGGGCGGCGCCAAGGCGAATGCAACGGCAAAGAGCGAGAGGAAAACGGTAAAGACGCGTTGGTAAAACATGGCTACGGGAAACGAGTGTGTAGCAGCGGGAAACGAGTGACTGTGAACTACTGTTGGCCAACAACAACCACCACGGACAAGGCAAAGGGCTGCTCTTGTACTTGTATTTAACAAACCCCCTTCTTCCAGGGGGCCCCTTCTCGGTTCCGCCAGCCAACACTCCCTTGGCTTGCCTTGCCCGACCAACAGTCACGGCCCTGGCAGGACAAGCCCAACAGGCAGGTCGTATCCATATCCTGTCCGGGGGAGATCCAATAGTCTCTTATCTGAACCAGTCAGACGCGGCTTGGCCCACTGACAGTCTCAATATGGGCAGCGTTCCGGCTGACCAACACGACGAGCCCTGGTCCGGATCCCAGATGAGGAAATGTGACAGCGCCACGCCGGCCGCCACAGTCTCGGCCAAGCCCTTTCCAGCGGCCAAACATGCCACGCGCGGCACGGGGAATGCGACGCGCCACCCGCCTGTTCGCTGTTGACCTGGGGGTCTTCTCTGAAATTCAGAGGGATCCGGTATTAATTACGGGTATTAGGAGCCTGCTTACGAGGCCTTATTTATAGCCGTCGAGCTACGGCCGAATCGGCTTAGAGGATTTGCCTTAGCGTCCGCGTACACGATCTCTGCAGATTGAGTTCGAAAAACCTGGACGACGGTCCAATGTGAGGAATTATTATCGCTCAGACGGTGCTGGCGTCCGAACTGGTCTCACATGACTGGCATTAATCAGTGCTTGGGAATCACACTGTCAGATTCAACAACATACCTACGGCACCAGCTGCCTTTGTCGTTTACAAATACCCACGCCACCACCAAGACGGGGGGCAAACCCCTGCTGATACGCCGTATAGCAAAATACATGGTCCCCAGGCCCCAGAAAGTTGATCGGTCCACAACTGTGCACATTCTACACCTCCTCTCCCACAACATGTTGCATGGTTGGCTTCGATCCCTCGCCCTACAGCCTGAACTAGTGGGGGCCAGTCAACCCTGACTGATGATGATGTTTCTCGTATATTATGCTTATTCACTTGTCCGGTCCATCCGCTCGCGTAGCCTGATTGCCTTTTATTCTGCGAACTATTGCCCAATGCGTAAAACTTGCGCCGTGCAGGTGAGCCGATCAATCCCGATTTATTGGCCAGAAATGAAACCAAGGGCTAAATTGCTTGGAATGGGGAATTAGCCTTCTGAACAAGAGGAAATACCCAAGAAAAAGCATAACGATCATTCATGCTACGCCAAGATACGAGCAAACATCCAGGCAGAACGTAAAAATTAGTTGCTAGTGGCTGCTTGTTAGGTACTATTTCGAGAACTGTCCCTTCTGCCCCTGGCCATCCACACCGCCGCTAAAGCTCTTGTGCTCGCTAGCGTCTTTGCGGGTTGACCCTGTCTTTTGTGATAGCGTGCGAGGTTTGCTAGACATTCACCACAGCTTCCCTGTCTTAGCCTCCGTCGAGTCCGCCCGATCGGGCTTATCAACAATATCGTGACAAATGATGCGGCTTAATATAGCCGCTACAGTCATCACAAACGCACAGTCAAACCACGGGCTCATTGCTTACCAACCAACATTTGGAGAGAAGCAGATATCAACACCCTCTGACTGACTGCAGCCACGAGGTCAAGACCGAGACATATCGCCAGGTTTGCTCCTCATTCTTGGATAGTTTATATGGTGTTACCCAATGGCTAATTGCTTCGAATTGCCTTTGCAGCTCAATATCACTAATAGACTCAATGTTAGTCCCAGGAACTCGAGTTCCACTTAGTCACCTCCAAAAGTGTGGGATCATGGTTGTATCCACAGCAGCAGCACAAATGATAAATGAATGAGCCTCTTGTTGCCCATCCTCGTTCGTTCTAAAAACGTTGGGAAAGGTACAAGCCAAGTAAATATATCCTCACACTTCTTATTAGAGAGTATTTGGTTTTCTCTTTAGCTTTATTCAATATCAGATAGATCAAAGCCATGCAGTATTCTCAAACAGTAGAGATAAACAGTAAGTGCTACACCCAGCACCAGAAGAAACAGTAGGTGGACAATAAGGTTGTTGCACATTGGTCTCTGCCTGAAGCTTCAATTCAACCTTTCTGAGTTCAACCCTGCTGTCTGCAGTCAACGAGACAGGATTCCGGCAGAAAGGGGAAAATAGCAGCTTGAAACCCAGACTTGGGCCTTGGCAACTGTGAAGTGCACAACGAAAATGCAGTAAATTCAAACATTAGGTTCCCTCATCGAGGGTCTCTATTAGAGAGTATACAGCGGCCCCCGCGACCCAGATTTCATCGCGAACACCCTGCTCTTCTACTCTCAACTGTCGTCCACCCTGGATCATCTTCTGGCCCCTGTTGAGGCCTTCAATTTCCGGATATCCCATGAAAGGACAAGTCGATGACTTGGTTTGATCGTTCCTAATTGCTATATCCGCAACTTTATTTGACCGCCTGGCATTTCTTGTCCCCTATGACATCAATTGCTCGGAGTAAATCCAATATACATGAACAAAAATTGCAGATCTCATAAATTTAACCCCAATTTCATCAAATCAAGTTGCTCAATGGCGGCAATACTACATGCAAGACCCGAGGAAATCAGATATCGTATTGGTACGGACTCTAATTTTCAACATTTGGAAACACTTACTTCCAACCTGGATTTCATATCTCTCCTCAGTCAGTCTTTTACGCATCATCATAATTCCAGCATCGTTTGGTAGCATATTACAGCATAGTTCAGAGGATTTGGAGTTTTGGATAGCAACCGTAACGCTCAGAATGGACAAGACAAACTCGTGTAGTTTGTAAGTAGCTGTCTCTCCTTTTAAATAGGCTGATAAGTTAGGCATATACAAGTAGTAGTATGTTTGGCCAGGGCTTAAATTATTTCAAGACCCAGTTCAGAGGCACCGCCGGGAACTCGGAAAGCCTTACTGCTAAGATCGAGAAGGTCCCGATCCTGGTAAAGGTTCACGTCTCCTCGTCAAAATGCAATCATTTTTAGCTAGCGACTTGTAGTTGTTTACAGGCCATAAACTTGTCAAGCGAGTAAGTATGAAGGAGGGGTGGTCGGAAGACCATTGGTTGTCAAAGCACACTCAGTCAGACCTGTAGAGGGGGGCAGCCGATTCCTAAGTCTGCCAGTGTGGATTGGAGTTGTGATGCCGAGACATATTTCAAGAGGAGCAGAAGTCATTCCAGAGTAAATAGCCCCGAAGGGCATCACAGCGGAGTTGGAAAGATAGCTGTACCCTTGATTAGCCTGTTGCGGCTGCTTTAATGGAAGCCAAGTGGTTACCACCATATAACATACTCACTACCCTACATAAGTAGCCAGCTACTTCCCCTGTAGTGGGCTTACTCCCTTTTCACATCAGTCGGCACAATGGATCAAATTCCGGCCTATTTCCAGTTCGGATGGTTTATAAAGTTAAACTAACAGATATGTTTTGTTAAAGAAATAGCAATACTTACCCTGCAACCAATATCAGTAAAGCGTCAATCATCCTTTGAACGAAATCATGCAAATTAACATGGATTACAACATGCCGCATATGTGTCGCAACGTTATTCATATCTCCCGTCAACATCACCGTATTATTCCCACCTCTAACCCTCAGATCTATTTCGCAAATAATTACTGCCACATTACTATACTGACCTCTATTCAGCAAATCTTCGGGAAGCTGGGTCGCATAAACTGAATCGGGCCTAGTCTTGTATGTGTCTTGAGCAAATGTGGCCGATTTCCTCTTTCTTTCTTTCTGCGTTGAATTGTGCAAAATATGAAAGCTAAGGTGGCGCCCTGGATGCAGTTTGAGAGACCGACGTATCGCTGCTGCGTAAGTGGACAGTGTGCAAACGGATTAGGGCGCGAGAGAAAAAGCCAATATCTCGTTTCTCACTACGGGCCTCTTCTACTTCTGAGGGCAAGAGGGTAAGAGCTTTTCACGCGCCTCTAGCTAGCTGAGAAATCTCATCAAACCACAACTAGCGTGACAACAAGTAGAAACAACGAAAGGTTTCGGTCGCAAGATAGCCATCGACTTGTACTCCTATTTACGATTCTTCGAAAATCTACGGTCGTGCACCCTTGCTAGCGCCGAAACCGATCCGCCCTGGCCGCTCGCTCGCATAGTATCAGTTCTTGGTAGAGGTGCCAAAACGTCCATTAATCCGCCCGATCGCTCTCTCAATCTCTCAATCAAGAGTTCATATTAAGTGCTTCCACCAAGCATGCCATCACTATGACCACTCTCTCCTTTAGCCGTCTAGTTGAGGCTCCGGAAAGTGCCCATAGCGCTCTTCCACACTCGGCTGGGTATAGTCAAGACTGGAGGGGACGGCGAGCCAGGCTTTTTCATTAAGTCTTTTTTTGCCGCAGCCATCCGAGTGGTCAAGTCATGGATCATGCCAATTCAAGAGTGTGGAGAGTGACACCTCTAGGCAACAACCAGTGGCACTTCGATGACGGGCAGGTGTATTTAGTCGGCTAGGGAAATCAACTTGATAGAAATACAAAAGTCATGAATAAGCTGAAGGATGAAGGACTATCTGACAAGGTCTGGGAACACACTCGAGTAGTGTTTGAGAAGATGCATCAGTCAAGATAGTACCTAGTGATCCAGGGCTACAGCTCATTCGCGCAAGGTGGTCTGCTCTACCAGTAATCACCACCCTACGAGTGATCCTTTCGGAAGGTGCCAACTATAAATATAACCCCTCTGGGATTACCACTGGCTTAACCCATTAGCCCCTTAGCCATCAATAAAACTTGGTTACTTGGTTAGTCGGTTCGGAGGCACCGCCCTGCAGTGCCCTCAAGGCCTACCTCAGGAACGGCTCTGCAAAATAAAATGGACGGTCTTTGGGCTAAGTTCACGTCGGGCCCGGCTCCCGACTTTTCTCAGGATCTCCAAAGTGGCGATCTGACTCTGGAGGGTCTAGATTATCGTTTTTGGCGTCGTTCTGGTCTTGCGAGTCGAATTTCTTATTCTTCTTATCAGCTTGCTTCATGCCTTCGGTAGACAGTTGCATGTACGCTACTAAGAAATGGTACCAATCGAGCAAGTTGACGGACAGCAGGGAGATAACCCATTGCGGACTTCAAATGGAGGAAGAACAGAGGAAGCAACATAAGGGAAGGTTGAGGCCGCGCCAGAGCTAAATGCAAGGTGGTTACTTGGTGCAAATATCGCCGTTACCGTAACATGGATGTCGCCCTCGGATCCACGTATTCGTCATCCCAAGATGACTGCAGACTCTAATAAGCGTAAGTGGATGGACTCAAATGGCTCACACGAATGCTACGGGGCAGCGAAGAATAAAGTTGGCTCCAAGCCGCATTGACAGTTCACGACCAACCGTTACGCCAGCATGGCATCGATGGCAGATAAAACGATTGCCGCCCGGTAGCTACCAGTGTGCTCTCGGAAGCCGGGGTCTACATGAGAATGCAGCGAGCCTCCAAACAGGGAGCCGCAGGGGCTGTGCAACTGTAGGAGGGTTCCCGGTGCCAATGTGCATGGAGATGGTTGGTGTTGTTTTACCAATCATAGTTCGATGTGGCGTATATCCGGGAAAGCCGTAAACGAGGGTAAACGAGATGCGAACGAGGGCTATATGGAGTAAGCAAGCGCCTAACCAGGGTTCGGATTGCGTACGTGGCGGAGTGTCTCCACTGATAGCCTGTAGCCCGGCCTCTAGCCTGGTTTTAATGATGCTGTAAACGAACGCGAGAACCCGATGGCGATGCGATGGCGATGCGATGGAGATGCGATTTTAGAATGGATTTGAGAAAAGAGGTGGTGGTATTTATTATCTGCGCGTCCGCCTAAGTAATTGCCATTCATCTTCAACACCGCATTCATTCTCTCAGCACCTCGGTTGAGTTCCTTTGCAAAAGTACACGGCTATCAAGTCTTTCTCTCCCCTCTGCCATCATGTCAACTCCGGAGGAGGAATTCAAGCTCTACCACTATGACCCGTCGACGGGGGCAGCGGTCACCTTCATCATCTTCTTCTTGGCCATAACGGGTATACACGCGTATCAGATGATCCGCACGAAGACTTGGTTCTTCACCGCCTTTATTATCGGCGGCTGCTGTAAGAGACAACGATGTTGTGTTAGATGCTTTGGCTAACCAAGTGTTTCTCGGCAGTTCAATGGATCGGTTATATTGGGGTAAGTCCCTCCAGCCGGCGGCTTCCGACTTCCATTCTGACTACATACAGAGAGCAATATCGAGCAGACAGAGCCCCGACTGGGCACTCGGCCCTTACCTTATTCAATCCGTGTTACTCCTCGTGTCGCCTGCCCTCTTTGCCGCCAGCATCTACATGATACTCGGACGAATTATCCTTCTCACCGACGGCGAGCCACATTCGATTATTAGAAGGACAGCTGACAAAGATCTTTGTCTGTGGCGATGTGTTGTCCTTCGTCATGCAAGGAGCTGGTAAGGTCATGGCAGCTCTTTTTGCCCGAACGAGGAGCTAAATTACATACAGGTGCGGGTATCATGGCCAGCAACTCAGAAGGATCAATGTCGAGAGGAGAGCGTATTGTGACCTGGGGCTTGGTGGTACAGGTCGTCGTCTTCTCGCTGTTTGCTGTTACAGCTAGCATCTTCCACAAGCGAATGCGGCAGAACCCAACGACCAAAGTATTGGCACAGAACCTCCCATGGCAGTCGCATCTCATGGTTCTTTACGGCGCATCACTGCTCATTATGGTTCGGTCGGTGTTTCGACTAATTGAATACGCGCAGGGAAACGATGGATACCTGATTTCGCATGAAATCTTCCTGTACCTTTTCGACAGCGTTTTGATGTTTGCGACAATGGTTGTGTTTGCGTGGTATCACCCGAGCGAGGTATATGCGCTTCTGAAAGGAACCGGGGGCATGGCAGTCCGACGGCTGACTTCGGTCTACTCAATGGCCTGAGCATAGCCGAGTCTGGAAGAGGGACCCCGGAGATCGGCAATCCTACTCACAGTCCAAAAGTTGACTTTAATTGCTTGAGCCTGGCCAGATCGAAGGGGGAGGGGAGCAGGAGGGAGAGGGATGAAGCGGATGTACTTGTTTTTGTTTTTGTTCCCAACCCAGTCGTTTAGATGAAATTTCATATGTACTCCTTTTCGCCTTAGTCTATTTCTATATATAAAAAGCTACTAGATTTTACAAAGAACACGTAACATTGTTCGCAACGGATGCAGACAATGTTCTCGCCCATTCGGTGTGAGAAGCCCACTCGGGGTCGATGGAATGCAGAGACTGTGACAGTTCATCGATAAGATCAATTCCAAAGTTTTTACCCCACCATCTGTCATGAACCTCAAGGGCTAGAGCACCATAATGTATGCAGATAAGAATGGCTATTGGATCTCCTTGTTTGAAGAGTTCAACAAGCTCGTCCGTTACTTCTACTGGCCAGCCAGCTACTACAGCCACCTTTGGACCTTGGGCAACCATGTCAAAGCTCGTTTCAAGACTTTTAATGCCTGACAGGTAGGCTTGATGTGATTTCGGGGTGGAATATTTTCCGACGGCGCCTGTTTGCTCACGGAATTCAGCCATGGCTGCCTGAATGCCGTCTCTTTTGAGGCTAGGTGGACTCGGAGAGTTTGAAACGCTTGAATTGCTGGTCGGATCCACCAACGCCCCAAGGGGGCCGGTTCTTATCGAAATTTCCGAGGCGAAGACTATCGTTCTCACTCCTCTAAGCAGTTGACAGATGGAGACAAAGGTGTCGGAGACGTTGGATACTTGGTGTCCTGACGAGATCGCGAAAGCTAGGATGGTGGTGACAATCGAGAATGCGAATACAGCCGTCGCGCTTTCTTCCGAAATAGAATCCAGAGCCTCCTTGAAGGCATTGAGTCCTGAGTTCTGGTACTGGATGGCAACCTCGGTGTAATGTTCTTTCATGGATTGATCAAGGAATGCCAGGTGAAGCGATGCCAGGGCAAGCAGCCCATCCATGGGGAACCCAAACTTCATGGCTTCTCTGGGAACGACTCTCTTGAACACCTCGACCGACTCTAGGGAATCGACTAGCGTGTCACAAGTCTCGGTTGCGTAGTGGTGCATCATAAAAAGTTCATTTAGCCTCCTTTGATGCGATGAGATTCGGTTGGACACGGTTGGTACGGATAATCGCTTGTCGAGTCTGGTAATATCTCCCGCAGCGACATCCGGCTTCAAGCTGCACTCCTCTTCCCGATCCAGACATCTTCTGCATGGTTTTTCTTCGTCACACTAGAGTGGACTTCGTAGCTACCTCAGGGGTCTCAGGAATTATAAATATACCTTGACGTGCCGCCGTTTGCATTGAATGCATCCATGCCGGGATTTTCGATGTGGTTTTCGCGGAGGAGGCATGTTGGACCTCCAGGGCCAGCAGCCTACGGCGCTTGGTGTCGAGGCTGGACACGAAGAATGGAAGAACGCCTCGGACTAGGCACAAAGTCGAGTCCAAGAACTTTGGCTGCGTGCAGGTAAGTCACCTGATTGTCGGACTTCAGGCGGCAGCCGGAGTATTCGCTGTAGAGGTTAAGACACTGACAAAGATTGCTGATGCACTTGGAGAGTTCTCGGTACTGTCTCCAGGGCTCCAGGATGAAGAAAGACGATGCGTAACATCGCTCAGCCACTTTTGGGGAGCGCACGGCCATGGAATGGAGGTGGCTGGTACTTGTTGTTCAATGCCGGAAAGACACTGGACGATGATGCCCCGTTATTCTTCACCCACTCTAAACGAATGGAGACAAGTCGTAAGCATTAGGCAGACTCTAAATTTCTACAATGCGGACGAGCGGATGAGCGATTACCCCATCGGTCACTCCCTCACAGTGATAGGGAATTTTAATCTTGGGTGAGAATGCCTAAACCTGGCCGGGTCAACCTAGCTTGGATGATTGCGTTGTGCAACCGAGAGTCAATTCAACGCACTGTTGAGGCTTGGTCACGGAGGATACTTGAGGTTCGTGTTGAAAATGTAGAGGGCAGCATTGATGAGGAGCTATCTCTAGGACAATCCGGAACGTGGTCAATAGACAGCAATTGAGATACTCAAATTGTAATGTTCTTGTATTTTCAACGTTTACATTGAAGTAGTGGGGTTCTACATATGGTTGGGCTGGGTGAACAGAACCCGGTGGTGAACCATGCCCCCAAAGAGACTTGACCCATTTGCCCGCAGTGTGGCTTTTGTTAGATCCGAAAATACCCGATGTGCATAAATCCAAGACGTCACTTGATAGTTTCGTTTTGAGGCTCATGCGTGCCAGGTAGCGTCCCTCGTTGAACTATGGTCCCTTCAGTCTTACTAAAAACAACTAACAACAACCACCTCCCTCCTCCTGTACACTAAAAATCAGTCGATTCCATCCCCCAATGGCCAGACTTGTGCCTTGAAATTGTCACGTCACCTAAGCATGACCGACCGAGGGTCCGAGGCTGACAACAACGTCGATAGCAGACTAGTGGTAAAAGAAAGGAGGTTCGCTCGGTTGAGGCCACACTGGCTAAGGAATTGGGGACACGGCTGTGGTATTGTGAGGGGACCTCGGTATAGAGGACGGTAATCGGTAAGTAACAGTGATAGAGAAGTGGAGCATTGAGAAAACTGTGTAGGTAACCTGAATGTATTCAAATGTCTAACCAAAACCAAGAAGTGAATAGTTGATGTTATATCCGAGTCGAGCGCATTAATGAGCATTCCTCTTGACCTTCTCAGGTTCTAAGCCTTTCCTTCTTTCACAGACTTTGCCAGCGCCACTTTCATTTGCTGATAGACACCCTTACCATCCCCGTTCAATAACTCCTGGCAGTAGGCTTCCAGAGTCTTCCCTTCCAAGTCTGGATAGAGCTCTTTGGCGTTAAGATATCCCAGGTAACGGGCATACTCGGGAGTGTTGTCTCCTCGAATCCCCCAGGTGTGCCAATATTGGAACTGGGCCAGCTTGTAGAAGGCTGGAGAATCCGGTGTAACATCTGAGGCCGCTGCTTCAGCTGCCCCGGCCAGGATGTCCTCAACTGGGACCTAATATTGCGCTCGTCAGTTTCAAGGTCCCGGCATTTCGTAGATTTAGGCTGACAGGTCGGATATACGTACGTAGTTGCGCTGGATGGTTTCGCCGCTGACCCTTTCGAGCAAGTCATACACCTGGGTTTGCGTGAGCAGCTCGTTGTACGCGAAGACCATTTGGTTCAGTGTGCGGGGGTCAGCAATGATGCGAGCAACGTATCTTCCGACGTCCCGTAAGTCCGTCAAGGCAGACGGCACGCTTCCGTCTCCGGCAATGGCATCTGGCGCCCCCACGAGAGCGTAGTCGAGGCGGCCGGAGGGGAGGGCAGGCAGGGTGAGTTGGAACCACCAGCCAACGTCAATGATGGTGTACGGGACATAAGTCCTCTTGATATGGTTGATGACATCTTCTTTCTATATGGGGTTTCGTCACGTTGGCCTCGCCAATTCTGGGCGGGATAAATTGAATCAACGTACCATGTCTCTCAGGCGGAGGATGCCTTTGGGAGGCGCAATGGTGGCAAAGCTGCAGGGTACGAAACGCTTGATACCGCAGCTTTGCAACTATTGATGAGTGGAATCTGGGCCAAAAGCTGGGGTGCGTTGCTGCGATGACAACTTCCATGCCCCTGAGTAGCTTTGTGAGCTCCTCTTCGGGACCATAGATGTCAGCGGCTGCGACTTTGACACCCCGTTTCTCCAAGGCAAGAACCTCTGGTTTCTGGAGAGAGGAGGGTCTGACGAGTGCGGTGATTTCCTAGCCGCAAAGGTATGGGTATTTAGCATGTCAAGTGCAGCATATGGAGGAAGAAGGTCGCACATATCGAGGGTCTACTGATTCGAGAAGACCGTTGAGAATAGAGGTGCCGGTCTCTCCGGTCGCGCCAAGAATTGCCACCTTCATATTGGGTTTGTGGTGTTTGATAAGTTGGTTGGGGATGCTGATGGGGCTGTGCCTCAAGTTAGAGTCAGTCGATAGAGAAGAACTTGTCGTTTGGATCGTGGGTGACAACTCCAGATTGATCATGGTGACCCTTTGTTTAAATGCGTTGTCGTCGGGGCATGGTTAGGCCATGCCGAGTCCGCGGTTTATAATCAATGGACATTAATTTGTCTTCGAAGTTTCCTAAAGCAGCTTAAATGACTTGCCTGTTGTTCAAGTGCATTTCACGTGCCAAATAGTTGATTTTCTAGAAATTTTACAGATTATAATCTTCGTCTCCATAGAGGCGGAAGCGTCCGTCTCGCTCAATGATGTCAAATTCAGAGCTCTGAGAAGCGCAATGCTTTCGCTTCCATCCCACACTATACAACATATGAGACGTAGATTTACCAAGTCACCGCGGTACAGACATGGTGGACATGGACCAGCGCCTAATCATTGGGCGAGCACGGTCGTGCCTAATCCTGGTTAATGAGACATTGGATCGTGTCACTAAGATTTAGACTTCCGAGTACGAGAAAGCGAGTACGAAGCGCTTGAGGACAATCCGCTAGTGCTGTGATAGTGGAGTCCTGTTGCTGTGGTGGTACAAAACTCAATAGCAATTGTCCACCGCCGTATTTAGTCCGCGTTTCGGCCGTGTGTCGGCCGCTTGGAAGACTCCGAGCGCGCCTACCACAGGGCGCAACATAGTTAAAACTTCAAATCAATTTTCGTATTCAGCGACGGCTCCGCTTGTGCCATTCCTTGAGCCGGACTGCCTAAATCCGCAGTCATCTAGTGCAAGTACTCCTCCTAACCCGGTATCTAGTCACAATGACTCATTTTGCATACAAGTTATTCATACCTATATTAATATATAGAGTAATCCACTTATTTATATACTGTGAATTATATCCAGAACCTACCCTCCCAGGGACCGGGCATGATTCACGGCCGTGGCATGGGAATGCAATATCTGGCACCATGGAATGAGAGGATTTAGGGTAAGACCACCCCAAGCGAGAATGGGCCTATATGGAGAGGAGGCGCCATTCGGTTAGGGAGCTAATCTTGGTCTGATGTAGCGTGCAGTTCGAAGGAAATGGGTTTTTAGCTGGCTGCACACAGTCAGGGTCGAGCCGGCTTCGGCTGGATCTAAACATTTCGGTGCAAAGTTTACTAATATCTGGAGCAAGAAAGATAGTATCCCCCTCTGGCTGACTGCAGCCATAAGGTCTTTGAGACCTACTGCCAGATTTGCTCGTCTATTGTTGGACATTTTGTGTAGTATCACTTGCATAGTTAATTGCTTCACATTTGATTGTAGATCAAAGACTATGATTGGATCCAATATTATTTTTCAAGAACCCGAGTTCCACCTAGTTACCTCCAGCAGTACTGCGATTATGCTTTTATCTCTAGCGACAAGAAAAATGATGCGTATTGAAATATCAATGGGCACAAAAAACAATCTTATTATAGAGAGGGTAAATCCCCACCAATTCTAGCTGGTGACTACCTTTGACATTTTAACGCACCCATCATTTGTCTCCTTTGATGACTAGTCACTGGCCTGATCACCCGAACACCCTAAACTTCTCGAAGAATTTCCCCATAGACGTGGCAACTGTTTCCTCATTCGTCTCAATAGCGAAATGACCTGCGTCTAGCCACTGCAACTCAAAATTCTCCACGTCTTTCTTGAATGCCTCTGCTCCTGGTGACACAAAAATCGCATCATGCTTTCCCCATATCGCCAGGACGGGAACCTTAGATTTGCGGAAGTATTCCTGGAATGAGGGGTACAAGCCGATGTTGTTGCGGTAGTCGTAAAGCAGGTCCAGCTGCACATCTTTGTTTCCCTTCCTTTGCATGAGGGCATGGTCAAGATGGTAGCTCTCAGGCTCGATCCGATCTGGATGTTGAGCTCCATTGGTGTACTGCCATTTGACCAAATCTAACTCCAAAGCAGGCCTGAGTGCATCGCGATCCTCTGTAGATCCCGAGTCCCAGTACTTCCTGATTGGGGCCCAGAACTCCTCTCCAAACCCTTCGACGTAGGCGTTCCCGTTCTGACTAACAATAGCAGCAACCTTGTCAGGGTGCTTCAGAGCCAGGCGCAAGCCAGTTGGTGCACCGTAGTCAAAGATATAGATGGCGAACTTCTCCAGCTCTAGAGTGTGTACAAAGTCATCGATCGCCGTGGCGAGGTTAACGAAGTTGTAAACATAGCCGTCTGGGACGACAGTGAACCCATATCCCGGCAGGTCTGGTGCAATGACTCTGTAGCCCTGATTGGCTAGTAGAGGTATCAAATTGCGGAATTGGTGAGAGGAGGACGGGAATCCGTGGAGGAGAAGGATCGTTCCTTTAGCGGTACCAGTTGGGGCAGCGTGCCGGTAGAAGATTTTCGGACCACTAGTCTTCGCATACGAGACACGCATGGTGTGAGAACCCATTTTCGTTTTAACTTGGAATAAGTGACGTGATGGCGCTTGAGAGGCAGTCGTGCTTGATGTTGTGGAAGAAGGATGAAAGTAATGAACATCTACCACAGTCGTCTAAGTGCGACAGGTTTAGAATTTATATTCCTGTTCTCACATTTTATCATTTTACATTATGTTTAATTGTAAGTGTACTGATACAGAAAAGATTCCAGGGTTGCGCGATTACGGTGCTTGATTGCTCATCTACGCCTTTATAATGTCATTGATGTGGAATCTTGGTCTCATCGCGCGTCTGATTAATCATCATTGAACCAAGCGAGCTGACAGTCAGGCAAATAGTGTGGACAAATTTGGTTAGCAACACTCTATGGTGCATACCCTCATCAGGATGACTGCACTATGACGACGAATGATGAGCTACCCCAAATCTCAAATCTCACAGACATGTGACGAGCCCAAGGACAACTTTCGTGCGAACTTCAATAATGGTGTAAAATACCTAGTCCCGAAATTTTGATGGGCATTATCCCCGGCAGGGTCCTTGCTTATCCCTGTACATAATACCTACCTCGGGAAGATGTGCTCTGGTGATGACAAGCGACCAGAAGAAACAATTAATTCCCCAAATATTGACACTCCAACGAGTTAGATGGATGGAGTACAATTTCTGGCGTATTCCATGACCTACCAATCAATAGATAAGTGGAAGGGCATGCGATCATACAGATAGAATTGTGGGGGACCAGACTTGCCGGCGGCATGGCTTCGCCCAGCGCTCACTCATTGCAACAGAATTGGGGAAGGATTGACGGGAGGAGATTGCTGTTGCCGGGTTATATGGCTGCGCCTTCAGCAGTGGTGAGAATCCAGGGGTATATACGAGAATATCCCAAGAAGGTTCAAGCGAAGGAGCTTGATCCCGGGTTTCGTCGCTGACGAGGTGAGCATGCGGAGTACACGTAGCAGCTGCTGCCTATTTCTTTATTGCAATGCCGTCTCGCGACAATAAATATAAAAAATGCCCCCGACAGTCGTCAAATAACCGTTCACAATTGAAATTGAACCCTCCTGTTCGGAACCAGACTCAATAGCGATGGCGTTCAAAAAGTTCGACGCAGACGCCATCCTAACTGATCGATCACTCCCAGATGTTTATCGCTCACTTTTCGCATTGGCCCAGGAGTTCGCTATCCTGGGCCACATCGAAACGGCCAAAACCATGATATCTATTCTCCTCTCAGAATACACCTCCGATTGGCAGCGGCGCCAGATCCGATACCTGAGACTTGCCTTTGCGGAAGCAAACCAGTGGCCAGAGGAAATTCCCTCGGACGAGAGAACCGAGGAAGCGCTGAACAAGATCGAACCGCAGATGCCACCAAATGTCAACTATGCAGCCCTAGATTCTCAGAATGATGCTGCCAAGCTGGAGATGTTGTTGAAACATGCCGACGGTGAAGATGCGACCACAGGCGGTGGGGCGATGCAGCGCAGCAGTACACTCGCAGATGCCTTGGTCGTCGCTATCCGAATCGCGTCAGAACATGCTTCGTCTTTGGAAGGAATTGAAAACCACCAAAAGGTCCAGGAGGTTCTAGGCCACATCTCGAAAAGGCTATCCGCAAATCAGCAGATTCAATACCTCACCGAGCGCCGAAGCATCTGGCCTCTTCTTTTATCGGGGGCGTTGTCTCGAAGCATCCCGGTGGACACCAACAAAGTCAACGCCCTCGCTAAAGAAGCCATCGAAACATTCACCGAGCGTCTCAAGAATGGCCGAAAATCACATCCAGTTGAAACTAAATCGATCAAAGAGCTTCTGATCGAGCTGGAGCGCAACACTGTGGCAAATGTTGAAAGAGACGCTCTCGAATTTGGCGGGCAAGTTCCCGAATCCCTTTTCATTCTTCCACCAGCCACAGACGACCAAATATCTACCCTTGAGCACAAGCTCAATGCCAAGTTGCCAAGCGACTACAAGGAATTTCTCAAACTTAGTAACGGATTCGGTGGCACATGGAACGGGTACTACCTCGACCCTCCTCTCGATGGGGTTGACGACATTGATTGGGCAGATGTGTATACTGAAGATGCGCCCATTGAGTTGCATGAGACTCCAACTGGAAATTTTGACCTAGATCCGTCCGAGGAGGGTGAATGGCCAATCTACGAGAAAGCTCTGCAGCTTGGAACGGAGGACATATTTGATATCTGGTTCCTGCCACCACAAGAAACCAAGAAGGCACTCGAGGCCTACAGGCAAGTATTGAAAAGTCCGGAGGTATCAGAAGAGAAAAGGGCTCAAACGCTGAAGCTGATAACTTCGAAATATGGCAGTTGGGAGGCATTTGAGAAGCTGGAATGGGTCGTGGTGGAGATGAGCCACGGTGAAGACACGTCTTGTGGCAGCTTTACTCAGTTCCTGCAGGAGAAAGTGAACAGATCCGCGAAAGGAATGTGGCAAGGAGAAGGTGAGATTGAAGAAGGCTGTTTTGCTTACAGCTGCAAGCCTAGTGGTAACTAGGTATTAAATGGCATTTTTATTGAGGCAGACTCACAAGGCCACGAATACCATGTCGTGACGATATGAACAACAGTGTGATACGATTTCTTGGGCGGCCTTGGCCTAGGGCGTCACGTCCCGAATGGATTGTAAGTAAAATCCCCAGAGGGTCAGTCACTAGAGCCTGTAAGAAGGCATAGAGGTGATTGTATCGGTGATGACGATTGCAACCCAAATACGGTGATGGATAGGAGTTGCGTGTGATCTATTCCAGTCCCACTCTCCAAGATGGGCGGGGTGGTCGTGGACATAATCTATTCTTCGAACATGTGAAGTTGAGACCGATGCATTCCTATCAAGTTCGTCATTTTCAGAAGTATAAAGTGTGTGAACATATGTCCATCCCAGCCAAACTTCTTTGCAGACATGATTTCAACTCTGTGCCCAACTATTCGCGGCCGAAGAGGGAGTAGCATCCAAACATATGCCCACCCCGAACTCAATCTCGACGACTAAGTTCCACCTCCTCCAAGAAAATACAACACACTTATTCTACCCTTGGAGGAAAAATTAATACGAGGATCTTTACTGGCAAAAGACCCGAGTTATGGCCTCACAGGGAAGTGATTGATGATGTCTTGGGGGTTGGCTTGGCGCGCTGCCTGCAATTTCAGGCAGAATGCTGAAGCATCCACAACGGCCCCGACCATCGGCGGCCACAATCAATCTTCAACGTCCAACTCTCACTTCATGGCTTTACGCTCACCAGGAAATCTGGAGGACTAAACTCCCAGCTCATATCCTCAAATTTCCAAATCCGGCCGACTCTCACTCCATGGCTACGTGTCTGTGCAGCAACATCAGCCACCTGGCGAAAGATTTTGACGATGCCAAGGCCAAAGATCTTACTCCTGAACTGAACCGGCATCTGGCAGCAATTCGATCGATACTCGCCAAGTCGAAACCGTTCGCCCGCGATGTCCAGTATCACATCGCGCCAAATAATCACCGCGCGATGAAGGTCCTCTCTGTCCAATCCATCGACATGACGAGAGTGAATCAAGTCTGTGAGAGGTTCAAGAATGATCCGAACGGGTTCTGGACTGCATCTGACGATGTGGTTCACGCGGAACTGCGTCGGAGACTGGTTTGTATTATCATATTTCTCAGATCAATCCTGGATCCGGAAGCCTTGGTTCCACCTCACATTGCTCGGTTCGTTCAAGGACAAAAACATTCCGAGCTTCGTTATGCCGGCAAGAAATACCTTAAAATAGCTCGTAAGCTGGACGGTATCGGATCAGTCTTCTGCCTTCCTCTGGACATCCCTTCATCAACGTAAGTCCTCTTCGCAGTTCCACCACCAAATTCTCACTAGACTAGGTATGAGAGATACGTCAATATGGACGATGAAGAGGTTTTTTCTCACCTGGCTACCGTATGCCCCGCGGGTCACGGATATAACGAATACCTGAAACGCCTGATTTCAAGCCAAATTAATGGTAGTTCTTCTCTCATTCTGCTTTGTTATCTTGTGTTCTTATCGCTAATAGCCTCAAGATTCTTCGTTAACACTATCGTATCACAATCTATTTCTCGAGTACGGTGATGTCCTCCCAGACTCAGACCAGCTGATGTTGCTGCTCCACGCTCTCGGTGGCTTAGAGGTCCCCACAATCCTCTTCAAAAATATACGTTTTCCCCAAAGGCGCTGGAATGTCGAAGGTGAAATCCAAAGCATGGACGCAAAGGAGTTTGGTCTTCCTCCTGAGCTCATAAGTCACTTGTCGGACGATAGTCGTCTCGCCCAGGCTGCCGCATGTCCAGCTATTATTCAAAATCTCCACGAGGACGGCACAATCACTTGGTCTCTTCGACCTGAGCCAATGACTTTGTTTTCCGTCACTTTACTTCCCCAGACAGTGGAACATTTGGCCATTCTGGTACTGAGATTGATATGTTTTGTCTGCCCTCCTTGTTTTGAAGGCAACATCAGCTGGTATGGCATATTCCCACCAAAGTGTAACTTGCTGCTTACAATTAACTGACAGGTCCTCACAATTGAAGAAGTATATTTGGCCATTACTGGACAAAGCATCAGAAGGAAAGAAAATACCACCCTCTCTCAAAATTTACGTTATCGAGGCCTTCTTGTACTTCTCCGAAAGGGATGCATTCGCTGTTCGTCGCCTCGCCGTTGAAAAGGCTAGAGCTCTTCTTCGCAAATCGATGCCCTACTCCCTCCATGCTTCGGTGGCACTGTTTCAGAGCATTCTTTGCCGCCTCGATGGAAACCTCACCAAGTCAGACACCAAGATACGAGAGTTTTTCTGCAAATCTATGGATCCTATTACTCGCAACGATCACGCGCTCACTGGAAGGCTTCACATCTCCCAGATTGAGAACAAGATTCAGCGCTGTGATGATGACGTCGCCTCTTGCATCCTTAGCTGGCGAGGGGAGCACCCATTGTCAACTCTTGAAATCGAAGTCACGCGTCGGCTCCAAAGTACGGCGGCAAAGTTCTTTCAGTCGATAGGGGACTTTCAAACGGCACGGGCTTCCCTAGAACAGTACTTGTATCTGAGCCCAGCAGAACCAATACGAGTTACTACACGCCGTCTTATCATTGGGAGACTCGCAGACATATACTCTGAGCTACAAGACTACGGGAAGGCCATGGAAATCCTTCAGCCAGAGTTATGCAATTTATCCGACGCGGAAAAGAAAGGCCGTCCCGTGAGACGCCTATTATTGGCATCAGTGGAGGCCAACATCGGACTAGGCAGGCAGGATATTGCAGAATCAATACTCCAAGAGCTAGTTGATGTTGAGCCGCCTGGGCTTGACGATATTACCGACCAGTTACTACACATGCGCAGGCTCATAGCTGCAGCGCGCACAGTCCATGAGCGACTTGAATTCGCCGAGGCCTTGGAACGGTGGAAGTTTGCTTTGGCGAAGATTGACCAGCTTGCGACATTCAAATCCAGGTATTCTTTCACCGCGGCCATCATTTATTTGTCCATGGCTCATGCTCAACTACACATCGGCGATAGTGAGGGCGGTAGGCAATCGTGGACCATTGCTGCAGAGATATTCAGGAGCGAGAAGTGCCAGTACTGGATCCCAGTCGCTGCTACTGCATGGCTGCGGAAGATTGTCAGCGCGATATATCAGTTACAGGGCTGGCCATTCAGGATGATGCTGCCAGGCAGAAAGCCGGACGTCACATGGCCATGAGAATGTTACGGCTTTATGCTCATGAGTAATTACCATTGGTTGGGGGGAAACACGAGAGTAATGTCACTTGTGAATTCTCACGAATCTGAATATTGAATAGAGACATGTATCGGTGTTGAATTGAGGGTGAATGACATTTTCCCGGCGATGTGGAACGTCAAATTGAGTCACTTGGAAGAGGTGAAGAGGTCAGGATTGACCTTGGGGCTAATGAGGACCTTAATTTCTCAATTTTCTTTAAGAGTAACCGAAATAATCCCTGGTCCGCAGCTGCATGCACAGTCGAGTCATGCATACCCCGACGCACTCAAAACCGCGTGCATCCCCACGAGCGAATCTACTAAATAAGACCACATGCCATACCAAGACACCCAGAATCCACCGCCAAGCTACGCACGCCGAGCAATCGACCCCCACGATCCGGCAATCTCATCTCGAGAGCGGCGTCTTTGCTCACAGTGAGGAACACGTGCTGGACATTCCCTGCCAACCCTGAAAACTAGCGGCTCGGCGACGCATCAAGCGCGGAGCTACGCGGTGGAGATGGGTCGTGCTAACAAGGACCCGTCCCGGCATATTTCTCACTGTGAGGAACCAGCTTCGGAAGAACCCTCCACTGCAGGGGTCAATGACACACATAACTCTCACTGTGAGAGAAACTGGCCTCCAAAACCCTCGCAGACAGGGAACTGTTCCCACATCTTCCACGCGGAGGGCGACGCTTAAGATCATGATCCACCAGCTGATCCTCCTTGTTCGCACACGATACCGGTACCGGTATGTTGATGCGTGTGAGCTACCGGTTTTCGCCTGACAGGACCCCTAATGCTAATACCTATGTTCGGAGCTCCGCCTAACCCCGAGTCAAGCTCAGTCGGTGCTATTCCGCTTGCACAGTACTTACCCTATACACAGATATCAAGGAAAGTCAGGTTAAGTCTAGTTATGGTTGTGGTGTGTTGACGCCATTAAATTATAATTGCAGTATCCTTAAAATCCTTATTCCGAATTAAAGCAAGAATATGAACATTATACGCGGATAGCTTAAACTGGAGGTCCCGGTAAGCTCCTGCAATGCACGGTTGGGTGTCACACAGGTAATGCTAGGCTCCGATCTGCAGACATGGCCTATCCAAGACCCGACAAGTCAATGCATAGTCAATCGATGGGCCCCAAGACATGACTTCAACTAGGTAAGATGCATATTATAGTACTTTGCCACGTATTCTGTACATTTGACATGCCGCTCCAACACTACTCAAACAGGAACTTTGCAATGCATGTCTAAATATTGGTTGTTGTCCATCGCACTTAATCAACGAAACATATCCACATCCTTGATCCACAGCAGAAGTACCCAATTTACCATGGCAACAATTGCCATACCCCACAACGGCATTCCAACATAGTTGTGCTCTAATCCCCAGCCGAGAACTGAACCACCGATAGTCGGTCCCATGATACGAGCAGCGCTGGAGGTGCTTGAAGCAAACCCGTGAACTGTGCCGAGCAGTGTAGGAGATGGTGCTGACTCGTTCACCAAGATCATTGTTGCTGGCCCACAAAAGACTCGAGAAATAACATGGATCGACAAAACAACTGTGAGGCATGACCAAACAACGGCAGCCTTCGTTGGAAGCAGAACAAGGTACGGCAACACGAAGTATGCCACAATGCTGAGCGGGAGGAAAGCACGGTACGACGCGAGAACTCCGAGCCGATCGTTGATTCGGGGATAGACAAACAGCTGCAGAGGGATCCCAACGGTGCCGATAATCGTATTCGCGAAGCCGATCTTCTGGCTAGAAAGTCCAAGTCCACCAGCGAAGCGGAACGGCAAGCTGGCGTTCGAGTTGTCTGCTCTTGGTGTTGGCAGGAGGACGAAGAAGACCGAATTGAATGCCGAGACGTGGAGAGACTGCAGGAACGATTGAAGCAGTGTGATGCACACATTCCTCGTAAATATCGATCTGAATGCTGGCCGCTCCTTGATTTGGTCTCTCTGGGGTCGCGTCTGTTCGGCTTCATCGTCCATTGGAACTGAGATGGTCGCATCATCGTCAAGCTCGTTCTGAAGTGGGTCATAGGAATAATCGGATACGCGCTTCCTCAATATCTTCTGCGTGAGCATTTTGCCAAGTTGTCGACCACGGTCTGGCTTGTGCCGCAATACCGGATGTGTTTCGTCAAGTCCTAGGATAATACCCAGGGCCGCGGTGATGAGGATTAGAGCAGAGAACAAGTTGGGGAGCGCATAAGGAAATTTGGCCATCCATTCCACGCCGTCTTTGCCGCCAAAGAAAGACCCAGGTCCGAAAATGCCAGGGAGCGATGTAACAGGCTCCGCGAGGAAGCCGCTCAGGAGAGGTCCGATGATGGCGCCGACGTTGAAGCACATTGGCAGGAGGAGAAAGGCGCGGGATTGATATCTTCGAGGGTCAGCATGTAGTTTTATCCCGGAACATGGGATGCGCCATACCGTTTGTCGAGAATGACCTCCGACACCATGGTTCTAAGCACACCGATGTTACCATTGAGCGCACCAGCCAGAAACCGGAAGAAGAAGACAAAGTAGATGGACGTCGAGAATCCCATGCCAATCGCAGACATGGTCGTGCCTACGAGGCCGATGAGCAAGACGCGTTTCCGGCCGAAGAGAGGACTGTCGGCGGCGTGCCCCCACCACATGGACGTGAGGCACTGCGCAGCCGCAAAGACAGCAGTGAGATAGCCGGCGCGCTTGGCGATTTCCGAGTCATTCAGGGCTGGATCGAGCCACCTCAGCTGATAGAAGAGGTACGATGTAAGCGACCGCTCGCTCAATGGTTCGGCCAATCGTGCAAAGACCATGATGGCCAGCTGGCCCTTTCGAGGTATGGATGCCCAGGACACAGGCTGTGGCTTTGGGGCTTCAACGTCAGAGTCCTCGGTCGAGGCCCTCGCGATGGCCATCTCTCCATTCTGGGGGATATTCGGTGGTTCCGAGAGAAGAGGCGTCTCTTCGGTTGACGACGAAGACGACGACGATGGCTTGTCAACCACGCGACGCGACGACGAACCCATTTCTGCAGCGGCGTCCGGTTCAATGCACGAGTGGCGATTGTATTCGTCAAGTCAGGAGGAAGAGTTTCCAACGCAGCCCATGCTGGAAGTTACCGGGCGACACTTCCCTCGTCTGATGTTCCCGATCACCGGAGCTTCGAATCCCGCGTGGCCAGCTTCCAGCTTCGCCATGACGACGGCGGTTGGTCCCTAGCGTCGTCTGTTGGAGGGTGGATATCGGTCCTAAAACCCCTGTGAAGCCGTGGGAGCCAACGTCCCCTGCCCATGAACCCCCGAGCGAAATTCCCTCATGGCGTTGGCCTCGACTCTTTGTGGAGAAGGCGACTACCGAGCAGCAGGCTACGAATAAGAACCGCTCTCCACACTTTAAAGCCCTCCTCGGACGGTCGCCCATTGCATAACGAGTCCCACCCTCACGAACCCATGCTAGAAAAGTCAGGCGTGCTTGGCATGCGCAGAATTTTCCCAGGGTGACACTTGTTGCCATCGGAGCAGGTTCGGTTCTTCGGTCGTAGGCCATGATGCGTGCGCAAGCGGTTTAGTCGCATCTTATCAATCTGATTATGCCCCACACGTCGCGACTCGCCTCGTCCGGCTTTTTTCGAGGCCACGCGCTATCAATCGCCAAACTCTACAGTACATCCTGGCTAGCAGGTCGTCCGTCTGATGATGCGCGGTGGGGGCCTGCTTGTGGAAAGATTGATAAAGGGCTGTGCAAGCCGGCTGTGCAGTTTCCTCTGCATGCTTCCTTGATTGGGTGAATCAGCACAGCAACCTTTCTCGCTTCATTGCTCCCCTTGACACTTTGTGTATTCTTCACTCTGTGTATTCTTCATACCTGCATCGCCAATCATGGCTCACTCGCAGCACGATGCCGCAGGGCAGCTCACCCCTGAGCAGCGTGTCGAGCTCGGCAACAAGGAGGAAGACCTCATCACCGAGGTCAAGCCCTCCAGCGCGTCCAGCGATTCAGGTCGCGATGGCCTCCAGCCAGTGCCGTTGACTTGGAAGCTGGCCTCCGTCGCGCTGGTAACTGCCATTGGCTTCGGCTCGCAATGGAGTTCCGGCATCACTGGAGCGATGAAGAGCACCATGAAGAAGGAAATGAACATCAACAACACGCAGTTTTCCCTTCTCGAGGCCAGTGAGGATTTCATGGTCACGGCCTTGATGCTTCTAAGTGGCATTGTCACCGATCGAATTGGCGGCGCTGGTGAGTCTTGGTAGTTAGTTCTTATCCCAGAAACCCTGCTGACAAAACTCCTAGGTGCCATGTTGTACGGCAATGTCATTTACTCAGTCGGCTCAATCCTGGTCGCCGCAGCCGCGCAGACTCGGTCATACAAATTCATGATCGCCGGCAGAGTCATTCGCGCTCTCGGAGACATCGCCACCCAGGTTGCCCAGTACAAGGTTTTCTCGTCTTGGTTCGCCCCTGGAAATGGCTTTGCCTCCACCCTGGGCTTCGAACTTGGCATTGGAAAGATTGGCGCCTTTGCCGGAAAGTCGTCAGCCAACATCATCGCCAAGAACACTGGCGACTTCGCCTGGGTCTTCTGGGTCGCTGTGTTTATGAACATTTTTACCAATGTCATGACGGGTGTCTTCTATTGGTTCACAAAGGTTGCCAACCGCCGGTTCCATGGCGTTGATGATCCTGCTACCGGAGAGCGATTGTCAGAGAAGACCAAGAAATTTCAGCTCAGAAAGGTACTGGAACTGCCGTGGTCATTCTGGTGTGTCATGGGTTTCTCGCTTTTCGAGACTTCAACGGCAATCGTTTTCCTGCAGAATGCCACTGAGCTTGCTGAGCAACGATTCGGTACTGATTCCATTGCTGCTGGCTGGTACAGCTCTGTCCTCCAATACTCCGGTAAGAGTGGACCTCCAAAGCCGTCGCCTCCAGTTCGCTAACTAGTCTTCCAGGATTCTTCGTTGTCCCACTTCTCGGAGTCTTCCTCGACTTGTACGGCCAGCGAATCTCTGTTTGTGAGTACATCGTGCAGGAAAACGCACGCGCATCGTTTGGCTAACATTTATCTAGTGGTTTTCTGCGGCATTGGTGTCTTTGTTTCCATGCTTCTCGTTACCTTCTCGGCCGGCACTACCGGAACAGCCGCGTCCTTTGCAGTCTTTGCCTTTGCCTACTGCTTCGGTCCCACTACTATCATTGACGGTACCCGCACGTCAATGTGGGACAGCACCGTCTTTGGCTCTGCTTATTCCATCAAGATCATGATGAACAATGCGTAAGACGATGTCCAACGTAAAATTGGGTTCTTTGCTAACTAAGTTACAGGATGAATATTATTGTGCGAGTCATCACTGGTAGAATCCAAGACGCTGACAACAACTCGTACGATAAAGTCACCATTGTCTACGTCATTCTTGCTGGCTGCTCCGTCGTTGTGTCTCTACTCCTTGCCGTCGTCGCCTGGCGATCAGTCGACTTGGGCCACCTGCAATGGACACGAAAGATGCGCATCGCTCGTGGCGATGTCTTGAACGACAGGAAGGCTAGGTTCTACGAGGAGAAAGGTGGACGAAACAAGAGAATCTCCATGATGTGCTTTGCAAGCCTCATCGCCCTTACTCTGGGCAGCTGGTGTGCCTACTTCTGGGGAGTGGCAACTGGAAACAACGAGTAAAAGGACGAAAGACCTATATCCAATGACCATAGGAACTTGGAATCGTAACCAGCACTTATCTAATGAATCCGAATCAGAGCTTGATAATAGGTCATCATAGATAGACCGTCAATTTAAACAATCCCATCAGTCCTAAATTTTCGAGTGGGTTCATTTAAGCGTTGTTCAACGAATCCGAGATGGTGGGGTGACTGATTGATAAACGGATTGATAACGTCGAGTTGTACCCCACACCACCACCGGGACATCCAGGGCCATGGGAGAAAGGATCACGGTTTAGTTACTTTCGTACGGGGCTGACGGAACATGAAAGGAACTGGTTGGGGATTGGGATTTCATGGGTACATCACGCTACTATATTGCATGGTGGCAGTTGTGAGGCTGCGCATGCTGAAGATGAATGAATGTTTACTCAGACACAGAATGAGGTAGGGTAGATGTCATGCTCATCAAAGAGACACAAATTGTGTCTGCTCTTCGGGGCCTCAGGCTGTCATTTTTTCAGTCGCTAAATTGGGGACAATTCTGCCGCTCAAAAACTTTTAGGCGGTGAGGAGCGCGAGCTGGGCCCCACTCATTTCCGTATAAAAGTTCGCCGAGTCCTCCTCCCTTTGGTCTTTTTTTTTCTTTCTTCTTCACGTCGACAATACTTCAGTAAGCCTACCCCTACTAGAGAGCATTCCCCAGAGCGCCTTTGCTGGACTCTGGCCATCTCTCCAGCCACATCTCTTACGCAGTCCGCTAACCCCCGTCCGCAGGAGAATCATTTCTATAGTATTCGACCTCCTCTTGGTTCCCTAAAAGAGCCACAGATCCCACCCTGGTTGATGAGTGCATATCCTCGACACCCTAGAGTGAATACCTCGGTCCTCTCGCTCTGTCCGCAAGGATGGCGGTGCTGCTTTATTGCGGTTACTGTATAGAGAGATGTTTCACCTCTTGATGATCTCGACCCCGTTTGCGGTCTGCCTTCGGGCGCGCGCTCGGGGTGGGTGTCGATGGACGTCTGACAGGCGTTTCTTTTTCTTTTTCATTACTGTCTGGGGCTTGCCTTGGACGTGAGGAAGAAGTGGTGTGGTGAATGTGACCTCGACATTGCTGTCCCGTGTTGAAGCTGACGGCATTGTTGAGGAGACGAGGAAGAGCCAGGAAGTTTTGGAAGGGAGATGAACTCCAAAGAACTCCAAGAAACGATGTCTCTACCAGTCAACCCGCCAGTGAACAAGCAGTGTCACCATGCACTCCGCTGTCGCCGGCTCGACCCGATGCAATTGTTCTGGGTAGAGAGCACCAACCCCAAATGCCAGCGTACATCTTCGAACCCACCGCCACGTGTGGAGCAGCGCGTCCAGGTTGTCGCGCCCATGGTCCCGCCGAAGTCTCTTGTCCTGCCGCCCTGAATATACTAGAGCCTTCCCCGTTGACCGAATTGACGTCTGCACCAGCGTCAATATCCGGGAGACAACATCTAGTAGCTTTGTCCCATAGCAGGAGTTGCCAAATCGGTTGTGCCAATCGAGGTGCGTCACGTCTTGTTGGATATCCGCATGCTGGCCCTGGACGTCGTCGTAGCCGGCGTGAGTTACGTGCCGTGTCCACTCGCCATCTCGATGGTAAAACTCGAGGCTTTCAGCGTTGGGAAGGCGTTTCCCCTTGCGCGTGGTAACTGGAAAGACCTGGTTCGACAAGCTGAGGTTGTGCAGAGACGCACACTTCTTGGCTCTGCTTCCTGGACTGGTGGTGTGAGAGCGGATTCGGGCGACACACCAAGGTGTTGTAACTTCTTGATGACCCAATCACTCAGCCTAACGATTTATTCGTACAGTTTCACAAGGGAATCATGCGTGGGTGACAATGGTCATGATCATTTTGTTATTGCACACTGCACTACCCTAGGACACCTCTCACTTGGGCACCATTCCCCCGCCGTTGCCCTATTCCGCCGCCTGTTGTGTCGTCTTTGATGTTCAGTGGGCCATCATGGATGCTATTCCCTGAGCCTCGGGCGGGCCATTTTTGACGGGCGAAATTGAGCCCAAACCTCCAATCTTCTGACATCTGTCGGGTGGTATTCCAGGGTGGCAGGTGCATCTTCTAGGGCGACAGCTTGGCTTCGTCCCATTCGGCGGCCACCACACTCTGAGGAACAGAGACAACGAAAGTGAATTTCCGCTGATTGATAATGTCGGCCATAGTTTTGCCACCAACAACGGGCTCGGTTGCCGTGAAATACGCCCTGAAGGGGTGGAAAGGCAACCGAGAGGGCATCCCCAAGCCACCCACATTGAGTTCTGCACCATCTTTGAGGCAGACCTCGACTACGGTCATGTCTCCGTCGCCAGTGAACTTGTGACGTATGGCAGGATCCAGTGGGTAGATGGTCGAGACAATTTGGCCTCGTGGGAACTGGACATCGGTGGTAACCTCATCAGCCGGGACCATCACGTCTGTCGTGCCTTCAACTGTAAAGTAATAAGCCCCCATTCGTGTGTCAGTAATACGGGCTATGGCAGTCCAAACACTCACAGCGATAGACTTCGGGAAACTTGTGAGGGGTGTTGTTCGAAGCACGTGGGTAAACACCGAGGGGGATAGTCAAATTGAAGCCCATCCAAGGCGGTGCTGCGTAGCCACAAGGAGTGACAACGACAGTCTTCTGCGAAACAATTTCCACGCCCATGTGGGAGTCAACGACGAGACCTTTTCCGCCGAACATGGGGCCATCCAAGCCACCGATCATCATGACGCATGGCTTCGCAAATTTGTTTCCCTCGCCAGCGGCGTCTCCAGTCGACTGAGGCATGTTGCGCAAAGGTTGATGAATCTGTCGGGAGATATTAGTTTGGGGTTCTTGAGCGACATGTAGAATGATAGAAACAGTACCAGAAGTAGCTCGTTGAAAGACGCGAAAGTTTGGGCACTGGAGAGACGAAGTAAACGTAGCCAGGGTTGATCACTCACAGAGGAGATTGCTGAAAGTAGAAGAAAGAAAGCCAGTGTTTTTTGTGAGATGTTTTTTTATCTGAGGGTGCAAACATTCGGCAGCCGTGAATCACTGTCAGCTTGATGGATATGCCCGTCTTTGTGGGCCATGTTTGTTGTTGTTACACATGGTGAGGATCCAGGAGTGAGTTGCTTTGTGTAGGCGCCGATGGCGCGTAGTCCTCAGTGGAGAGGATGTCCTGGCATTATTGTCCTGCTGCGTTTTTACTTCAAGAACCGATGTTTACTTTGAATTGGCAGCGCTCCGTTGGATTCTGACGTCGTGATAGCTAAGAAAAGTTTGTGTGCCAAGCAGTTGGACTAGCCTGCTCCGATTCTATTCATTATTCGAAGGAGGCTCGCCAAAAATCGTGAACAACATCCCTTCAGTAAGGGAATCTCTGGGCCGTGTTTCAACAGCACACCGGGCTCTCTAGGTGGTGCGAATACGTAACGATTTCGGGTGCTGGCTTGGTAGAGAGGTGAATCGCGGGATGGTGTTGTAGCAGAAGCCGTATCATTGCACATTTTTCGCACTTCTTCGTTTGCCTGTTGGCACTTCAACGACATACTTAGACGTGGTAGCCGAAAATCAATTCAGCAAGATTCTTGGTTGACGGAACGTTGTGATGCTTTGAACATGTCCTCTGTACCTACAACATACAAGATCGGGAAATCGTTTCCACAGCTCATCCAGTAGCAGCTTTCTCCCACTCACATTAGATTGAGACCTAAAGCCTCCCACGCTCAACACACAGATAACGAGCGACGGTAATCCAATCGTCTCCGAGCTCTAGAAGACACTTGATCAAGCTAAGATCAGAGAGACTTTACAGCACATCCGCGGTGACCTTGGAACCGGCTTGAAAATCCAGGAGTATGGTGGCCATCCTGGAATTTGTTGCAGCTTTCAGCATCATCTCTGTAACCCCTAGTCCACCAGTTCGTTCCATGATTGCGTGGAGTTCGTCTTTGCTTATAGTGCCATCAGAGGACAGTACAGCGCATACAACTTGTTCAGAGAGAGCGTTGTTATAGAGATCCGAGTCATCTAATAGTTGTCTCAACTCCCCCGATTCAGCAGCATTTCTCACGAGATCTTCAGAAATCGGAATCTTGCCTCCTGCTTGGAGAAGCATGTCCACCAAGGTTTTCTTATGTTCGCATTTTTTGTTGTCGCCTTGACGTAGACGACGACGATTGTCCATTTGCAGGATAGTCACTTCGAGTGGAAGCTTGCCATCAGCATCGATCGCGGTTGCGTCCGCTCCATGCTTAAGCAACTCTCGGACGGAGTCAACATCAGCCAGCTTACCAGCAATATGGAGCGGAGTTCCAAACTTCTGATGAAACTGTTTCGTGTCGGCCCCGTGCTCGAGTAGAAACTTGACCATGTCGGGCTGGTGTGTCACCAAAGCAGCGAACAGCGCATGCAAAAAAGTCCCGCCAGTCTCATTGACACTTGCTCCTTTGTCGAGGATTTGTTTTACGATTGCCATGCTCCCAGTCAGACACGCAAGGTGCAACGGCGGGCCAACCATTGGCGGTCCCTCGCCGCTTGCCTCCATCGCCTGTTCCAACCAGGACGTGTCCACGTTGCCTGGACGGGCGTCGTTCTTCAACAAAACCTCCACAATTTTCTCACACCGATCCAGACGCTGGGGCTTAACTGGAGGGGGTGGAAAGTCGGTACCTACCGTCCAGGTGCTCCCAACACAGCCTAGATTACGACGTTCCAAAGAACCCATAAACTCCGCCGAGAACTCAAATCGTGGTGCGGAGCAAGCCATCACAGCTGCCATCAGAGGTGTTCCGTGCTCTTTGCTGATACAATCCACGTCTGCTCCGTGATTGAGCAGAATCTGAATAATCGAGGCTTGCAAATCAACGGCCGCAGCATGAAGTGGATAGCATCCCTGATCATCTGGCTGATTGGGGTCCATGCCTTGCTTAAGCATGCGCTTTACTACCAGTTCGGATCCGATAGTACAGCCTTGGATGAATCGTTTCGCGTTGGCAGGAACATAATCAAGCAGAATTCCCATCCTTTTTTCGTCCTCTAGCCGGACAACGGCCGAGAATGCTTGGTTGATGGTGGGCTCTGGGTTATCGGTGCTCAATGCGACCTCAAGCAAAAGCTCCAGAATACGAGTATTTGCCCATTTCCTACAAGCCTCGCTGAGAGCATTGGGCATGTTCATCCCTGTTACCTTGGCGCCAGCTGCCAGTAAATCCTGGACAATATCGGCATAGCCTTCGCTGATGGCAAACGTCAGCGCGCTCATCCCTCGGACGGAATAGTTGACATCGGCCTTGTGCTGGATCAGGAGCTGGACAGTCTGTCTCGAGCCGTTTTCAGCCGCAAGCATGAGTGCGGGAAAGCCATCATTAACTTTCTTGTTCACGTTGGCGCCGCGGGCCAAGAGAAGCTGGATGACATCGATGTGTCCGGCCTTGACAGCTGCACTCAAAGGACTGGCGTACACATCGTTAAAGGAGTACCGCCAAATCTCCATCTGTCCCGTAACATCGACAGGAGCCCCAGAATCAAGCAAAGCCGTAACAATTGCCAAGTTGCCTTGCTCGGCGCTCAGAATCAGCGGATGATGCTCGACCCCAATCTTCGGCCGGGTCGAGCCCTCTGAGACATCTCCAGACACGTCTCCAGACACGTCTGCTCCGGCTGCAAGAAGTGTCTCAACAATCTCAAGTTTGCCAGCGCCAACTGCTAGTTGTAAGGCAGTCGGAGATTGATATTTCCTGCCACTGCGCGATACCGTGTCTGTATCGAATGCGAGATGCATATCTGCGCCATGATCGAGCAGCAGTTGAACGATCAGTTCGTTGCAGCTCATGATTGCAGCCCGCAATGCCGTGTGCCATCGCCCTTGAAGAATATTGACATTGGCACCTGCCTCCAGGAGCTTCGTGGCCATGGGTAAATGCCCAAATCGTGATGCAGCCTGGAGAGCTGTACCATAGTAATGCCCCAAGGCGTTTACGTTCACGCCCCGCGAGAGGAGCATGTCGACGTATGAATAATCGCCGAGGCAGACAGCCATTTGAAGGACAAGTCCATACCTCTCGTCGGAAGCTCTCAACTGGGTAAAGCGTGCCATAAGAGTGCGGATAACAGCACCAGGCCCATCCTTGAACACGCATTCAAGCGACTTTGCAGCCCTGAAGCGCCCATCAGGATCGCCCATGCTGTCTTGGAAGTCTGTAGAGGACATTTGCCCAGCAAAGTACTTTAATGGCTGCTGATGAAGCTTTTCCACCTCAGCTTCATCATTGAGAAGGTTTGCACCTGCGTCCAAGAGCACATTGACGATGCTCGCCGCTGAAGTCTCCTGTCCTGCCGCCCTGAATATACTAGAGCCTTCCCCGTTGACCGAATTGACGTCTGCACCAGCGTCAATCAACAACTGAATGGCCTTTTCGGTACAGAGATCCGCAGCTGCTTGAATGGGGAATATCTCATGAGCTCCCAAGTCATTGGGGTTGGCGCCATGTTCAACGAGGATCTTGACGACTTCTTCATGTTGAGATATGTCACTGTTATCAATCTCACTAAAGTCCAATTCAACCATGAGAAAATCGAACTCGTCCGGGTCACATCTAGGTCCAAATCCTCGAATTGCGGCTTGCAGTGGCGAGGTGTAGGACGGGGGGCCAGAAGAATTGGACCTGCCACCGAAATAATTGTATCTCCTTTCCATTCTTCGTCTCCGCGGTTCCTCCTCGATTGGCATGTCGGGAACAACTTTGTTGACATCGGCAGATAGTTCCTGGACCAGGTACCGGACAACGTCGCTATGTCCACTTCTGCAAGAAGACACCAATGCGCGGCCAATGTGTTTGCCAATGCGTTTGGCATCAGAGGGTTTCGCCTGGCAGTAGGAAACGAGGGCCTTGAGGATATCCAGGTAACCATTTCTAGCGGCACCAATAACATAATCCTGGGAGATTCTGATCATACCCTTCAGGGCTTCACAACTCAGAAGAATGTCAACGACTGTTGTGTGCCCCTTCATAACAGCCAGCTGAAGACCGTCGCTCAAGTCACTCGACTTCAGTTGTCTGAGATTCGTTGACTCTAGGATGTCCTTCAACAGATCTAAGCGCTGAAATTCGCAAGCAGCTTCAAACCGACTGCGCAACTCTTTCCTGTCCATACTGTTGAGTTCTCTGCATTTCTGGGACGGCGCCCGGGCCTTCGCTTTGAGTTGGTCGGCTTGATCCGTGGGGCAATATTGGGTCGCCTTGGCCAACGCAACATCAATCACATTGGAGTGTTCGTAGTCGCAACCGCGAGCAGCTTTGATAACTGATTTGATGCACGACTCAAGCGGGATCCTAGGAGCGAGGTAGTCAATGAGGACTTCGAGAACCGATGAGTGGCCTTCTCTGGAGGCTATGCTGGCCGCTTCTGTGACATGCTCATCACGTATGTCCAGAGCCTCCGATTTGCCGAGGATCAACGTAACCACGTCCTTGTTTCCGAGAGAAGCGCTTCTGAAAAGCGAGTTCGAGCTCCTATATGAATCCATAGGCCCTCTGGAGCAAGTTGGCTCTGGTGATGAAGCGTCACTAAGTGACGAGGAGTCCTTCTCCGCCCGAAAGATGGCATCAAGGTTGGCGGGAGGTGTTAGTGATGGACCTGGTTCCTCGTCGTATTTTAGGGGCCTGGAGACAAGATTCTTACGTCCGGGAGATGCATCCCGCAGTAAGGCTCTGTACTTCGATGGAAATCCGGATAAGCCGCAAAGATCTCTGTGGTCAGAATTGAACTCGCGGTAACCGTGATCCAGCATGAGCGCCACAACGTCTGGATTTCCCCCGTCAATCGCTGCAAGGAATGGTTTCTCAGATATCTTCCAAACCCTCACAGTCGCACCAGCACTGAGTAAGACCTTTGTCGTGGCGAAAGAGCCATGGGATGCGGCCGCTCGCAAGGCAGTTCCGTTAGATCCAGACTTTTGGTTGACTTTGGCACCCGCTTGGAGGAGAAGCTGGACAATGTCCGTATGAGCTTTGACTGCGGCAAGATAGAGCGCAGTACCAGTAGTCCCCCTTGCATCAACCTCGGCCCCATGTCGAAGAAGCAATAGGACAAGGGCACGGTGGTTCAATAAGCTCGCCGTTGCTAGGGGTGTGCCAAATTTCCCCTCCGTCTCAATGCCCATGCCCTTCTCAAGCAGAAACTGAATCAGATGTGGGCGTCCATACAGCACAGCGATGGCAACGGCATCCTCTGGGAAGATTCTCGTCCTGCCGGCGTTCACAGAAAGAGACCAGCGCAGAACGTTGAGATGCCCGCCTTCAATAGCCTTCCTGGTAACTGCCTTCATTTGATCCTCATTCCACTCCGAGACCTTCACTGAAGTAAAAATATCCTGTTGGAGTTGCTGGAGAACTTTTAGAAACCCAGCCTGTGCAGCACCTAAAACTGCCCGTTCATAGTCGGCTGCTGTCTGGAGTACTCTCCCGTTTTGGAGAAGGCGAAGAGCGACTCCCTCTCGACCGCCTTGATATGCGGCCTCAAGAGCATTGCAAACCGCAGTTCCACACCGCGGCGAGGCGCCATGCTCAAGCAGCTTGCCCACCACGTCTGTGTGACCTGCAAAACAGGCGGCATTCAATGGACTGCCGTGTCCTCCGCCTTGAACATCTATCTCAGCGCCATGGTTTAGCAGAGTTAAAATGACAGAGATGTGTCCGAAAGCAGCAGCAAGATAGATGGGAGTGTGGCCTTGGTGAGTTTTGCAAGAAAGATCAACTCCCAGAGTAGCTTGCAACACAGGCTCGAGGATTTTATCCAACCCGAAGGCGCTAACTATGAATAGCAGCGCTTCCCTGGTGTTTGGGACTCCACCAACAGCCTCTTTTAAGACATGGCCATTTGGAAAATGCTTGACGAGGAGCTGAATGTTGTCGAGCCAGATCCCAAACGAGGAAGTAATATTGAACCCCTCGTCGAAAAGAAAGGCTAATACCAGTTTGCACAGAGCATCTTCCAACTGTTCATCTTGAACGGCTTTGAAATGGACCAGCCAGTTTGCTGCAGCATAAGCGTAAATACTGTCCTTTGCTGATGACATCTCATAGTCTACTGGTGGACCTCGTGAGCAAACTTCCAGGCAGAGTTCGGTAAGCAGCCTGTGTCCTGAGATGGGCGAAAATAGGTCAATATTGACCAAATACTCTTTAAATGAGGAGTGCAAAAAGCGCAAAGTATTGCACTTGGGGTCCAGCACAATCAAGCCAGAGCACATTTCCATCAATTGTGGCAACGTCAAAGTGATGTCACTTGTTGTCGCCACAGCTGATAGGAAGGCCGAAGGAGTCAGGGACTCTCTCATGTAGAGAAGCAGTGAGAATGTAGTGATGGTCGTTGTGCGATCCGGGCCCGTCTCTTCAAGGATACCCTTCAGGACGTGCTCATACATGCTGTTCAAATCGGCGGCAACATTGTTCCTCAATGCAAACATGATGCCCTCTTCAGTCCGCTCGCTAGTTAAGCGTCTGATCTGTAGCTGTGCTGAGATGAAACTGGCTTATGTTAGCAGTTATACAAGACTGGCAGCAGAAAATATCCTCACCTCTCACCAGCATTGTCGAGAAGAGCCTGCCGCAACACGCCTCTCAAAGTAGGCCAAACTCTACCATCAACCCATCCCGCTGCAAGAGCGGTGTCAAGTTGGTGATTGACGAAAGTTTCCATGTCACTACGGACTTCCTGAGCCGTAACGTTGATTGTCTCATTTGGCGACAATACTGAGAGATGATGGTGGTTGTCTTTGGTGGACAGGAGGACCTTGACCACATTCTCCGAGTTCATAACAATGTTCGCCAAAGCATCAATTATTGCGCGATTCCCCTCCCCTTTGATGTGGTCAAGGCCATCAATGACGACGGTTAGAGGTTCTTGCTCAGCTATTTCAAGAATCAGCCGTACACAGTCATCGCTTGTCAATTTGTCAACGTCGACCTCATTGACTCGGGCCAAAGCGGAACGACGCTCAAAGTCAGACCAAAGTGAGTTATAAACCCTGGACTGTTCGGCTCTGCCAAAAGCCAATTGACTTAGAATGGTACGCATCACGTCATTTGACGAAGATCGACCTCGCTCAAACTCTTCACTTGAACAGTAAATGTAAGAAAATGGAGCCGCAGTCGGATATTTCGTGGTAGTCGTGATCAGATCATCCACCACGACAGAACACAACGTCGTCTTTCCACATCCCAGAATGCCCTGAAGCGACAAAATGGACGAGTAGTTTGATGTATGCCATGACTTATACCGCGGGTCGTTGAGCAGCCACTGTCCAAAGCCCGGCATCCTGTAGTCCGAGATGAATTGGTGATGCTCATGGCACTTCAATGGAGAGAGCCAGTCCAGCATTTTTGTGTGTTCTTCCTCGCTCAATGAATACCAAGACTCGACTGTTTGATCAGAGAGGCGTATGAAGTCAGGTTCAGGGAAATCGAATATCTGGGCATCTGTCCAACTTGCAAGGCGAAGCATGTCATTTGTCTGGCCGAGTATTTTCTCAGTGAATTCAGCATCTTCTTCTACTCGAGACTCGCTTTTGATCGCGGGAACTAATAAAATTGGTTAAAATTTATTACCTCGAGATAGAAATAAAGGCGAGAAGCCAAACTAGGGGAGTTTTGACGTACCGAGTGGGTTGCCTTTGAAGTCGCTGACCATTCTTCCGAGGTGAGTGAGAATTCCAGCATAGAGGTGCGTGAGGGCTTCCGCTGCGATTTCATTTGCTGGTAAACTCCTTTGTTCAAGGTATTGGCTTTCAAATCCGTGGCATCTGCTAATCAAGCGAGCAATGACGTCCTGTCGAAGCTTTTAGTACTTTACTTCAGACACCAAAGACGCTCTGTCCAGACGCAATCGACAACATGGAACTGATAACGTCCATTTGTGCTCGTGCAGTTCGGGGAAATATCCAAGTGAAGACAACACATACCAGTTGAGTACATCTATTGGCGAATTCCTGGACGCTGCCGACAGCTGCTCGAAGAAGAAATCGAATGGCGGCCCAAGGAAACGAAGCGTTTATCGAGTCCGACTGGACAGTCATATTGCCTCGTTCGTTGAATCGTCGAGCTGAATCTGCTACCTTTTCTAACAGGTCGCGTACGATGATTTGATTGCCATCGCTTTTCAATATCCACCGCTTTCGCAAACACTCTTGCTGTCTTTCGTTCACGGCTTCCAATACAGCAGGCTGGGAAGCGGTCAATGAGGTCAACTGATACAAAGGCTCGCCCAGGCTTCAAGGTCACATACCAGAATATCGCGTTTTTGCATCCTGACTGCCGTCTTCAAATACAATTTGAGGTCTTCATCCGTGATCAACGCCAGCGCCTTGTCCCAGATGCTCTCGACGCGCGTCGAATCAGCCAAGGCTGGTTCGGAGAGTGGCGCCATGGCGGGAACGGGTATGATGGGCGGATGCGCTGCTTTGGTGTGGAAGATGAAATCTTCTCAGGTCTCTAGACGTGGAAAATTCGTCATATAGCTTGTTCTTGTTCAAGACCAGAGTTTGTAAGGGCAGAGCCAGCGAGGTCAAGCGGCCAGCGATTGAGTCCTATTTTAAAACTCGGTTGCTGGTTGTTGGTTGTTGACTGTTGGCTGGTGGTTGGTGCCTATACCAGGATCCCCTTGCAGCCTGCTGAGTCAGTGCGAAGCTGCGCCACGGACGGCGTTTCATGATTCCCATGGATTTGTACAAAATATTGCGCTGATGAACGAGGAGAGTCCTTTGCTTCTCACAAAAGCTTTCTCGGGGCACCATTTGGAGGAGAAACCATCATTTATTAGTGGGGGGTTCCAATCATTCTGGCCAGTTCTCGCCACACACGGCTGCAAGCGTCGTGACACTACCCCCGCTAGGCCAGCCTCCACTGTAATTCAGGGCTGTTTCTACAGCACAATTTACAATGCCATCTCACCTGTGAATTGTTCAGTCATCACTGATCGTGACCAACAGATGGTGAATAAATGAATTAACAATATAATAATAATGACATCACTCCAGGATATCTTTTACGTCTCATCATCTCAGAACATGGCATGCAAAACCTCCATCACATACTGGTCGACCTCTTCCCAGGCGCCTCCGCCATCCGTCGCAGCTCAACATCGCTCCCAGACTCAGTGTCATCCAAGCAGCTCTCTCCTCTGTCGAAGCGCAAGTCTGGGCTCACCGCCACCCTGTCGACCTCTGTCTCCACCATGTCGCTGTCCCTTCCTTCTGTCATGTCTCTCAGACCCTCTCGGAGTGCGTGGCTGCTGGTGATGAAGAAGATTGCGGCATTCCACAGGCCCTGCAGCGGCAAAACGGCCGCCGTCGCGACATGGTACTCGTAGGGCGACTCGCCTACCATCCAGCTGTGGATGCGATTCATGCTGCTCGGTATCCACGTAACCAGAACGCTCAGCGCAAAGAGGAAGCTGGTCCGCAAGTACGCTCGCTTGATGGGATCCTCGACGACAAACTTGGACACGGCCCTGTTGGTTGCTGATGTGAAGCGGCGCAATGGGCGTCTCGACCGCACCGGAGCGCCTGCGGGAGACGTGGCAGTGGAGAAGTATTGGCTAGGCACGGTCTGGATCGGCGAGGGCGGAGATTCATGGAATGAGGCTTGTGATGTTGACTGTGTGTGAGCAGGTCGAGGCTCTGAGGGGGCCGCTGTGGTACAAGCTTTCGACTGGACGACCTGGACTTCGGTGACGATGGTTCCGTAGAAGCAATCCTGGGGGACATGGAGTTCTACCCGAGGCAACTGCTGCTGAAACATGTTAGTGGGTGATGTCTCCAAGGTAAGCGTGGCTGAATCGCGTACCTGCTCGTGAGTTGTTGCAGTCTCTCTACTCTTGGATGCGGAAAAGCTTCTTAGTCGGTTCCTGGAGCGGAAGACGTGATATCCAACCATGAAGTAAAATAAAAGTGATCCAACAATGCAAATCCAAATGAGCATGTAATAAGAGTAAATGCGAACGTTTTCCCAGTCATGGTCAACCCAACACCAGATCTACCCATGAGCGTCAGCGAAGGTACGAGCAGAGACCTAGGCAAGGGTAGCACTTACGACTGCTTGGCCAAAGACTCTTCCGCGGCCCGGGTGCCTAACCAGGACCAGCGCAAGAGAAATGCCAAAGGGGCCTCCGTAGCAGATCAGGCAGTATAGCCACCACCACTTACGGAAGGCATCTGGACTTGTTCGAAAGAAGAAGACGAGGAAGACGTTGAAAGCCATGGCGAGAGACCACCAGGGGTCAGACTGCATGAACCTATGACAGTGAGTCTTTTGTTCGAATATGCAAGGCACCCCAGTAGTATCACCAGTTGCTCCAATGACAACCAATAGAACTACCAGAGAAAGGGTTGAGATGGATGCAACTTACATCTGGAATAGGAAGCCTTGCCCCTGACAGAGGGCAGATTCAACGCCTCTGTTCAAGCCATCCATGGCGATGATGCTCGCGACACTGGCGCCGATATTGGCGATGCTCGCAAACATGATGAATGTGTTTTGGACATTTCGCACACGCGGAACCAGGGCATACGCAACGAAGATCAAGACCACAGCCACCAGGCTGACGGAGCCTCCTATGCGCTCCAGCAGCACCAGAGTCTCGATCTGGCTCGGCTTCAGTGCCTCGGCGCGGGCGGCGAGGAGCGTTTGCGTCGGCATGGCATTCGGCGAGCGGGCGAGGGAGCGAGTGAGGGAGGTGAGGATCAGGCTGTATCACCCGATGCGGATGAAGATGAGCGTGCAGGCTCTCTGGCGGTTTGTGTGTGGTTCTCTGCCCGATCCCAGGGCAGAGAATAGAGGTGAGAGCAACAAAAACGGCCCAGACTAGGGGCGGACGGTGTAAGGAAGCCTCGCCTCGGATGGAAGCGATGCGATGCAGAAGTAGAGAGCGACGGAAGGGAAGAAAGAGGTGAGCGGGAGAGAGGAGAAGAGAAGAGAGGGGGATTGGATTGGATTGGATTGGATTGAGACAAGCGAGAGTGTGTTCCGCGAAGCCCTCGCACAGGAGCAATGCCGGCGGCCGAGGGCTGAGGAGGAGAGAGGAGGAGAGAGGAGAGGAGAAGAGAGGACACTCGTCTCGCACAGTATCCGTCAAGGCAACGCGAGTGCGCAAGCTGGAGTTGATTGTGCCACCGTCGCGCAGTTGGCTGTTGGCTGTTGGCTGTTGGCTGTTTGGCTGCAGGAAGCCGATGCTAGAGTGCGAGAGTGAATCAGTGATCAGTCAGAACAGACGGGCGGTTGGTTGCAGATGGAGACTCATCTCCGTCGCAGGGCTGCTTCGCCCACTCTCGCCCGTCCCTTTTTCATCTTGATCTCACTCTCGCCTCACCTCACCTCCCTCCGCGTCGAGGTGGGCAGCTAAAAGTGCAAACGTCGCTACCAACGGGATGCTTCAGCCGTCACCTGGCTGCCACCTGCCACCGGCCACTCACAGCCATGGCCCGCCAAACACCAACGCCGCCCGCCAATCTGCAGCGTCCTCCACCCTCCCTCCTTTGTCCATCCCGCAACTCTTTCACGGCTTCCTACATCTGGCTTCTGCATGCCGTCAAAGTGCGCAGTAAGCTCATCACCCACCTGATTCCACCTGGTTCCGTCAAGCTACCAAGCAGCTGTCAATGGCCGTGGCAATCAATCAGTCCAGACGCAATCCATTGATTGCTTCTACCCACAGCTCTACACCACAAATACCAAGCAGGCCAACCACCACGATCAAGCCAAGCCCGCTCGCCAAACACAAGCGTCCAATCCGTCTTCCCCAGCTCTCGGCAGATCCACACAGTCCCCCGCGTCCTGATTGCCGGGTCCCCTGCATCTCCCAGGATGGCAGACATGGATGCCTCACGTCTCCGTTTTCAGCTCCTATGACGAACCCAGCCAGACCGGATAGGCCAATTCCCGCGCTGGCTTCGATCAGTCCAGAGGATTCAAAACGGTGACGGCACCGCGCCCGCAAGCTAAACCTGAGAAAAGCAGTACCACCACCAAAACGCAGCCCTGACGGTCGAGTCCATCAACGCATCCACGCCCGCCGAGTCCGCGACGTCAATCACCAATCACCACCCTCCGCAGGCAAACTCAACCACCTTCCACAGCCAAACACGCAGCCGCCACACCGCCCTCGCAATCCTTCAACTCCGCACTGCACTGCACAGTTAGTTCCCAGCGTCCTGGCTGTCGCAAGCCATCTCGCCAAGTCCGGCCAGCCAGCTCCCAGCACGGTGCGCCACCCCCAAATCGTCCTGCCCGTCCGTATTGCGGTGAATCGAACACGAGACCTAGCCCGGAGTTCCAAGCACGTCAATGGAGAATGTGCGGATTTCTTTTGGTCAAGCCTCATTACGGTGGCCAGGACTGTGAGACAACCCGCCGAGCCGCTGGCGATCATCTCACACCGACGTCTTTAAATATACTAGGTTCCAGTAGAGTTGCCTCAGAGATCTTCGGCCAGTTAAAGCCGCGTTGGTGAGAAATACTCCGACACATACCTAAATGAAGCGGTCGCAGAGGTTCCATCAATTCCGGATGCTACAGAGATGTACATCAGATAACTCAGAACCATACGGTGACTGCCCTGCTACAAGTTCCACCACCTTCACTAGCCCCAGCCAATGTGGGGTACGGCACGGGCTGAAGCCTCAACACATTTAAAGACGCAGAATGTATGGCCTGGCCTGCAGCTCCCGTAATTAATTCTATTTACGGTATATCGGCATCGTCCTTCAGATCTATACGAGGGCAATTGATAGGACACGTCGTTCACATGCATCTTTGGGGGCCAAGTAGTTTGGCCAAGCTACATCAATTTCTCAATCCGGTATCATTTTGTAGGACAAGATTTCGTTCGCGTTGTGCAACAGCCCCTAGAACCAACCTGATAGATCATATCCAGAATTCAATTTCATCCGTGTTACCAAACCCATCAGTTCAGTCGCAGACGGAAAGCTATCCAAACTTGTAGAATACATCATCTCCCCTCCTCTACAGCGTGTAGATGAAATCGGGCCTCTGGTCGCCCATGGCATGAATTGCCTCGGGTGATTTGCCCTGCACCCAGTGGTCCCGCTCGCCACTCAGACGCTTCTTATTCTCCCGCGCGAGCATTGTGTACATGATTGCGCTGCCACAGAAGACACCAGTAAACATAAAGGCAAGAATTGTTCCATGACCCTCGTAGAAGCGAGGCGGAGAGAAAAAGACATTGCTGCTGACGATTCCGTTCAGGTTTCCCCATCCGATAACGAAACCAAGGACGATACCACGTTTATACACACCCTCGACGTTGTTAGCAACCCAAGTGATGGTGATGGGGATGACCGGGTAGATTCCCAGGGCGCCCAAGAAGCAGCCACAATATTGTACGGCAGGCTTCGTCGACGCAATCAGCATAATAAAACCCGTGAGGCCAATAGGCGCAGCAATCAGGTTAAAGATACCACGCCTGTTGATGCGGTCGGAGTAAATACCAACGCAGACGGTAACAATGGCAGCCAGGGCGTATGGGGGCACGCTCAGAAGTTGGTTCTTGATAACCTCCTCTTTGGTGGTAAATGACATGTTCTGGATGATGGTGGGCAGGAACACGCTGAAAGAGTACAAAGGCATAAGCGGGCCCATGTAGATCATCATACCAACGTACGTCTTCCAGTCAGTAACAGCCTGCCAGAAGTACTTCATCTTGAACTCTTCGTGTTGGGCCGAAGCTTGCTGGTCGCGTTGGAGTCGGAGAATGACACGGCGGCGATCCTCATCGGATAAGAACTTAGCCTCATCAGGGAAGTCGTGGACCATCCAGAATGAGATGATACCAACAATAATGGTCAGGAGACCCTCGAGGATGAAAATCCAGGCCCAACCGCTAATGTTGGCAATGCCGTCCATCTTCTCGATACCAGCCGCCAGCAGACCACCAAAGGAGCCAGCCAGGGCAGCAGCCGAGAAGAACCAAGCAGCGCGAGCACCAAACTCGGAACGTCTGTACCAGCAAGAGAGATAGTAGTTGATCCCGGGGAAGAGACCAGCCTCAGCCACGCCGAGGAACCATCGAGCGGCCATCAGACCTGACCAGTTCTTGACGAAGCCCATTCCCAGCATACAGGCGCCCCAGAGAACCCTTTATTCAAGTCAATCAACCACTCGGACAACCTAGCAGAGAGGGATGCTCACATGATGGTGGGGATGAAGATGGATGGGCGAGTGCTCTTGAGGAGAATGTTGGCAAGAACCTCAAAGAGTGCGTACGAAATGTAGAAGATGGTCAGGGTCGAATTGAATTGGGTCGTTGACATGGGAATGTCGGTCATGAGACCGGCGATTTTGGCATTGCCGATATTGGTACGATCGAGGAAGCAGACGAGATAGAGAAAGCACAACTAGATACAATTAGCACATTGGGGTCTCTTTTAAACGATGAGTGGTTCTTGAAGACATACCCATGGGATGAGCCTCATGTCAAGCCTTCGAACGAGTTTGCGCTCCTACAATGCTATTAGCAACAGCCAGCCTGGCTAATTGGACGAGAGCTACGCACCACCTCCTTCTTCTCGGCATCAGACAAGCCAGCATCAGGATCATTGACGAGATCAACCTGCTGAGTCGTGGCCTTTTCGTCGAACACTTCGTTTCGGTCGACTTCGCTCATGATTGCGGAGTAGACGGGAGGAAAAGCTGGCGCCGGGAGGGTTATGGGACGAACCACCGGACGGAGGGGGAAGGGAGGGAGGGAGGGAGGGATCTCCGAGTCACGTTGACGGGAACGTGGGAGAGGGAAGGAGAGGGCAAGGATGCCGCAGCCAGCCGAGCAGAAGAGCAATGGATTGGCAGGCGGGATCAAGACAGAGACTCAGGATTGTCGACGATGCGAGACAAGCACCCCAAAAACGGGAGTGGTGGTGGAACGGTGGAATCGCGTGTGAGGCGGGAAGCAAGGAGGAGGGGGGTGGAGGCAACACCACGAAGTATATAGAAATGGACTGAGTGCCGGAAGAGATGGAGGCAATCGCTGAGGAGGCGAAATCGCTGAGGAGACGAGTATCTTCCTTCTTCTCTGCGGGGGAGCTCCTTGTTCTTATAGTCAAGCCAGACGACGAGATGAGGAGAAGGGCGTTGGGTTTAATAGAGAGCCAAGCCACGGCTCGCCGACCATTGCCCCGTCTGGGGGAATGCAACCCCGAGAGAGAAAAATGAGGAGCAAGTGTGGAGAGGAAGCTTTCTGCGCCAAGGAGCGCCATCTTCCAGTGAGGAGGAGGTACATGAACAGGATTCCCTCTTCTCCCACATCTTTTTTTCCTCCATTACGTCCGCCCGTCCGCCCGTCCGCGTCCAACCCAAGCCGCGGACCCGCCGCGGGCCAGCGAGCGAACGAACCACTTACTTGCTTTAGATGTTACCTTGCTGGATGGATGGAGATGGGGTTGGGATGGGATGGGATGGCGCCGCGGACCCGCCGTTGTTGTCTCGGGGGGGGTGGGGGAGTGGGGGAGTGGGAGAAAGGAGAGAGTGGGAGAGGAGGCAATTGGGCCATGCTCGCTCGCCCCCTCTCACTGGGTGGCCTCTGCAAACTTGGCACCTGGGGTCTCGGATCTGTCCATCTCGACTCTGTGGACGCCGCTGGGCTGCGGGGTTTGGGGTCACGGCTGCGTGGAATGCCTGCAAGTGGAAGTGTGGAAGTGTGGATGTGTGGATTGTGCTTCTTCGTCTCGGCGGGACGGGTACGCTTACGCTTGGGGGGGCGTCACACACAACACACAACACACACACACACCTGGTGAGAATGAGAATCCCTGCAAACGCTAGCCATGGGTTCTTGCTGTGCGGCTTTCGAGGCGGCCACGCGAGATGGCGCTCGGCGTGCTCGGGCACCGGGGCCTGTTTCTCTCTGTGTGCCTGTGTCTTTGTGTTGCCGTTGCCCAGACGGGATCCAAGCCAGGCCAAGTCGCCCATCAGCCGAGAGCTAGCCCGTTGATCGACAGCCAGTCCCTTTTTTCGTTTTCGTCGGCGTCGAGGCTAGCAAGGAAGCAGACCGAGGAACGTCATTCTAGGCCATATCAGAACAGAGCTTAAAAAAAAAAAGAAGAAACCCGTCCGGGTCGTGACGAAGCTTCAATGCCGACGTCTCCTGATTCCTCCCCCGCGTCCCCTCTTCTGCGTCGACTGATCAAGATGAGATCCGTGATTTCCCCCAGAGATGCATCTCTTGTGACCCCGTGGGGAATTCCCTTGCGCTCTGGGGAAAAAATCGCCCGTCCCAGGCCAGCCTCCCCCCTTCGCCATCAGGAGACGCATCGCCAGAGAGCGTGTTCCGCCCGGCTGGGTGGTCTCACCTTTCGCACACGCCCCAGCATCCTGGGCGTCGGCTCACCCATCTCATCTCATCTCAGCCCACTGCGCACACCCGCCTCCGTATCTGTTCGTTGCCGTGCTGAAACTGCAGCCGCGTCCGTCGCGTGGTTTGCGTCGCCTCCATCAAGCCACCTTGGCGCACGGCGACGGCGTTCGTCCTCCATGTCCAGCTGGCAGTATACGTCGAAGGGGGGCCCATTTCGGACTTCAATTCGCTAATATGAACCCAAATATATACCTCCTTTGTCTTTTCCTCGTCTCAATAGCAATAGGAGGGTTTTAGGCCGTGGCGTTAGGTTGCTGTTAGTCGCCGAAACCTCCTCGTCGCCTGCATCTCTTGGCTCTCGGCCCAGCCAACGAGCTACCTCGCATTTCGCCTAGATCAGCTCCCGTGTCTAACTCTTGACCCAGACCGGAACGGTGCGAAATAGCCCCCCGTGTCGAGAACATTGCATTGCTGGAGGTTAGTTTAGACACGCGCCAAGATGGCCAAGCCTACTAGAGCGTTGTTTCTCCGTCAGCCTTGAAGGTGGACAACCATCTCCACCGCGCAGCCCGGAGCTAGCGAGTTGCACCCTTCTGCACACATCCGCAACAATCCAATATCGGGTTTCCCTGGCCGACCATCATCAACACTCAACCAGGCACACACGCATATCGAATCAGTAGCCTTGCAAATGTCGATCCCAGCCAGCCCACTCTTGGCATCCCTTTTTTCTCCCGGTGTGCAGATCAACACGGGAAGGTTATGTTTGTTGGGTGCCTATCAGATCGAATCCCGTAACGCCCACTCCCGAAGCCAAGCAACCACCCGCGGCCCCAGAGAACTCAGCCTCCTGCAGGGCGAAATTAAAAAGACTCAGCTCCGCAAAGAGGAATGAATAAATGAAGAAGAAGAAAAACGCAGTTGACAGGAGGACAAGCAAAGTAGCTGCAGCGAGCTAGGGAGCCAGCATGACGTTATTGCTTCTCGAACCTTGACGGGCCCAGTGATAGCCGTAGCACCGGTTACGCCCCCATCTCCACCACTTTTGCGCCCGCCGCCACAGCGAAGCCCACCGCCGCCGCCTCTGAGATAACTCGGTGACTGGGACTCGTGCGACGCGCAGAAAAATAGAAAAGTAAAATCCCAGAATACGAATTGCAATATCTCGTGTGTGACGGGAGAAACAGGAGCGTTGTCGGAGTGGCTGAAGATGAGGATTGCGGGTGGATGACGAGATCCAAGTTCTACACGAACGTGTACGAAGACAAAATGTGCTATAACCGTCCGCCAACCAGGGTCGTAGCAGGCATCAGGATCGGGAACACACATTACATTGAGCTAGCGGATGGAGGGCATTTCTCGCACCGTCTCGGGTTCCTCCAGGTCCAGGATCTCGAAGAAAACGTGGAAGACCAAGTCCGTCACTTACGGTTGGGGCGCCAGCGAACAGTTCACTTCAGCGTCTCAGTCCACGCCATGGATCGACCCCATCTTCCCCCGCAGCCCCCCTCCCCAGCTGGTTCTTCCCCGCGCCACGAGGGTGTTTCTCCGCAGATCCGTAGTTTGGATCTCGTTGGGGGAGTCCTTGTCTGGCTAGGTTGTAGGCATCCTCATCCTCATGGGTGGGGGACGCCTGTGGCCTGTTTCGCACGGGCGTCACCCACTACACTACACCACTTTGCTTGCGCTGCCCTCCAATCCCAACTCCGGCCCTCACCTTACGGTGGTCCGATGCGCACGGTGGAGTCGCGGAGGACGAAGACCGTTGGTCGGGCGCCCAATCGCCGACGCACCCAGCCGCCCGACGCCCGACGCCCGGGGTCCGGGGCTCGGCGTGCGGCGGCTATTGCCTTGTCCAGAAGACGGTTGATGGTTGACCCTCCCAAAACTAGATCCCTCTTTCGCATCCATCCTTGCCCCGGCCATGAAAATCTGCTGCACGCAGTTAGATTAAGCATAACCATCTCATTGAAACCGACTCAAACAGCAGGGCGAATCGGCCGTTGTCCGTTGCCTAGGCTGACGTCTCTGAAAGCCACACGGCGGTCCAACGCCGCCGCCCATCTTCCTTCTTCATACTTGCTCCAGCCACTCATGCAGCTTGGCGACCTCACGATGGCTTCCTTTGCGTGCCAACTAGGTACTGCCCGTCTCGGGGACGGCGCACGGTTGCGGTTCCGCTATCGCCCTGTGCCGTTTTCGGTCGTCGAGGTTTCATCTCAGCCCGCAACCCTGGGCCATGATTCCACTTCCTTGCGTCAAAGACCACTCACTTCATCCGTGACCGTCGCCCACGTAATCAACGTTATTCGACTTGCGGGGATTCCAGGGATCGGTACATGTCTTATCCGCCACTGGCTCCGGCGTCAAAACGTGGTCCGCAGTAATACCCTGCGGCTGGACGCAGCCAATCTAGTAGGCCGCCAAGTCGCACGCTGTCGACGATGCAACCCAAGACAATGAGATATGATTCTCGATGGAACCTGAGCTCGTGTTGTAAATCTGTCAACGTCGTTCTACTCGGCTGTCACAATCGTGTCCTCGCCTAACTCCTTGACCGAGCCGAGTTGGCAGTCCATCTCAGTCTCTGAACCTTTCAACGTCGAGGCACCAGATCCAAAACCCCGTCAGTATAATATTTTATCAACTCCAATTTCTGGCAAGTATTTCCGGAAACTGCCCGAAAGAACACTTTCAACAATCCAAGACCCCCAACATCCAATGCAGTTCGTCGCCTGACGCACCCCCATGGCTGCAAGTGTTCGCCCCTGAACACTGCTGACTCGCGTTACCGATGCCATGTGCCGTACCCGGCAACTACGAAGTCATTGTAACGATGAATCACGCAGCCCTGTTCAAAGCCCGTGCCGCGCCAGGGATGTAATGGTCACCTGCAACGCAACACCTTTGTGCAGCAACGGACTGAGGTGAGGCGGTGCGCCGGTGCGCCACAACACCACACCAAGCCTCCATCGTCAACATCATGAACCTCACCAACCGCTCAGCAACTCATGCACACAAATCCTCCACTGCACCGCGCAAAAGAAGCTCAAAAATGCCCAAAAGATGCCAGTCACTTTCCAGGGCCAAGCCTCTATCGAACGATACTCGCAATAAAAAGAACAAAAAGAGAGGCGAGCGTCATCCTGGCGGCGTCGAACTGAGGGCCCTTTGACCCCCTGCCGGGCTTAAGGTCCGAAATCCTAGGGCGAACCCCATCCCCTATAGACCAGTCGGCTCGAGAGTGTTTGTTAAGGTCGGGAGCAGATATTAGGAATGATAAGGCTTCGTTCCTTTGTTGGTTTGCTGGTTGGCGGTCGTTGGCGGACTGCGTGCCAGCTGTCAGGAGAAATTTCCGGCCGCTGGCTGTCAACAGTGATTCAGTGTTCTCCAGCCGTTCCCATGACGTGCCGGGGTTTTCTACGTCATGTACTCGCTCCAGCCTGGAAATCCGTTTACTTTCTCCAAGGTATGTGCCTTTGACTTACTTGTCATGACGCTCGACTACCTCGGCACCCTTCGATCCATTTTGAGGCTCACTGTGGCTCCCTTGTGGCTCACTTGTAGCAACTTCCTTTTCCCACCCTCGTCTCCCTGACTTCTCTTCAGTACTGTTAACCTGATCTGATCTCGCTCGGTTACATTATCATCACACAGTGTCACTACAAGGGAACACGAGATCTTGGGGGCCGGGTTTACAGGTATCAGCAAATCGTTAATTCAGCAGGCATTTAGGCCGATCCTGTGTGACACAATCTCCATTCGGTTGGAGACACAATTTCATGGATCCTTCGCGGACCTCGACCATCATTAACATGCACGTTCTAACCGCGACTTGTGGGTTCTAGCTGTCGACACCTCCAGCGCCTTACGCCTTCGAAGTGAGCCCAAGTTCCTTGTAAAAGGACTCGGTGCTTGGTGCTCTGCCCAGGAACTCCTTCAAGAACTCCATCTCATCGATACTGCCTCCTCTCTCCAAAACTGTGTGGCGATATCTCCTGCCCTCCTTTCCGTCCATGGGATTCTTCACGAAGAACGAGTGGAACATGTCGAGAGAGAATACCTCAGAGTAGAGGTAGCCATAGTAGCCAGCATCATACCCTCCGATGAAGTGGCCGATTCCGGCGTGGCGGTTGCCCCATTCCCTGTTTCATGTCAGCGTCGAAATAACCATGAAACTCGCCCGGTGAATACTTACAAGCCTTCTCCAAGGTCCTCTGGGCCTTTGATTCCAGAAATATCATGTCGCAGTGTGTTCCAAAGTCGGCCAGCGTTCAAGTTCTTGACAGCCTCATGGGTCTCGGGAGTGTGGACGGTCATGTCAAAGGTTCCGATGACAATCTGTCCGAGCGCACCGATAGCCGAGTTCAGGTGCTTTGTCGAAATCAGCCTCTCGATGAGGTCATCGGGAATCGGCTCGCTGGTCTCCCAGTGCTTAGACAAAGACTTGAGAACACTGGGGGTCCAGCACCAGTTCTCCAGCATCTGCGAAGGAGCCTCAACAAAGTCGAGCACCGTGGAAGTACCGTGGAAGTAGCTGTAACGAGTGCGTCCAGCCAAGTCGTGAATTCCATGGCCCAGCTCGTGGAACAGGGTAACCACTTCGTTGTGCTTGAGGAGGGAGGGTTTCTTCGCGGAAGGCTTGCTGAAGTTGCAAACTAGAGCCGTGGCCGGGTAGTGCTTCTTGCCGTCCGCGGTAATATATCCAGGCTCGAGGTTGAAGTTGGCGTTGTGGCCGTACTTGTTGTCGCGGGGGTGGAGATCAAGGTAGAGGTAGCCGCAGAACCCAGCGCCCGAGGCCTCGTCGTCCCAGACGCTGTAGACCAGGACATCCTCATGCCAAACGATGTCCTCGGCCTTTCCAGTCGGGCTGAGCCGGGCTCGCTCCTCTTCCTTCAGCTCCACAAAGACGAAGCCAAAGATTTCCTCGAAAATCTTGAGCATGCCAGCAAAGGTTGACTCGACAGGGAAGTACTGGGAGATGGCCGTCTCGTCAACACTGTACTCCTTTTCTTTCTGGATTCTCGAGTAGAAGGACGAGTCCCACATGTAGAATTCGCCGTCAAAGTCAACGCCACGCTCCTTGTAATCATTCTTCTTGTAGTCCAAAAGGGCCTGAATCTCGGTCTTTCCGCCAGCAGCAAGTCGAGTGCGAAGGTCGCCCAAAAACTCGCTCACGGAGGCAGGGTCCTTGGCCATCTTCTCCTCGATCCGGAGGCTGGCGTGGTTGGCATATCCGAGAAGTCGAGCGGCCTCATCACGGAGAGTGATGATTTCCTGGAAAAGAGGCACGTTGATGTTCGCCTAGATACAGTGTAAGCATGCCTTCAAACTCCAAACCAATTGATCGTGCTTACCTTGTTAGATTCAGCAACGGTGTACTGGCGTCTGGTGTCTGCGTTGACGCAGTGCTTGATGAGGGGGAAGAAGTGGTTGTATTTGAACGAGAGCTTCACCTTGCCCTCGTTCTCTCCGGTTCCCTTCTCCAAGGTTTCGATGTCGATGTCGTCGGAAGGAACGCCCTTGAGCTCCTCAGGTGTGAACCAGATAGCACCCTTCTCCTCGTTGAGGTTGGTCTGGCACTGGATCTCCAGCTCGCTGAGGCGCTTCTGGATCTCCTTGAAACGATCTCGCTGAGGTCCAGCCGGCAAGCGGAGACCGTTGCGGATGTACTTCTGACGTTCCTTCTCCAGCACGTGCATGCGCTCCTTGTCTAGGTCTTCCGAAGCTCGGTTGGCAAAGACGGCATCGACGACCTTGAAGATGTCCTCTCGCATGTTGCACTCAATGCCAAAGTCGTTGAAGACCTTCTCGGACTCGGTGGAGGCATCTCGCAACGCCTTGTCGGTGGAGACGTGGTGGTAGAAGGTCAGGATCCGTCGCTGAGTCGCGGCCAGATTCTCGTCCAAGAGGATGGGCTCAAGGACGTTGGCATAGTTGGCCTTGTCTAAGGAGACATTGGCGGCCACGGAGTCCAAGACAACCTTGGTGGTGTCGCAGAGCTTCTTGGTTTCGGCGGCAATCGATTCGGGGGTGGCGGTGAACAGCGGCGGCGCCTGGGGAGGGTTACGATACTTGTCGGGGACGACCATGGTGCTGGTCATCAACGGGCGTCGTGGGATCGTGGGTCGTGCTGCCTGGAATCGGAAGTGATTGACGAGGGAGCCGAGGCGGGAGAAAGCTCGTGAGGAAGCCAGAGTGGCGGCGAAAAGGAGGACGAGGAGGGAGAGGAAGAGGAGGAGGGGCTTAAGTGCAGGTCGTCTAGCCAGCTTGATCCGAGAGCCGATTGGGCTGACGCAGTCTGATTGAGCAAACGGCAAGCGGGCTGGAGGGGTACAGACAAAGAAAAGAGGGGTTCCAACAGGGACAGCTCGACTTTGACGGATGATGAATCAGGCAGGTCTGGTTTCTAGGCCTCAGGGCGTCACAAGGCGTGGTTGACGATGCAAGAGGATGGGGCGACGAGCAAGCTGAGCTCCTGCTGGCGCCGCTAGATTGAAACGCGGGGCAGCTACGGAAGGTCCGGTGGTCGTTGGTGGAGCGGACAGATGCCATGATGCCTCAGGTACTATGACGAACAATGCGAGCGGCCAGCGCCTCAGGACTGAGCAGCAGAATTACTCATCTCATACATGCGCCGCACGACCTCACACTAGCAGACAATAACACAGGTCATGAATTTACACAAGCTCAAGCGCAAGCGATGGCGCTCCCATTGTTCTTAACAGATTGTCTCGCGTCCATGCTGCCGCCACTCACTGACCCCGCCATTTAAAGCCGGATACGCCCGGATCAACAAACAATGGCCACCCAACAAATACCACACACAAGAGTCAAGAGGCACAACAGACAATCAATTCTCTGACTCCTGGTCGCCTCCCAAAATATCTACCAGAAATCCATGCACAGTGCCCGACGAATGCGGCGCAAACAATTCTCCATACCAGTTTAGCCAACCAATGTCCCTAATCAAACTCGCAAGCAACGCCGTTCCGTCCACGTAGATGCATAACCCAGGGTCTGCCAGAAACCCGTGCCGCTTAGTTGGCGAGGATGGTTCGCACGAGGTCTGGAAACAAAGTCAGCATGCGCAATTCTCCCGTCGCATCGATGTCGGGGTACGAACCAGTGTAGTTGACCTGGCCGGAGCTGGTGTCCACGGCCTTGAGGAGCTCGTCCACCTCCTCCTCGGTCATCTTCTCGCCCAGGTTGGTCAAGATGTACTTGATCTGGCCGACGCCGATGAAACCCGTCATGTCCTTGTCGAACACTTGGAAGCCTCGGCAGTATTCCTCGGGCTCGCCGGCATCGCGGAAGCCGCCGGGGCGGTTCAGGATGCGCTGGAAGGTCTCGAAATCGACTGTGCGACGGCCAGTTCAGCAGCTGCACTCCATCCAAACAAAGCTCGGGGATCGCGGGGGGCTACTCACAGTCACCTCCGACATTCTTCTCGAGGTCCTGGATCTCGGTGAGGGTGGGGTTCTGGCCGCAGGCGCGGAGCAGGTCACCGAGGCTTTCGAGGGCGACACGGCCATTGCCACGCTTGTCGAACAGGGCGAAAGCCTCCTTGTAGTTGGTCGAAGCCTGGGCGTCAATGTGGTTAGGAGCCATGGTTGCAAATAGAGCGGTCAAAGCCTCGCGAGCGCAAAAGAGGAGCGGTTCTGATGATGCGGTGGTGAAGATGGGAGGGGATGGGATGGGATGGGATGGGATGCAGAGATGGCAGCGCAGAAAAGAATGGTTTTCGCGGCGCAAAGGATGCTGCACCCAAAACCAGCATTCTGGCTGGTGGGCGGCCGTCGAATCAGATGGACTAAAATGCGCTCGCGGGGCGGTTTGTTTACACCGGTGCCGGGGCAACTCACCATTTTGGGTTTGAATCGGGGAACGTGGATCAGCTGAGGACACGCACACGCAGAGTTGACGTCAAGCAGCGGCAGACGGGCGAAGAACGGGACGGATGAGGCGTGACGATGTGACGATGATGTTTGCAGAGCGACAAAAAGTGGTGTTGAGGTTGGAAAGATGGAGAAGCGAGAAACGCAGCCGATGGTCGCTCCTTGTGCATGTCCTTCACGCTCTGGCCTCCGCTGGTGGCCTTTTTTCCCTGAAACTGACGGGGCAACCGTGTCAGCGTCTCCAGCAAGCGGCGCACCGGCCAATCGACGCAGTGCGACTATTGGCAATGGTTCAATGCCACAAGCCTGGTTGACCAAGGGGCTGAGCTATCCGAGATATCCATGCAGTAGCTCGCTCGCGGCGTGCACAATTCTGTCGGTGAGGGGCCTGGGCTGCCATTCATAAACCGCATCGCTGTGGTGTTGGTGTGTTGTTGTGCCGTAGGCATCTCACCCCGCCCCACCAAGCCTATCGTTGCTCGCCTTGCCTCTCCTTGCCTCTCCTTGCCTCTCCTTGCCTCTCTCGCCTCACCGACTTTACTACAATCATGCCCAGGAAGCAACACATTGAATAATTACAAGTAAATGATGCATACGTAATCCTTATATCATACCAAAGAACCCCTAGGCTCCGAAATCACCATCATCTAGACGAGAGGAAACATTGTTCCAGTGAACATCCGTGTCCACATCTCGAAGCCACCTCTACCCACACAAGTCGGTTTCTGCGCACACCCAGACATCATTCACTTGCGTAGTGTAACAAGAATCACGTCCGCAGTCGATCCTATCGCCATGCTGCTTGTAGCACGTCGCCACCTTTTGTCCCGGATCTGCCCCGTGAATCCACACCTCGAGGTTCTCGCCGTTGTTGGTGACCCAGAAGTCAACCGAAGCGGTCCCGCATACGCCGGGGTGGTTGTACCCGCTCCAGCTAAACCCCTGTCCGAACTGCGGCAGTACATGCGGGAAGTTGCGGTCATCCCTGAAAGCATCGCAGCCGTACTGCGAGGAGGGCACCGCACCGACTCGCCATTCCACAAAGTGTTTAGGCCAGCACACTCCACTTTTCACTACTTAGCGAGATCGGAAATATTCAGGCGTCGTACCACGACCAACCTTTTCTTATTGCATTCAACGTCGCAGAGGTTCTGGTAGCGGAGGAACAGGTGGAAGCCAGCCGAGACCGAGGGGATCAAGGCGGCAAAGGAGATTGGCAGCAGGCTCGTAGAGAAGCGCATGATGAATTGAAAGTTTGCAAGTGTTTTTATGCTAATCTAACTAGATGGCTGAATGAGAAAGTCTCACGTCCCTATTTATTCTTGCTCGCGTGCTCGAGATGCCTCCTATTCTCCCATGCCCCTGGAGCGTAGTTTTTAGACATAATATATGCTGCTTACTCTCTCATACATCAGCTGAAGCCTACCCTCCAATGGCGACTGAAGAGTTCCCAGACCCCAAATATAAGCTTACCACGGCAGTCAGGTGTCAGCTTCAATCTCGAAATGACCCCCAATCACTTCATTCCTGAACTACCGGGTGCAAGAAGACGAGTCAGCTAAACAAAGATACCAAGGACACTCATGGGGACTTTTGCCAGCTGTATTATTCTAGCTAACTTGCCTATGTTTCATGGCTCATGGCTCATATCCATTGCCATCGGTAATCACTCGCCTCGACGCTCATGTCTCATCTCAGCACTCCGAGGCTGGATATGCCGTGCTAGTCTAGAAGCTTACGCTCCGGGAGCCCGTCGAGCCATGAGGATATACGTTCCCCAGACCGTCTCGACCTCTGCATCTCGCCATTGGTCGCCCAATGCCCTCCACTCCGGCTCTACCTTCAGTATTTGATCGAACATCAGATCCACAATGTCTCCTTCGCCACCTTGGGCCCAGCTCTTCTTTTCCGGATGCGCATCCATCCAGCCCTGGTACGAACTAAAGGTTCGCGCATAAGCCTCGAATTGGCCAAGATTGAGATTCTTCCTCATCCAAGCCGTCTGTGGTCCAGCGACATCGAACGTGTCCTTGTCAACATCGTACATGATTCTCTTCACGTCTTGCCAGTCCGACTCTGGGGGCTTCACCACGCGCAACAAGTCGCGGAGGATGTCTCTTCCTGGCCGCTCCCAATACTGGTTCATCCCTTCTACTCCCTTCACCACCTCCCCATCGCCGTAGCAGAACCTGTCGAATATCTTGTTGGCTCGAGAGTGCCCGATGATTATGTTGTCCTTGTATCCCCAGAAGGCAATGGCGCCTCCTGGTTTGACTACCCTAGACAACTCCGGCCAGACCTTGGCGTAATCAAACCAGTGCGCAGATTGGGCTGCGACAGCCAGGTCCAATGACTTGTCAGGAATGAAAGAGAGGTCCTCCGAATTTCCTTGGCGGAAGGAAATCTTAGGATCTTTGGTTGTTTGCGCGGCTTGCGCAATCATGCCCGCGCTTGGGTCAATTGCGATTGCCCGTCCAAAGTGCGGAGCCAACTCTCTCGTAGCGACTCCGTGTCCGCACCCCAAGTCTAACAATGTTCCGTTGGATGTTTCCGAGTTACAATACCCCAGTATGGTCTTGAACAGACTTGCGGGATACGTTGGTCTGGCGGCTGCATACCCAGCTGCAGAAAACGTGGCTCTCCTGATGAACTGTTAGCGTCTCTCCCTGCAAGACATGACAAATGTGGACTGACCCAAATACAGACATTATCGGCCCAGTTCAGTTGGCGATACGATGTAGTCTGGCTGAAGTTATCAATCCGAAGTACGAAAGACAAAGGAGCCGCAGTTGACAATTTATTCTACCGTGGTAAGTGTAAGGATGATCGGAGGAACGGCATCTTGCTCGTAACCCCGCAGCTGACTTCGGTTATCCGAAGCTTGTTTGTGCACCGCACTTGCATCATCATCCCCTTAACCAAACCAAACCAGCTCCAGTTAACACAACGGTCTCTCAATACGCAGAAATCATGACTACCGAGGCTACTGTTCGGAAGTTCTTCGCTTCCTCCGCATTTGCGGTCGTTGGAGCGAGCTCGAACCCAGCAAAGTTCGGACACCGAGGTATGTCCTCGCTCGCACCTTCACATGAACCCCAGCGTCGGAATCCCTGCTCAACTCTCTGTATGCAGTGTTTACATGGTATTTGGTGCATGACCTACCTGTGACTCCCATCAACCCAGGGGCGGCGACCATATCCGCCCTGGAGGAGGACCATCCCACGGTGCCGGACGTGACGGCGCTCCCGAACCCCAAGCAGACGTCACTGTCTGTCATTACGCCGCCAAGTGCGACGCTCAAGGTGTTGCAGGAAGCCAAGAAGTTGGGAATCCCTTCGATTTGGCTGCAACCTGGAAGTTTCGACAACGAAGTCATGGAGTTCGCCAATGAGAAGGGGGCTTTCGAGGCTGTGGTTGCCGGTGAGGGGGGCCGAGGCCATGAAGGATGGTGCGTCTTGGTCGACGGCGAACGTGGATTGAAGGGTGCAGGAAAGTTGTAAGCTGATGAGAACTATATGATGTGGGAATTGATAGTTTCTCAATTAATGGCCATGAGACGCCGTGAAATGTGAATACTGAGCCGAATTGGGATCATCACCCATCCAACCGGGCCTTTTGGTGCATGGTAAAGATTGGATTCACAAGATGCGGATTTTAATTGAGCTGCTAAGAATAAGCATAACGATAATAAAAGTATAATAAATCCACAGGAAGGTCAATGACCAAACCAACTCTACCCTGTCTATTAAGGGACATTGACCGAGATATTCAAGGTGAGCCGTCTCACCGAGTTACCAAACACAGGCGGCCCCACTTCCCCCGAAAGTAAACAAACGCGCCCCGACCCACACGCACACGGATGCCCGTCAGTCAGTGTCTCGACTTCACGACCGTTTCCATGGCCGGTTCTCCTTCAACAACCAACGCCCTCTATACCGACTCCCTAGGCGCTCGACAGACGCGCGAAGACGCTCGCGAACGATTATTTACGACTGAAATGATTGCGACTTCCTCTTGATCTACTCCAACTGCCGCCGTGTCTCGCGTCTGCTAGCCAGCTCGCCGTCGCGACCCGCGACTGAACGCATCTCCTCGATTCCACCTCCATTGCACGCGTGCAGCCACCGCCATCATGTCTGCCGAAGACATCACCGACGAATTCATCACATACGAGAACCGTATGGGCTCGTTTCACAGGAGCGTCAAGAAGCGAGCTTCAGGCGCGAATGGACGGGCCAAGAACCTGGCCTGGCCTCATCGAAACATTGCGCCCGCGAGGGTATGCGCTTCACAACGCCGTATTCTTGTCCCACGCTAACGTATTCGAATAGCTTGCCCACGCCGGTTTCTTCTTCAACCCCAGCCCTACCAACCCCGACAACGTCACTTGCTTCCTCTGCCACAAGGGGCTTGATGGCTGGGAGGCTGGCGATGATCCTCTCCTCGAGCACCTCAAGCACGCCCCGGAATGTGGCTGGGCCATCGTGGCTGCCATCGAAGCCGAGCTAGGAGATCATGCGAGAGAGGACCCCAACCATCCCTACATGAAGGAAGCCCGAAAAGCGACGTTCGCTGGGAGGTGGCCTCACGACTCCAAGAAGGGATGGAAGTGCAAGACTAAACAGGTGAGTTTCTCGGCACATGCTCGAGATCATCCGTTGACGTTTGACAGCTGGTCGATGCTGGTTGGAAATACACACCAACCTCGGACTCCGACGACATGGCTACTTGCGTCTACTGCCAGTTGGCCCTCGACGGTTGGGAGCCTGCCGACAAGCCACTGTAAGTTTGGCATATCTGTACTGAGGTCCTACAGCTAACATGGCATAGCGACGAACATTACAACCGATCCCCCGACTGCCCATTCTTTTCATTGCTCGAGCAAACACAGGGCGCAAAGAAAGCCAGTAAATCGAAGGCTGGCCGCGCATCTAAGGCATCGCGACTGTCTGTCCAATCCGTCGCTACAACCACATCAGAAGCTCCGTCAATCAACGAGTCAATGGCTCCAGAGGACAGCGTGATGACTACCGCCTCTACGCAAGGTGGTAAGAAGACGAAGGCGCGGAAGACCGCCACTGGCAAGGGAAGGAAAACCAAGGCCAAGAAGGAGGAGCCCGTTGAGGAGGTGGAGGACGCCATTGAGGATGAGGCTCCTCCGCCACCAAAGCCCACTCGTGGAAAGAAGCGAGCGAGCACAGCCATGGAAGACTCAGCTCTGATCACCGCCGAAGCGCCGGCTTCGAAGAAGCGAGCGACTTCGAATCCGAGCAGCCCTACAGTAAACCACTCGGTTCTTGAGCCCATTGACGACAGTGATATGACGGATGCGCCAGCTCCCAAGAAGACGGCTGGGCGTAAGAAGGGCCAAGCGTCAACGGGCAGGGCTCGTCAAGCATCGACTGCATCGGCTGCGTCAGCCGCCTCTGCAGCGTCTATGGCATCCGTCCCCGGAGCCTTCCCCGACGACGACGAGATCGAACGTCAGCTAGAGGCCGACCTTGAAAGACAGCTAAGCGAGGATGACGAGGTTACTCTTGACTCTGACTCTGAGCGAATGAAGAGGAGCAAAGGAAGCCGAACTTCAGACACCCAGATCGAGTCTGTCCAGGAGTCGAAGGATTACGCCATGTTCAAACCTGCACCCGCTGAGCTTGATGACGATGAGGTTGAGGATGAGCTCAAGGCACTCGAGGCTGAGATGGGGTTTGAAGAGCCTCATGTGATCGAGGAGCCCGAGGAACCACAAGAACTTGAGGAGCCGCAAGAACCCGAGGAACCCCAGGAACTACACGTTCCCAAGAAGGGGCGGAAGGCCGGTACTCGCAAGGCCTCAAAACAGACCAAGGCTAAGAAAGCTAAGGCCACTCCAGAACCCGTGGAGGAAGAAGTGGAGGAGGAAATCGTGGCCCCTGAACCCGAGCCTGAACTCGACGAACAGCTCCACGAGGACAGCCTGGTCAGCACCGGCACCGTTGTTGTTAAGAACTCGGCGGCGGCGGCGCGGCTGAGTACTGGAAGGCGAGGGCGTGGACGACCATCCAAGGCGTCTCTTGCCTCCCGGGAGTCTACGGGCGCCGTCGACCTCGTTGAGCCTGCGGTTGACTCCTCCGTCGACCCTCCTGCCGAGCCTGTTGCTCAAACGGCTGCTAAGCGCGGACGCGGGCGCCCATCCAAGGCATCTTTGGCTTCTCGAGCATCAATTGAAGGAGAGAACAGCCAGGTTGACGAAGCTCCTCCCAAGCGTGGTCGTGGTCGACCTTCTAAGAAGTCAACAGAGGCTCGTCAGTCGATGGAGGACACAAAGGCAGTCAAAGATGACGTCGACGAGTACGCAGCCGAGCGTGTTAAGAACACCAAGCCTCCAGTGGTGTCTTTCGAGGAGCCACAGTCGTCCCCGATGGTGCACGACGTGGCTACATCACCACCTCCCAGCGCTAGGCATTTGGCAAACCCTCCTTCAACACCAGGCAGGGTCATCTCGCCCGCGCCATCAGCCCGACAAGCGGCCATCTCTCCGTCCCAGTCGCCCCAGTCCTCCGACGCCGAGAATCAGCCCCCATCGTCGAAGCCTGCTGCCAGCGTCAAGCGAGTTGCGCTGGCGCCTGTCGTGGCAACGCCTACGCGCGGCTCGCCGTCAAAGCGCAACATGATTGCAGGACTCCGAAGCACGACTGCCTGGACAGAACTCGATGTCGAGGCCGTCCTCATGTCTCCGCGCCCCAACGGCAACAAGGAGAACAGCGCCGAGCAGTTCCTTAAGCAGGGCAAGACTCTCACGTCGCCCGAGAAGCGGATGACGGTGGAAGAGTGGATTCTCCACAACGCCGGCGAGGCGGAGAAGAAGCTGAAGCAGGAGTGCGAGGCCATGGTCAGCCGGTTTGAGAGCGAGGGCAGCAAGGCGATGCGCGTGCTGGAGGGCTTGGTGGTGGAATGATGGATGCTTGAAGTTGAAACAGCGGCGTTGGAACCAGGAACACGGGAACAGGATACGGGACATGGGGCTCCCTCGGCTGTGTCAAGCCCAAATGGAAGAGCCGGGAGGCTGATGAGGATTAATTGCACCGTCGCGCGAACGGATGGGATACATGGATGGCGTTTCGGGACAACTTAGCTGGAATCTGAATCTGAATGAGAGAGCCAATGTTCAAGACGATGAAAAGCCTCGCCCACGTCCAGCTTGCTAGCTCTGCGATATGCTTTCGCAACACCACGGCGGAACCGGACCAATTGCCACACGAACTATTCCTAGTACCATCTCGGCCCGGCTGGTCTGCGGTTCTAGATGTCTCTTGGGCCCTCCTTTTCCCCATTCCTTCAAGCCTCCATTCCTCGCATCTCAGCGCCGCCCAGAACCAGCTTCTTTCGCACCAGCGCGTCCGGCGGTCCAGCTCCACGTCTCAGCCTGAAGCCCGCCGGTGAAATAGACTTCCCAATCGCGGCAACCTCCACCGCGAGCGGCAGCGCCCAGGCATTCCCCAGATGCGGGCGGATCTCAGCAAAAGCAATAAGCGCCGCGGGGACGTTGTCTCGTGTCACCGCGTTGCTTTCCCCCCTCGAAGGCGGATGGCAGCTGGGGTATAAATACGGGCTGGGACACTCGTCAGTTGTGGAGTGTTCAGCAGCGTCAATCAATCCATCTCGACTCTCGACTCTCGACGATCCTCAACCTCGACCAGGCGAACATCACCAATCACAACCCCATCACAGACCCAACCTCCACTAAGAAGACCTCCCCGACTCACACAAAACACCATGCTCGGCCTCTCCTTCTCAACATTCGTGGTCCCCATGCCCAGGGTGGAACGCCTGTCCGACTTCTGGGGCACCATCAAGTTCCCGCGCCGCCGGTCGACATCCGAGATTGATGACTTGGCCACGCTTGAGGCTGGAGAGTTTGTCGAGGCGCGTATCCGCCCTGAGATGCAGCGGAGGCGAAAGAGTACCGCTTGAAAAGAGACACGATGAAAGAATAAAAATGGGGTATGTTGCACTATTGAACATGGGAGTGAGTTTGTAGATGCTGACTGCGGATGAAGATCAGGGGCTTGCTTGCAGGTTGATTTGAGGATAATACGGCGCAATAACGATACATAATTCACAACGGACAATTCAATCAAATCCAATTTAATCCGCCACATGGGCCAAGTGATCATTCAAAACACGCAACTATGCCACCACGTAGACGCTAAATCGTCTTTTCCGCCACGCTAATCCCATCTCAAATTGCAGATTCGCATTAAATTCCATCGCTCCAAATGTCCATTCTAACCATTCTGCTAAAAATCCAATTCACATCTTCGTCCCCAACTTGTTCTTTCTTCTTTCTTTCTTTCTTTCTTATCCGCGGGAACCACCGCCCCGGATTCTTAAGGAGTGTCAGAGGGTATCATTTCAGGACGTCCATGCCTATCCTGTGTCCAGATTGCGCCGTAAATGAGTGTAATGGCTGATGCCAAAGGTATAAAAGATGCAAAAATGCAAAAAAAAAATGCAAAAGTCCCCTCAGTTTATATATGCCGTAATGAGTGTCCGTAAGAGCATGAGCGTAAATTTCATATCATCGTCGTTAGATATTATCGTAAAGGAGTGTGGTGAATTATTTCAGAAAAAAGGGGTGTGTGAAGATTAAATGAAGAGAACCGCCAGTGTCGCAAGCAGGGTGATGATGCTAGCGAAACCGGTGGTCAGATGAGAGCCGGCGGAGGCTGGGACCGTCGTAATGTCACTTGATGCCTCAGCAGATGTTGAGGTGCGAGTCAACAAACTTGACGCAGACTCGGACTCGGACTTCGTGGCAGTGGCACCAGAGCTGTCTCCGGTCGTGATATCTCCTTCGCTGGTGCTCGTTTCCGTGCCCTCGGCTGCGCCACCGGAGGACGTAGCTGAGGCTGAGGAGTCGTCGGTAGCGGTAGCAGTGCTGGTGGCAGCAGCAGCCGAAACAGAGCCTGAAGCGTCTGTAGCTGATGTTTCATCGGCAGACTGGCTAGCCTCCGAATTAGATGCAGTTGACTCCGGTGACTCTTCAGTTGAGGTGGCAGTTGTCTCGGCCTCGCTGGAAATATCCAGAGCAGATGCGTCATTCCCGGTAGATCCCCTAACCGCTGTTGAGGATGGCTCTTCTGTGCTCTCAGCAGCAGTCGAGGATGGCTCGTCGGCAGCAGTTGACGATGCCTCCTCAGCAGCAGTTGAAGATGCCTCCTCAGCAGCGGTCGAGGATGCCTCCTCGGCAGTTGTCGACTCGATTGGGGTGAAGGCCTCTGAGCTAGCCTCAACTTGGCTCGAGGTCTCCACATCAGCCTCAGATGTCACCGCAGCCTCCGGACCAGAGGCGGTGGTTGATGGTGACGTGGTGGCCTTTCCATCACAAAAGTTAATGAACTGCGCGAATTCAGGCTCAACATAGTCGCGGATGGTCTTCTTGGTGCTATCCGTGTTGTCTGCGATACACGCCGCGCAGTTCTGGTAGCTAGCCATGAAGGAGGAACCACTGGCACAGAGCTTGTCTGACTTGCCTACAGACAGAGCAATCTTGTAGGCACCGTTGCAGTCGTCGTAGCAGATGGCGGGTGTAACGTCACGTTTGCCAAACTTGTGAAGTTTCTCTCGGCGATGCACCTTGTAAGAATCACCGTACGCGGCTGATGAGGTGGTCTGGGGCCAATCACTCAGGGAGGTCTGGGATTCCCAGTTGCCAGTGGTAAACGTCTTGACCTTTCCATGTTTCACCTTCTCGTACACCGTCTTCTCGAAGATGTCATAAGATAGGCCAAACGCTTCAGGGTTGAGATCGAAGTAGCCATACGACGGCGGGTAGTAACCGGTCTGATCCTTCTTCCAAGTGACATTCTTGAATGGTGGGGAGATGATACAATACTCAGGCGCGCAAAGGTAGTCCTCAACCGGCGGTTCCGGCCAGAAGTTACAAGAAGCAGGCTTGGGCGGGTTGCACACATATCCAGGCGCGCAACCAAATGTGAGGTCCGAGTCAACGGCCAGTGGTGCAGTGCTTCCAGTTGGCTTCGGGCAGACAGTGATTTGACCAAGCTCGGTCTGGGTGACGGTTGTCGGCGGCTGGCTGATGGTGGTTCCGCCCACTGTCAACGTAGTCGTAATTGTCGTTGTGGATGCTGGGATCACAGAAGTGACTGTCTCACCATTCCTCGTAACCGTAACAGTTTCCGCGGGCAATGTGCTAGTGATGAGCGATACGATCGTGGTACCAGGCAAAATGATCGTCTGTCCAGGAGCCGTAATAGTCTCTCCAGGGGCCGTAATGGTGTTTCCAGGAAGAGTAACGACCGTCCGCTCTCCAGGAAGAGTGATGGTCTGTCTTTCTCCAGAAACAGTTGTAACTATGGTTTCGCCGGGAAGGGTGACAGTTGTCGCTTGACCAGGAAGCCTGATGGTGACCGACGAAGCTGGCAAAGTCACGACAGTTCGCTCTCCTGGAAGAGTTACTGTCCTTTCCTCTCCAGAAATCGTTGTGAGTATCGTCTCCCCGGGAAGGGTAACCGTTCTCTCGTTAGTGACCGTTTGTCCTGGAAGAGTGATTGTTGTCCTCTCTCCAGAAATTGTGGTGACAATCGTTTGACCTGGTAGAGTAACCGTCTCTCCCTCTCCGGTGATAGTTTCCGTCACAACCGTTCGTTCGCCTGGAAGAGTTACCGTCCTTTCCTCTCCTGAGATTGTTGTGACTACTGTCTGTCCAGGTAGAGTGATTGTCCTCTCGCTGGTGGCTGTTATAGTTTGACCTGGAAGAGTGACTGTTGTTCTCTCTCCAGAAATTGTGGTAACAAACGTTTGACCAGGAAGAGTAATCGTTTCTCCCTCTCCAGTGACGGTTTCTGTAACAACCGTTCGTTCTCCCGGAAGAGTTACTGTCCTTTCCTCTCCTGAGATTGTTGTGACTACTGTCTCTCCGGGTAGAGTGATTGTCCTCTCACTGGTGGCCGTCACAGTTTGCTCTGGAAGAGTGATAGTGGTTTCCTCTCCAGCAATCGTCGTCACAAATGTCTGGCCAGGTAGAGTAATTGTCCTCTCGTCGACAACCGTTCTCTCGTTAGTGACCGTTTGTCCCGGAAGGGTGACGGTCGTTTCCTCTCCAGCAATCGTCGTAACAAACGTCTGACCAGGCAGAGTAATTGTCCTTTCGTCGGTGACGGTCTGGCCTGGAAGAGTAATAGTGGTTTCCTCTCCAGCAATTGTTGTAACAAATGTCTGACCAGGTAGAGTCACTGTCCTCTCGTTGGTAACCGTCCTCTCATCAGTAACGGTATGCCCCGGAAGGGTGATGGTTGTTTCCTCTCCAGCAATCGTCGTAACAAATGTCTGACCAGGTAGAGTAACTGTCCTCTCGTCGGTAACGGTATGTCCTGGGAGAGTGATGGTGGTTTCCTCTCCAGCAATTGTTGTAATGAATGTATGACCAGGAAGCGTAATAGTGGTTTCCTGGCCAGGGACCGTGACTGTGCCTCCCGGGAGTGTGACAGTTGTACCGTGGCCTGGAATTGTCGTGGGCACGCAGGTCTGGGTCATTGTGATGGTGGAGTATTTCTGAAGAGTGTTAGCATCTAGGTGCGGAGAGGAGGTGAGTTTCTTACAGTGATAGGAGGCTTGTAAATGTACTGAGTTTTCCACTTGATCTTCGTCTCGGTCTTCGTTCGCCATTCCACGTGCCACTTAGTAGAGACGGAAACGGAGACTTGTGTTTCACTTGATCATGTTAGTTGACATATAAGACTTTGGGTGGAAATAGCTGGCTTACGTGACAGTTCCTGCATTGCTAAAAATGGGTTAGTTTCAGTAATTTGAGTGATCGAGGGTCGTTCTTACCAAGATGTGTCTGTCTTCACAGAGGTGGTAGTCCCAGGCGTTGTGTACGAGTTGGTGGGGGTATCATAAATTACGCTTGTTGTGGACTCCGTGTATGTGTCCGTGGGTGTGCCGTAGGTGGGTGTACTGTAAGTGTCCGTAGGAGTACCGTACGTGTTTGTAGGAGTATCATAAATGATGCTCGTCGTGGACTCAGTGTACGTATCCGAGGGAGTACCATATGTGTTCGAAGGAGTATCATAAACAATGCTTGTCGTAGTCTCCGTGTAGGTATCCGAGGGGGTACCGTATGTGTTCGAGGGAGTATCATACACAATGCTCGTCGTAGACTCAGTGTAGGTATCCGAGGGAGTATCATACACAATGCTCGTCGTAGACTCAGTGTAGGTATCCGAGGGAGTGTCATACACAATGCTCGTCGTAGACTCGGTTGTTGTGGAGTCAACAACAGGCACGGTAGTACTTGTCGGTGGCGGCAGGTAGCAAGTGCAATGATGATTCCAAGTATGTCCCGGTGGTGGATACTGGTTGCTAGGCCGAGGCCGCTTTTGCGCTGGAGTTTCATATTCACCTCGGCGTTCAACTTGAGGCAAGTTGGGGTCTCGGTGGGCTGAGACCTCAGCAGCCAAGGCGCCCACCAGGCAGAGGGTCGCCAGGAAGCGCATGGCTGTCAAGGACGGCGAAACACAGCGAGTGAAATGGGTGACGCCGAAGCTTGCAGAGCAGGGACAAGCGAAGGTGGTAGAAAGGGCGTCTCACGTCGAAGGCCGGGCCTTTTCTGTTGATGTTGGGCTCGACGGACAAGAAGGAGAGGGAGCCAGGACTGCGTCACCGTACCAAGACGAGCATATGTACAAATGATGGGCTGGTCAGGCTGAGAGCGGGAGCCGGGTGGCTGAGCAAGGTAGCCCTACGAACTACCGACGACGGGAAGGCCTCGCACCACTGGCCTCACAATTCCCCAATTGGTTGTTATTTTCTCCTTTGCTCACAAGCCACCTGAGAGGCCGGGGGGCAGGGTACAGTAGCTGATGCGGAGGCAGAACGTGGGGCGAGGCGTACGTAGTATGCAGTGCCAATCTCGTCAACTAAAGCCCCGATGTCAATGTTGTGACAGCGAACAAGACCAGGCAGGGACTGGCGGTGATGGTAAGCTTGGCACGGACAAAGCACCACGGCGGAGACAATCGCTGACAGTGAGATTGGAATATCGCAAGGGCAAGCGGCCTGGTGCGAAGTGCGAGGGTAACAACGAATCTAAATGTCATTATGTGCTCGGCGGTGGATACCCCAAGCAGAGCTATCCCAAGCAAGAGCAGCAATGCAGCCGGAGCACATGCAGCAAGTATCGCCAGGGGTGTGGTTCTGGGACTGGGACTGACTGGGACCAGCACGTACGACATCCAAAAGAAGGCAGCAGCACGAAGCAGAAGGTGGTCCCAGAGCAAGGAATAAGAGAGGTCCATGGGGACAAGGGCGAGCGATGCAAGAGCCTGTAGGTCCAGCGCCGGACAATACCACGCACCATGCACCACGCATCCAGACGCCAAAGGACCGAGTAGGCGGGCGAGACTTTCCATTACCATGGCCACGACACTCACGACCGAAACCGGTGACGACGAAAAGACTGGCCCAAGAGTCCCAAAAGACCCAAGAGACCACCCGCAAGGGCCCCCGGTCGTGATGGCCTAGCGGGGCTGTGGACAGGGTCGATCTGACATACACCGGAGCATCGAGTTGATTGGGAAACGTTCGGGTTGCTATCCTTGTCGGCAGTCAGCCTAGGACCCAGAGCGGGCGAGTCGAGCGTCGACGGTGACATCGGTGGTGGTAGATTTTGAGTCAAAATGGCCGCCCCGACTCTGGCAGCTCAGAGCTGCCTTGCTGCGTTGAACATCACCGAGCCATGGCTGCCGTGACCAGCACGGTATAGGCCTAGCTGGAGACGGAGGGTCGGATCTTGGGATCGCAGCTCGTGTTTGAGCCGCGAGGCTTGGGGCCGCGATTACGATGTGGCCCAGGGACGGGCTCGATAGGCTCAGTAGGATGCGAGAGGCGTTGGGCCGGGTTGATGCGCCAACAGCCCCGAGGAGCGGGGGAACAACGTGAATGGTGGAGGAAAGCGAGCCTGGACGTGAGGTGTGGATGTCGCGATGTTGTTGGTGGGGGGAGAAGAGAAAGGGAAAAGACAAACTTAGACCGCCAGGTGCCCGCAGCGGGCAACGAGCGCCACAACTCCGCTCAGGGGAGTCACGCGGCGCCATTGGCTGCTGTGCTGCCAGTCAGTCCCGGCTCCGCCCCCAGCACAAGCCACTGGCGGTTTCATCAGCGGACTGCAGTGGTGCGCCCCACTGCCCAGCCCTGTGGCATCGGAGCGAGTGGGGTCATGGGCCCGCTGGAAAGGGCCCCCGCTGGAAAGGATACCACGGTAGGTATCCCGCCCAGGCCTAAGCCTTAAGGATCGCAACGTGGTCGGCCGTCTACTGGTTAGCAGGGCCGTTGGGCTGTTAGCACAACGCCTGGACAGCTGCCTAGACGGGAAAGCTTCGCGTTGGAGCGGAGGTGGGCGGGTTAGATCTGTCAGTGCTCTCGATCAGTGCGTGCTGGCCTTTGTTGCTAAAATCTGGCAAAATCTGCCATGCGTGTTGTGCTTTGGTCTCGCCTCCTCTCCTCTCTCCTCTCTCTCCCTTGCCTCGACCCGTCCTGCAAGCCCACCAAGCCCAGCCCAGCCTCGGCCGTGTGCGCGACTTTTGCTTTGCACTTTCACACACACCTCCGTGCCGTCGTCGCCCGGTCCACATGAGCTGCATCCGCCGGGCAGCGAAAGAGGCGGCCAGCTCACCCTCCATGACAGGTGAACCTTCATCCCTGTGGTCCCGCCACGAGCGCCTATTTGACAGCCACACTGCGATGGAGGGTGTCTTGGGGGCTAAATCGGGATCAACTCGGTCTTGCAACCACTGCGGTCCCTGGTCGAGGCGGGAGAGAGGAGAAGCTCATTGTTAATCGACAGGGATGGTGAGATCGTCCCTTGCCCCCGGTCGTATCCCGGCCCACACCCAAGCCTACGCACCAGCCTCCAGGCCCGTTTGTTTCTTTCGCTCGTCTCTCCACATCATCCCAAAGTTCTAAATTCTTAGCCTCGTTCGCGGTAAGAGTTGCGAAATTCGGGTAACTGGGCCTGCTATTACCATGATGACGGGTTAATCTCGCAGAGCCCAGGATGCCTTTTATCCTGGCCGTTAGGTCTTATTATGCCACGTACGAAATACACCGCCGTTCGGTCCGGCCGTCGAATGATGCCGAGGCAGGCTGGCAGCTCCCACAGCTCTCCCACAGCTGCCGCCGCCCAGACCGCATTGTGGCTGTCTTATTGCAGGGAATCACAATAGAGCCTCCATCTTGTTGTTTAGTAGACCCGAGCCTTTCTCAGCCACCTGCTTCCACCGGCCGCGTGGCCCCAGTTTTGCCAACACTTTGCTCTGCGAGGACCAGGGACCTTGGCTCTGTCTGATGCTGCTCGGCCATAATCAGGCCCGCTTTACGGGGGACCTGCTTTGATCACCATGTAGTCATCCTCGCTTGTGGCACGGCGGTGACACCCACGCTCCCGCATTGGGGCATTGGGGCAGCGGAGCTTCGCAGGTCAGCACTCTTTGGCAGCTTGGTCACACACGATGGTTACCCGACGGCGGCCGTCGCTGCACTTATCCGTTCTTCCGTCCACATGGCACCATCCAAAATGCCCTCACATGCTTCCCGCCGATTGGTGTGCCCCGGAGCGACGTTGCAGTCGCGACTGCTGGACCGTCAGAGGCTGAGCGGAAAATCGGGGTCCCCCCTCCCAACGCCCAGAGAACCTATGTACATATGTACATACAGCCTACAACCTCCAGCCTCAAGCCTGGTCTTGGCCAGCCAATGGCCGATGCCACCGCATCCTGCACGCTCGGTGCCAAAAGTAGAATACGCTCTTGGCTTGGGCGGAGCAGCCGAGAAGAAGCCTAGCCAGCATGCATCCATTCCCCCAGTGATGATGGTGCTGGGCTCTCCCAGGACTGTGGTGCTGTGGGCTCTCTCGCGAAACAGCTGACCCTCAGCCCTACATCTTCCCCCGTCCCATCCCCCGGCTCTTGTGTGGCAAATCTCCCTGCCAAAGGTCTCATCCGGGCCGCTCTTATTGTCATCCCCCTCTTAATATCGTGTCTTACTTCCCATTTGCGGCTCGTTGCGGGGGGTTTTGTCATTCACATCCTGCATTGACGCTGACTCTGTCTGGCCGCCTCGCCTGATACCACTCCCCTCGCCCGTGAACTCAGCCTCCCGGAGGCCCAAGTCGCTTAGAGCTCTACTAGCCACCGCTACATTTGACCCTGGGTCTTCTGCCTTGTCAGATACCCCCCTACCTACCTTCCCGAAGGAGACTTATTTCGCTGTGGCCAGACGTTGCCCTCGGCAGACAAACGGGACCGTAATCCGCTCGCTGTTGCTGACAGTCCTCGTGGACGACGAACCATTCGGGACCGTGAGGTTGCGACTGAACATGGTTTACTAGCATCTCCCTGCATCTAATTTCCCACTGAATCGCTCCTGAGTGCGAGCAACTGGCAGCCCCTTTGATAGTTTGTCTAGACGCATTTCACGATGTTCCCCCGCGGCGCATCGCGCGCTCTGCTGGCCGTGACGGCTGGCACCGCCGTCGCCCAGTTTTCCAACTGGCAAAAGGGCCAAATTAGCACCGAGATATGCACATGGGAGCAGCCAAGAGGTACTATGAAACAGCATTGGGTATATTGAATGGCTCTGACGTTTTGTTTTAGCCGCTTTGATTCGTGACACCATCTACCTCGACGGCGGCACCATCTGGTGGGTGCCAACGCTGAGCGATGGCTCGACGGGTAGACCCGTCGACAACGGTTCGTCGTCGCCCATTTCGCTCATGATTTTGGTAGAATCTAACTTGCAAAAGGAAATAATAAAGGTGTTATTCTCAGCTACAACCTAAGTACCCCATTCGACGCGAAAACGAATGTAACGGGTATCCTTCTGAAAGATGAAAACACCATGACCAAGGCTCGTGGTGGCTCGGGAAACAGCAATGGCGCCGCCCCCAATTTCATCGATGGCGGCATGCTTGCCAACGACGCCGAGTTCTTTCTCTATGGCGGCGTCTATCTGAGCAATACCCAGCTCTACCCCGACCCCGATGCGAATGAGGTTCTTGGATACCAGGAGTACGAGTATGGACCAGACAAGCCCCTCTGGGACCAGGGCTTCGTTGACAAACAACTCGACAACGACGTGACTCGATACGTCGCCTACGGAGCAGCCGTCAACGCGCCGTCCGAGAACAAGGCCTGGTACTTCTCTGGCTTGCGGTCTCCGGTTTTCGGGACCATCCTCGACAACCCCCTCAACGACACCACCAAGGCCGTCAACGTCTCCGACACCATGATCATGCTTGACATGGCCGAACAGATGAGCGAGACCTGGTCAAACAAGACACTCCCAAGTTTCATTCAGGGCCGCTCCAATGCCGAGGTCGTCTGGGTTCCCGTCGGCAACGAGGGTATCCTCGTCGTGCTGGGTGGTGTTGTGTATCCGGAATGGGCCGGAAGAAGCGGCAAGTCGTCGAACCAGAACGCAAGTGTAAGTCTACCCATCTGCTCGACCCAATGCGTCACCGTGTTCTAACCCGCCCTTAGGAGGAAGAGAGTCCCAAGTTCATGAGCACCATTGACGTCTACGACGTCGCAGGCAACAAGTGGTACCAGCAGCCAACCCAGGACGGACCCAGCACTCGCGCTCGCGGGTGCGCCGTCGTTGCCTCCGCGTCCGATTACTCGAGCTTCAACATCTTCTACTATGGTGGTTTCGACGGCATCAGTCCGACGGAGGCCTTCAGCGACGAGGTTTGGGTTCTCTCGCTGCCGTCCTTCACCTGGATAAAGATCAATGAGGGCAAAAGCCTCCACGGCCGCGCTGGCCACAAATGCTTCAAGCCCTACGCCGACCAGATGATGGTGTTGGGCGGGTATACCCCTCTAGCTGGAGTCTCCATTTCCTGTCTTGACGGAGGCCCTGTGGTGCTCTTCAACATCTCCAGCGGAGAGTGGATGGATTCGTATGACCCATCCAAGTACGCCGACTACAGCGTCCATGAGAAGATCCAGTCCCAGATCGGAGGCAATTCTGCAGGCAACGCAACGGCTACCGAGCCCTCAGGTGGATGGGCTACATCCGCGCTCGGCAAGGTCTTCCAGACGTCCTACAGCAAGGACAAGATGACCACTTACTATCCATACGCATCCGCGACCTCTACGGAACCACCAAGCAACTCCGAAACCCCAGGAGGCGACAGTAACAATAGCGGTGGCGGCGGGTCCGGCCTTCCGAAGTGGGTGGCACCAGTGCTTGGTGTCGTCCTCGGCCTCATGCTCGTGACAGGCGCCATCGTCATCTTCTGCCTCTACCGCCGAAGAAAGATCTTCCGCAACCGGTCCAGTGACGCCGGGACCGAAGATGCCGGCATGCGCATCATCTCCTGGATGCGAGGCCAGCCTACGGAAAAGGCCCCGACTGTTACCACCTCGGAGGATACGCCAAGGAGCCCAGACATGGAAGAGGCGAGGGTCGCTGGTACAACGCCTTCATACTCTGTGGTGACTCCTCCTCCTGCCCCTGTCGAAATGGCAGATACCCAGGTTGCTGAGTTGGCTGGTACGTCATCCATCATTTACCATAATATCACTTCGCAGGGACTAACACGCACAGATACGTCGCCCCTCGTTGAGCTCCACGACACCGGTCTCTCCCCGGTAGATATCATCCAGAAACACACCCACTTCGCCAAACCCCAATCCACCTCCCTGTCAGATCCCTCCTACAGTTCCTTCTCCGCAAGTCAAGACCACGCCAGCACCGTCTCCCGCTCCTCTGCAGCGGCGAACAGCGCCAACGTTCCCGGCAGCGGAGACGATGTCTCTGCGCGGGTCACCTCAGACCTCTCTGGTATCTCAGAGACGGATGCCGCGAACCTTCGGCGTATATCCGGCGGCCCCGTCAGCCCGAGGAGCGATGTTGATGAAAATCCGATCGAGGAGGAGAAGGCTGCGGGGGACATCTCCCCATCTCCCCTTGCGTCCCCGACCCCTGTGTCACCGCCGAGTGCCGGGGAGAACTCGGGGCAGGACTACCTAACCGCGAGGCCTGCAGTGAGCCCACTGCGCAAGAGTGTGTTTCTAGAGAGTGAGGAGGATATGGGTAAGAAATGAGCATGGATTATCGTTTCGTAAACGGCGTTGGAGGATTTGGAACTTGTTCATGATGGGTGGATATTTGATGATACATGATCGATGTGGATAGTATGACAGCAACGTTCCTTGACAATAATCGTAACTGGCGTAATGATTCTATTCAAGACTTGGGGAAATGCCCCTACTTCCAAACATGATGATCTATGTACTTTTAGACTCTAATGTGCCGCCCTGGTGCATTTTCGCATCCTACTTTTAGATTCAGTGTTCCAACTGGTTTAATCCATACCTTACGACCTAAATTCTTAGTCAAGGGAGTTTCTCAAACCTCAACGAGCTCATCGTCGTCATCCAACTCCTGGACCTTGCTTTCGGTGCCTTTTTCGCCATCCTCACCTTCCGGTGCCTCATCAGCCGCGATCACCTGCACCAACCGGTCACACGCCTCCTGGACCTCCTCGTCTCGGACGTGCAAGTGAGTCTCGCGGATGATAGGATACACCTTGATTTTGCGCAAGAGCTCACGGCCCGGGAGTGTCGTGGTCAACAGCGTCAGCGTCTCGACGTGGGTCTTGACGATGGTGTTGTCCGGGTCGCGCTTCTTGTCTGGGGGCAAAAGCTGCAAGTCTGGCAGGAAGTCCATGGACTCGTCGTCGTCATACTCCTCGCTTCCCATTATGGGGAGGAGGATGTATGGCAGGATGTCAATCTCATCATCAGAGAAGAGGGACGGGTGAGAGTCGATCTCAAAGGCAACATTCTTGATGATGCTGGCAACACCCTTCCGTCGGATGTCGGACTTGTGCTCAGTGAAGACCTTGATCTTGGTCAGGGGGAGAACGCCGTCGTACTCTTGTGCCTTGAGGAAGTACTTCCGGATTTCGATATGCTTAGACAGATCGGCAAAGACGTAGGCCAAATAGTCAAAGTCAGCCTTCTTGTTGTAGGTTCCATCCTGGCCCTTGACGAAGAGATCCATCAGCTGGTTAAGGACATTGTCATCTGATCCCAGCTTCTCGGGGGCCTTTTGTTTCCTCTTCAGAATATCCTTAAGGCCATCCCACTTGGCAAGGTTGGCAAGGAGCATGGACAGTAAATCGGCGTTATGCTCCTCGGGGTTCTGTGCCCTCAGTCAGTTGAAGTTCTCGGTCACCACAGGAGTAGACGTAGACTTACCACTATGCGCGCGAATACAAGGTCTAGGAATTTTTCATCCGTGGCCAAGTTCTCGAGAACCTCCTGGTCTCCAGACAGGTTGATCAAAATGTTAACGGCATGTTCAGAGACATTCTGTGTTCTCATGAGTCAAAAACTTCGCCTTGTCAGCTTGCAGGGTGCTACTCACATGATGATCATCCGCTAAGAGCTTGAGGTTCTTGACTGGCTGAAGGTCCGAGTCCTTGAAGAGGTTCGGGTCAGTCGTCGAGTACGGCACGCAATTGACGATGGCGACCTGGCGAATCTGAGGGTTGGGATGGGCGATGAAGCCCACGAGCTAGAGGTGTCTCTGGTAAGCAAGGGGTTGGTTTGAGGAATGATCTGGGTCGCGTACTTCTTCCAGCTCAGTCGGCATCTTGTTTATGAGTGCGCTGGTCCTGGGGATGTCGTATGGTGCGGGCGACGAGGATGGAGAGAAATTTGAAGATGACGATGGAGGGGCATTTTGGTAGTGGGGTCGCCGCCTGAAGTCATCGCTGCTTCAGTGGACTGGGCGTCATTGGCAGGGGATCGGCGGGTGACTCTCTCAACGGGACCCACAGGGCCTTGGGCATCATGGTGGCGGGGCAAATTTGCATTGCATAGTAGCACATCGAAGAGAATAGAGAATGACAAAAATGCAATTGCTGACAATTCGAGGAAATGGAGGGTCAAGGAGTATTGGGCCGGTTCATACTGATGCCTACCCATTGACTCACTTGCCATGTTCTTCTGCCTGAAGAGCAAACGAGCCCCTATGGATAGTGCTTACACTCACTCCATGTTGGGTGAACATTTGCTCACGTGCGGACGCCCACAGCACAAAGACACAGTGAAGCAAGGCGTTCAGGGTTATCCTCCGCGTAGAGTAGGCGCCTCAAGCAAAAACGCTTATCTCGTATCGGAGATTTTTGAGACCAGCCACCAAGTCTGACTAGAGTCTATCATGTTGAGGTGATAATTAGACGGTTATCGTTGTGTTCCAGCTGCACTCAGCCAAAAAATCTAGACTAGCCAAAGAACACTCTGAATGCCGCGGTGAAGTGAAATAATTCAGGAAAAAACATGTTAATCGTAAACGCGCATTCCATATAAACAGACGTTTCAATTTTTTACATTTAAACACATTCAGACTAATTTAATAGAGAGAAAATCATAATTGACTGACGTCGTGTGGTGCGGAAAATCGGCGCACACCACCGAAAGTGGTAAGCCACATTTTCTCGTCCAGTCGTTGCACTAGCCCCCATCGAGGAAGAGGGGTGGCCTATCGATAAGGCACAAAATTTTGAAAAATGTCGTGGCTCCGCTATCTCGACGCCCACATTGTCCATGACATTGCCCGTGTCCATCCCAACTCAATAAGCCCAAAATGCCCAAGGCTACGACTCCTACCTCGGCGCGACCAGCCCGACGCCATAATCCCCTCGAGGATGACATCGTGGCTACCGGTGTCCTCCGGGACAAGCCTTCGAAGAAGCGAGCAAAGTCCACCAACAATGAGGACGAAAACTTCGTCGACTCCCGCGCGTCCAGGAACATTCTCCGGATAGGTCGCGAGTTGGCCGAGGAAGACAATGCCGAGCGCGCTGTCCCCAAGCCAACCATTGACAACTTCGGCTACGACTCGCGATTCGACGACGAGGTGGACGAGGAGAACAAGACCTACGAAGATGACGAGGCATGGGGCGATGACGACGAGGTTGTCGAGGAGATCGAGGTTGATCCCAACGATCTAGAGATGTACAGGAAATTTCTACCTGACGAGGAAGACGACCTGCTGAAGCACGGTTGGGATCTCAAGCCTTCAGGCGAGGAGGAGGGAGAGTCAATCAACCTTGCCGATTTGATTCTGGAGAAGATTGCCGCCCATGAAGCTTCCCAGGCCCGACGGGGAGACCACCAAATGGCCGCCCCTGACGATGACTACGAGCTCCCTCCCAAGGTCATCGAGGTCTACACAAAGTAAGTTCCCGATTCCTCTGCAGGTTTCCCACTCTAACATGGCGCAGGGTCGGACAAATCCTCTCTCGATACAAGTCGGGTCCTCTACCCAAACCCTTCAAGATCCTCCCCACCATTCCCCACTGGGAGGATATTCTCGAAATCACCAAGCCGGAGAGCTGGTCGACCAATGCCTGCTACCAGGCGACCAGGATTTTCGTCTCCAGCAAGCCGCACGTGGTACAGCGGTTCCTCGAGATGGTCATTCTCGACCGAGTCCGCGAGGACATTTATGAGACCAAGAAGCTCAACGTCCATCTCTTCAACTCCCTCAAGAAGGGTCTCTACAAACCTGCTGCCTTCTTCAAGGGCTTCCTGTTCCCGCTTGTTGGCAGCGGAACGTGCACTCTCCGCGAAGCTCACATTATCTCGGCTGTTCTTGCGAGGGTGTCTGTCCCCGTCCTGCACTCTGCTGCGGCCCTCAAGGGTCTCTGCGACATTGCTGCTCAGGAGGCTTCCCAAGGCACTGAGGGTGGTGGCGCGACCAACATCTTTATCAAGACACTCCTGGAAAAAAAGTACGCGCTCCCGTACCAGGTTATCGACGCCCTTGTCTTCCACTTCATGCGATTTCGTAACGAGGACCCAGCCTCTGTTCAGCATGGCGATGCGATGGCGGGTGTGACTGGTGAGGGAGATGCCAAGACTAAGCTTCCAGTCATTTGGCACCAGAGCCTCTTGGCCTTTGCCCAGCGTTACAAGGGCGACATTACGGAGGACCAGCGTGAGTCGCTGATGGATCTCCTCCTAACTCATGGCCACGCGGCCATCGGACCCGAGGTGAGGAGGGAGCTTCTAGCTGGAAGAGGCCGCGGTGTGCCGATGGAGTCTCAAGGACCTGCCCTGGACGGCGACGACACGATGCTCATTGACTAGTGAGACCTGGGGTCTCTTGGATGAATTCAATTTCTTAATGAATGCACAGACGGCGTTTGGCGCACTAGGCTGATGGTTTGAGACCGGTTCGACTTGAGTTGATATAGATTGACTCCGTTGGAGACGGGGCAGACCCAAATTCGATACCAAAATTTATAAAGTTGCTTCCTGGGAAGCCTCAAGCTCAAAAGGCATCATCTGCACCTGCCAGTATGTGTTAATCAACAGTTCGCCAATTCTGGAGTCTGTGGTAAAAGGGGAACCTCACTAGCAGTCGCGCCTTCCGTTGGGAGTCTAACTTGTGTTCTTCCTTGTCCCACCATCAATCATCATCCTACAACCTACGCCAACCTCGAACCTACATTATCCCCCCTTGATTTCCTCTGAATAACGGCCCGTTCTGTTTCTCTCTATTTTTTTTTCTTCACCATCCTAACCTGCGTTTGCGATCGCCCAGCTGTGGCCTCACAAGCCACGCGGTTCCGCATCGACTAGAGTCGTGATCACTGAGGTTCCATGTCTCTTGGAAACCATGTCCGCAACGACAAGGTCTGCTCCGGATTTATCGCGTCCATTCAACATCCTGGATACAATTGACCTCAAGTAAGGGTCCCATTCCAGATGTTCCAAGGTGACACGGTGCTCATCCGCTGCAGCTACTTTAACCTTCCCTTTCGTTCCAACACACCGCCCTATATCTCAGTATCTCTGTCATCACCGCGCCGCAGCAATTCTATTCCGAGTGACCTCTCCCCTAATACCATGCCAGAAGGCGCGTCGGTGAATACCCCATCGTCAACGAACCCTACGCTTCGTCCCGCTGGCCGCGTTACGCCATCGAACTTCGGCGTCGATCCGCCCCGTCCGCCTCGCGATGGATTCGAATAGGTCTGGTTTCCCGAAGGGTATTGGGCTGAACGCCAACTCTTGATGCCACGCAAGAGTAATTCCAGTAGCCGCTTCTAGAGATGGCGTGCACGCTCGAACAAATCGGCTAGCGAGTCGGATATTCGTGACATATCTTATGCGTCGCCGACAACATCCATCTCCAGGTCGCGATCGCTCCTACAGTCCTTAGAACGCCCACCGCAGCAGCCTCTCAGTCCTTACATGTCAGAATCTGCGCATGTCTTTTCATTACAACACCCTTCTACCAGCGTCATATCGGAACCGTTGTACGACCGTCGCTCAATATCTCCTGGTGCGAGCAGCAGGAGGAGGACTTCGACCGCATCCTCGAACCCACCCCAGGTCCATCTCGGAGAGTCAACAGGTCCACTTCCACGTCCTATTAGTAGAAGGGGGCTCTATGGCAAATCCAAGTGGGGCCTTGCGGCCAAACTGAAGTTTCGGGCAGACAAAGAGGCAAGCAAAGGGGGTTTATGATTGGCAAGGGATAGGGCTAACAAGCCACAGGCATGCCTCTGTCCCTCAATACCAGAGTGCGGTACAACAAACGATAGAGTCGAGAGCCGCCATCTGTTTACTCACCTTACCAAGGCAGGACCATGGTTCAAGGATGAATCTGGGACGTCCAAGATCAAACGCAAGCTCTTTGGCAAGGCCCCCTGGCATCGAAAGGAGTCTGGAGATTCATTCAGTACTGTCGCCAGCTCCGTCAGAGAAGTTCTCAGAGGCGAGACTCCTCCTTCAACGCCCATGTCAGATTTGGCGTTTTCTTGTACGTTGCCTCGTGTGCTCTGGGTGTCTAGGGGCTAACAATCATTGTTGCAGTCGGTGGGAAGTACGCAAATACTCAATTTCCAGGAGGAGTAAGTGTTTCTGTCTCTTCAATATCATCATACCCCTTTTGGAGTAATATTAATGCCGAATCCAGGAAGCTGTCCGCGTCAAAACTCCACCCATTGGCGAATACACCGCCGATGGTCGGCCGCGTGGGTTTTTCACCTCGATGACGCCGCCCAGCGGTGACGGTGCCGAACACGTGTCTGTTTCTATGGAAAGCTCTCGTCACATCGGCCATCGACGAAGCCTGATACCTCAATCGCGCGAGTGGTGGGAGTATTCCCAACAGAAGCCTTTGCCGCAAGAGTCTGTTCGTCAAGACATCTACGATCATGCTACCGCTTTCGAGTTCCAAATCCCAGAGCATCTCCCAAGTAGCCCCATGTGTCCTACAAATACAAAACATCAAACTGGTGGTACTGGGCTGTGTGTGTATCACGGGCGGAGGAGAGCCGGTTCGTACGTGAAGGGCGTGGCTAAGGGGGATTTGTATGGGCATTAGCCAGGGCTTTTCAAATAATTATGCAGTGGATAGCCGTTATTAATTCTATCATCCATAGTAGTTCCCTGGTGTACGCTATTATCATTTCTCCTGGAGCCAGATGCGAGTGAATCGAATTTATTCATTCAGTCCTCCAATGTTCTACCATCACCTTTACAACATTTCGTACCCATCACAATTATGGTACCAGCTAGGCCACGTGGATCAACGCTCGCTTCTAATTCAATGGGTATTATTATCTCGAACCCTTACTATGGCCCAAAGTTCCTGCCTCCAGCTCTTCCAATACCTTGGTGGATAGCCTCTGCTATGCACACAGCACGTTGCTTTTCACCTCAATTCTAAGCCATCTGAGCACTGTTATTAGCCTCCTTGTGACCGGTGGTGTCCGACATGGGGACAACGGAGTCATAGTCGTGCTTGGGCTTGTTGAAGAAGGATGGGCTGCGCTTGAAGAACAGCGGCGGCGGGTTTCGGATGTGGGTGATTGCCAGGACGATAAACCAGACGAGGCAGATGGTGGGTAGCAACCAGGGGCTGTCCTTGTAGTTGTTGGCGTCGGTCTGGTTGTAGTGGAGGAGGGAGATGAGGCTCAGGCCGAGGCCGAGAGCGAAGTAGAGGCCGGTACGGATGATGCCCCACAGGCCCCAGGGCTTGGTGCGAGCGACAATAGTGAGGACAGTCATCAGGATGAGAGTGATTCCTGCGGCGATATAGGCGTATTGGAACTACACAATATGGTTAAAACTGGAGAAACACTGGGTTGGGAAAAGGTACTCACCACAAGATCAAAGCGGGCCCACATCTTCTCATTGACCTTGGTCTCCAGACCAGTTTCGGTGATGTTCTTGTTGTCATCTGTAACCTCCTCCACGAGATCAATGCCAAAGGTCTCGAGGAGGGAGTTCTCCATCGAGGTAGACATATCATTGAAGTATGTGAAGAAGGTGTTCAGCTGGTCCTCGTTTGGCGCATCCTTGTCCTCGCCTGTGGTGGCGTATTTGGCGAGACCCGGCCAGAAGCTGTCTGGAATTTCAGAGATGTTTCCGATGGCCCACTGGACATTGTTCACAGTGGCAGTGTACTTGGGCGGGTAGTCCTCGAAGAACTTGTTGATCAATTTGGTCAAGTTGTCGACCACCTGGGAGGTGGTAGCCTTTGCAACGCCTTCGGCAGTGTTGAAAATGGAGTCAAACGACATGTTGTTGATAGTGTCCATGATCTTAGACCAGATGATGAACTGTGTGAAGCCCTGCATGAAGAGTACCATGGAAAGGTGGAAGGGGAAGTGCAGGAGACTCCACAACTGCTGGCGGAAGGTGGGAAGGTACGAGGTCTTGATCCAGTCAAAGTAGACGAGGAAGACGCAGTAGATTGTCGTGGCGGCAGCCGTGACGATTCCAATAGTTTGGGAGTCTGTATAACCGTTAGTTTTGTCCGAGTGGTAGGGTAGAGAGACTTACCCCAGGCGTCTGGGCCCTTGACAATAGTTACGACATTCTGGGCCACGATAACCACGCCATCGCCCAAAAAGAGGACCGTCATGGTGCTCATGCGCTTCATCAAGTGCGTGCCGGTGAAGCTGAGCACAGGGAAAATGACGGCGAGAGAGAAGGTAACGACGATCTCGGCAGCCGCCATGATGTACCACGCGATGTAAACCTGGCTGTTACCATGTCTGAACCGGAACGTGATGCCCAAGTAGACCATGGAGGCGGCAAAGTTTGCGCCGATTTGCAGCAACATGGGCAGTCTTGGCTTCTTGTACTTTCGGATGTGCCAGAGAATGCTTCCATATTCAACAGCCAAACAAAAACGTGAGACGCACAAAATAAGGGCTAACAGAATCAGCTTGTGTCGCAAACGAAAGAGATATAATCACATACACATAACCCTCATGGTCTGTAAATTCTGGTCGGTCGGCTTGAAGTTGGGGGCAACCACGGCAAAACCAATCATCACACCGAGGTGGACAGCTCTGGCCAAACGCTCTATTCCAGGTTAGTGGGAGCTCCAGTATATGTCGAGGTTTCCATACCGAAAATGCTGTCCGTCACGAAACGAACATCGTACAAACTGACGACGAGCCATGTGATCCACAGAATGCTTCGGGGTGCGTTAGCAGGTATCAGTGGCGTCGGCACAGCTTCAACACGTACCTAAAGTATCCAACATAGGCTTTGAAGCGTTCGTGGCTGTTCACACCCTGTGTCTGGGAAAAGACTGTGTAGTTGGCGGCGAAAAGGAGGTCGAAGAAAAGTTCGAGAAGACTAGCGTCCTCGTGCTACAAGGCGTCAGCATCATATGTCGACCTAGCAGAACAATTGCCAAACCTTCTGGAACTGGGGGGTATCTTGCTCGAAACGGTCACCGAAAAGGCTCAGATCGGGATGGGTTCCTCCGCGGTTAGTGAGCGGCAGAGAGTCGGTTCGGTCGGTGAGGACAGGGCTCTTGAGAAGCTGAAGCTTCTCGGCAGCAGCAACCTGCTCGGGGGTCGAGAGCGTTTCGTTAGACATTTTGGGGGAGGAAACGACTGCGTGATGGTCACTTCAACGGCACCACAACGGCTGCTGGTCGGGAGTCTAGTCGGATGGACTAGTCATGAGACTGAGGAGGTCTACACTAAGGACGGCCACGAAGGACAGCTACGATACTTATACAGAACAGCGCCATCCCCGGCGTGGCATCGACCAGGAAAGCCCAGGAGACCACAGCAAAACAAGATTCACTCAATGCTAGGCCTCGTCCAGCATGGTCGCTCCCCACTTGCAGGATGGTGTCGTTGGGGGCCGGGGACGACGCTGTAGATGGAGTGAGGGCTTCAGCCTTAGCCCGCGCGCTTGACCCTTAATGAAAAGCAAGCGGAGGTGCTGGTTTGCACCAAGGCGACGACAGCCAGTAGCCGGTCAGGATTGAGATCCCTGGACCTTTTGGAGAGGATTTTGGCTTCTGACGTGAGCAGAGTGGTAGTCTGAGCGGCTCTCCCAGGGGCCCACAGCACCATTGTTGCGGCCGCTCAGCTGGCAGGGTACCATCGGTGCGAATCCGTCGGTAGCGAGCAGCCTGCAGTCGTGTGAGGGTGTGATTCGCAATGCGAGAGCCTTTCATGGGCTTGGAGAGACGCTGGCACGGCCTAGCCAAGAGACCGTCGCCCCACAAGGCTGGATGAGCTGGTCCTGGGCTAAATGAGCTGAAACCAGGGAGCAAGTCCAGATGCAACTGGGGCCGGGATCAACACCAAAGTCCCAATCCAAACTACCACCGACTTGCGGGCGTCTTGCAAGCGCGGCCAACTTCCCCAAATCGGTATCATTATTCGATGTTTTCCTTCGTATGTCTCTTGGCGCTTCCTGCTACCGAGATAGTCAGTCAAGAGGCCTGATCTGATGCATGATGCATGGGCTGCTTTTCATCGGAGCCCCAAGTGCCGTTGCGCGCCACGACGGAAAGTCGGCACGAGGCAGGGCCTCAATCGTTATGCACGATTTAAAATAGAGCACATCGCCACATTGTTGCATCCAGCCGATGCCCTGTGGTCATGATGGATTCATAGCAGCGCCGTCAGCGTCAACTCTTGAACTCTGTTCCGCGTAAAAAACAGCCCCCAACCCCCCAGAAAAGGTGGCTGCTCGCTGGGGAGGTGCCGTAGATTTGCCAGGCGAAACGACGAAACATTAGCTCTCAGTCGGTGAAGAATTGTTGACGCCGTAGGGCTGGTCTGGACAAGCCCAAGCCGGATCGATCTTAACCTTGCATGCAACTTAAATCTCGTGACTAGGTTTTGTTCCTAAAAACAGAACCAGTGAGCAAGCACGTGAGATGCAATTATGGGGTCTGTTCGACTAACGGGTTTCTTTAGCTCGGCGCGTCTAACGCGTCCCACTTCCGGCGCTCTGACCCACGCTGCCAATCGACGGTAGCTCCGTGAAAGAAGCGAGCGACTCGACACTCGACAACGCAGCCCGATGCAATGCCGATGCCGATGCCGGAACTTGCGACGAAGCTGACGTGACAGCTGTCTTCCCCTTTCCATATCCTCACCATGGACGTCGACGCCACCCCGAACGGCCGAAAACGAGCCCACTCACAAGCTGATGAAGTTGCTCCGACTCCCGCCTCCGTCAAGAAGCGCCGACTCGACGACCTCTCCACCGAATCGCCATCATCGACGCCAAAAGCTCTGAGTGCGATTGCCTCCGCGATCTCTGGTGTCTTTGGATATGGACAGAAGACCCAGCAGCCCACGAATGGCAGTGCCCAAGTACCTACCTCCGACCACCCGTCCGAAGTTCAACAACCACCGCCGCCTCAATCACAACCACAGCCAAAACCTGCCATTTTCCGCCCGGCAATCAAGGGGTTCGCATTGAAAGGCACGATATGGGATGATGGGGAGGAACGTCGCCCAGTCCTACCGAAGAAGATCGGCCCTGGCAGGCCGCCCAAGGCGGCCACTCCAAAGAAAGCCCCTGCGCCAAGGGGCAGGCCTCGGAAAAAGAAGATTCAAGATGTTGTCGAGCCCGAGAATAGGGGGGATAACCTCGGCGTCTCCCCCTCAAAGGCACAAGCAGGCGAACACGACACCGCCGATGAATTGTCAACGAATTCTATGCAGAAGCTGCTTTCAGCTCGCAAACCCGCGCCAAAGGGGATCATGACTCCAACAAAGAAGCGAGGCCCCCGGAGTCGGAAGAGCGTGACATTTGGCTCCGGGAAAGATGTCAACGGGGAGGTATATTTCGAAGACTTGCCCATGAAACCACGAGGCCGCAAGCCTGCTGTGCCTGCGGCAGACGAGATCGTCTGCGAGATCTGCTCGAAGCCTGATTCCAAGGCACCAAACCAGATCATCCTATGCGACAACTGCGACTTTGCAGTCCACCAGGAATGTTACGAGGTTCCAGAAATCCCCGAGGGTGATTGGTTATGTAAATCATGCGCGCAGGAGGATGTATTGAAAACGCCAAAGAAGACCGAGGATGCTGATGAAACAACCGTTACTGCTGCTGCTGTCGCCGCTGCCGCTGCCGCTGCCGCTGAGGTTCCCGATATCCCGAATCTCGATCAGCATGTCAGGACATTGCAAAGAGTCCTCGTGGACCGGTGTACAGGACGAAGGCGGATAAAAATGTTCGGGCAGCAAGAGGCACACGAAAAGGTTCATCAACTAATTGAGCAGACGGTTGTTGCTGGTGAGGGAAACTCGATGCTTGTAATCGGAGCGAGGGGCTGCGGAAAGACGGTGGCAAGTTGCACCAATTCAAATATCAGGGTACTAAACTAACTGGAATGCAGCTCCTGGAGACCATTATTTCGGACTTGTCACAACAACATCGGCGTGATTTCCATGTGGTCCGACTGAACGGCTTCATTCATACCGACGACAAATTGGCCTTGAAGGAGATCTGGCGACAACTCGGCAAGGAAATGGAGGTTGAAGATGACCTCGTGAACAGAGTAAGTACATTGTCTAGTTTTTGGCCTCGTCCCCCGTTAACGAAGATGGTCAGACCAACTACGCAGACACCATGGCGTCGCTGCTCGCTCTCCTGTCACATCCGTCCGAGATCCTGGGCACAGACGAGGGTGTCACGTCGCAGTCCATCGTTTTCATCATTGACGAGTTTGACATGTTTGCATCGCACCCTCGACAAACACTCTTGTACAACTTGTTCGACGTTGCGCAATCCCGAAAAGCGCCCATCGCTGTGGTAGGTTGTACTACTCGGTTGGACGTTGTGGAAATGCTTGAGAAGCGAGTCAAGAGTCGGTTCAGTCACCGTTATGTCTATCTCTCACTGCCAAGGGCATTACCATTATACTGGCAGATGTGCAAGCAAGGGTTGATGGTAGAGGACAATGATGCTAGGAAGGAGGGTATCGATACGAGCCTCGAGGGACACGATGAGTTCCAAAAGTACTGGAGCCACAAGATCGAGGCAAGTTTACAGAAATACGTTGATGCGATGGCTCATTCTAACCAAAGACATGCAGGCACTATACAAGGAACGAACATTCCAAGATTTGCTTCAGTACCACTACTACACGACCAAGTCAGTCTCGGCATTCCTGACCGAGTGGATCCTGGCTCTGTCGTCCCTCTCAGGAAAGGATGTGACACTGAAGATACCACCCGTACAAGGGGACGTCGACTCGCTCACGCCGCCCGACTCTCGGCTACACCTCCTGTCGACTTTGGCGGATCTCGACCTGGGGCTCCTCATCGCAGCGGCCCGTCTGGACATTGTAGCACACACGGACACGGTCAACCTCGCGATGGCGTACGACGAGTACAGCTCGCTGATGGGCAAGCAGCGAGTGCAGTCGGCAACATCGGGTATGCTGGCTGTAGGTGGTGGTGTTCGCGTCTGGAGCCGTGGCGTTGCGGGCATCGCATGGGAACGCCTCATCTCGCTCGGACTGCTGGTACCCGCCGGCATTGGAGGGGCCCGATCGCTAGGACATGGCGGACTGGAAGGCAAAATGTGGAAGGTGGATGTGGCCCTGGAAGAGATACCCGCTGCGGTGAAGCTGAGCACTGTGTTGGCAAGGTGGTGCCGGGAGATTTAGACGTGTACTATGTAGCAATACCAGGTGACAAAACGCCGATGGAGACTAAGCGATGGGCCAGCCAGCTGGTTAGTGTATATCCAGGCCCGGTTCTGTATGTATGAATAAGAATAAGAGTAAACATATGAGCCACACACATGATTGCTCTATCCGCTCTATCCAGAGCTCCGTCTTGGGAAATGCCTTGAACCTTGAACATGTTTCGTTCCGCTCCCGTGCCGTCCCGTTCCATGCGATGCTGGCCTCGGGAGCAGCCCAATCCGAGAAGAGGGACCCTATCAGCCGCCAGCCAGGTGTCTCGTTGGCGCCATTGCCAGCGCCATTGCCAGCGCCAACCGCGGACTACTCGACGGAAACACGGCTTTCCGGGGGAGGAGGGGCCTAAATCCAACCTGCCACACCACCTGAGCATAGCCGCGAGCGCAATGCAGTGAGCGAGGGAGCGGCAAAAGCGATCCGTTGGATGCTAAACGCGAGCGCGGCGCAGCAGAGCAGAGCGCCATTGATGAAATTGCACAGCCACAACAGCTCTCTCGCTTCCCTCGGCGGCGGGCAAGACCGAAAATGCACGGCCCGGTCTCACCCGCGGATGCGCGTGCGTGTACTTGATACGGCGTGTGCATGAGACTGCGAGACGCTTCTCCAACCAAAGCCTGCGTGGGCGCTGTTTATAGCAACTAAAATCTCACCCCTTTGCTGATGAGCGCGAGCTACTAGGTAGGCACGTAGTAGGCTTGATTACCTTACCCTGGAGACGGTCCCCTCACCAGTGTCAGGTTGGTTTCATTTTACTTGCCGCCGTCCCCAACTTTCCTCCCGTCTTCGCTTGGCTCTGTTCTGTTTTGTTCTGTTCGTCATCTTGTCTTGTCTTCGCCGCCTGCTTGAGTGAGCGAGTGACAGACTAAAAACAAGTTTCGTGCTCGGTGGCGCCGTTAAGCATCCGTTGCATATCCGTTGCCGTATTGGTAAGATTGTGGCTTAATACGGCATCACACCCGCCGCGTGTCTGTCATCGATTTTCACGCTGTCGTGATTGAACGGGTTGAAGCTGCTTCTTTGTCCTTGCGTGCGACCTTGTCTTGGCATCTCGTCCCCTCTACCAACACCGCATCGCCATCTTCACATCCTTGCTCGTCGCCTCGGCACTTGACTGCAACTACCGGGGAAGCCAGCCACTTGCATCATCATCATCATCATCAGCAGCAGTCTCATTCCTCAACCGTCATCACCATGGCAAGAACAACATTCACAACCATCACGCCCCTCCCCCCCAACATCCCGCGGCAGGTCGTCATCGACTTCCTGCACGACCACCTGGAGATGATCGACCTGAACCCGCTCATCAAGGAGCGCCACGCCATCTCGCCGCCGGCCAACTCGCCGCCCGAGGAGCACCGGTGCGTGTGGTACTCGCTCACCGACCGCATCGACTACCTCCCCGGCGGCGTCGTCTCGGGCCAGGTCTCGTACACCTGCGCCTTCAACGACCTGCCCGAGGGCTTGCAAACCCACTGCTACGCGCCCATGGGGCTCGACATCCGCGACCGCTGGTCCGTCGGCGGCACCTTGCCCGGTGAGCCCGTCGAGCCCGTCGAGCTGGGCCTCAACGCGCCCTTGTCCGGCTTGTATCTAAGGGAGGATGTGGATCTGCGCTGCAACATGCTCATGGCCGCATTCGTCAAGAAGACGCTCAAGAAGTCGCACGGCTCGCTGGTCGACCGCCTGGCCGCAAAGGCCCAGATCGTCTCCGCCAACCAGTCCAGACAGAGCGTGGCAATCTCCACGCCCAGCGCCCTGCAGTCGCCCAGCGTTCTCCAGTCGCCCACGCCGGCCTCAATCCGCTCTGACAGCTCCGGCGTGCCCTCGATGGGCCCTCTACTGCCTCCTAGCACGGGGAACCACCAGGGTCTAGTTCCGGGCCTCGCCACGCCACCACCAGTCCACCCGCATGAACACCAGCAACATCAACAGCTCCAGCACCAGCACCAACGCCAGCAGTCCCAGCAGTCCCTGGCGCCATACAGAAATAGCACTGCGCCCTATCTAGTAGCACCCCCAGAGACGAATGGCAGTCTGGGCCTCCCAGACGACTTCCCCGGGGCAACCTCACAACAAGGAGGATTGAGGCACTCGGGGACCGTGTACCGCGGGACCAGCAAGCCCCATGACTATGACGAGTTCCCAAGCATGAACCCCTACGAAGAGAAAATAGACTCTTCTCGGGAAGAGAACCCGCCGACCCCAGAGTTGAACGGCGCGTACCCTGCTCCTCTTAAGGTTCAGCACGACCGGCGAGCGCGGCCAGCGGAGCTTCAGTGATCAAGTAACGAGCAACGGCCCCGTTTCACGAGGATTCCTTTTTCTCGATGAGGCAATGTGGGCGTATTTTTATCATTTGACCCAGAGTCATATTACGAATGGTTTCGAAAGATATTTTACAAAGCGAGCACATAATTAATGTCAGACATGTCACAAGAACAAGAACAAGGACCAAAACGCGTAAGCTTAAGGATGAAATTGCTTTCGGTACATTGCGTATCTACAAGAACGAAACAATCATCCTCCAAGCAATGCTATAGCTTCTCCAGATCCCCGAGATATTACAACCTCAAAAACATCAACTCCCAAAACCCCCCTGGATCGCCCCCCTCTCCTTTGCATTCCCAACCCGTTACTGATGCAGTGTGGGGAAAGGGCATCGGCAAAAGACTACTCCCTCTTCCCAATCCAGATGCGGACGAAGAATGGTTCGAAATAATTATTATTGCGGTGAAGGTTTCGGCCCAGAAAGCTTGATGGCAGGCGTTTCGAGGCGTTTCGAGGCGCATCCAGACACTTCTTGGCGTCCATGGTCAGCTGCGGGACTTGGCTGATTCGAGCTGACGGACATGGTTGCTCGCATCGCCGTCGAGTCGGGCTGGCGATGCGTGCGAGCGGTTCGTGAAAACCGCTTACAGGGCCAGGACGGCGAGGACGGCGGCCAGACCAAGGCTGAGCTTGACGGCACCAGCGCCAGCAGTGACAACGCCGGGGGTGTCGGTGGAGCTGCAGCCGGCGCCCGAGCAGCTGGAGCCGGAGCCGGATCCACCAGAGCCAGAGCCGCCGGATCCAGAGCCAGAGCCGCCAGAGCCAGAGCCAGAGCCGCCGGATCCAGAGCCGCCAGAGCCTCCAGAGCCTCCAGAGCCAGAGGGGCACTTGTCGCCCTTGCAGATGTAGGGCTGCTCCTGGGGAGTGCCGGTAGAGCCAGAGCCCCAGCCCATGGTCTGGGTGGGAGGGCCGCCGTGAGTCTCAACAACGGTACAGGGGCAGTCGGTGATGGTCAGAGTGCAGGACGTGGTGACGTCGTAGGTGTGGCCGTTGAACACGAACGACGTGGGGCTGGGGCAGACCGTGGTGTAGGCAGTGTACACCTTGGTCACCTCGACGATGGTGCCGTTGCCGGGGAGCGCGGTCTGGAAGACTCCAGCAGTGGGAGTCTGGGCGGCAGCGAGGCCGGCGAGGCCAGCGAGGGCAAGGATGGCAGTGTTGGCGAACATCTTGAAAGCGAGGGTTTTTGGTTTTTAAGTTGAAGTGAACGGGATGAGTCCGGGAAGGCAAAAGGAGTTGCGAGGAGGGTTAAAAAAAGACGAGTGGGTTGAAGCGAGTGACTAGAGCGAGAGTGTTGGATTGTAAACGAGTGTAAGTTGCGAGCTGAAGCTTGTGATGAGAAAGTTTGTGTCCATTTGCGGTCGACGAAGGCCTCTTTTATCATCAGTCACCTCTCTCCCTTGACGACGCAAACAAGCCGGCGACCTCATCTCCCTCGCCATTCCGTCAGGTCAGCTGAGACATGTCCCATCCCTGCGTGTCTGGATTTGCACCTCTTCAGCCAGTCAAGTATGATAAACAGCCCAGCCAGCGTCCCAGCCCATTCCGTTGCCACGCTGCGAGATGAGGCCTCGTTCCAAGGGAGAGGGGCCAGACCGATATAGACCGTCGGTCGGCTCCCTTGCAGAGACCCGGCGAGACGGTCCCTCGCATTCCCGCGTCCCGACGGCATCCACTCTGCGAGAAGACACTTTATTTCGCCCGTCGAAAGGTCGAAAGAGTCCAAGGGCGCATCCGTCGGAGCAAGAAGGGTCACACATTTTCGGTAGTTATCCGTAGCGCAGCCGGTCTGGAGCTGGACTTTTGAGACTCTTTGTTGACATTGTCGTGGAGGCTGCCCAAATTTCTTTCTATGTACAAGTGTATCAGCGCTCCCCGCCTTGTAACCGACTCCTTTCGATGCAATGCATTACTTCGGCCCAAGTATCGCAACATGTCCCTTGGCCGTAAATAACAAGATGCCGCCGATTTTCCTGTTCCGCCGTTCCCCAATCCCCTTTGCACCGCCCTCCTATCGTCGCGATGCCTGTCCGTATCGACAATGCCGCCCAGCCTGCCTATTCGTGGCGTTCTCGTTCCCTTGGCTCGGCCAAACGTCCCGCTTTACGGAGACAGTAGGGCTTATCCACTCCCCCTTCATATTTTTTCATGTACTCTGTCGTGTAGTAATCTCTCTCCCCATGGTGTTAAATATCCCTCGGGCCCCTTCAGGTTCCACAAGTGACAAAAAAAAAACATGTGTCAGATGACAAAGGGAGCCCGCTCATTGCGAGACCTAGTCCTAGACGAGAGTTCTGCGGCGGTAACCAAGGATTTGTGGCCGGCATTCGAGACCCGAGGGATCGCGAAGAAGAAAAATTGATAACATCAATGAAACAAAAAACCCAAAAACACCGATAATGCGTGAGATGAGGTGACTCTAGCTGGTATCGTTTCGATGGTGTCAAAAGCACATGGTAGCCAAATCAACCAGTAGGCTATATGCAAATGACTCGTGAAATGAGGCGCAATATGGCTGGACGAGTCGTGCTTCAGGAAGTCGACCGTCCCACCTGCAGCGAACGTCGGCATTCGGCATCAACAGTTCACTTTCGGTTGGAGCGGCTCTGGCTACGCTCCGGGACCCGGGCGACAACGTCGAACTCGTAATTTCGCAGTTGCTGCTCGTACCTGGGGCTGCGGAGGAACTTGGGCACGGAATCCTGCAGATTGTCAGCGACTGTGGGTAGTCAAGGGAGAGGGGGTTCTTAGTCAAAACTTACACTAGCCATCAGCTTGAAAACCGCGTTTTGGGCGTCTTCAAAGAGGGACGTAACCTCTTGGAGAGTGTCAATCATCGCCACGTCCTGTCCAACAGCCTTCGTCATTCGTGTGGCAAGGTTGTTTCGGAGCTGGTGGTCAATGTTCAGCTCGCAGGGGGATCCCGGGGCCAGGAAAGCGTTGTAAATTCCGTACGCTTGGGCCATGATCTCCTTGACACCGTCCATTGAGGTGGTATTGGGGTTCTTCTGGGCCGCGCGAGTCACGGCCTTGCAGCTGTGGACAAACTCATCGACATCCTGGTAGAATGACAGGTTCTCTTCACAGTGGGTATCCCGAAGGTTCTCACGGAAAAGCAGGCGAAGCGCAGGGTCAGTGAGAATCTTGTCGAGTCGCTGGGTGTTGGAGTCACGGGTAATGCCGTTTCGCTGCGAAGGAGCAGCGCCGCCTTCGCTTTCTGAGGCGCGTCCTCGCGAGCCAGTGCCGTTGAGAAGATCCTTGCCGCGCTGCGATATTTGGTAGATTGCATACTTTGTGGGCTGGAAAACGTTGCAGCCAGGGTTCTGGGACATGTAGGCTCGATCCTGGGCCACAACCTCAACCAGATCGAATTCGACAAAGAGGGCAGCAACCTCGACCGTCTCCCGTTTGTCAACGATAGTGGAGCAGTCCATCAACCAGTCAGTAGTAGCCTTGCCCGTGAATGTGTCGCGGTACGACTTTCCGTTAACCTTGCGCTCAGCAGCCATCTTCACGCCGGTCAGGCCGTCTCGGTAATCGTGTAGCGAATCTGAATCGGCGGCATTGACAGTTGACTTGATGTTTCGGCCCTCGGAACCAACAAATCGGCGGAAAATGACCTCGAGAGTGCCCTGGTCGTGGAGCAGCTTATCCGTCTGGCCGTCCCGCTCGAGGAGCACCAGCTGGGTCGCACCAAGGTTAACGAGCTCCGTTACCTGCTTCTGTTGAATGCCGTTTCTCGAGCAGAATCTATCTAGCACGGTAACTCCCTTTGCCGTAAGCTGCCAGACGGAACCCTTCATGTTGTACACCTGCTGGTATTTGCCGTCGGCAGACTCAATGAAGCGAGCCTCGACGAATCGCTGGCAGATGGAGCGGGCCATGTCCTTAGCCATGGAGAAGGTGGTAGTTGTGGTGGTGGTGACAATACGGGAGGGGTCTTTGGGATCGGGCATGCGGTTTGACTGGGAGAACTTGAGAGATCCCAGGTTGTTGATGGCATCCTCGGAGAGGAAGGTATACTCGACCTTGGTCAATCGGACGCGGTGGGCCGAGAGCGGCAACAGACTGACGACGAGAGTGGAAAACAGATCCTTGAAGTCCTATTGTGCAACCAAAGTCAGTCATGGCTCAGGCGAGAACGGGTTCGGGAGCAGCGTTTCAGAGGGTGGCGTCTCGTGCCCCCGCGCGGAAGGCCGCAGAGAAACCGGCGCACCAGAAACGGCGAGGCATGGTAAGTATTGTAGAACGGTTGTACATACCCTTGTGAAAGGCCGGTCATCGTCCGTCATGCGCAACAAGCGCGAGGATGTTTGATGCATCTTGTTTGCCGTCACGGGGGAGGACTTGATGGGAGGCGGTTGGTTTGGGTCTGCAGTCGCGTAGGGCTGGGACAGCGGGTGGTTCGCCGAGGGCGGCTGGGAAGAGTGGGCGCTATCCAGGTTGGCGCTGGACAAGAGGGATTGGTTCGAGGCGCTCTTGAGGCGGTGTTTCCTGTCCGGGCTGGAGGGCTCGGGGCTGGGGCTTGGCAGGAGGGAGAGTCTCGAGAGGGTGCTGTTGGACGAGCGATGGCGGATCGAGGGCTCAGCGATGGTTGCGATGGCGTTCTGGGTCCTGTCCAAGGCAGCAGCGGCGAGAGCGAAGATACTGGTCGACGATCGCTGGTTGAGTCTCGAGACCGAGACAGTATGGCGGTGGGAGTGGGGGTGGGCGGGAGGAGCAGCGGTGGTGGCTCCAGCAGTAGCGGCAGCAGCAGAAGCGGCGGCGGTGACGGTGTCTTGGAGCAGACGAGGGCGATCCGTAGGTGAGGGGCGGGATGCAGCGGAGGCGGAGGCGGAATCTGAAGCTGAAGCGGAAGCGGAGCGTTGGTCTTGGTCGAGGCTATCAGAGCGTGAGGGAGTAGAGGCAGACTGAGGATCCGTGGGCCGAGGAGGATGCGACAGAGTGGCCATCTATCGGGAACGAGAGAGGTTAGGAGGGGGGCTTTGTAGTGACGGCAGCGGGAAGGTTCAAATAAGAAGGAGATGGACGAGCGAGTGAGCGAGCAGGAGTGGGACGCCAGAGATAGGTAAAAGGTGAGGAAAGGTAGGTAAGGTAGACAGGACAAGGAACAAGACCGGACCAAAAGGCCCAAGTCCCCAAACCCAAGACTCAAAGAAAGGCCGGGCTCTGGAGATGAGCGCACTGGAGGGGGAGGGAGGGGTGGACGGTGGGGTGTAGGGGGTGGCTACAGAAGGGTCCTCCGCTGGGGACTTCCACTGGGGACCTCCACTCCACTGGAGACCTCCACTCCACTGGGAACCCGGCGTGGAAACTGGCCGGGGGGTCACTTGGGTGGGCCCCAGAAAGGCGCTGAGACGAGCGGGCTAGACAAGGCAGGGAAAAATAGCCAGGGCAAGGCGATGAGCACCACAGCCCGAGCAGCGTCTCCACTCGAAATACCCTGGCAGGTAGCGGGTACATGGCAGGGTGGTGCAGCAGGGGTGGTGCGGTTGTGCGGCGCGCGCAGCGCAGAGGTACGACCTCCCTAGTATTACTGAGGGGGGCCGCTGGAGGGTCCCTGCTCGGGGGCCTGTTAGGGGTGCTTTTAGGGGGTCTTTGGGGGAGTCTTCGCGAGGCGCGCCTCTGCTGAGCGAGCCTGTGGACCTGGTGGACTGCCACCAGCCGTATCGGGTACTTGGTTCTCTACACGAAAGCATGAGAGAGGGCAGGGACCCTGGTTGAGTCGCCTGCCTGGTCTCCTCCCCAGATGGTGGTAGCGATTTCGGGTTGAGTGAATGGATGGGATTGCTGAGCCTGAGCTTGAGCCTGAGCCGGCTGTGAAGCAGACCTTGAAAAGCTTCCCGGGACGGTTTGCGGGAGAGACGGATGGGGGCAGAGAGTAGAGAGGGGAAAGGGGCCAGCAGATGATGTTAATACTACTCATCAGAAATATCTGAGAAATGCCCGCCGGCAGTGATTCCGGCTCCGGCTCAAGTATAGATAATTGGAGGGGAGGCAATAATAGCCATGGAAAATCGACAGGGGATTTGGGGGGTGTGAGTGATTCCGTGCCTTTGTCTCGCTCCCCCAACTTGCCAAAAGTGTGGAAGCCGACGGCGTGGAGAGACGAACCAACCCAAAGAAAATGCTTTGAATTGCCAAGGCAAGAAGAAAAGGTACTCCGCCGTGCTCTTGGTAGGACAACCGCTTCCAGCATCCCGCATCGCTGGCGATGCCGGGACCCCCCAAGCCGCTTTCGGGGCTACCTGCACTAAGGTAGGTCACTGGCTAGGGCAGAATTGGCGCTGAGGGTTCATGGGCGTGAGCCACTCAGGCTCGCAGCAGAGGAGGAACAAGTTGCAGAAGATGCTGTTCATGAGGGGTGACGGGGGGGAGGGGAGGCATCGGGCGGTCTGAAGAGCTGGAGGCTTCTCCGCACAGCAGACAAGGCAAGGAGTGACTGAAGCGATGGGCGATTACAAAGGCCATCCATCCGTGTGGGTGGTGGTGGCGGTGATGGATGATGACATCAAAGCGGATTGGGCGGCCCATGTGATTTTCCCTTGATCTTTAGTTGAAGCCATTCTCGGTCCCAATCGGTCTCAATCGGTCTCATAGCAATATGGCCAGTTTGGAACGGCGCGGTGCCATGACCGTCTTCTACTCCAGGCCACGACGCCTTTAGTTGCTAGCCCGTCTGTGTGGCTGCCCACCAGCGCAGTCAACAGTGCTGCCCCCGGCGGAAATCGCCTGGCGTCGCTGGGCAAGTTCGGGTAGTTTTGTAGCGTGCAGAGGAAGTGATGAAGAAGTTGAGGTGGTAGGGCGCGAGCGTAGCGGATCAGCGGCGCCGGGCGGGCAGTGGGTTGTGGGGCGTGGGCCCCGTCGCCATGCCCAGCAGTTCCGGTGGCTCAGTGGGGCGGCTTTGAGCTCCGACGGAGGTGTGTGAATGGAATGTTCGCCCGAGGTGGAAAAGAGAAGCGAAAACTGCGGCAGAGACGCGGCACGCAGCACCGCGGGCCTCAGCACCGCGGCCCACGGAGGAGGCGACAGTGGACATGGAAAGGGGTGATAATCGTCTCCCGAACCGGGCATCAGGCCGTCGAGAGATGAGGGTGAGCATGAGCCAGGACAACACGGTCCAGGTCAATTCTGTCTTGTCTCCGGGGGTGTGAGGACGAGGACGAGGGTGACGGATGCAACGCGTGCCTCTCTGCTGTGTGTCCTTGGTGCTTGAGTACGAGGAGGGCGAGCCCGAGCCCGGAGCAGGACGCAATAGAGGCACAGCACTATGAGAGTGACGCCGCGAGGCATTGGCGGCGAGCAAGCGCGGTGCCTCCTCCTTGCATGGGGCGTCGTCCATTCTCACCATTCCCATCCATGGATGGCACGGGTTGGCGGGTTGGCATGGATGGGAGAGATGGATGGGATGGAGTTTCCGTGCTCGACAATGCCCGCCTATGCCCGCCTCAAGGTTGCACGAAGACAGAATTAGAGGTGTGTGTTTCCTCTTGATCCGTCCCACACTTGCAGTCCATATGCTCCCCCCCCTCTCCCCCCCTTGCCCCTTGAAGGCGCGTGGCTCCAGGGATTCCGCCCACCGCCCTAGGCTTCTTTCGGCCGACGGACTTCCCTGCAGCCACGCTCGCTGCTCATCCACAGCGTCACGTTGCGGCCACGCAGAGAAACCATGGCTCCCATGCTCCCACGCTCCCAATGCAACCATTGGAGCCATGCCCCGGCGCAAGCCCACCCCACCCCGCCCCACGCCAGCAGCGCCTCTTGGCTTTCTCCTCTTTCTGTCCGTGGTGGTGGGTGGTGGTGGTGGATGGTGCACTGGTGGTGGTGCATTGGTGGTGGTGCACTGGTGGCTGCTGCTGCTTGACGCTCCTCATTCTGCCAAATTGCTCCCAGAGGTATATTTGGTCGGGGAAGAGGACAGTCGCAGCCGCTCGGCCTGCACTGTGCGGCCCACGCTGGTACCAGCCGTGCTGCAGAGGACCGCAGCGGAGGCTTCTCCGTGTCCTCGTCCGTGTGGTTCAGACGCACGCACGCACGCACGCACACATGCACCACCGCACGCACACACGCACGCTCACACGCATCGCACACACGCACCGCACACGTGCTCACTCTCTGCTGAGCCGACCTGGCCCATGGGTCGGTCGTTGAGTGACTCTGACGCCGGCGCTGGCCTGGCCTGGCCCTGAGATGGCCCGAGATTGGGATTGTGATCCCGATGCTTGCCCCGCTTGGGACGGAGATGATGGAGCTCTGTCTGCTGAAACGACGCCTTGAAACGTTGGGATGGACTGCTCTTCCCGCCGAGACCAGGACAAGCCACAAGCCACAAGGCGCAAGGCCTGCGGCGTCTCTCATGCCTCATGCCTTACTTCCCGGTATTCATCATGCTCGGCCATGCCTTGCTGTGCCTTGCTGATGTCAACGCCTGCCGGTCGGGACGGGCTGACTCCGGCCCTGGTTCGGAACAGGCACTGACGAGTCGTCGTTCTTGCTTCCAACACGGAGAAGAGAATTGACAACAGGAAACACCACGGACATACCTCAAGGCCGATCCGACCCACCGCCTTTGCGTCCAGCACCCGCGAGGGTATCGATATACGTACTTCTGATTGGTGAGTCGCCAGGCTCCGTCTCTTGCTGGTGGCTTCAATCACCATCTGGGTGTCCACCAAGTTGTCGACGCCACTACTGGCTCGCTGCCTTGGGTTCCTCGGTTCAGAGTCGTTTGATACGCTACGGCAGCGCTACGTCGGTAGTGTCGCAGCAATTCGCGCTGCGATCGCGACAAACCAGTCGAGAGTCACACCCAAGCTGCTTCAGGGAAATGCGCCCTGTGCAATCTGTCGGCACATGTTAGCGCCCTCCTCATAACCCGTCACCATCTTCAGCCCGGAACGGTTCGATTTCATGGAGGCGAAATTGAGATTTGCACAAAATGGGCTGTCCGTGTCCCAGCTTCTAGAAGCCCTTTTGGAAACCGGGCCGCGGCCAGGGGCTTGGAGGGGTGAATCAGACTGGTTCCACTTTACCTGGATGGGCTTTGCAATTCAACTCGACTCAAATTCACGTCGGCCAGCCACGCGACCGCGATTTGCGGGTGGCAAGAGACGGCAGATCCTGGCTCCAAAACGTCTGCTGCTTCTTGCGCTCGGAGAAAGCGACCGATGAGGCTACCAGCCAGGAGTCGTGTTCAATTTGGGGTTTTCGTGCGAACCTGTTTGTGCGAACCTGTTAACTGGCGGCCGCTGAGAGTGGAGGATCAGTGGCGACAAGATGACGACTGAGTGAGACGAAGCGACAGAATGATTCAAGTGTTGTTGAGAACATGTAGCGACGAGGAAGGAATCGCGGTCGAAAAAGGGGCAACGCGGCCTTTTACTGGCAACAAGATACGCGCCATTATGAATCTGGATGCTGCACCGGTCTCCCAACCTGCACAACCTGAAGCTTCTTCCTTGTTCCTCCCAAGCCCGGTGGGGGAAAGGCTGTTGCGACATAGACGGCAGAAGCGGACTTGTATGCGACGACGGGCGAGATGCCTCTCCTCCGCATACCCTAACTGCTCTACCTGCCTAACAATGGCATCGGCGTGTCACTATGGTCATCAGCAAGATAAAAAGGTGCAAGGCGACGCCACCACTTTCTACGCGGAAGGGATGACCAAGCGAGAGAATCCGTCGCGACAGCTGCATGCTGCGATAGTGATCAACCCCGATCCTGCCTGCACGTACCGCCTGTGGGCACCGCTACCGAATCTCAGCTTCAGGTGGATGGCTGCAGTTGCAACTTGCAGCTGCAGAGCCCATACTCTGCATGCCCAGATACGAGTGCTCACTGCACACCGGCACACACACTCACACACACTGTACGCACTGCAAGCACTCACACCCGGGCAAAGAGGGGGCCCGCAGCGGCCATAAAGCAACGGCAGCACTGGCGGAAGATCTACAGTACATTCGTTCGGTTGCGCGGCGGTCGAACCCTGGACCCAGAAGCCCCAGACCGGATGCATCGCTGCGCGGACCAAGTGAGGGTCGCAACTTGCAAGTCCAGGGTAACAGAAAGGGCAATCGTGCCATCAAGCTCCGACTCACTCATCTTCACTCCCACTACCCGAGACTCCGCATTCCGTGAGGGGCAGCAGGGTCCGTCGGAAATCCCGACTAAGTGTCAATGGCCTTTCAGATCCGTCTGGACAGCATCGGATCTGTGGGGGGGGGGTCGGGTGCGAGAGACGAGTAAGTGTCAGCCCATCAAGCGCCCGCTG